GCACGCTCATACTAGAGGTCTTGCATCCACTAACAAACTGCGACCATTTGCACTCAGACCCTCAGAGGGTTTTCGAAATAACGGCATCTAATTGGTGCAGGAGTTTAAAGGAGTTTAGTGCGAAAAGCCTTACCCCATAGGGTAAGGCACGAAACGCCCTCTGAGGGTCTGAGCCTGCTGAGATAATCCGTCGTCGCTTATCAGATTATATCTGAAGGAGGTTACAGCAGTTGACTATTTTTTACTACGCAAAAATAATGGATTTATTGCGTGAAAGGAACTTTCTGGGTTCTGTCCTTAGAAATCGGATTTTTCTATTCATCAAATGTGCCCCTTCACTCTAACATGCAGAGATCTGGAAAACTGTTGTCCGCTCTCTATTACACAACGAACAAGAAATACATGTAATACGAGACAAATGAAAACTGAAATCATAATTCTATGCATCTCTATGTGTCTTTAAGCTCTGGAAGTTTCATAAAAACCATCCGCCTCGCTCTCGCGAGTAGAGGAGGCAGAAGATTTTTCCTGCATAGCTAGGCTGCGAGGTAGAAGCCAGCCAGGATGGGCGAAGTTGAACACAGCAACGGCTAAAATCATAAGCGCCCCATCGAATCCGAGGAAATAACCCTCGTGAGTGATCAGATATCCCGTCCAGCCCTGGGCCAGCTCGACCGTTCGATATATACTCCGGACGTAGATGAGCGCGCCGGAAAACGTCGTCGCCCAGATCAGAGTCTTGATGTCCCTGGTCAAGATCCCGGTGCCCAGCTTTACGGCTCTCCGAAGGAAGTCGACGAAGAAAAAGGCGAAGACGGTTATGCTGGCCATCTGGAACACGATACCTCCGACCATGATGTTCGTTCCTGTCTTGCTCCTTCGTGGAGGTGTGGCAGAGACAGCAGCGCTTGCCTGGGCGCCGCCGATGGCCTGAATCACCAGGCTGATGACATCGCAAGTGCAGAAGATGAACAGGTACATTCGGGAGCTGATGATGGACGTCTTCCCCTTGCCCCCCGTTAGGTTGATGAGCCGACCGAGGATGACGTAAATGCCCGCGGTGAAGAAGGTGGGCCCTATGATGAGGGTGCAGATTTGCATGAGAAAGGCATTGAGGTTTGACGGACACTGCGATGACCACGTTCGACCGGCCCAGCCTATCAACTCGGCTGAAATTCAATCAGTACCCTAGCGTATAACAGTGAGAAAGGATCATACTGAGAGCGCCAACGGCAAAGACAGCTGTCCACCAGGTGCGTTTCATCCATCCCTGGACGAAGTGTGCGACCATCGAGATGAAGAATAGAACGGAGAAGACGATTCCTGCGGCCAGTTCGGGTTTGTAGCCGTACAGATCTGCCTTTCCTGGCTCATAGGCTTTGCAGCCTTCGAAATCTGCGATGGGCATTTTTTTTCTTTCTCTCGGTGAGGGTTCACACAAGTCGATACGAGCACACGCTTTAATCGAAGAACGAACAGAAGGATTGTAACAGTGGATGGAAGCAAGAATACACCGGAAATTCCTTTAATAAGAGACACTGGCTACGAAGAGCAGATGCCTGCAGCGAGACATCGCAACATGTTGTTATACGAAAAAGACGGCCATCGGTGGCCGGAGCATCTCCTGTAACAAATCGACCTACCTGATGGGCCCCTTCGTACTAACCTCGCAGTGTACACGAGCATTTTTGCTAGCGTGGGCTGAGGAGTCCCACAGACAAGGCCTGATATTGATCCGACGCGTGCCGAATGGACGGAGCCTGCGCTGCAGTTCTACTCACGCCCAGAAGGTCGTTGTCGTCATGAGGAGCCATCCTTGGGTCTTGCAGGTGCAAAACAGAAAAGAAAAATGACGCAGAACGAGAGCAGCGGCTGCGGGGAAAGTATGAGGCCGTAATGCTAGCTATTGAAGAAGAGCGTAGGTTTTGTGCACTACCGCGCGTTAACGGGATCGGGTTCTTGGAATGCGTCGTACGGCCGAAACGCTGGTGGAGCGGAATCGAATTTCTTGGCATCTGGGACGGATCCGCTTGCAAAAAACTCCCCGAGCGTTCTGGAAACTGCTGATGGAAAACCGGATCAGAAATGGATTAGCATGCCAGTCGCATTGTCTCGACAACAGATCTCGACATGAGGATTGATGGCGCATATCTCATCTCGATATTTGGAATATCCCCTCGACTTTCTAAACATACAATTTCTCCGCGAAAGCCGATGTTGGCCTGTAGAGATCTTGTCCTAGGCTGCGCAAATCAGAGCCAAACATAGCCTACCTTGTTCATTTTCAGTGTCTTTCTCCATTTTGCTTGCTGTTTCTAAACTTTCTTCAAACTTTAATTATGAAATTGCGTGAAATATCTTGGATGCTGGAATGATTGAGGCCAAAATGGGAACCTGCACTTCGCCATGCCCCGGTTTCAATCTGCTGACCAAGGCAGAGAAACGAACAGGTTGAATGCGATCCCTAGCAGATGACCTTTGCGACGTCAAGCCGTCGCAGAAATGCCTAATACATAGAGACTCCACGCAAGCCGACTCATTTTACTCAGTCACGCGTCGCAAAATGATTCGAAGGAATCCGCGGTCCTCTGCTCAAGCAGGAGGCTCGAGAAGAAGGAATACGCCACGGCGCTTCCCACGGACGCACCGCACATCGACCTGGACGGCGTAAGGGAACGGGATGACTCGTCTCTGATGGTCTGCACGCCTATTCCTCCTGTCTCCGGCGCGCTTCAGAATCGCGAAAACGAGTTTGAAAGGCCGCCGGTTGCTCGTGCTGCCTGCCATCCCGGCCTTTGTAGAACGCCGGCTGATGTGCGATCTGCATGCCCCTATACCGTCGCGATCCAGCGGCGATCCCGTGGGCTGCCCAATCCTATGGACCGCAGACAGTGCGACTTAGGTGGGTTTCGCGGACCCCACAGACGACGTGCCTCGCCTCTTGGGCGAAGGCTGCAGAGTAAGGACGGTTGCAAATGCGTGCACGTCGAGCGTAGAAAAGAGCGTTCGCACACGCGCACACAAAGCGTCGCTGTCGTGCTACGCAGCGTTCGGGGAACGCGCAGAAAACCCGGCCTTTGGCCTCCAGGTCGCCTCGACGGAGCGACAGGCATCCGGCGACGTCATAGCTGCAAGCGTCGTGCTGTCGAGCGCGACATGCAAGCCCTGGAGCCGCTTTTGCTCGGTCTTGTGCTTCTCGCTAGGCGGTGCGCGTCTCGATGGCATCTTCTGTACGGTCGTGGTGGCCTCATGGCTCGAGGACAGGTTGGTCGACGCCAGTGCCTCTGCCGATGCGGCTGGCCCGATGAAAATGAAGGACGAGTCTGCCTCCTCGCGTAGCATAACAGACGTAGAGATGGCGGTGTTGTTGGGCGTGTAGTCGCAGAACAAGTGGACGATAACGTCTCCAGGGCGCGTAGCCGGATTTGCATATCCCATGGCTCCAGAGTTGCACTCAATCTGCGCCCATGTGGACTGCGGACTGGAGTTAGCAGTTCTATCCGCCGTCGGGTGGAATTGGTTCATGTGTTGTAGTATCCTAGACTGTTTCCGCTTTGCCTCCTCGTCGCCTCCCTCTTGCGCCAAGGTGCGGAGAATCTCCTCAACGTCGTCGACGGGACTCGTTCGCTTGACTGTGCCTTGGTAATATGCACGCACAGAGTACGACCGGCCCTTGATCTCGTGCCACGCCTTAGCCACCGCAGGGCGGCTGGATGCGTTCGATTCGTTCGTTCTCAGCGTGGCTAGGACGGCGCCGACATCGACTTCGAGGATATTCTGGAGGAAACACCACCGCACCAGCGGCGAGTTTTCCCTGGACCCGAACCGCTTTATCGGCCCGTTCTTCTCCAGCCACACAACCAGATACGCAAACAGGTCTGTGTTGCTCATCTCGTAGTCAGCCGCCAGCGCGCTGCGTATAGCGTGGTGCTGCAGCTGAGGCAGCCCAAGCATGCCATACACCCTGTCGCGGGCGTCCTTGCACCGCTGACCGCGGTAGAGGTTCATAGTCCACCACAGCACTTCGGCCGGCGTCGAGTCCGCTTTGATGCCTGCCACGCCCGTCGCGCACAGATCGCCGGGTGATTGCTTATTCGCCTCGATCCGGGAGATCTGCTCTAGGCCGGAGCGCAGGACTTTGGTCGCGAATGCCGTCTGATCCACACCTTGGGGGGGCCGCGCGACCGCCTCGCCGACCATGAAGCGCACATGCAGCCACGGGGTCTTGTGCTTGCGACAGATGAGCACCCTCTTCTTCGCCAGCACGTTCTCCTGCACGATCCACAGCCTGCTAAAGTAGCTCTTCCCCGCCAGCCAGCTCACGCTGTTGTACATGCGGGCGCTGTCCTGACCGGCGGTCCCGCTGAAATCGGTCAGCTGGCCCCGTTTCCAGTGCCTCCGGTACTCCGCGAACGTTCGATACGACTCGTCCACGATCCCAGTCTCCTCCTCCCCGCTTTCTGGCGTGAGACAGACGGCGACGCAGACGGCTAGCGTGTACACCTCGTTCATTCTGGCTACCTGCGTCTTGCGCTCCTCGAAGTCGTCCTGGTTGATGCATATGGCATCAATCCAGACGTACCGCCCGACGTTGTGAAACCGCAGCGCCTTCAGGCTGTCTTGCAGGTTGAACCCGACCTCGAAGCGTCGGCCGTTGAGGCCAATGCTGCCCCCTTCTCGATCACCCCAGGTGTACGACAGAGCCACGTACTCGGGCGTCGTGCGCTGCGCGAGCGGATACTCATCAATGACACATTCCACTTCGTCGTCGTACCCACCCTTTCCGGGCAGGATCTGGAGTAATCGGAAATGGTCCAACGAGAGCGGCGCGTATCTGAACATCTCCGAAACATGGCCGCTGCTGACAGCGTTCAGCATTGTGGAAGCAAGGCGTGTTGGAGAGAGGATCTTCGCGCTTTCGAGACAAAATCCCGTTCGTAGTTTACTGTCTATCACGCGCAGACAAGCCTCGTGAAGAAGCGAGGCAGACCACAGAACGCCAACGTGCAGGATCGCGGGAGGATCGTCCTTCGCAGCCTACTGATCGGGGAACGATCAGCGGGGCCCATCGCCGCCAGCATTTTGCAATCGGACATAAATCGTCGTGCAGACACATTGTGCAAGGCGTGGGTCCTGGGTCTGATTCAGCACTTGCTAACATTCCTTAGCTCTGATTGGCTGGAACGTCCGAATCTCACGAAGCAACTATGTGACGTAGAGAATCACCTCGATTTAATTATCACAGCATGTAATCTTGTCGGAGAGAATGACGATGCCGTCACGAATCATCCTTACATTGAGAACTTCCAGATAGAATGTCAAGAAACCGAGACAAGAAGGACGCTGATGAAAAAAAGTATCGTTTTGATAAGTTGCCTCAATTTAGATTACAATACTTATCAGTGCTGCAACACGAAAGAAAAACGTCGGGTATCCAACTGACAAGAGTAAACTCAGCGCGCAACGTACTCGTAATCAAGTGAAACCCATCTATGCAATGCAATTGATAATTCTTTTTCCCTCTGCAGTAAATAGAACATCCCTTATAAACTGCCAAGGACAGTGTCATCCCTCATCTTCTACTGCTACAAAGAATAAAGTAAGGGCTGATGCAACGATAGCATCGGTGGTAGCGAAAAATAGCTCCTCTAGAGCTCGAATCAATGCTTCAATCAAGCGCTGATGAGCGTTTTGTTCTCCACTGTAGGTGTCGATCGCGGACTTACGCCTGGGCTCCACGCCGTTACGATGTGCCGCACCGGCAACTGGACCTGTAGTGCGGTGGTGATACTAGGTGTCGCGGGCCCAAGGCTCTCGTTGTCACTGCTCGCCGCTCCGGGGTCGCGAGTGGTCGACGGAGATAATTGAGGAACTGACGTAGAAGAGCTTTCACGTGACATATCTGGCCTGCCGTGCTCTTGGGAAGGAGGCGATGGTGATTGATGATTCGTGTTTTCAGCGACGACGGTAGCGGTAGAAGCAGTAGTAGCAGCATTGGCAGCCTCCGTCAGCGCCGCTATCTTTTCCTTAGCGCGCTTGAGGTCTTTGCGGTACCCTTTGACGTCAAGTTTGTACAGTACAATGTCCTTGACATGGTACTCAATCTCCTTCTCGAGCTGCGCAATACGCACTGCTGGATCCGTAGCAGTGTCCCCACTCTCGTCCGAGAATTCCCCAGCTTGCTCGCGCGCCTTGCGCCGCTCGAACTTGAGACGTACCTCCGTGATGGCCTCCTCGATGTTGAGCTTCTTCTCTAGTAAGCTCGAAGCCGGGTGCTCACGCTTGTGGACCTCGACTGCGTTACGACGAAGCTGTTCTTTCAGTAACTGCAGATGACGTTCGCTCTCGACTTGAGCCGCGTGCCTTGCCTTCTCAATCTCCTCAATTTGTTTTTGCAGCTGACTCAGCCGCTTGCTGGATGTGTTGCCCTTCTGCGACTGCGACCGAAGCATATCGTTGCTTTGAGATAGCTTGGCCTGCTCTTCTCGCATGATATGTAATTGCTCCCCTAGACTCGCAGTTTGCGCTTCAAGATCGGCAATATACTTGTCCTTCTCTGCAACCGTGCGTCGCACATCCTCGAGCTTGAACGTTAGGTCAGCCACCATCGCGGGCAGGTCTGCGCGGCCTTCCGCTGCTTTGGCCTGCTCGGCAAGCAGCTTATTCTCCTCTTGAGCCTTGGACAGCTTCATTTGCGCGTCTTCCAATTCAGACATTTGGGGTCTCTGACGCAGCTCATCCATTTCCTTCCTCATTAGCGCCATCTCTCTTTTCAGGCTTGCTACCTCATTTTGAAGCTCTGAGTTATGCTCCAACACATCGATCTTTTGCACGTTCGCTTCTTCAAGTCTCCGAGCTACGTTGGTTAAATTATTTTGAATTGCTTCCTCGTTGGCTCTGGACGCCTGCAGCTGTGCGAGCGAGGCCTCGATGTTCGCCCTAGCCTCCTTCAGGGCTACCCCGAGTGTTTGCTTCTCCGATTCCAGGTCGCCCATCTCAGCAAATCGTTCGCGCAAGAACTTCATCTGCTGCTTCAGCGTATCGTTTTCGACACCCAGCCTGTGCGCCTTCGCCTTTGACTTTTCGTACGCTATTTGGATACTTTGCATGCGTCCAAGGCTCGGAGTCTCCGTCTTGGGTAGACTTGCGCTGCGTGGAGTAGTCGGCATCGACGGTGCCTGTGAGCTGGGCCACGTATCTTCTCGAGGTGCACGCGCGGTCGCAGCGTCATGTGAGTTGCTGCGTACGGGGAATTCTTCCTGAATCGCAGGCGCGCTCCGCGGCACTTCTGGCGCGGAAGGCATCTTGTACATGAGCGAGCTCGTGCGCATAGGTCGAATGTTGCTTCCACCTGTGGGATGTTCCCAATCCCCCTGCAGATCCTGCAACTCCCGTATGGTGGCGCTCAGTGTGCCCTCTACTTCCTCCAATATCGACCGTGCAGGACTCGGCACAGGTGCTGGTCTCTCTGAAGTCATAGTGGTGTTCGCGGACGTAGTTGGCGCTGGTGCGGGCGATGCCGCGGTAATGCTGACGCGAGAGTTCGAGCGTGGGCGCGACGTCGACGCCGAGCTGGGACTCTTGGTATGCGCTACCTGCACGATCTTTTGGAATTCTGCGCCAGACAGGGACGGCCGTCGGCTCTCAGCAGGCGAGATTGCCGGTGTAAGTGAGTAGGCCGCAGGTTTTGAACCTTTGGAAGCGCTGCTGTTGCTTCTCTTGCGAGAGTCTTGCAAGTTCAAAGGCGACTCCATTGACTGGCTCGTTCGTGGCCGTGAAATGGACGCACTAGCTACAGTCGCTGCTGAATTAGTATTTGCGGCACCTACGTTACCACAGTCCTGCGCTCCTGACTTACTGCTTTGGTCGGTAGAAACAGAAGGCTTTCGCGACTGGGAAGCATCGAAGTCCACAACCAAAGGCAAAGGCTTGTCGGTCCAGTCGAGAGACAGCTGTGGCGTATCGCCGTCCATAGGAAGTGTTTTGGACCTCCGGCGAGCGAACGACGCTCGTTCTGGATCTGCGGTTCTCGGACGGGTGGGGGATACCGGTCTGGACGTCGACAACGATGGTGGAAACACGGACGTTAGGCCAGCACTGGCCGGGATGTTGGAAAAAAGGGAGACATCCGACGCGACGGGAGCGTGATCATCCAGGGTATCGGCCTCGTTTGACTGAAGTGACTTGAGTGTGACGGACGGCTTACTCAGGGAAAGCGAGAGGAAAGGCACTTTCTGTTGTGACACAAAAGTTAGTGGGGCATTCCATCATTGGAGGATGTCGAAAAGTCGAATGAGGCCAGACAGGCAACTCTGAGGGTTCAGGCGCGAGCTACGAAGACAGGAAGGGGAGATAAGGAAGTGCGGGCGCATTACCTTCTTCACAGCTTTTGATGGCGAGGATGCCTTGGGTTTCCTGATGACGAGGTCCTCGAGCGAGACGAGGCCACCGACGCCGCTGTTTCTCCAGTCCTTCTTGTTGGATTGATGGTGGTGCTCAACCCTCCAATTGTGCAGCTTGCCAATCATACTGCTGTTGGTGGTAGCGCTGACACACTTAAACTGTCATCCATCTACCTGCAAGGAAGGGCGCGACGAGAGCGTGCTGGATGTGCCGCGAAGTTGGCAAGGGGGCTCTTGGTGCTTCTGGATATGTAGGAGTGTGGGATCAGGGTTGGCTGAAAGGAGGCGAGGAAGCCAAGTGGTCGGGTCGAGGCATGCACGAACGCAAGCAGGGAGGCAGAGCAGATGAAGCGAGGCAAGGCACGGCGTCGAGGAGAACAGGATCTTAAGACCAGTCACCCAGGCGGCGAAAGAGGCCGAAGCGCATGAAGAAACGCGGTGGAAGCTGCAGGCGGGAGGAAGTATGAATAACAAGAACGGAACCTAGCACAAGCACAAGCACAAGCACAAGCACCAGCGCAAGCACAAAGCATCAGGGCCACCAGGACGCCATGTGGTGTACGACAGCAGAACGACGGGTCGCAGATGACGTTGGAGCGGTGGGGTTTGCCAGAGCAGCAGGACAGCAGGTTGCAGTGGTCGCAGTGGTAGCAGGAGCAGTTAGGTGTTGCGGTAAAGGACAATGCACCGTCGACCCAAAAGGTGGTGAGACGCGAAGGGATCGGCGGCGTTCGCTGGGCGGGCGCGTGGGCCCGGCAGGTCCAAGCGCGTCGCCGGGCCTGGACGGGATTAGCGTCGGCGTCGCGACGGCGCCGCAGGAGATGGGCGACGCCGGCTGATTGGCTCGCCTGCAACGGAGTGCGCGATCGGGCGTGGCGTGCAGCACCGCAGACCGTTCGTTTCGTCTTCACCACCCTCACTGCGTCCGCAACGGCGGCTGCGACGGCGGTGCAGCCCAGCACGGCACGGCACAGCACAGCACAGCAGAGCATGACGGACGCTCCCTCGAGGGAGAAAGTGTTGCCGCCGCCGCCGCCGCTGCTGCTGCTACTACCAACACCTCCTCCTCCTCCACCGCCGCCGGCCAAGCCCATATGAGCGCGATGCTTGACACCGACCGCAGCATTCCCTGACATGCACGCGGTCGGAACGGGACCCGGAGTCTGCTGCCCTCAGTTCGATTCTCCGGCTGCGAGGGGTTCTGGCCATTCGCTGACTGCACGGCATCCAAGATCCGCTGCTGCAGCCCGAGGGTCACTAGGATTGCACCAGTGAGCACGAATTCTGCGCGAGAGCGGGTGACTGATCAGGATTCTCCACGCTTTCCATGCCTTACCAAGACAGGCGGAGCACAAGGTGAGGAAGACCGTCGCGTGTTGCGCGCTGAGCCCGGGCTCGGTACGGAAAATGAGAGGGGCAGCGCGCGAGCACTCGGGCGGCCTGGGCATGCGCAGCGAGCGCTGTCTGCATGAGGCTAGGCGGGCGCGTTTTGCTGCGAGCCCGGCGACAGGCCCCTGCGTGCGACAAGCACAAGTCCCTGGGCCCGGCGGGACTGACGGCGTTGGCGGGGCTGGCCAGCACACTCGGGCGCGAGGCCCCTGCGTGCTTGGCCAGCGCCTCGCTGTGCGCTTCTCTCCCCCAGCCCTCCGCTGCTCTGGACCTTGTGCATGCACAGCCGCAAGGGTCCCGCGCCTGTTCACCGCAATCCTGTGCGGGCGAGCTCATCACCCACAACACAAAACGTGCGGTATGTCGCCCTCCCGGTCGCCTGCCCCCCATCATCAATTCCACCGTCGCCACCGGACAAGCCGCAGCAGATCTAGCAGTCACGAGCGTTGCCGTCGCGAGGATGACTCGTACTCTGCTGCACGTCCACCGCGCGACGGCGCGCCGGCCAGCAACCAGCGGCGGGCTGAGCACAATTTGACGGCCCACTCTTCGCGTCGTCCGCGCCGAGATGATAGCAGCCGCTCGGCATCACCACCACCACCGCCCAAGCGTCGGAGAAGGTCGCGTTCGCTGACGGGCCAGTCACGGTCACGGTCGCCGTCCCGGTCACGCTCGCCTCCGAGACCACGTCGCCGCCGCGAGACGTCTCGGAGCCCTGGCCGTGGTTGGGGAAGGAGCCGTCGTGAGACGAGAGGAAGGAGCCCGCATAACCACGCGGGCAGAAACGAGAGGGATGCGAGTCACAGACGACGGGGAAGGGACGATGAAGACTCGATGAGCAGAAGTCGCAGCCCTCTGGGACCCAGCGAACGTCACCAGCGCCGTCGCCGCAGTGCCAGCCGCAGCCGCAGCCGAGACCGGCGTGACAAGGACAGGAAGGACAGACACGACCGGAAGCCTCTTCCTTCACAGGAAGTCGCCTTCCGAGGTGGAGACGGTGCTGGTCGTGAGCTCGACTCGACCGGTGCGCTTCAGAAACCGATCGAGAAGGAGAAGCCCAACTTCAAGCCGACCGGCTTGCTCGCTAAAGAGGCCAACACGGTGGCCGGCACCAAGATCGTGCTCAAATACCATGAGCCGCCCGAGGCGCGCAAGCCGCCTCCGAGCCAGAAGTGGCAGCTGTTCGTTTTCAAGGGCGACGACATCGTGGACGAGATTCCGCTGTACACGCAGAGCTGCTGGCTGCTGGGCCGGGAGGCCGCGGTGGCCGACGTGCACGTCGAACACCCGAGCGCAAGCAAGCAGCACGCCGTCGTGCAGTTCCGACACAGCGTAAAGACCAACGAGTATGGCGACAGACTGAACGTCGTCAAGCCGTACCTGATCGATCTCGAGAGCGCCAACGGCACGCGCCTGAACGGCGAGAGGATCAAGGACAGTAGGTACTATGAGATTCGGGACAAGGACGTGGTCAAGATTGGGCTAAGTGATAGGGAGTACGTGTTCCTGCTGCCGACGGGGACTTGAACCGGGCGGAAGAAAGGGGAGTCCAGGAGGAGCAGAGACTGGAAGTTCGCTATGTAACCACAGTGCTTATACATAGACCCTTATTATGGACAGCTGGTTTTGCTACCTTTGAGCCGTACCATCTTGCCAGGCGCCGGCAATTGCCTCTCCATGAGTACAACCACGCCGGCATTGTTTCCCAACCGCTACATCCTGCATGATGCTCAAGCCCTTAAACCGCAACCCTAGATCCTCTTGCGTCCGGCAGATTCACATCATCAAAATCCATCTCCTCCTGTCAAGACAATCACAAGCAAACATCTGGACCCGCTCAAGCTTCGCTAAGACCGCTCTCTGTCCCTTAGTCGCCCCAAGTCCTGGCCGCACCGTCACCCTGTCAAAACATAAGCTCAGACGACAAGCTGCTTGAAGAGTGTTTTCTGCTTCTGAGTGTGAGGCCAGCAATTGGCTGCGGGGAACCGCAGGGCTTGCTCGCTCACAAAACGGACGATCAGCGTTAGTTCCCGAGCAATGGCGCCTCGGTCGGCACCCCCATTTGCCTCGAAAGGGATGAGATCGACCTTGGCCGAGACTGTGCCTTACTGGTTGGAGTAAGTCATCAGATGGGTTGACTGAGCTTACTGGTGCGATCGTGAAAAGGCTGGGGTTATGGTGTGGACACCTGCGGCTTGCACATGAACAGGATTAGGAGAGAACACACGTCTTTGCAACGCAGCCTCCACGACTCCGTTCGGTTCTGTTAGATTGCTACTCGCTTATCCATCGCCCGCTCACGCTGCTTTCACGCTCTCGTTGCTCGTCCGGCTTTTTGTTTGTTTTTCTTTTTGACAGTTTGTGCACAGCGAGAATGAGATAGTCCAATTGACGTATCGGCTTTCGTTCTCTGGAAGTGTCTGGTGCGAACGTGTGTCGCACGACCTGCATCGCCGTCCATCCCGTCGTCCAACCCCATCACCATAACTTCCGTTCCGCCACAGCTCGGCGCACGCGCAGCGAAGCCGTAGAAGATGATGCGCTACCGGCGCTACAGGGCATTCTTTGTCCTGGCCGCCATTGCCGTTCTGGCCTTTTACCACTTCGGCAGCCGCTCGCCGCAGGTCGACTACCTGAAGCAACAACTGAACCTGCGGAACCACAAGGCTGACTACTCGACCTCTGCGAACCAACACGCCCAACAGGGAGTCTTAAAAGGCGGGGCTCCACCGCGTGCGCCGAACCCAGCAGACGGAAGCGCCAAGAGCGGGACGTTGGACTTTGTGGGGGACGATGACGCGGCCGTAGCGGGTAAACTGACACCTCCACCAGTTGGAGATGTCGAGAAGCCGGTTCAGAATATTCCGCCGGAGCAGGGGACGAAGACAAACGGAGGGAAAGAGAAGGGCAGTGCCTGGAAGCCGGCGAAGACGACGAAGGCAGCTCAGCCGCACCCCGGAGAAGGGTCGCGGACGGAGACGACGACACAGAATGGCAAGGACATTGACGGTGACAAAGGAAGCGAGGATGGCGAGCGCGTGCGAGTCATGCCTCACCCGATTCCCGCGGACTCGTTCCAGAAGGTACGGCCGCTTCTCGAGCAGGGCGAAGGCCGGTGGGAGGACGACCAGGTGACGCTTGATACACCGCCGGTGTCCTGGGAGAAGCCCGTCGAGCACTTCCCGATCGCCGACAAGGACGTAACCCCGCTTCCGAAGGGCAAGCCGAAGCAGTTGCCCAAGATCCAAGCCTCCTTCTCTTCCGAGTCGGTCGAGCAGAAGAAGGATCGGTTGGCCAAACAGGATGTCATCAAGGAAGCCTTCTTGCATGCCTGGGGTGGCTACAAGGCGAAGGCGTGGGGCCACGACGAGATCAAGCCTCTCAGCGGCACGTTTAGAGACCCGTTCAATGGCTGGGGTGCTACGCTCGTCGACTCGCTCGACCTGATCTGGATGATGGGCCTGAAGGACGAGTTTGAGGCGGCCGTCGACCAGGTGGCCAAGATCAACTTCAAGACGAGCCGCCGCTCCGACATCCCATTGTTCGAGACGACGATCCGTTATCTGGGCGGCCTGCTCGGCGCCTACGACGTGTCCGGAGGCCAGTACCGCGTGCTGCTCGACAAGGCGGCCGAGCTGGCCGAGATCCTCATCGGCGCCTTCGACACGCCAAACCGCATGCCGGACTTGTACTACCAATGGAAGCCGGCGTTCACGTCGCAGTCGCACCGGGCGTCGAAGCGGGTCGTGCTCGCGGAACTTGGGTCGCTGGCGCTCGAGTTCACACGCCTAGCACAGCTGACCAAGGAGCCGAGGTATTACGACGCCATCGCGCGCATCACCGACGCACTCGAAGAGTGGCAGGATCACACGAGACTGCCGGGCATGTGGCCGAGCTCGCTGGATGCATCCGGGTGCAGCAAGCGTCCTCTCAAGGGGGCATCGATAGAGCAAATCGCCAACGACGGGTCGCTGGATCTGCTCGATTCGAAAGGCAATCCGCTCGAGAAGGCGGGGAAGGACGAGTCGAAGGCGAGCAAGGAAGAACAAAAGGCCGGCCTGGACTCTGCAGGTATGACGAGCAAGGAGAGCTCAAAGACAACGACCAGCAATCGCGACGAGGATGAGCTCGAGGGTGTCGAGGTCAAACAGCTGATCAAGTCGGGCAAGGCGGCGTCGGAGAAGTCGGGCCCGAATGTCAACTTGGCAACTACGTCGGACCGCAAGAGCGGAGCGGGTGTCACGAAAGGACAGACCTCCGACTATGCTGAGCTGTCCGGCAAGGAGGAGACGGGGCCGAAGCTGCCGCCACCGAAGAAACAGGGTGGCAGTGAGGAGGCTGAGTACGTGCCCCTGAAACGACCGGAGCCCGTCACTTTCAAGATCGATGGCGGCAAGAAGGACAAGCGGCAGCTGAAAGCGCCAGACGTGGCCGATGTCCTCTCCGCTCTACCTGCCAGAGATGCTGATTCATCCACCCCCGAGGAGGACCCGTCCTATAAGCGCAAGGGCGAACCTGTTGCCAACATCCCCTCTCAGCTTCCGTTCCACAAACATGACGGAGTGCCTCTTTCGACGCTGGTAGAGGAGGAGGACGAGATTTGCGTCCCAACGGGTCTGCAGTCTCAAGCCACGTGGGGCACCGACTTGTTTACCCTCGGCAGCCAGGCGGATTCGACGTACGAGTACCTACCCAAGATGTACCTGATGCTCAACGGGCTTGTGCCGAAGTACCGCACCATGTACGAGAAGGCCATCGACGCGGCTAAGGAGCATCTTCTGTTCCGCGTTATGATTCCCGACGAGAAGCGCGAGGTCCTCGTCTCGGGCGAATACGCCGTCACGCACAACGTCGGCGACAGTTCTGATGGCGGAGTCAATGTCCACAAGCTACAGAGGACGACGGGCTCGCACTTGACTTGTTTCGTCGGCGGAATGTTTGGCCTCGGCGGCAAGCTCTTCGGCCGCAAAGACGATCTTCAGCTCGCGCAGAAGCTGACGGACGGCTGTGTGTGGGCATACGAGTCGACGGCGACGGGCATCATGCCGGAGACGTTCCATGCTGTCGCGTGCGATGACCGCAGGGACTGTCCCTGGAACGAGACAAAGTGGTGGGCCGTGCTGGATCCGGACATGGGCGAGTGGCGAAACAAGAACTACGAGAGCTCCATGAAGTACTACTACGCGCAACTGGAGGCACGAGAGAAGGAGATCCAAGAAATCAGGGCGAAGAGTGCGACATCGACAGCCCATGTCACTGAGGAGACTGCGTTGCCAGAGTCTGGAAGGCTGAGGAGCCACTCGGACATGGAGAAGAGGCAGCTTAAAGACCCTGACGGATCTTTCAATGGCGATGCCAACGCGCCCCTCAAACCAGCTGCGTCCGCCTACGGCAAAGTCCCGGAGGAGGATGCGTTCGTGCAGGCAGCACATGCGCAAGATGCGTACGAGGAGGCGCAGATCAAGAAGCAGCTTGAGATCGCGAAGGGCACGCCTACACAGAGCCGCGAGCCGGAAACGACGTGGGAGCCGCCCACGCTCACGGAGGACGATCTGCCGCCGATTCACAGCCCGGAGAAACCGTTGTCGCACGAGGAATTTGCGAAGACGCTGATCAAAGAGGACAGACTTCCAGACGGAATTCAAGCCATACATGACAGGCGCTACATACTCCGGTAAGTCGAACGTTCCTCCTTTGCGACCATCTCTTCCATTCGTGCTCGCAACGGCTTACGCGACTGAACAGGCCCGAAGCCCTCGAGTCGGTCTTCTACATGCACCGCATCACGGGCTCGCCGTACTGGCGTCGCGCGGGATGGAACATGATCTCGGCCATTCTTAAGCACACGCGCACCGAGCTGGCCCACAGCGCAATCGACGACGTGACGAAGAAGTTCCCCAAGCAGACCGACAGCATGGAGAGCTTCTGGCTCGCCGAGACGCTCAAGTACGCCTGGCTCCTGTTCGAGGAGGAAGACAAGTGGTCGCTCGACGAGTGGGTCTTCAACACCGAGGCCCATCCTCTGCGGAGAATGCCCGCCGACGGCGTCCCGGACGGAGGCGTGGCGAGCAAGGCCGGAGCGGCCGAGGAGGTGAAGAAGACGGCTGAAAAATCCAAGGAAGGTCGGGTGGTCACGCATAAGAGCGACGAGGACATGGAGGCCGAGATGAGAAACTGGTCGACGTGATCCCCGAGTCGCGAAGGTAAGCTCGGCAGAGAGCACGAGAAGCAAAAAGAAGAGGAAAAGAATAGGAAGAAAAAAAAAAAAAAAAAGAAAGGGGTAAAAAATTGGAGCCGGGCGCTTTCTCGACATTGTATTCATAAACTTATAGGCGCGTCTCACGGCGCGCCGCAATCACGATCTCACGCATACGGGCGGTGTTTGAGCAAATCCCGGTTTCGAAAGGAGAGAACAGCGCGCATCTTTTTGCGGCTGGGGTTGGTTGGTTTCGCTGGCGAGAAACTCATCATCGGGAGCCACGGCGTTACTTTCTCTCTCTCTTCCTCTCTCTCTCTCTAGTTCATTTCTGCGTTTTGAGCCACGCTGGGGATACATAGCATAAGGTTTATTTTATTTTTATTTTTTTTTTTTTTTTCCATTTTTCAATTTTTTTAACAAAATTAAAAGATAAAAGAAAATGCCGTGCTGTCTTTGAGTCGCGTTTCGAAGATGACAAAAAAACAAAAAAAAAGTCCGTCCGCTCGTCCTGACCTGCCAGCCCGTCTTACGTTTCCTTTCCATCTAGCTGGGGTGGGAACCCTCTTTTGTGTATATCATTTGCGTCTACACATACACACACGGACACACATGCAACTTTTTTTTTTTTCTTTGTTCTCCAACGCTCGTCGCTTCTCTCTCCTCCCCTAACCCTCCTGCCAATCCGGATAACGCCACGCTGATAAAGACTGCACGCGACCTTGATCGCTGTGCGCGCTCGAAAAGAAGACGGAAAGATGGATGAAGACGAAAAGGAAAGAAACAGAAAAGAGAGGAGGAGAAGGTTTTTTTTTTTCTTTGACAAAAAAAAAAAAAAAAAAAAAGGGAGAAAGGGGATGGGGTGGGGGAGAAGGAGGATGGGATAGGATGATGCTTTTCAAGTCGGGGAGACACTCACGGCCGGGCGGGCCCGTTCCCGTAGCCCTTCGACGGCGTGATGACGCCGGGCTTTTCCATGTGTTCGGCCACGGCGGCGACGCTCAGCGCCGAGTCGCCGCCCTGCGAGAGCGTCATGCCGAGCAGCTTGTTGGCAACCTCTTTTGCCCCGTCGCCTTCCTTGCGCGCGGGGTCTACGCCGCGGCGCGAAGCCGGGCTGCCACGTTCGTTCTCGTCGTCCGGAAGGGGGCTCATCTCGCCGTTGCCGACCATCTTCTCGTACGCCTCTTGCAGCCAGGGTACCGATCTGCAGCGCTGGACCAGGCGCACCGTCGTGGGGTCTGACGGGGCGAAGTGAAGGCTGTTTCCCGTGTTGCCCTCCAGTATGCGCAACACGGTGAGAATCTCGCGGGGCTTGTACGACATGCCCGCCTTGCTGAGCTGCGAGTTGGCGAGCAAGGGGTGCAGCACGCGGAGGTACGTGTGGCGTAGGGCCTGCATGGCTTCGTTTTCGGCGGGGAGGTCGAGAAGGTTTCGGAGGATGACGTCCGTAAGCACGTGAAGGTCGTTGGTGTAGAAGTATTCCGCCGTGCTTTTCGTGTTGAAGACCAGGTACAGCAACTTGAGGATGAGCAATTGGAGGCTCGTCTCGCTTTCTCTGTTGAGCAACAGGATCAAGTTCTCGCCGAAGGTTTTGTATCGGCTCGAATAAACGCTCAGCGCTTTAAGGACTCTGTTCGTGATGGGGGGCATGTCTGCCGTCGCTGATGCAGACAGCACCATGTACTGCTCGTTCAGCACTAGAAGGACGCGAATGACCGGATAATGGTAAGGGTCCGAGGCATCGGACGAGAGTGACTCTGTGATCGCGAACAGAGAGATTACGAATCCGTCGTTTACGGCCGCTAAGCCATTGGGTCGTGTAAGCAATCAGAGCACATATGATTTGTTCCGTGACAGACAGTGCGCACGTAGACAGAAAGGAAACAGGGCTGCACGTACACAGGTCTTCCCAGGTAAGCCTCTGGATCCGGCTCATCTCGTACATGATGTCCAACAGCATTCGATGCAGCTGTTCCTCGCCCTCTCGGCCGTTGTACTCGGTCACAAGCTCAACCAGCCTTGGAAACGCACCCTCTTGCTGAAGCATGAACAGCGTCTCCTCGTTCGCGCGGCCGTCGCAAAGCAGGATCGCTGCGAGGAGATGCAGCGCCGCGGGCTCGTCCTCCTGCAGAAGGGCATACACGCATTGGCGCCGTACATACTCCGTGTGAGCGGTGAAGATGGGCGAGTCGAGCAGCTTGTACGAGCATTTTGCGATATCGTACTCGTCTTGCAGGAACTCTGAGCGAAATTTAGTGGTAAAGGCTAGGTATGAGCGCAGCGAGTTGTCGATTGCCTCGTGGGTGGAGCACGACGAGGAGACGATGTCTTCGAGCTCTATTGTACATCCGCCGTTAGCTTGCGCGCTCGGAAAACAAGCCTGGATCTACGCAAGGCGCGCGCCAAACGAAGGCACAGGCGGCAGTTCGGCAGTTCGAAGCAGAAATACGCACCGTCCCAGAATTGGTCGGCAGTCTCCAAATCATAGGAGACCTCGAAATCCATGTTCGGCGCCGCGTTTCAGTCGCGCACTGGGGGACATTGTGCGGCGGAACAGGCGTGTACCATTCGAGTATTTACTGAGGGCTCATCGTCAAGGACAAGGCTGACTTTTGGACGTTCGGGCGGGCACAAACAAGGCGCAGCGTTCGTGTTAGGAGGAAGGCTCCGCGAGGTATGGAAAGTGAGTGGCCACATGCTTGTCCCCGCTGCCGCTGCCCTTGCCTGCGTCGCATGGCTGCGCGTGGCTCGTGCTCACCTGTCAGGGTTGTGACTCGTCAGTCGTGACCCGCCGTTGTGTCGGGTATCTCCTTCTTCAACGTCATCGCTTCCGAACAGGTGTCCTGCTACGAATAACTTATACTTCTTAACACTGTCCTCGTGGATTGCTGCGCGCGGCTATGTTCGAACAAGTGTGTGCAGCAGGTGGTGAAATGCCTTGTTCGCTGTAGTACACGCTACCAAGTCAACGTCAGCGCCATTAGCAGCGCCTCTGACATTTGTCCACGACCCCCTTCCGCTGTCAAAACAAGACTCCCACCCATAGCTGTCCAACGCTTTGGCCTTAGCACTGCGTAATTCTGACCACGCATCTTCTTCATCTCATGCACGATCCAGAACAGCAGTTTTCAGCTTGTCTCGGGCTCTGTGCACACCAGGAGAGCAGATGCTTGGGACAAGCTCGAACAACGTGCTTGTAGTCATCAGCACCGGCCGTGGTAACATACAGCGAAGCCCTGCACGCTTGCCATATCTGGACGCTCTCGACGTTGAGGGAGATTGGTACTCCCTAGAGGCACACATCGCCGCCCTAAAGCATTTGAGTCGAAGGTAGTATGATCGAGCAGAGTTATTCTGTTCATTTTTCAAGCCCGCACCAAGTGATCACTTAACTCTGCGTGTATGAACATTTTCGTAAGAGACAGATCGTATTCCTGGAGCTTGGGACAATTAATGTAATTAGCTCCGCAAGATATTTGGCTCGCTGACCGCAGACTGAGATTGATGCATCTGAGCATGCTCCCCACTTGTATTCGCCAGCAAACTAAACGTTGCGACCCCCGCTGCGCCAAAAAGATTTTCAAACAAATATTGTGTGCATCCGATTACATGACATCACAAGCATTTTTCTGACATTGCTCCAAATAGCCCGCCTCTTCCTCTAGGCTTCCCTGCGGGACCCCATTTTTTCGTACTAGCCCTTTGACGGTGATGTTCTGGTCTCCTTCGGCGTGCCACCACTTCAGACGCTGACACTCGTCTTCCCCAATGCTAATCTCCCACTTCCCACCACTAACCTCTACGGTCGTTGCGCCACCGGAGCAAGGGAAATGCCACTCTGGCAAAAAGATTTCCGTCGGCGCGCCTTCGCGCGTTGGCGATGGCGCAGTGAGTTTGAGGACAAACGTACAATTTCGAAGATTAAAACCGTAGGACTCTACCGTGCCGTGCACAGCTGTAGGCACGGGGCGTGTAAACGCCTCCGCGGCGCGGTACCCAGCTACGTTGATTGGTCTGTCATCCGCGAGTGCTGATATGTCGTTGCTTGCAGCTGCCTTGCGCAGCATACTCGTACTAGAATCCATCGTCTCTGTCGTGAGGGTGGCTTTCAGATTTGACGGGCGGACGACGTTACCATCTGACAGTGATGAGCGGGAATACGATGGAGAATCCGTATCCAGGCTTGTGGTCGATTTAGCTCTTTGCAGTGCATTTGGCAAAGGCCGATCGTCTAGTGAATAAATGCTCAAATCTTCCCCGTTCCAATTATCACCCCATTCGTGATTGTTGCTCGCAACGTATACCCAAAGAGTCATTCCATTACCACCGAAGCCTTCGATTGCAAACATGTTCGCATCCATAGCCGCGATTTGGGATGAGTAGTCGCCGGTCTTGTACGCATATTTGTCATCCATATCGTACGGAATTCCAATCTCGGAGAAGATGCACGGCCGTAGGCCCATATTGTCCATGCCCTCTTGACGGATAGCCTTGAGCTGGTCACGGAAGCAATTGCGGATTGCGGTCTCACCGATGCGGATTGCGAAAGCTGGGGTAAGATATTTGCCTCGCAAAACGCCGAAGACGTCTATGTTCCAAAGGCGATTCCTTTTCATCGTTATTAACGTCTCTCTGCTTTCTTCGCTTGGATGAATCAGTGCTTTACTCACCACTTCTTCGATATAAGCGTAAGTCCGTCGTAAAAATGTGGTACAAATACCATGTTCGGGTCATCATCTTCTGTGCCCTTGATCGTCGGTGGAATCTCCAGCACTGGTGGTTGACAAAGCATGATCGTCGTTGGGAAGATACTTCGTACCATATCTCTGTATTTCCGATAAAAGTCCATGAACCAATGATTTGTGAAGTACTCATAGTCCATTGTTGCGCCGTTCCGTGGATCCTTTGCGAAGTACTGATTTTGAAGTAAGGTGTCAGTCGCTGGGTCCCAAACCCCATGTTGCGCCCATATATCCTCGCCCAGCTTCCAGCCAGGATCCCGCTTCCAACCATATAATGTGTCGTCGTAGTCAGGTGGTAACCATGCAGATACGCCTTCAGGATCTACTAATTCAGTACCTGATTTATACGGCCCCATGCTACCGAAGTCCCACGTCGCAATCTCGCAAGCACGGCCTGAACCTGTCAGCATTGCCTGCCACGGCGTTGGTGAGGTTCCTTTCTGCATCTTTTGCTCCTTTGGTATATTCGCCAGATCCTGATAGCCTATCAAACCCCTATTTGGCTCGTTGAGGCTCTCCCATCCAATCACAACGTCGTTTTCCAGATCACCGGCATCTCTTATAGCTTCCGCCAATCGTTTACACGCATTGAGGAAGTGTTGTTGAAGATAGTCTTGGATATTCTTGCCGTCGATGATGGCCTTAGGCGTGAAATCACGGCCAGCAAAGAACATTGTCCAGATTGTAAGGTTAGCAAGCCGCCAGTAGTTTGTTGTCCAAATCATTTTTGGAAAAGATGCAGGGTCTGGGTAAGTGTTGTGCACAAGTGCAGCTTCTGTTACGGCGAAAGCCTTAGGGTTAAATCCGCACGCATAGACGGTCCACATCGGCGCACCGGAGCCACCGGTAAAGCGTGACCACTTAAGTATATGTTAGCTGTCGCTGCGAGGCCAGCAAGGGCAAAGGATAAGCACATACAACGTCCTGATGTGGGTCCATAAAAATGTAAAAGCCATACTCTCGTGCGATGCGGAGAAGAGATATAGTATGCTGTATCCAATCTTCATCGTACTTGCCAGGGCCTTCATGTTCTATTGCTTCCCATGTGAAAACATATCGGATGGTGTTGTATCCCCATCGCCTGAGCCTCGAGAAGTGTTCATGGGCGGAGTCTAGAGCGAAAGGCCTGTCAGTGAATCTAACCTTGTCCCCATCAAAGAAATTCTCTGATATATGCGACGGCTGGTCCGGGTTTGACGGGAACTTCGCATCGGCAGCAACGTTGATCCCGTGCAGAATAACCTCTCGATCTTCTGTGTCTAGGAAGCGGTGACCATCTATGCGGATACGGAGGTGTCCCATGGTGCTACCGCAGAATTCACATATATTGAGGCTGGTGAGTGAGAGCCACGCGTAGCACCAGACGGGGGCGTTTATGTTGCGCACGTATGATGTATATCGGGATTGGGACGCGAGCGCGCCAGTTGTGCGATGTCGTCCCCATCCAGAGACGTCATGGACGTTGCGGAGGCCTCCCCTTGTAGATGACCAGGGGTCTTTCTTGCACGCTCCCGCAGCCGCAATGCGCTAAGATATTTTCGGAACCTTTGACGAGCGCCAGCGTGGCCAGATCCGGACTTGAAGATCTGAACACGCACGACGGGCTACACTTCTAAAGTTCAAATGCCTTCACCTTCTTGTTAGCCCCGGAGAAGTACATACTTACAACTTGGTCACTCGCTTTCTCGGGTACAGCGAAAGCTGCGCAATAAGGATCTGAGACCCATCAACCCACGCCCGTTTGTGGCTGCCCCTTACCAATCCACGCCCCTCAGTCATTTTGACGCTCCAATCCGTTCGGAGCACACTCACGGTCGAAAAGGGCAAGGTACAGGAAGGCAAAGGAACATAAATCATGAGAACCTTTGCGAAGCTGGCTCTTGGAGCCTACCTTCTCACGTATCCCTTCGTCTCCGCGCTCGGTCCTTCAGATATTTCTGCCGACACTCCTATATCTCAACTTCTTCAAAGTGCTAAGGCTCAACTGGCCACGGGTAACGCTCAAGATGCCCTCACATATTACGATGTGGCGATTTCACGCGACCCCAAGAACTATCTGGCCCTCTTCAACCGTGGCGCTGCCTATCTATCGCTAGGCAAGAACCAACAGGCACGCCGCGATTTCGACAAGGTTCTGCAGCTCAGGCCTGACTTTGAAGGTGCGCTGATTCAGCGCGCCAAGTTAAAAGCGAGACATGGTGAATGGGAGGAAGCTGAGGCGGATTATCGCGCAGCAGGCAAGGGCAAGGATTCTCCAGAGGTCGCACAGCTTCATGAGGCACAAGGTGCGGCGATACTCGCACGTAAATCAGCGGATAAAGGTCATTGGGAGGACTGTGTACAGCAATCCGGCGTGGCGATCATGGTCGCAGCTGGTGACGCCTCTCTTCGCAAGCTACGTGCTCGGTGTCGATTTGAGCGGGGTGAGGTCGCCGAAGGCATCAGCGACTTGCAGCATGTGCTTGCATTAAACACTGGCGACACCGAGCCACACCTGAAGATCTCAGCGCTTCAGTTCTATGCACTGGGGGAGACAGACACCGGGCTCGCTCAGCTGCGCAAGTGTTTACAATCAGACCCAGAAGAGAAGGAGTGCAAGAAGTTAATGAGACGGGAAAAGGCTTTGGATAAGAGCATCAAGAAGCTAAAGTCCCTTCTAGAGAAAAAGCAGAATGTGGCAGCGACAAAGCTGCTTACCGGGACGGGCGATGAGCCTGGATTGCTACAGGAGGTGAAACAGGACGTTGAGGCTCATAGAGCGGACGGGCTCATACACATCGCCTCTGCGAATGGACTGTACATGTGGCTTCTGGATACGACATGTGAAGCATATCTTGATGTACGTTTGTGATCTCCGTGTGCTTTAGGACGACGAGCTAACGTGGTACTCTAGATGAAGAGCAAGAAAGGTGACGCATACTGCCAGGAAGCTCTGCAGCACAACCCCAAATCTCTTCCTGGTCTCCTTTTCAAATATCGTCGGCATATGGACGCTGAAGAGTTTGACGCTGCGATTGGCGCTCTCAACGAAGCAAAGGAAACGCACGGCAACTCGGAGAAGATTCAGAACCTGCTCAACGAGGCCCAGGTCTTACTCAAGCGTTCCAAGCAGAAGGACTATTACAAGGTGCTTGGTGTGCCGCGGGACGCGGACGAGCGAGAGATCAAGAAGGCGATGCGCAGAGAGGCCAAGAAATACCACCCGGACAAGGCGGCGAGCCAGGGCATCTCCAAGGAGGAGGCGGAGAAGAGGATGGCCGCGGTGAACGAGGCGTACGAAGTGCTCAGCGATCCGGAACTTCGAGCCCGCTTTGACCGGGGCGACGACCCAAATGATCCGATGCAGCAGCAGGGCAATCCGTTCCAGGGCAGCCCCTTTGGTCCTGGCGGTCATCAGTTCGTCTTTAGGCAGGGCGGTGGCGGACGCAGTGGTGGTGGCGGCTTCCAGTTTCAAGGCTTCCCCGGCGGTGGGTTCCCAGGTGGTGGGTTCCCTGGCGGCTTCCCCTTTGGTGCATAGACGTGCTTTGGACAGTGGGCTTTGGGATGCTCGCAATGTTTTGTGCATAGCGTATGGCGTTTGCGTTTGGGGGCATGTATATTCTATTGGGTCAAGGGGTTGGACTTTGTACAAATGTGCCCTGGACAAGACTTTGACTAGGACGGAGAGCGTATGGCTAGCTTTTTCTGAAACACTATACAATGACAGCCCAGATGGAGCTTCCGAGAAATCGGCTTTCGCGCAATGGAGAACTGCCAGATGTGAATTCCAGACGCCAATTGCCTGTGCTGACGAAGAATGCCATGCCGGCTTGTGGAAGCCGACGGGCGACGATGACGGGAAAGGATTCGATCGACCGCTACTTGGCGGATTGATTGGACACCTGATCCTATGCTCCACCTCGCGCGAGAGAATGGGTAGTGGCGTTTGTGTATATGTGGAAGGCTGTCTGTTGAGTCTGGCAACGGGATCACGTCGGCCGCGAGCCTGGACGCTTGAGGGCTTCGAGACGCCAACGCCGTTGCCTAGGGCGAGACCGGCACGGAATGGATGCTCGTTGGCGAGAATCTGACCGTGGAACCGCGCGACTTGGAGACGCAGTCTGCTGTTCTGAGGCTCGAGATCCAGCGCGGCGGGTCGGCAAGGCTGCAGCCTCAAGAGGCCTCAGGCGGAGCCCCACTAGACCACACGCGATGATTGGAGGGGCCAGCGCGTTTCAAAAGCCGCTGATCCAATCGTCCGACCTGGCCACAGACTCAGCTCTGCGTTGCACACGAGTTCTGCTTTGCTGGGAGGCACAGAACGCGGCCGTCGAGTCATTTGTCGCGCGGTCCGATGCTCTGCGTGGTCCTGCGTCGTCTGTAGCTTCTCCTGGTTCTCTCTGGCCCCCCGCCGTCGCAAACAGTCCGCGCACAGAACCGCCAAAACGGCTTTTTCGCCAGACCGAGCTTTTCACCGCCCGACTGCTCGCCAGCAACACGAGAAGGCAAGGAAGGAATGCTCCCGCGCGAATCCATCAACGCGTGACCGTCACTTCGGCTTGCCAGCACAGTTCACGCTCAGCCATCCGAAAGAGCTGGGAGACTCAGGAAAAAGGACGAGAGAACAAGTCATGGCGGAGAATCCCAACGGCGTCAGCGCGCCACCTCCACCGACCAACGGCTTCGACCAGCAGCGGTCCTCTGCCGTTCCAGACCTTGCCCTCATCCTGCAGGCGATCGAAGTTGTCTACAACCCCCGCTCCGCTCACGATGCACGGCACGCGGCCAACGAACTTCTCGAGACGACAAAGTCCTCGCCCGCCGCCCGCGAACTGGGCTATTCGCTCGCCGTCGATCACGCCAAGGACCCGACACTGCGCCATTATGGCCTCACCTTGCTAGACTACCACACGCGTTACGTGTGGGACGGCTACGATGAGGATGTCGAGGCTCAGCTGAGGGAGTGCATCGTGAAGCTCGCGCAGGGCGTGCGGAAGGAAGATCCGACGTACCTAAGGAACAAGGTTGCCCACGTGTGGACCATCTTTGCCAAGCGGTCGTGGGCTACGTATTGGATGGACATGGACGAGCAGCTGGTGGCCCTGTTTGGTGCGAGTGATGCACACAGGGAGGTGGTGCTGTATGTACTCCAGGCACTTGCCGAGGATGTTTTTTCAAGAGACGACACGCTGGCTGCAACAAGAGGCGAGGTGCTAGCTGCTGCATGCATCGAGATCTTCACACCGGAGGCGTTGATGGCGGACAAGAATGTGTCCAAGACTGGTCACTCCGTGGGCGTTCGGTGTGGCCCTGATGGCTGGCTTCAGCGATTGAGTACCTTTCTCGACTGGAGTCTGGGCAATGATCATTCTCTTGCTGTGAAGACGCTTGAGACGCTGGGCTCAGCCATGAGCTGGCTACCCTCGGCCACCATCGCCGCTACCTCCGGCATTGCACCTGTCTGCCGTGGCATTGTCGTTGGTGACTGTGCGATTCGTCTCGCCGCCGTGGAATCTCTGACTACGATCTGCAGCCGCGAAAGAATGCCGGACGATGACGCGCTGAAGATCGTGATGCCTCTTTTTTCATCTGAAAGCGTGAACTCCCTTTACAACACGTATCAGTGGGCACGCGTCTCCGCGGACGACATCGACGACGCGAAATACACGCTCCTGCAGAAGACGTCGAAGCTGCTTTCACGTCTAGGCGCATGGATTGAAAAGAATCCTGCGCTCTTACCAGAGTCGAGTGATCTGCCTCGCTTCTTTGAGCTGCTGTTTGAAGTTGCGCGAGATTTGAGCTTGAAAGTCTCGGAGCCGGTTCTAAGACTCTGGACCCACCTCTTGCGCATTCCGACTCTTCGAGATTCCGTTATCATCCAACAAAGCATAGGGCCATTGATGGAGATGTGTAGCCGGAGACTGGTTCGTTACGAAGCTTTGCCGGAGGACACGGACGATCCAATTGTGGTCTTCATCAACGAAGACTTTGACACGCTTCCGGAGAAACATATGTTCTTGGGTAACTACAGGCGGTACTGTCTGGACGTGGTGGAGGCCGCTGTGCGAAAGTTTCCGGTCGATGCCGTGAGCCATATTTTAGGACAGGCTCAGAGTCTGTACCGCGACATCCAAACCAGCATGCAGAACTTTCAACGTAAGGGCACAGGCCTCCTCTACACGATTTTATTATTTGATTCTCTCCCTAACATGATTCTTTAGCACAAAATTTCTCCAAAAAGTCGCCCGAGTTCCTTCGAGTCGATGCGCAGGTCATGCTCGTAGACGCTTCCGTCAAGGGCTATACCAAATGGCTTCTTACTCAGGAAGAAAATGACCCTCAGCAGAACGAGCAGGACCGCAACGCCATGATGAACACCTTTGTCTCGTATTTCGAGGCTACGCTCCCCCTGCATTTCAACGACCCCGCTGTGCAGCGTCGAATTTTATCTTCGCTTACGCACATGGCCATGCGAGTTTTTCAGAAATCGAGGCCGGATCTGGGTACGCAGTTACTGGACCGTTTCTTCAGCCTCAAAGTCATAGATGATCCTACATACATGGAGTATTCAGAGGCGGCGAAGTCGTTAAGTTTCCTGGGCGTAACGGAGAGCCAGAAACTTGCCTCTGTGTGGGCTGACACACTAATTCCTATGTATGATGAATTAGAGAGGAGGGTGCAGCAGAAAGTCGCCGAAGAGGGACTGGATGCCGCACACGCGCTGGGGTATCAAAACTTTCTGTTTACCATTGTTCTTCACTCGCAGACTCTAGATGCACCAACTAAGTTATCCAAACTTCGCGAAATGGCGTCGGTATCAACCGCCGCTTGGCAAGCGCCTGACTTTAATGCGGCGGTAAAGGATTTCGGTTCCTTCTTTGGATCCTTAGGTCTCAGCGGACTTCCGCAATACTTATATACGCACAACTTCCACAAGCTTGACAACTGGGCCGACCACATGCTCGATGCTGAAGGCCGCGCTTTACAATCAACAGTCAACGACCGAGTAGATCGCATTCCTCACCGTGCGACACGCATGCTGCTCATGGCCACTTTCGACAAGCTCCCTGACAGCGACGCGCAGCTCGTGCAGCTGGCGCAGAGCCTATGGGCTGAAGCCATCCCTTCAATTCTGCCCAATCTGATGCAGTCCCTCCGCCATGCGCATTTGTTCGGCGATCGGGAAGCTTGGCCTCAGCTTCCGGAGGAGATGAAGCATCTTGTGCAGAAGATTTTGACGGATCGCTTCTGGCAGGCGGGAATCAGCAACGAGAGCATGGACGACTTTTACAAGAGAGTGAACAGTTCAAAGCACTCGTACGAAGGGTTTGCTTCCAGCATCCGAGGCGCTATTCGGCAGATACGTGAAAAGTCGTATTCGATCTTGTGCTACCTAACCCGGTTGGAAGCTGGTTTCTATGGCCTACCTGAGCTACCGGAGGTGCTTGCGAGCAATGTATATGATACGGCTGGATCGCTGTCGGCTCACCAATGGTCGGTGCTCTTGAACATGTCAGACCAGGTCATCCGTGGCTGTCCCCTAGAGCTGCGCCAGCAGTTCCTGCCGATCGTGCTGACGGCACTGCTGAGAAATCTTGAAGCAAAGCTTACTTCTGAGTGGGAGATTGCGAACCGGAGTTCTAGTGAAGCGGCTGGGGACGATAATTTGGGCGATGAGATGAAGAGAGAGAGTATTTTGAGGATGTTGACGTATCACTCAGTTTTGCTTGTGAACGGACTGCTCGACATTGGTAAGTCTGAAACCTCTCAGCTGGTCTCTCTAGTCCACATGAGACAATCCCATCTGTCAACATCTATGTACTAACGAAAGCTTTCGCAGACCCCTCTGTCTCTCACTCAGACCCCGGCCAAGAAACACGCATGTATCGCACAATACTTGCCTCACCTCAACTCCTTGGTCAAATGCTCATGTTTCTCACATCTGCCCTCCGCATGCGGGATCAACGTTCCGTCAATGTAGTCGTCCTGACCCTTAACCGTCTCCTCCCTTTCTTCAAGAAGCCCTCCGAAGTACGCGATTACATATGCGACGCCGTCCTTAAGAACGCAATTCAATCCTTTAACGAGGGTTACTTCACTGAGTCTCAGACCAAACTTGCGGGTCTTATTGCTCAGATCATCTCCCTGGATGAAAATGCGACAAAGGCAGTCATCCTGAGCCTGCCTAACATGGATCCCGAGAAAGTGCAGAGGCGCTTCGAGAGGCTGAGGCAGACCAAGAGCCCAACTCAAGGTGCGGCAATCGTGCTCGAAATGCTTCAAGGATTAAGAGGAGTGAGTATCCACGAATTAGGAAAGATCACGGCGGCGCCAAGGAGGAAGGCCAGCCGAGATAAACTAAAGATGGAGATGGAAATGGGTGGCATCGTGAACGATGGAATCAGAAGGGGCGGTGAAGAAGAGCTGGATGGCATTGCTGGCATGTTTGGATGAGACAAAACACTGTATCAAAGTCAATTTGTAACCTGTGAGTGTCTTCATGTATTTTTTTTTTCTGGTCTGCATTGTCTGAAGAGCTAGACTTGTTCTGCTCTTGGTCAATATTCTCTGCAAACGCCGAAAGTCTGCTTCGTTGTCTCACTAGATGGGTACGCTTAATGCATCAACAGCATCTATGTAGCATCCTACTCAAAAAAGGCAAATACTGCGTCATCACAAACTGAAAAACAAATGTCTTGACGTGCACTTGTTGAAGTCCTCAGCATTCACAAACCTTCTTCTTCGTCCGACTCGAATGTCGCAGACTGATGACGAGTGGGTTTGCATTACACTGACTAGTTCGTTAACCATATACCAACCGCTGAAGATTATATCACGACGATAGCGTCGAGAAACGCTACTGTCGTCTTCCTTGGTTTACCGCTTCATCTTTGTACATCGAGCAGGGCTGCTGATGTATGATGAACAATCTCCATACGCGTGTGGCAGTACAAGCTTGTTGAGGCGTCTCATCTCGCTCAACCGTAGACAGGCTCAAGGATGAGTAGTCTTGGCCCTGCAATTTGTAGATTCGTCATCCGGGGTATATCCACTGAACGTTGCGCGTCAAGATTCTCTGCCAGCTCTACAGAATTGCACGGATTCTCCCTTCCAAATGCCCCAAAAGCACCAGCTGCCAGGCTCGCCAGCAAGTTTGCAGCACATCGTAATCTTCCGAAATCCATCCCCGTCCGCACGAGACGTGTCGTTAGACATTTACAAGAAAGATTCTCGTGTACCTTCTATCTCGGAGGGGATTGCACATTTTTGGCTTGCACTGTGCAAAGATTTTTTTTGCGTGCGCGGGGCGGTCGTAATATGAGGCACATGGCACCAATTGTTGTCCCTGGACAAAAACGGACTAATCATGCTTGTATAAACAGGTTCGATCAAGACAAGAAGCACAGAGATGACGTTTTCCGCGTACCTGTCATCGCTCGCTTTTCTGACGCCCTATGCGGGGATGGAATCTGATGCCGCGCCTCAGCCTTTCGCGCGTTCGACGTACTGTAGGTCATTGGCTCAACCCCACGTCATGCATCTTGACTTTCTCCTTACGGATACCGGCCCTCGTATTCCGCCGACTTTGACGTCCCGCCCCCAACCTCTAACATTGAATACTTTGTCCGACTGCTAGCCTGAGTCTGACCTGTATTGACGCTTGGTGAATCATGTTCTGGTAGAAGGTGCTCGAAAGGCCGTTTTTGGATCGCAGGCGCCAGAAGAAGAAAAAAAAAAAAGAAAACATATATCTTGCGGTGCATTTCACGACAGGTCGAGTAATTCGACGTTGAGAAGCAGTGCATAGCTTTCTTGTGTGTTTTGTGAGATTTCACTGGAATCGCGTGTTTTTGTTCCATCTTGAACAGCAGCCTGACCGAGCCATCATGGACGTAACTGAAAACGAACGGGCGAATTATGAAACCTTTCGCGACTGTTTGTCGGACGCTTTGATCCAGAACATGGCCGTCACTGGGTCGAAGCGCAGAAAGAGGGCAAAGATCAACAAAGCCGCGCTTCGAAATTCAAAGACGAAAGATGATGGCTCTGGCACCAAGCCAGCGGACCCATTCTCTTCTGCGGCTGCTGGTGACGCGGAGGACCTGGGCGAATTCACTGAAGTTGTCTCCACTAACCGCGATGTCATGTCAAATGCTGATGTCCCGCTCAGTATCTTGCCTCGGAGATCTTCCCAGCTCTTCCAGAGGACCTTCGTCTGCTGTCCTATTCTGCAATGCAGAACAACGCCGATCTAGGTTATAAATACGCTGTTCCGCTTTTGTCAAAGGATGCCGAAGAGCTCTTGAGCAGAATACCGCCATCTGTGCCAGACTCGATAACCACTTATGTCTCTCGGGAAGCTCTGGATATCTTGATCTCTCCCTTAGAGGCATATATAACGTCCGTCAGCGCGCCACCCCCAGTCTGGGTAACAACTCGGGCTGAAGCCTGCGAACTGTGCGAGAGATCTCATATACCGTTGACATATCACCATCTGATACCGCGAGCTGTCCACGCCAAGGCTATCAAGCGACACTGGCACGAGGAGTGGGAATTGAATAAGGTTGCTTGGCTTTGCCGAGCATGCCACTCGTTCGTACATCGGGTGTGTTCAAACGAGGAACTTGCCAGGAGTTACGATACGGTTGAAAAGCTTTTGAGTAGAGAGGATGTTCAAAGCTTTGTGCATTGGGTCGGGCGTGTTAGATGGAAGGCTAGGTAGAAGGGTGCGGTGCAAATCGCGTAATAACAACACTTCAGATGCAAGAATTGAAGTCACCGAAACTACTGAAACGGTGTCTCGACTAGTACATTTTACAGAAATTCAAGTAGAATGTATAATTAGCTAAGGAAACTAGCTACCTGTCAATTTGGATTCTCATCGAAGAATTTTAGTTAGTTGACGTGTCCCTCAGATGAGTGACGTTAAAGTCAGCCCAATTTTGCAAGGAAAAAACCAGTTTTGCATGTCAGAAAAGTTGGCAGATTTTGAGAGACTAGGCAGTCATTAAAAAAGCCCTATTCTGTCTAGCAAGGGTTCCAGTTATTCTCTCGAACCAAGTGTGGAAAAAAAGTCAGCAGTGCAGTTTTAGTTGGGTATTATATCCGTGATGTCATGAATAGGTGGGAATCTTGTTAATCGTAAGGTCAATAAAGCATTCTGTGAGAGAACTACATTCGTGTGCTTAGATGTACCACATCGTACTGGCAATCCCCTGTGCATTGTTCAAAGGAATCAATGGAGGAATCTCAAAGGCAGTCTGGTCTGATGAGCTTGAAGATTTGACATCCTTTTTTGCCTTCTCGTAGGCCTCCTTCTTCCCGGAAGATATGGTAGCCTCATTTTTGTGAGCCGTAGCTCTGTTAGACGCGAGATGCGCATAGTACACTGCAGGAACCATTGAGACTGGGGTCGTCGAGCGAACGTACTGCAGGCAGTGTTCAAAGGTGAGCTGCTCGATGAACGGTATTTCATAATTGTTCTCATTCGCAATGACATTGTAGTGCACTGGTCGAGCTGTCCCCTTGATGGCGGCGTGCGAGGCAAGATAAAAGTCGATTTCAAATGGATGAGTGACTCCACTCTCGACCAAAGTGCCAGGTATTGGGTTTCCGTTGCGATCACCACTCTTACCAGGAAAGAAACGAACGTGATGACGTTTCCCACAGACGATAACTGTGAACTTGGGCTCAATTTTTGGATTGATCGAGAGAAACATGGCTTTCATGTCGGCAACTTCCTGGTTAAGCACGAATTGGAACTGGCCTTCGCTAACGCCGTCGCGAAAATATATGACCTTGAATGCAAGTTAGAGGAAACTGCGCAAATTATAGCAGGACCTACCTGATGGGGGGTGTGACCGCCATATGACTTGGCCCAAGCCTGAACCATCGCCTTGAGCTTAGACTCAATAATGTGCGTCGAAATTATCTCAACGCGACTGCCATTGGTTTCACATTCAGCGGCAAAGCGAACGAAGTGCTTGTCAAGAGATATCGTGAAGGCAGCCTTGGAACCAGAAGAGTCATCGCCAGGAGAAGCGTGAGAGACATCAGCTCCGATTATCATAGTGGGCACCTTTGCCCATTTAGGGTTCATGCGGGTGAGCATTCCGGAGGCAATGCAAGTACCACCACCTAGCTTAGCGTTGACCTTCATGCAAACGTTGGAAATGTATTGATCTTGACATCTCTCGACATGAGCGGACTGAAGGACTTGGGAGACCACGCCGTAACGACACTCGCAAGACTTCTTGATGCGACGGTACAAGTCAGTATCCTTGGTCGGCACGACAAAGAAAAGGATATTTGGTTTCGCTTGAAAGTTATTGCCCGTTCCGTTCCAAGCATCAGAAATCATTTCGCCCCCACGCACAGCTTTGACAACCACTAGATGGGGTGGACCACCTACGTTCATGCCGTGAGCGAGAGCAATTTGTTTGAAGCGATCAGCAAAAGCTTTTGCCTGCTGCTGGCTGATGCATGGGCCCCGTCCAACGTCTACGACGCAGAAGCCCCAATTCTTCAAAGGGCGGGAATTTGGCAGGTAGAATTTTTTCCCATCGATGCGCCAACGACCTTGAGCAGCTGACCTAGCGTCAACTTTGCTGCCGCTGAACGTCGGCTCTGGCGTTGTCAAGATGCGACCCCTGACCTGAGTTGGTGTGGCTGAAATCCTCATGCCATACGCGCGAAGGTACGGATCGTTGCCCCAATCTAGCATCCGAAGACCATGCTCAACGGCTGCCCAGCGATCATTCGGGGCTGTGACTGCGAATTTGATCATATTGGACGTTTGTCTCTCGTCCAACTTGGTGCGATAGCGCTGATTCGGTACCAATGTCAACCCCTCGATTGGAACCATCTCACCCTTGCGACTGAGCTCAACAACGGGCAGACCACGTTTGCAACTCAAGTTGTATTTTTGCTTGAAATATTCAGCAATGGAGACTGTCCTAGATGCGATAACGTTGCCCTGGTTGTCGCGTTCTTCCTTTTTGAATTGGGCCTCATACGGATCTTTAGGGAGGAACTTGTAGACTTTAACCTCTTTTCTTCCTTGGACATCGTATTTCTTAAGAACACTAACGTGTGTGAAGGACTTGAGGAATTTGTACATATTTGACTTGTGCCAATTACCGCGTGATTTTTCAAACATGCTCCTGAAGTCGTCAACGTTGCGGGCACGGCAAACTTGGGTGGCACAGTCGATTAGGTCCATTTGCATAAAGAAGGTACCGTTAGCCACATCGACATTGACGGATAGTCCAGGTTTTCGCTGCGCGTTCAAAGTCATACGCACTGAGGCGAAGACACCCTTATAAGCTTCAACACCGCATCCGAGAGCAAAGCGCTCACCGCCGCGAGCAAAGAAGTTCTGCTTGATCTGAGTAAACTTTTGCGACGGAGCCTCGCGAAGAAGATGATCAAGGAAGGACAAAGTTTCCAAGATCGAGATATCAAAGGAGGCTCTGCCATCAAGAAATGATTGAAGTGTCGTAAAAGAGACCTGTTTTGTGGGAGCTACACGGACATGAAAAATGTTTTTAGGATTGGGCTTGCTGCCCTCTTCAGCACCTAGATCTACTGAGAGAGTAAGAGTTTTGACCCGAATAGTGGCCCTGTTGAACGATCAATAATAAGAAAAAGTGAGACATGATAAAGAGCGCAACTTACCAAGCAAGTTTGTTGCCGTCATACAACCAAGAACCTTGACCTAGAGCATTTCTAAGGGTATTGCTCTTCCAGACTTTCATCTGCACAGCTCGAGATGGTACGCCCTTGTCACTGACTATTGTGACATCGTACTGTTGGGCTGGTTTAATTGGCAGAGATGTCACATCAAAGGTGTTTAGACCAATATTAACTTCGCGACCGAGTGAGTTAAACTTCCCGCCTCGTTGAGGCAAAGGGTTTGTATTCTTTGTCTTTTCATTCATCAGTAAGGTTTGAAATTCAGAGATATTGCTGGTAATAGATGGCTAGATATTTGCTTGGAATAGAAGAGATTGATTTAGGTTGTGAGACTTACACCGTGAACACCTTGCCAAAGGCTCAGACCGAGGCCCTCCAAATTGCGCATATTGCCGACAAGCGCCGGAGGTACGCGATCAGAGTCTTTTGGACCATCGTACTGAGCAATAATCATGGATTTGGGAGCTGTGGTTGTGGTTTTGATGGAATCTTGGCTAGAAGACGCCGAACTCGAATGAGAGGAGGATGGCGGTCCAGTAGGACGTCGTATCTCAGGACGAGAGCTAAGCTTTTGTGGGCCTGCCATTTTAAATGCGGCGTTAGGACAAAAGATGAGATTTTGATGAAGGACAAGTGATTTTGAGGGTAGAGTGTTGTTGATACTTGATGTTGATAGTTTGGTGATCAGGGTCGAAGCTTGTCATATTGGAATATTTTAAGATTAGACCGAGTAAAAACGCATGTAGCCGGTTGCTTCATGACAAAGAGACTATCGAGGTTGGAAGGTGTGGCTAGGATGGGCTAGTGGGAGAGGAAACTAGACGTTGACTTGGATAACTGTTGGCGGTCCTTGCAAACGGTTATTTGGCAAACAGAGCGTGATGACGGTTGAGCCTGAATTTTGGAAAGATTTAAGATGGTTGATTGTATTCAAGCTATCCCACATCAGTGCTTCGGGTCAGCAAAGATCTATGATATGTTCGAAAGCCAGCGCTTCGATGGCAACGTGATTTGCACGGTCAATTACGCCGCAAGTAGAGTGCCACCACTCATTCTGAAGATTCTATGTATCTTAAATCTAGAATCGGAGTTGAAAACTTTTTGAAGCTGCTGGCTAATTTGATGAAGCCTTTAGAAGCGCTATCTCCAGAAGTTACCTCATCTGCTCACAGATGAAATTAGTTCCTTTTGCCGTCCTGGACGAATATATCTGAAATTAAAAGGGCAGATATTGATTTTCCTAGATGAATCAGTGTTTATTTCAATCATTCTTTGTTGTGTGTTTTCTTCGCGGAACGGTGCATTGCAATATAGCACCTTTATTGACATAGCTTTGCCATCAGCAGCCGAGAGAGATTGCCATAGAAGTAAAGAAAGCTCTTCAAGGTTTCCTCTGGAAGAGTCTAGAGTAAATTTTCCGGCATATGTAATTTACTGCTATGAGATATTTGAATCTGTTCGACGATTGTACGACCACAAGTGCACGGTAGACTGGGAAGCATAGCTCTTGAGCTCTAAATACAACTCACCAAAAATTGCATCTAGCCATTTCATGCGAATAAGATATTCTTCAGAACTGCACCCAAATAAAATGAAAGTCAAGATAACGAGAGGTAATTTGAAGTCTCTAACATATATCGTATTCAAAATCGTAGAGACGTCGTTGCACAAGTCATGTGGGGAAGCTGGAGAAATGCAGGTACTAGAACTAGTTCAAGACCAGCCGAAGAAATGACGGTCGAAGCCTTCTGCTGACGTTCGATAACCACGACCATTGTAACCACAATACGTAAAACAGTATCCGCTTGCGAGATTGCGCACTTCTTCCGCTGAGCCAAGTGTTGAGTCTACCCTCTTTGAGAATCACCCTTGCTCGCGCCTGATAGTTCTAGGGGTCCGCGGTCGGTGCTGTAGCCACGAGGCGCCTTCTTGATCTGCGAATCAGCCCTCTCTTGTCGCTAGAATGGCAATGAACACGCCAGACTTGATGAAAATAAGCTCATGCTAATGCAACAGACGACAAGAGGCATCCTCAAGTCGTCCTGGCCTAGCCACAGTGGCCAAATGCAACGTAAGCCAGCAAGATTGGGTTTGAAAAGTCCAGCTTAGCTTTCCAAGTCTTCGAGACCGAAAGCGAACAATAAAATAGGTATCGACGCTCATGAGAACGCGAAAGGAAACAGAATAACAAGAAGCACTTGGAAGGCCTGAAATACTGCGCAGTTTTCCTTGAAAACGGAGGCTGCCGAAACATTCTCTTCGAGTAGGTACCAATCCGGACACAGCAGCCTCGAGTCCAAGCTTCGGATTTCCTAATAGGCTTCGTTTCGCTCTGGCACACGGCTGATTACACCTATAGCTCTTCAAAGAACCTTTGACGATCATATCATACTCCTGGAGGACTCTAAGCCTGCCGGATAGTCGTTGATCTCATAGGTACTAGCAAATTGTCGCACTGTAATACCCCCCAGGAAAACCTTGTATGGCAAAATAACAATTTGACCCAGCCAAGGACCGGAAAAGCTATTGTAGGATGTTGCTGGCCAAATTTCGCGTTAAAAGGGTGCCTCTTCTTGCATGATCCTCTCCTACAATGGCATATCTCCGGGTAAAAGAGAGAATGATTTCTGGGAGACAATGGTGGGCAGTTTGAAGCTTTCAAAGCAGCAAGTTTGTTAGGATCAATGCATGCAGCAAAGAGTATTCAGGAGCGGGAAATGAATCTCCCTGTCAGTTGGAGGTATTGTTGATTAGGTCGACAGTCTTATGTTCTGAAGGCTCCCAGCGGCAATATGGGGATATTTTTCTCCAATTTCTGCTCTGCATCTACTTTTCCTCGGGGTGGTTTCGAACCTTTGCGTTTATTTTGTCTATTCGAAAGAGCTTGGAACCTGGTTCAAGTGGAGAATTCTTGTTTCTCGTGATTCTATGCAATAGGCCGTTGCTCTTTTCTCAGGAAATAGTCGCGATCGAGGATCGGATATATCTCCATGCTATGATTATTCCATCAAACTGAGGTACCTGCCAGACTTGTGTCGCTTTGTGGATCGGCCTATTGCAAAACCTTATAGGACTGAACAACGAGGATTGGACTGGAATGGAAGTTGACACTTTCGTCACAGCGCTGTTGATCTCCCTTCGCCTCCTCATTGATTTAAACTGGATCAACATGGTTGTTTCCGGCCTTGGTACCGACCCGGATGCTTTGCCAGGAAGATGGTTTTTTTGTTCTTTTTTCCCCTTAAACTCGCCTAGATGCTTGCAAATTCGGCACCAATCCTGCTTTGGTCGCAAGGAAAGATTACTTCTATGTCTTCATTTACAGAGGATCAGAAATCGGCTAATGCTTTTGATCCCATTCCATGACGAGAAGCATTGATATGGCAGTTGGCTTGCAGACTGTCTCAAAGACGACAGATCCTATGTGTTTGGTAGTTCCCCGTGCTCTTTTGACATTCTCTGAGTCTTTTGTTATTAAAACCAGCGAAGGAGAGATACCAAAGGCCTCTAAATGGGAACTCGAGGGTGAGAGAGCGCAACTACTGGAACCCAATCAGCTCTACTGCACAACGTCTCATAGCACTTGTATCTGCTGCCCGGTACCGAATAGCATGTGATGCTATGGTGTCTCTATTGGCGCATCAACATGCATCTTGCCATGGTAGACATTAACAGCGCCATGACATCATGTTTTGAATGACCAGCCTACTCCGACGTTAGCAACAACAGAACTGTGCCGTGCTTGAATCCTCTATTTGGGCTCCATCCTCAGTCACAGTGTTCGTGTTCTTCCATCTGGCAACCGCTTTTGTCGCCGGCGTTGGTACTGTCGCTTTCAATGCAGTCGACTTGGTGTAGGTGGCCATGGCGACATGGCCAGTCATCAGGACCGCAAGATAAACAAGGGTTAATACGAAGATATTTGCACCCTTGGCATGGAGTGCTTTGCCGAAACCCTATGATATTTATGGCCCGGATATATTTGCTGGAGCTGATGTCTCGACTTGGGTCGCTGTTGACTGTGCGTCTGTCAACACTAAAAAGCCCTCTTTATAAAAGTTTAGGCGGAGAACTCAAGGTCTTCGTGCTTCTACGCTTGTAGAAGTCCCAAAGACTCACGTAAATTCCGTGAATCGACGTGAAGGCTTATTGGTTTTCCGAGTTCCCAGAGTCACTGAGATAAGAAGCTTGAACCGACGTTTTCAACGTTGATGCTCTTGACGCGCGAAAGCACTAATGAGAGGCATTTAGAAAAAGGCACCTTGGATGTCTCTGCTCTTGGCCGCGTTTATCGCGTTCTCGTTGATGCTGTTGGGATGATTTGTTATTGAGTAGGGCCGGAAAGCTGGACATAAAACTGTGAACAGCGACCTACGAACACCATGTCTCGAAAGGAACTAAAAATATATGTTTATGTTCATTTGGGCATACAAAACAGCCCAGATCACTTCATGACTTTTCTGACAACATTGCAAGTGCAGGGATTGCAGATGTAGAAGACGGAGAGATGGTTGCGGCCGCATATTCAGCCACCACAAGGTTTACACCATGAGCGATCTGAGTGCTACAACAGAAGAAAACGAAGCCACTAACACAGCTCAACTCGAAGGTTGTTAGTATGTTACGATACAACGGCCTGGCATGTGCCCACACGCATGTAGCTGTCCCAACAACAGTCCATGCTTCACAAACCACAATCTATCCACTGACAGCACTCACGCGACATTCGCATCCCTCAAAATGCCTTCTTTTTCCGGACGCATGCAGTCAGGTTTTCTACAAGTCTTTGCCGCATAACATGGCGCACGCGGCCTTCACCTCTTAGGTGGAGAGTAACACATTGCTCCGGTCCAAAGTTTATAGGGTGGTAGCGAAAGTTCTTCTTCTTCAATGACCTACAAAATGGCAAGTACATCAATGAAAAAGAACAAAAAAGATGTATGCCCAATGCTTTGCGAACTTGCAATAAGCAAGCCAATGGAGCACAGAAGCACTTTGATATGAGTGAAGGGCGCCGAAAGCAACAATGCTACAGCGGCAACATCAACATCATCACAGTCCTAAGACCAACGTAGACCCTAATACTTCACGTTAGTTCAAGGGGGAACGGGGGACTCACTTTTAAAACGCCCCGCAGGGCATCCCTTGCGGGATGAGACAGTCAACACCTCCGCGGGCCCGTAGCCCACCTCGAGAGGTCATCGGCCACGAGCCCGTTAGTTTGAAAGGACAAGGAAAGAATCAGAAGGAGAGAAGGACTTATAGAACCTCTGGGTGGCCCATGCGTTTGCACTATACCCATATCGACCGTCCTCATGATGTGAGTCCCGTGACTGATACGTCTCACGGATCAGATGTACTACTTCTGGCGTTATTCACAATTTGTAGCGCCTGGAGGCGGGATTTGCCGTCGTGTATCCGATGAGACGCTATCGTAGCACACTCGCCGGCCTGAAGATGTCAACGGGAACTGTAGGGACAACCTTCACAGGCATCATGGAACACTGATGCGAACTACCACTCAAAAACATCTTTCGTGGTACACTCATAATTGCTGCGAACGAAAAGCTGGGACTTGAAGTACGGAAAACTGGAAAGACGCCAAATTAGAAATTCTGGGCGAACCATACGAGTTATTTGGAGATACAAAGGCGAGGACTGACGGCATTTCCTTGAAGATCATGTTCCCATGACGATTGACTACAAGGTATATGACGATACTGTTGTATCTGATACTGATGTCAATACCCACGATATCTGCGGCCTGGCACGTGAAGTAGATTCGCGCACTGTATTGCACTTAGGATAGCAAGTGGTCTGCTCTCACTTAGCTCGATCAATTCATACCGTGACTTGGCTCAACATTCTAATTAAACTGAAACTACTTCCAAGAAGCTTTCAACACCAAGAATTTCATGAACTGGTCATGAGCCAAAGCTTTAGAAAACAGAAGTACGAAGCTCTTCAACAGTACACATGAAGTATGATCCCGAGCAGTGTTGGTGGAGAGCCAGGATTTCCGACGACTCTTCAACTTTTGTCTCACAGACAGAAATTCAACTGCTTGTGGCATCATGTCACAATGAGTCTCATCGATGAACCAGTCTTCCATGCCCCACCCGCAGGCAAGTATATGGATGAACGGTGTCGAGGGAGGTGGCGACCATCGAATGAGACAGTCGACACCTCTGGAATGTCTGTGTGCGAGGGACACCAGTCTCGCTCGACATGAGTTGTTGAAGAAGAAGAAGAAGAGAGACCTTTAGGGTCCAAGCAGAAGCCGTATTTATACTTGGCGTCGGCTGCCAACGGCATACGCACGGATCACAGTTCGATGCGCTGTATACAAAGAAAGAATCGCTGCCAAGATAAGAACTTTCAAGAATATGTCACTTGAACCTGCCACTTTTACAAGTTCAGGAGCCGATGACTTGTGTTACAAAAGAATAATATTCCTGAAACGGGCATTCCTGCAAAGAAAGCTGTCATGACCGAGTATCTAAGTGATTAACTGAGTGTTCAGGGACGAATTCTGTTCAATCACATGAATCTACGCCATGTGATGCATCCAAGGCCCTATCTAACACCTATTGATTCAAGATATGTCGTTTGTAACCACGCCGATCACTGGATAAGGGACCGGACAATAGAGGAAGCTTTTTTGAAGTTAAAAGCTTGACTTTAAGGGAGAGTAAATCTATTTCAGAAGAAGAATTTACCTATCGTGGTTAAACTCAGATCTATCAGTTTCCACAGCAATTTACAACCATACTACTCCAAGTGATCATAACCCGTGTCTATATTTCACTATTGTTTATCCACGTAGTCATATCTTCACTGAATCAAGCAAACCATATTCTCGGATCTCTCCTTTCCTCTACCGAATGGACAGCCAGCACGCAGAAAACAAGACGTACATGGAGTCATTTACGTGAGAACAACAAGTACGATAAGCGATTCATGCCCTGAATATTGTTTCATTCAGACTTAACATACTCTCGCAAAGGCAAGGCACGACCAGCATACTGTGGTAGGGAACTCAACGACAGATTTCTGTACGTTGTGCAGATCTAATCGACAGTTGAATCCTCAAGTACGGTACTAACAACTTCTATATGATAGATCATCGCAATCGAAGTCATATAGTCCAATTGCTTGCTACTGTCTTCTGGTGCATGTCTTCGAGTACTCAGCCTGTAGAAGGAAGCACCTTTTCGGATTAGAATGAAAGCAATACCTTGACATCTTCTGTCAGAGGCTTTGGCATATGTTTCATTTGAAAAGCTTAGACAGCCAGATGGTACTTCATCTTGACATGGAAGAAGTACATACGACGCCCTCCTTCGGCACAAATGGTACGTCTTTGATCAACGAGTTATTATGTCGAGCACACTTTGCATGTTGCTGTCGAGGTCGATAATACTATTATATCATCATTTCGTCGAGCAACGAATCTGAAGCCTGCTGTGCATACAATGCTGCGTTCTGGGGTTCTTGGATAGGAACAGTAAACAGAGCGTCGTTAATGTAAGAAAGATTTTAGTCCTGGACGATTTCTCTTCAAATCGTTGCGATAAAGAAATTCATTATATGGATCGCAAAATTCCTCTCAATGTTAATCACATGCATCAATCATCTTATCGTACGATTCCATTTCCTACTGTCACCGACCCCTGCACCTTGAAGAGAACACTTTGGCGATGACTTTACATTCTAGCAGTGTTTATCACGCAAATCCCTACGCAATCGGACATGATTTGCTCTTCGAAGAGTCTTTAGAAACATTGCCTGGAAGTTAAACTTAGTTTGCGACTTCATAATCGACCCTAGGAAAAGCTTAGCGGACGGTGATGTCTTCAAACACTCTCTTGAATAATCTCATTAATTCTCGTTGTTCACAAGACGGAGCTCTTCTGCGGGCAAAGCTATTACATCTCAGCACTTTTTCCTCTCCGCCAACGAACATACCAATTCGATGCACATCTGCCGATGGAATTGAATCTTGATCTTTTGCGCCAAATCGGCGACGTTGGAGTTCTTCAAGATTCAAGTTCAGTTCAGTTCACGTGACAGTCTTATCGGTTCCGGATGTACATCGACTCCAGGGTCTTTATACCGTTAGTGTCGGAAATCAAGCCGAACCTAAAATATGCGCCGTCTCCTTCCCAGCGTCGCTTCGCTCATCAATCATGGTCCTGGAAATCAGACAACTGCCCTATCAAGGCTTCCATGGATTGTGATGAGCCGAAACGAAATGGGCAATCGACAACGACGCGTGCCCGCGCTGTTGACAATGAATCACCCCCCATCGGCCAGCCCCCAACGAAGCGTCAGCGCGTTTTAGCCTGTAGGCGTTGCAGATCACGCAAGCAAAAATGTGAGGACACAAGGCCGTGTATGAACTGTCAAAAGTCAAATGCAGAATGCCTGCCCACAGATCCTGCTCCTCGTCTACATGTCGAAAGCGAATATGTCCGGGCCTTGGAGGAACGGATAGCAGAATTGGAATCACTTGATCCACAACAATCTCAAGACCACATACCTGGAACAGAGAATCCAAATTCACGCAGGAGGAGCTCCTGTCGTATTCATTCACAGTCTAACGAGCACGATATTCAACGGAACTTATCGTCAGGCGTGGCTGCGCAACAAAACGATGAGCCAACGAATCCGCTTACAACCTCCAACCCATCCGCGCCGGTGGAGCCGTATGCGTCGCCAAAACCATTCGCGACAACTGGACTTCAAAATTTCCCTGATGAGACTCAGCTTGAGAGTGATGACGATACTGACATCGATCACTTTATCTTTGGTTTAGCAGCCTCACCGGTTGCGTCGCGTGAATTACGCCTCCCAACAACATCTGCTAGCCCGGCCAGCAGCATGCTACACAACTCGTCGGAAAAGACATTGTTCATGCCCCACGCGCTAATCGCGAGCATCCCGCGCGATGTCGAAGACTTGCTGTTGAATGTGTACCGCGAGCGTGCCCAGATTCAATATCCCTTCTTACATTGGGACACGTTCATGACTTGGTTTGCATCTTGGAAGGCTTGTACGCCTGCACAGTATGCATCGCGGTCATGGCAGGGTTTCTTTGTTAATCTCGTGTATGCAACGGCTTTACTTTTACGACCATTCCCCAGGATTGGCAAATCGGATGCTCAGACCTTCTATACGAATGGACTATCTTTACTCTCGTTTGTGTTTAGGAAGCCAGATCCGATCTTGCACGTTCAAGCCCAGCTTTTGATAAGCATGTATGCACTTCACAGAAGCTCTACGCAGCGCATTTTGTGTCTTGCGTCGACAACCATTCGATACTGTGTTCAGCATCAATTTCATCTTGTTGAGATTGAAAAGGAACCAATTACTCCGGCTATTCGCCTTGAAAATCAGGTGCGCCGCCGCTGTTTCTGGTGTGCCTACAAATTGGACAGACTCATTGTAGCATCCTTTGATTTGCCTCCTTCATTGACAGATGCTATGATTACTGCAAAGATTTACGCAAATATTGAAGATCACGATCTATTGGACGTTGCCAATCGGACGCCGGCCGACAAAGAGTTGCCAGATTCTCGGCAATACACTTCCTTGTCACCATCTCTACACATTCTGCAATGTCGCCGCATTCAATCTGAGATTGCTGGCTACACCTTACGGTGGGATTATGCATCTCAATATGAGAAGGCTCATGACTGGAGGGTTCGTATTCTTGCGGAGCTGGAAAATTATAAGTTACGTGCTCAGCGATTTTCCGAGCCGCAATCTAAAGGCTACACTTCGCAAAGATGGCTTGCCATGATATACCATTACACCTTGCTTACGCTTTTCCGACCGAAGAAGGATAATGTCGCAGGTGCTGCTGGTGACTGGTCCGTACAAGCGAGTAGCCAAGCGTGCCTAATCTTCCGTAAAACGCAAATGGATCGGCAGATTGCTTCGCCTTGGATTGGGGTAAGTTAAATCATAATGTTGACAGCCATATCTAGATCTAACCGCCTAAAGCTTCTTGTACAGTTTCAGAGTGGTGTGACGCTCTTATATTGTTTTTGGGCCACCCCGCCTGAACAACGAACTGAGAACTACGACGCGCCAGATGTTTCCGATGCACTAAGAGCATGTTCAAATATTCTAGCCATTATGGCTGACCGGTGGCCCAAAGCAGAATGCCTAAGAGATGTATTTGAGCTGCTTGCAAGGGAGGTACCCTTAGTTGATCGTCCAAACAGACCCCCTGTGCGCTTCTCAGAACGTTCAGTAGCTGCAATTCGTGAGAAGCTGCCAGAAGTCCGAGCCTTGGTCGTCCATAGATCGATTTTACGAATGATTGAAGAAATGATCTCCGAAGACTTTCCCCGGCCACAAAAGTCTCGGTCAGCGTCAGCTAGCACGCCTTCCAAAGTGCGAACACCTGTTTCAGTGGTCCCACGAAATGACCCCTTACAGCCAACACCGACACGAGTTTACGAAGAATTCTCTCCGACCAAGGCGTTTGAAATGCCATTTGCAACGCAACATTTGTATGAATTTACTGGCACAGGGACCGAGAACGATAGCATTGGCACTGATGCGTTGCTTTCATTCCCTGGAATGTTTGACCTGGAAGAGTGGAGTGGATAGTAAAAATTGAACAACGCAACAGGCGAGCTTTCAAAACTCTGATCGTCTAGATTGTCCTTTCTATATGAAGATCTTCTTCAAAGACCTGGGACTGTATCGGCATCCGGCGCTATTTGATAATAACTGTTTATTCTCGAAACTAATCAATGTCGCGAGAAATTTCCGAGGCTGCCTTTTTCTGTGATGACTTGCCCAGCAACGGTCTCAAACAATGCATCTGCAAAGTATCCACCGCAATAGCTCAGCTTCTCAAAGCCATCCGTCATCGGCTTTGTGCTCAGAGCAGGGGTTTGAACCGTTCGTATATATCCAGCAATCCCTTCTTCCGCCCACAACTTTGCAAATTGGTCGGTCAAAAGGTTCAGTCCTTGAAGACTCCAAATTGGTTGAACTTGCCACACTATACCTAGTTTAGCCAGATCTAGATGTAAAGTCTTTACTTGATCTTCGGAGAACCCAGCTTTCGCGAAGTCGTAGTCTCCGGTATATCCAAAAGCGAACAAGCGCTCGGGGTAGACCTTCCGAACTGCGGTGTGGAATTCAACAATGTCTTTCCACACTGGCGAGTCCATGCGTGCCCAAGTTACATCACCTAGCGGAGCGGCTGCCAAAGCTCGTTCAATTACAGCCTTCACGCACGACTTGAACATATACTGGCCCATAGCAGAGCGAGGAAGCTCCCAGTCAAAGAAGACGTCCTTTTTGACGGTCTTCGATGCAATTTCCCTTCTGGTCGCAAGAGAAGGGAATTTTATTTTGGATATTTCTGCTGTGTAGGCGTCGAACTCACCTGCTTCTGCGACGGCTTCGACTGCTTCATCAAAAGTAGCAAGGCCTGCAGAAGCCTTCCAGGCGTTCCTTTCTGCGGTCAAATCCTTTCCTGCCTCCAGAGCTCTTTGAAGCACACTTTTGAGGGGCTCTACTGGTTTTGTTGCACCAAGAACGTATTCATGATCCCTTTCATCAATCACAGACGTGATGAATTCAGAATGGTCTGTGTCGCATCGACACAGTAGCAGGGTTTCTGCTCCCATGATATCGAATTGTGCCCGCACAGCTGTTAAACGATCCAGATACTCGCTTGTAGGTACGACTGTCCGGCCTTGGCCGATAGTGAATTTCTTCATACCAATAGCAAGGTCATCAATGTGGATCATAGCGACACCTGCATCGACGAACTCTCGCGCCATCTTCATCGTGCTGGTGAGCGAACCAAAGCCCATGTCACCATCTGCAACGATCGGGGCAAGATAGTCTATGTTTTCAAGCGCCGCTCGCTCTTCTTTAACGTGTCTCATGCGAAATTGTCTCTGCCGTTGGTCGTGCCAGAGTTGTGATTTGAAAATCTTGGACACAACTTTGGGTACCGTATCCCAAGGGTAGTCTGGAAGTATTTCAGCGTGTATCCAAGCCAAAATTCAACTTTGTTGCAGACCTGCATGATCCATCCCTGGCATTGCCACTTCAGAAAAGCCGCATAAAGCTCCAGACACATAAACGGTCTGTGAGTGCTTCGCAAGCTGCGAAGCAGCCACGGGATCAGTTGTACCAAACGTCAGTTCTGTGGTTCCATTTCTATTATGTTCATGCAGTTGGTTCCAGAGCTTTACGGCTTGAATGGATGATGCTTCTGCCGGCGCAGGGATTGATGTTCTTAATGCAGCGATTGTGCGAGCAGTGTACGGTCTAGACTGATGTTAATTCTCTTTCTTGTGAATGTCTCTCTCAACCCAGCACAAGATAAGTAAAATCCAATGTACAGCTCACCTTTTTAAATGCTTTTGTCGCTCCGAGCTCCATTGAGCCTCTATGCGCTGCACCTCCGCTTCAAATGCTGCCTGCTCAGCATCGAGTGAAATACTAAGATTGGGCATGTTGGGATGAAGAAGGAAGTAGACGCGAATGGTAACAAATTCTTTACCACACGAAGCTGGACAGCTCTATTTATTCACTCTTCGTTCTAGTTATCGCGGTGCTACCCTAGCTCGCCATTGTTCGCGTAATACGGACAACTCTAAGCGTAATCCGTCGGTCGGTTGGCGGACGGGATTTTGGTTGCGCTCCATCGCGGAGTCACGTTACTTTGCCTGGTATCGGACTTCAAAGTGCGATCCGGGATTTCTTGAAAAGACCATTGGCAAGGATTCGTTATCTGCCGTAAGAAGTGTGGTCCTGTGGGGTGCATGAAGCCAAGAAGCTAAATCAGCATCCGAAAGTAGTTTTGACGCTGTTCGAGACGAGGCTTCGCAAAAAGGTACATGTCCAATTTTAGCCCATTCCATCACCATACATATTGTGTTGTTGACATTTGAGCATGCGTTATGTTGATCACTAATTTCAGGAAATACGGTCATAGAAGGTAGATCGCTACATGACGGATCTGTGTTACTGAACAAGAATCATGAGGTCTTTCCAAAACCATAAAACAAAGAGGTAAGAACGTAAGTATACTTTAATGTGTAAATAAGCGAACGTTTGTCGTTCAAATTCACTGAATATCCAGAAATATCTCGAGTGTCCATGCACAAGCGCAATCTGAAACCCCTTCTCAAGCATTCACCACTCGTATCGGAAGTGAACATTTTGTTTATCAGTTAAATCCTTGAAGTCTGTATCATTATGCACTCTCTTTCCTTTCTCCGCATCAATTCGATCACGTCTTCGGTTCTCCCAAGCGCAATATGCTGCATATGCGAGGATCGTCAAAATGGAGAGCACATAGCTTCCAAGGATCGCACCCATGCCGAGAGGATAAAGAGGTGCTTGGCTAGCCTTGAAGAATTGAGGACCGATGATGTTGCTGACGCAGTAAGCAATGAATATCAGTGCGTTGACAGTAACCTTCTTTGTATGCCCGGCAGTATTGGCGGTGTTCATTCCCAGCGCAACGATATAAGGCCCGAGGTAAAAGTAAGACATGTAGAGTGCAGCAAGCCTTCCGTTGTAGTTTGTAAGTGGTAGAGTGTACAAAAAGACTGCAGATATCATTCCAACAATTATACCAAATAGGACAAAAGCCGTGCGTAGTTGCTTTCCGGGCAAGTATCTGGCCACAAGGAATACGCCACCTATTTAATTTAAATTAGCTAAAAAGGAATCTTTTGTAGGCCATTCAATACTGACCGTTACAGATGTACGATGACATAGTTTGCATGATGCCAGTGGGCATAGTTAGTAAAACAGATCGTTGAGAGTTGTAGCCGAGTCCCTTGATAATCTGTGCCTCAAGTCAGGATGGATACGTTCATTCAAGCGCGCTAAGCCTACCAAAGGTGCAAAGTTTGTAAGCCCGCCGTTTGGAATCGAGATCCAGAGATTAAAGAGAATCATCAACCAAGTTTTTGGATCGGTAAAGGCCTCGATCATCTGCTCCTTCTTGAATGTCTTGTTTTCTACACCTGTCTGGTCCGCTCTCACTCTATCGATGGCAATGGCTTTCTCGCGCTCCGAGATAAACTTGGCCTTGACAGGATTGTCAGGCAGAAAGATGCCGATAACGCAGGCCCAAACGATTGTCATCGCTCCAGTTATCCAGAACATGCTGCGCCATTGATGATCGCCAGACATGAAGCCGATGCCCCTGGCCATGTTCAGCGCATGTTATTAAATTATTTCACTGAAGAACTCACCATCCAATAGGTCCAGTAAAACAGACACTGAGACCGGTATACATCAAGCCCGTTCTAAGTGGCTGCTCCTTTCTCGTATACCACATCGACATGATGAGCAGATTGCCGGGGACAATAGGGGCCTCAAGTGCGCCAAGGAGAACGCGAAGGGCGATTAAAGTTGCGAAGTTGTTTGCAAAACCAGTGCCGATCAAAATTATCCCCCAAACAATTTGGGCGATAAACCTGTCTTTGAATCAGCATTCAGGAATTAATGGCTCCAATACTAAGGTGCTTGGGTTTATATGAGACAGTTGTGTGATTCCTTACGTACATTACCTTGGCGATTGGGAGGCGTTGGAGAATACTTCCAGATGGAAGACACCAAACGAGATACCCAAACTATCAATTGGTCAGATTCTTGGTCACAGATGCTATGGACCTGGGAACTAACGTAGAAAGCCGATCCAACCCAACTGTATCGATTTCCAGTTAATCCTGTATCAGCGCGAAAGCCGTACAACGCTGCTGTGGCCGTTGTAACTTTGTCCATGGCACCCAAGGTGACATTGAACCACAGAAGAGGAACAAGGCGGAGGTCGAGTTTCCATCGAAGACGGGTCTCTTCTTTCTTCGTGTATGTGTCCTCACCAGTGAACTGATTTGCGTAGGCAGCAGCAACGTCTGCAGTCGCCGAAGTGACCGATCCAATCTTGACAGAATGGGTATCTTCCATGTCAGCCGGTGTCACATCTGTCTTCATATTTTTGGATTCCTCAGTCATGGTTTGAAACCAAATATTGGGGACTAGGAGCCAAAAGTGGAGCGTACTCAGAGTGATATTCGAAGAAAAGGTTCAACTAGATCCAGAAGTGAGATCACAGCTGTTGTAGATATACATCTGCCAATTGAGATGTTAGAGTCGTCTTATCTATCTTTTGTTCCGTCGTCAGCCTGGGATGTTGGTGTCGTCGTTAGCCTTGGTATCGAGATAAAGCCATTGCTGGGGATTGTGGGCCGTGATTGAGCGCCAAAAGGTTCAATCCGAGCCATCGCGGGTCGTGAAAGTGCATGGATTATCTTTAGCATCGGACTTGTACAGTCCGAAAGACTGTTCAGACTGTATACGCGCCGGCATGAAACTTGCCTGATTTCGGGCTTTTTTCGGTTGCTTGTACCCCCCTTGGGGTTTGCGGGGAGATCTCCGTCTCAGCCATCTAATTCAAAGCACGACGCAAAAGAAGCTACAACGAGCGCAAGCGGAATACTTTCTGCTATCACGATGTATCGAGTCGGTGGAATTTGTCCATGTGAACGACTTATTCCAGTCGCAGTGGATGGCCGGGACGCCTGCGATGAGTCTTGGCAAAAACATGGAGTTATTTTTCCTTCTCCAAGACTCATGTGATAGCATTGAGTTATCAAGAGCAGCAGAAACGGCCATATGCTTGAGCGTCCAGCTGCGAAGCTGTGAGATATTTGCGACAATTTGCTAAAGCACGACTTATCAATTGCTCTAGCGTCCGTGGAACTTTTATCTAAGTTTGGTAATTCTTTTAGTACCATCAAATTTCGTAGCCGCTCCTCCCCTCCACAACTTGAAGCATTAATAATTTCAACATTCGGTTCGTTGCGATACTCCACACACACGCGATGGCTGTGCAGAAAATCGTTCGCATTGCTATGCTCAATACTGACACTCCTGTTCCTAATGTATATTCGAAACGCGGGACTTATGGAAACATTTTTCATCATTTGCTGCTCGCTGCAGCACAAAGAATTGATTCAAACATCCATATTCAGTCAGAAGATTTCGACGTGGTGTTGGGAAATTATCCAAAGTCGCTCTCTGATTTTGACGCGATTTTGATCACTGGATCTGCTTCTTCTTCATATGACTCATCCGACTGGATTCGGCGACTAGATGAGTACATTGAAAATGTCTACAATAATCACCCAAATGTAAGGATATTTGGAAGCTGCTTTGGTCACCAAATCGTGTGCCAGAGCTTGCTTAGACAGCATGGAGTTTATGTGGAGAAAGACCCAAACGGCTGGGAATTGGGCGTCAAGGACATCGAGTTGAACAAGAGATTCTTGGACCGGATGTTGCAGCAGAAGGCTGAAGATACCAAGCAATGTCCAATTCCGAAGGAAACTAGCACCACGAGAAGCGGGAATGCGAAAACAGACATGCGTCTTCAATTCGTACATGCAGACCACGTCAAAATTCCAATGGCAGGACTACCCTCAGACTGGATATTGGTTGGAAGCACGCAGCACTGTGCGGTGCAGGGCTTATATCAACCCGGGCATGTCCTGACATACCAAGGACACTTTGAGTTTGACCGCTTCATCAACACTGAAACTCTTAAAGTTTTTGGCGCGTCCTGGGAGCCGGAACGACTTCAAGCTGCGCTTCATGCGATAGATGCAGACGACGACTCGGAATTGGCAGCGGACATGGCATTAAGGTTTTTGGCTGGATTGGATATTACCTCAGTAGACGCTGAATTACATAGTGGTCTGTTGACACCTCCGGAAGAGTGTAATTGATATTCGAAAACGGCCTTGTGCAATAATATTAAGATTAAGACAACTTGATACTGTTTTTGATTCTCGAATATCCGATGTAATCTCACTGGCTCTTCTAAAAAGTTGCAAAATAACCATAACAGTTCTTCTCATCGGAGATCCGGTACCAACGATGGAACCGCAAATGATATATGAATCGAGCTGTTCACGGTCATATTAATCTGAGACATTGTATCACTTCTCATACGAACATCAAGTACATAGTGATCGTTCACAAATGTGGCCATAGCATGGGTTGAACAACCACATGAGCGCATCGAGCCAACCTCAGAAAGTGCTAGTGAAAATGTCGACGTGTTTTCTGCCCAACCAACTCTGCATCTTGGGGTAATAAGTTTAGAAAATGAGCCATTGCTCACTGCAATTCCTCAGTCATCTTTGGGTCCACCGTCGAGAATTCGGTCAACATCGACGATCCTAAAAGGTACTGGACCGAGAACAGATGTGTCATCATTATTAGCTTTGGGCCATCGCAGGACGTCATAAACATCGTCAGCCACAATTAGAGCATCATACTGCCTAGCAAGACGAACTAACTCTTGCCTCCTTCGCCAAAACACGATTTTGAAACTCGAGTTGGAGAAATTCGGGACAAGATAGATGACATTCTTGCGGATCTTCTTGTACCATGGCCCAACTTTCAGCATACGGTGACGGTATTTGGCGCCACAATTGGATTCGCGCAAAGAGGTTTCTAAAAAAAAGTCGATATCTAGTCCTTCGCCATCTTCTGGAACACCCGGTATGTCCTTCCCGAAACCTGCATCTTCGAAAATGGGAAAGGCAAGGAAGTAGCATGGTTCAATCATCCAGATTCTTGTGTCTCCTGGCTCTGCGAGCTTTGCGAGTACGATTCCTAGATTCGCAGATGCACCATTCATAATGCAGATGCGAGAGCTATCTATTCCATCTGCAGACTTGTGTATTGAATCCAGCTATTTGGCGACGTTTGCGTGGCAGGCAAGGAGGCCAGTATCCGGGCCATAAACAAGAACTTCAGCGGTTTTCTTTTGCGAGCAAGGTACTTGAGCCGCTTCATCGAGCAAATGTTTCGCGGGAAATAACGAAGGCGAGGGCCATCCCAGCTGAAGATTGATGTGACCTTGCATTTCCACTCGTACGCGAGACTGGACTCGAATGGGCTTTTGCTGAATCAGACGAAAAGGAAAGTGCTTGATGGAGTAGAATCATTAAGTGAAGCGTGTATGGGAGGAGTCATCTCATTCTAGAGCTATGCCCACAAGGACTCTCACCCTCCGATTGAACTCTGTTCGGTACTGAACATGAGTTTGTCCGAGTTGCGAGTTAGGCGCATGACACAAATTGCGAAGCACGCATTGTCCAGATCTCAGGTCCTTTGATGATGGTCGGCATTGCAGAGAATGGAAGGGCAGAGGTGACGGTCTCCATTCTCCGTGTCGGGGGAAGCATTAGGACACAGGAATACCGAAGTAGCTGAAGAAGGGGAGATGCTGGGCGAATAGGATTTGCTGCTGCGTATCCGCGCTGTCGATGTGCGTTTTCGCGGTGGTTGCGCTCGAACGGTGATGCGGTAGGACGATCTGCAGCCGAGCTGATCGGAGAGCGTCTGCGAGATCGTCGCGCATGTCATGTCCGACCTGGAACATTCGTCAGACTCTGCGCCCTTCATCATCCCCACCCCGCATTACCATGCTACGGCTTTGCAAGCGTGGCTGCAACAGACTTTCCCAGTATAGCTGCTGTGTTGATAGATAGGTCTGGTACTCCGTAGATCTGAAATGGAGAAGGATGCATATTTTTGTATATTTTCAGTTCCTTGCACCTCTTCCTCGATCTCCTCCAGCTTTCGTCCAACTATCCTACGGATAATCCGCCATGCCTTACCTCGGAGAGAATAGTTCTGCGCCGAAAATTCGCATTGCGATTGATCGCGGTGGAACATTCACTGACTGTCTAGGCATAGTTCCAGGGAAGCCAGACATACTAATTAAGCTTCTCTCCAATGACCCAAACAATTACGCAGATGCTCCTACTGAAGGCATCCGCAGGATCTTGGAGATTGCAACGGGAGAAAAGATTCCACGAGGAGAGAAAATAGACACTAAGAACATTGAATCGATAAAGATGGGAACAACTGTGGCTACGAATGCATTGTTGGAGCGAGCATCGACACCATGTGCATTGGTGGTTACCCGTGGATTCAGGGATTTACTGCGGATCGGTGACCAAACGCGGCCAAAGCTGTTCGATCTTAATATTCGTAGACCTGAGAATCTCTTTGAGCATGTTCTCGAAATCGATGAGCGCGTCACCCTACATGATTCGACAGAAGACACCTCAAGTTTGCATGACCCGGACCGAAAGTCGTACGCGCTCAAAGAAGGTGTCGGCGGAGAAGCGGTTCGAGTGATTAAGCCTCTAGGTAATCACGACTAACCGCATGTTGGAATCGCGCCGTTGCTGACTTCACGCAGCTGCGGACAAGGCCAGAGAAGGCTTGCAATCGCTGTTCGATCAAGGGGTGAGGTCCTTAGCAATCATTTTGTTACACTCATATACGTTTCCAGATCATGAGCTGGAACTAGAAAGAATAGCGCAGGATATTGGGTTCACCCAGATCTCTTTGTCTTCTCAGGTTTCACCCATGATTAAAGCTATTTCACGCGGTTATTCAGCGACAGCGGATGCATATCTAACCCCAGTTACCAAATCATACATTGAGGGCTTCCGCAAAGGCTTTGTAGGGGATCTTGAAGATTCAAATGGGGCAAGATGTGAGTTCATGCAAAGCGATGGTGGTCTTGCGTCTTGGCAATTTTTCAGTGGTCTTAAAGCTATCCTTTCGGGACCTGCTGGCGGAGTTGTGGGGTTCAGCAAGACTTGCTACGACGCAAAGAGAAAGAAACCTGTCATTGGCTTTGATATGGGTGGTACGAGCACAGACGTCTCACGATTTTCTGGCTCACTGGAACACACATTTGAGTCCATTACTGCTGGGATCATCATACAATCCCCACAGCTGGAAGTGGACACTGTCGCTGCTGGTGAGAGATCGGATTTTTCTTCCAGGTGGCAAGACTAACAGTGCACAGGCGGCGGTAGCATTTTGTCCTACAAGAATGGCTTATTCCTGGCTGGCCCGGAGTCCGCGAGTGCACATCCTGGACCTGTAGCTTATCGAAAGGGAGGACCTTTGACAGTGACTGATGCCAATTTAGTCCTGGGTAGGATACAGGCTCAATACTTTCCTCAAATCTTTGGAAAGAATGAGAATGAGCCATTGGACTATGAGGGATCCAGAAAGGCTTTTGAAACTCTGCTCGTGCAAGTCAACAGTGATTTGCAAAGTTCAGGAGGAAAACTGAAAACAGTAGAGGAGCTCGCTCTAGGATTCCTTGAAGTTGCGAACGAGACTATGTGTAGACCAATTCGAGGACTTACTGAGGCCAAGGGCTACCGAACGGGTGATCATGAATTGGCCGTGTTTGGTGGTGCTGGCGGCCAACACGCATGCGTGAGTAACTGGCAGTTGCGATTTATGAAGGTAATGCTGATAATTTGAAGGCAATCGCCAATAATCTAGGAATTAATCGTGTAATCATTCACCGTTATTCATCGATTCTCTCTGCCTATGGTATGGCCCTGGCAGATCTAGTGCACGACTTACAAGAACCATGTTCCATGAGTCTGAACGACTCAATAGATGAACTGGATGCACGACTTAACAATCTTGAGCAGAAAGCCGCGCAAAAATTTGCAGAAGATGGGATTCGATCCCAGCTTATGCGCTTCGAGCATTTTCTCAATTTGCGTTATGCAGGGTCTGACACAACGTTTATGATTCCGCGTCCAGAACACCAGAGTTGGGAAGAAGCGTTCATTGCCGAACACAAACGACAATTCTCTTTCATTATGCCAGGGCGAGAAGTACTCGTGGAGAACGTGAGGGTTCGGGCCATAGCTGAGAGCGAGTCAGTCGAGCCTGGCTTCGATCTTCAACAGCAACTTTCCAATGTTGTGCTTACAGCTGCATCTGATAAGAAGATCTCCAACCGAGTGAAAATATTCTTTGATGGAGGCTGGCAGGACTCAAACCTCTATTTCCTTTCATCTCTAAGCGCAGGCGATCAAGTACAAGGTCCTGCTCTTATCCTCGATAATACTCAGACCATCGTTGTCGCGCCGTTGGCGAAAGCAACTATACTCGATCGTCACGTTATACTTGATCTAGTTCAAAACGCGGCTCCAGTCACCGCAGAGAAAGAATCGATAAGCAACTCTGAAATTGTCGATCCCGTACAGCTTTCTGTTATGGCTCATCGATTTATGAGCATAGCTGAGCAAATGGGACACACATTGCAAAAAACAAGCGTCTCAGTTAATATCAAAGAACGATTGGATTTTAGCTGTGCCCTGTTCTCACCAGAAGGCAGATTAGTGGCCAATGCTCCACACGTGCCTGTACACCTAGGGAGTATGGAGCAAGCAGTCATGTATCAGCATCAACTCTTGAAAGATAAACTCCGGCCCGGCGATGTGATTGTCGCCAATCACCCGATATCCGGTGGAACCCATCTTCCAGACATCACTTGCATAACACCTGTTTTTGACCAGACTGGACAGAATATCATTTTCTACACAGCTTCGCGAGGTCATCACCAAGAGATTGGCGGCATTCTACCGGGTTCAATGCCCGCTAGCAGCGTTGAACTCTATGAGGAAGGTGCAGCAATTATATCGGAATATCTGGTTCGGAACGGTGAATTTGACGAAGCCACCATTACCAAGCTCCTGTTGCATGATCCAGCTCAGTACCCAGGATGCTCTGGCACCCGAAAGCTTGCAGACAATTTGAACGACTTGAAGGCCCAAGTCTCGGCCAACGCAAAGGGTGCCGCCTTGCTATCAGATCTAATTGCTGAGTATGGATTAGCTACGGTTCATCGGAATATGAATGCCATCACCGCGAACGCTGAAGCTTGTGTGAAGGCTTTCCTGCAGCGAACATATGAAAAGACTAATGGAAAGCCGTTAACAGCATTGGACTATATGGATGATGGTACGTGAACATTCTTTAAAGAGTTCTGAATGCTGCATGAACCGAGTAAATGATATCAGCTGCAATTTCTTTGCAGCTCTTCAAGCATTTGCGCGGCTGTTTATTACTAAATTTTTCGATGGCGGTGCGTCTGCAATGCTGACAATTAAAAAGGAACTCCAATACAGTTGACTGTGACGATAAATCCTGACGTAGGAACGGCTCACTTCGACTTTACAGGCACAGGAGAAGAGGGGTATCATTCTTTCAATGCACCTCAGGCAATTACACGAAGTGCTACCTTATACGTGCTTCGATGCCTCATCAATCAAGATATCCCGCTTAATGAAGGTTGTCTTCGGCCACTTACATTCACCATACCAAATGGTTCGATACTTAATCCTAGCCCTACCGCGGCTGTGTGTGCAGGAAACCCGATCACGTCACAACGTGTGACAGATGTGGTCATCAAAGCTTTTGAAGCCTGCGCAGCTAGCCAGGGCGATTGTAATGTCTTCTCGTTTGGGCACGATGGAAACCGCGACGCGGAAGGCAATCTGATTCCCAATACTGGGTTTGGGTTTGGTGAAACCATCTGTGGTGGAAGTGGGGCTGGGCCAGGCTGGCATGGAACTAGCGGCGTTCATATCCACATGACAAACACCCGGATTACGGACCCGGAGATTCTCGAGAAGCGTTATCCTGTGGTCCTGCGGGAATTTAGTATCAGGAAAGGCAGCGGCGGCAAGGGGCAGTACAACGGTGGAGATGGTATCCGACGTGTATACGAATTCGGCAAAGATATGGGAGCATCGATTGTCAGCGAACGTCGCGTTACCAGGCCATATGGCATGAAAGGTGGAGAAGATGGAAAGTCCGGAGTCAACTACATTGTCAAAGGTGGTGAAAAGGGGCGGTGGTCACGCCTTGGTGGGCGAAAAGATTTCAAAGTGCAAAAAGGTGATTGGGTAGTTATTGACACCCCAGGTGGGGGAGGCTGGGGTTCCGTAACTGATGGACCGACAGAGGAGAGTGTAAACCTCAAAGTGCCAGTTGAGCGACGGTTTGTTAGCCAGTTCCAGCTTGCCCAAGAAGCAAGTAACTAAAGGTTTCGATACTAAGATTATACAAGAACAGACGATTGGGTATCATGATACTCACACACTATGTTATCAGAAATAAAGATTGCACTTGAGATCCAGAGAAGTTTTGCATTTTTCTCTCACTGCTAATGTATTTGAGATGAGATGTAGAAATTGTTAAACGTGAACTATATGCAGTTGTTTGGTTTGGATGCCAATGTTGATCTTAATGCTTCTTGTACCTGAATCGGCCTCTATTTAATATTGGCTGGAATGTCTCCAAATTCGATGGACGCAGAATCCTTGACCGTGGTAAATGTGTTCGTAGCTTCGATAATCATGTTAGCAACCTCTTCTGGCTTGCTAAGCATAGGAGAATGGCTCGTAGCGATTTCTCTGACTGTTAGTTTCGCCTGATCTTTCACCATAGCAGCCATCATCCGCTGTGTATCTATGGGCAGAGCTTTGTCATCTGTGGTCATCAGAAGCCAATTCGGCACTTCCAGCCAACCAGTATACGTGACATCTCGACCCTCTGTGAACGCTTTCATCGACTGTTTAGTCAACCTCGCAACCCATTCATGACCTTCTTCCTCAGGCAAATCGTGGTAGAAAAGCTCACGCGCAGGCACCCGCAACTCTGCGAAGCCGCTCGGATCGATTCCCCAGGTTGGTGGAGGAACGCCACCTGTGCCATCGAGAAAAGTCATTCCTGCAATTGCAAAGCCCGAAGCAATTATGAATTGACCAATCACGTGTCCCGTATTGTTCCCGGAATCTTTCGTCACAGTGAAGCCCTTCATTGCACTTTGACCCACCACACCCCCATAAGAATGTACGACAACCACTACGTCACGGCCTTGAGACGTCTCTGATCGGATCATGTCTTGCGTTGCGTGAACATCATCTACAAACGAAGATGTATTACTGCCGTTCGTCGTGGGTAGCGTGACTAATAGACATTTGTAGCCTTGCGCCTCAAGGATAAACGCAACTTTGTTCCAAATTTCAGCCCTATGCCAGGCTCCGGGTACAAACACGAAAGACGGCTTGACCATTATTCTGTTTAGATGAAATGGTTGCGATATGAGAAAAGATCTTGAAGAAGTATTTAGAGGTTCATTTGCTGCATCTTTGGGTGCAACCTCTCATGGCTTTATACGCGAAAATACTTCCTGTTATTGTTCTATGCAACCAGCTGTGAGAAGAAGCCTTTCCTCTTCTGGCTGCGCGCGCGGCCCACCCTGATGTGGACTAGTGCTCAAAAGTCCGATGTCTGCTGATTCGCTTGCTGAGTCAATATTTAGCTCATTCACCGGAGTAGAGTTTATATTAAAAGCAAAGGATTGCCGAGAATGCCAAGGCAGGAGGCAAGGCTCCAAGTCTTTTCATCGATATTAGACCTGCTTTTCCAGACTTTTTCCACCACTCGAATGGCTTCCTTCGGCGAGCCAATGATCTCAAGAATCTTCTTAGTAGCGAAAATTTCACGAAAATAACTCTCTTGACTTTGTGAAGCCAGACAGCCAGCAACACAGAGTGGCCATGCTAATGTTCGAAATTCGTTGGAAGGGATTAATGGAATCAATCGCAGAATATTGGCCACGAGATCATGGATGGAGGCATCGGACCACCTAAAGCCATTCACAACCAAGGATAGGTATATTTGAGCAGCACTAATCCAGACGGAGGTAGTAATCCTATACGGTGATGCTGTGGTGACTCGGACAGCATATGATCGAAAGGGAAGGAGGGGATCAGAGTGAGGAGCTGATTCTAAGTGATTGAGCTCCAATCGTGCCTCAGCATTGGCCAAGGATAAGGAGATGGAAGAAGAGCGCTCGAATAACTCTGATTGCACGTCATCATTCATGGCGCTTTGTTCGGCTTTCCAGCTATCCAACGTCGCAATCTGACCAATAGCTTGGAGAACAGAACTTGGGCATCCCACTATCGCAGAGAGCCGAATTTGGGTAAAACCTAAAACGGGTGCTCCATTATCGCCTGAATCAAGGACTGTATCGTGATACATAGTGAGCTGCGGTGCCTTTCGAAGTGCTGTGCTGGCAATAATATCACAAAACACCAGTAGCGCGGCGAAGAAGCGAAAGCCAGCTTGTTCAGGACTCCAAATATAAGTTTCGTTTTCCGCTTTATACCATATTGGGGGCCCGATAGCAAGGAGTGTGGAGCGCATCTTGGGCTCTCCTCTCCCGGGTCTGTTAAGCAAGTCCTTGAAGAGGGCAATTGCTGGAGGCAGGTGCACCATCCAGCCCGCTGATTGTCCTAGCGCGCATTCGAAAACAATGAAATTGATGATGCTTCCCATTAAATATACCTTCTCGCACACTGTGACGTCAATTTTTGGGGCGCAAAGAGCAAGTAAGTCATTTTGAATGCTTTGAAAGCATTCGTGTATATCGCGATCCAGTCTTGCCCAAAGTTGATCAGTGCAGTCTGCATATGTCCCTGAATATACATCGGTCAATGCTAGAGTAAAAAAAAATGACGTCAAGCCGAGCACAGAATGATATGCGAACTTGCTTTCCCTTAGCAGAGCAAGTATCCAGCTTCTTCCTGTTTCGAACAGCGATGGCCTGCAATGAGGAAATAAAAAGGGAAAGATGTGGTCCAAGTACTTCATGATTGCATCTGTCTCGATATTGAGATCACTAGCACCGGTTGTCCATGGCTTGGATGCAATATTCTTTTGATGCAGGAAGCGAAGAACCGTAGGAGAGTTTCTGAGCTGGGTGGCAGTAAAAGTCGCATGCATTCTAGTCAAACACGTTCACTCACTTTTCTTTGTGAATCATGGTTAAAGGATCTACTGGGCACTGGGAAACTCTGCTTGAGCCCTCAAGAGTTTCGGCGAAGTGATCGAGATTAACAACAAGCTGACCCATGGGGCGTTGCAACATATGCTTCGGATTTGCTGCCACTTGGTTTCTCTCCTTGCGGCCGATTGCATTTTGTCTGATCTCAAGCCTGATTTTATCCATCATCTCCCGTCTTTTGAGATGATGGGTCATCCATTCGGGTTTCTGGCTCGAGAAGTGGCAGACAATATCCAGACTCCTGCATTTGCCACATACTGGACGCACATTGTCGCATTTCTTGCGTCGAAGGCGACATGTCCAGCATCCAGATATGCCAGAACCTGTCATGTCTAATTTATTTGGATGGACCGTGGACGGTGCGGCATTCTCGATGGTGCGTTAGTTCTATCTTGATCACGTTTGTACACGGTGCCGCGAAATAGGAAAGTATGCCTAAGGCATAAAAAAGTCTGCCTGATCTAGTGTTTCCGATCAACCAGAACCTGTCACCAACGGCTGCCAGGTACCTGAGCAGTTTCCAGGGCTCATGTTTCATCATCTGCGAGACTAGACTTCATTCAGTATCCCAGCAGCTCATCTGTTTCATTATTCTAACGCATCAGACAGTTGTTGCAGGCTCATCGTCCACACCCGACGAGCGATGAAGCAACGGCTTGTCCACAGTTTTGCTACACAGCTCGCGCACAGGACTGCCTCAATACCAGTGAGAATCGTTGGCATACGTACATAACGTGCTGTTACTTGTTATGCATGACATTCATCGCCGTGATTGTTTGTAACGCTCACAATTCTTCCAGACTGTTTCTGATCTGTGCCGTTGCCGATCCTGGACCAGCACCAGGTCTGTAAACAGTCCAGATAGAACAGACCTCGTGGTTTTCTGGCCCCCCTCGCTCTTATCCATGAGGTTGGCGTTGCCAAGAGGCATCATGGCACGGAGGCACACTTCCTGGTATCTGGTAGTCTCCCAACTGCAAGCGAGGCTTTTGACTGTACCCGCCAGCGAAGGTAGGCCTTGGGAGGTGACAGGTAATGTCGCATCATAGACGTCGCGTACGGTATGCATCTGGTTTGCTGAACGTTTCTTAGTGTTTCGCCGTCGATCTCGGCTCTCTACTTAGGGGCGGCAAAACGACTTGCTCCATGAGCTCACACGACCTCCATGTTTACTTAGACTTGTCTTTTCTTCATTTTGGATGGCTGGTTTCTCCCACAACGTTTTTGTGATGGATGGGCGACTCGCCGTGGGCTTGTGATAGCCCCTTATTCCAAGCGAGCTTATCAATTGCCCTCACTTATGTCGAGGGAAATCTTGGATCCCTCGCTTACGTACTGCTCAAGCATGGTCCGCCGGGAAAAGAAAGAAAAAATTCTCGGCTGAGGCTGTTCCTGCAGTTTTGTGAATCAAGAGCAAGCATTCGAATGGCTCCACCTGATGGTTTCCATCTTGGTATTCTTTGAATGTTGAGAGGTGCGGGGTCACTTGCAGCCTCAAACAGGGATTCGTCGTTTCAACACCAGGGGTTGAACACTAGGCAAGGCTACCAGCCTTGCTACAAACTGGAGTGACACCAATGAAGTTCCAGCAGCCTGTTGATGGCAACCCCGAAAAGAATGGACTAAAGCATTTTGACGTACTAGCCAGCTCGGGATGTCGCAAAGACTTCCGCGCATTCGATGTGGAACACTTCATGGGTTAAAAGTTCGTGGCTACCTACAGGAGCCAACTTGACTTACAGTTGGAAGTGTTGCGTGCGTTCTGACATTCTTCTATTCTCTTTTCTCTATGTCACTATCATTGCGCACATCTTAATGTTTTCATATTACGCTCATTCAGGAAAGATGTAGGGCAGGACCTGTTTTTGATCAATCTTGAAAGTCCAATGAGCTATCACGTACGATCTACATTTCATCTTTGCCCATCCTGACACTCAACGCCAGCCCGTGTGAAGTGAGCACATGCTCCGCACCTCTAAATCAGTTGGCATCATGTCCAAGGCGAAGCGTCGACGGAAAACTTCTGTTTCCTTGATGGTGATGACGGTTGTGCCACTCGTTTCTGGAGTTTCTTTACAGGAGCTTGGAGCAATACCTCTGAAGTCTGCATCGACCGAATGCGCCTCGATATTGGACGTCGAAATTCCAGGTTGCACAGCGAATGGTATCTTGACAATCTGCTCAACCGACTGTCAAGCCAGTTTTGCGTCGTTCCTTAACACAGCGCGAACCGTTTGTTCCGATCCCATACTTGAGAACCAGCTAGCCCAACTTGTTGCGTCGAGTGGACAGCTACGCATCTGCACCAGCAGCACTGCAATCGCATCAAGTAAGATCAGTACATCACTTACTGAAGTCACAACAATACTTTACACGACTCTGCTTAAGAGAGCGGAAGTGGATGTCATTACGAAAACGACGACGACAACGATAACAGAGAGTATCGCAAGTTCTATATCTCCAACCGATTCACAGACTCATTCCATCCCATCGTCAACTTCGTTGTCGACACTCAACATTTCAATCACCAATACTACAACAACTTCGTTAATCCTGAGCTCAGGATCAACACAGTCTGCACTTATGCTTTCATCCTCAACATCCACATTCGTAGCACCTTTCAACGCACCGACAGCATCAAGCCAGTCAGTTGGCATCGCAGTATCATCACCTCTGCCTCCACAGACCTTCCGCTCAGCTGCTTCCACTATAAGCATCTCAATCGCGCCGAGCAACAGCTCTTCGAAAACTTCATCCATGACCACAGCGATTAATGCACCATTTGTATTGGCTAGTGCGCTAACTGCTGCGCAATCGCCAACCACTTTCACCATTAACGTCGTTTCAGCTTCATCAGAAGTTTCGTCAACTCAAAGCTCCTCTAAAGGTGCTGCGGGACTGTTGACATTATCCACAGCGACACCTATATCTCAGTCTCCTAATTCGATGATGACATTCATGCTGCAGCCGACATCTTCGAATGCACAAACAATCGCTCCTCCGCACTCTCAGCCGCAGCCCATCTCTTTACCACCTTCACAATCTCAAACATTGGAATCCAAAACGAGTTCCACATCTACGTCTACCGGCACACTCAACGCAATCAACAACGGCGGTCTCCCAGGTGCAGCGCTAGCTACCGACCAACAGTCTACCAAAGTCAACCCATCCATCATCGGTGGCGTGGTTGGCGGTGGTCTCGTTGCTGTTGGAGCGATCACGGCTGTAGTTTTTCTCCTATTCCGCCGCCGAAGGCAACAATCTGATAAAGGGGGCGCTAGGCGTCCGATAAGTTCGTGGGACTTCATTGACCGGAATAGGGGAAGGCTAAGCAGCGAGCCATCAGATGCAGATCTACCACAAATGTCATACTTCGACCAGCCGATACTCTTTGATCAGAGAGTCCAAGGGTTGGCCGTTCCGCAGGAAGTGGTCATTAAGCGAAAGAGTGGCCCGCCTGTGAGAGTCTCTAGGCAGAGCAATGGAAGTATGGCTGGCATCGATGAAAGCACCATAGAAGCCGTTCGCTTGCAGAGGAAAACACAAAACACGATGAGCCAGTACAGCAATGGCTCTATAATAGTTAGCTACGCCGCTGCAAGGATACCATCTGCATCGATGCCCGTAGCACCCGCGATGCCGGTGGGATCCACGAAACGCAACAGCTCAAGTAATAACAATGGCACAAACGACGGCTATACAATGTCAACACCGAAGAACGGGTATGGCAGCCCTGGACCAACCGTGTACAATGGCGTGAGCCAACGCCAAAACGAAAATCCGAGAACGAATAACATCTCCGTAAGCCCAGAGCCCTACTTTGATTACAACTACAACTACAATTACAACTACAATTTCAACTACAATTACAAAGGCTTTGAGATAAGCAAGCAACAACGTAATAGCCCGAGTCCGATTGATGAAATGCTTGAGGTAAGCAGCAACATCGGTGGAAGCAGATTGGGATTCTATGATAAGGTCATGGAAGATCCAAGGCTGCAAAATTATAGACCCAATCGCTCCTAGAGAGCAGAACGATGGACAGCCTCGGCAAACATGGCATTGCTATAAGATTGAAGGAATGAGGAAAAAGTATATACCCAGCTTTAGCACAGTCTATAGAAGAATATTAATGTATAAACACTGATCTTTCGAGACGCCACCTTTAACTTAGTCAACTACTTGAGAACAAAGAATTTCCCAATTCTTGTGAGCCAACGTTCTTCAAGGGCAATCCGTCACGTGTCTTATAATATCTATGCTGGGCAACCTCATATAGCTTTGTAGTTGCCTAAGTTCTACCTGTTTCACTAATCTTCAATTGAGCTATGAGTAGTCTTGTCGGCATTTCGATCACGTAGTCTCGCAGCTTAAATGAGCGACAAGCTCTTTCGACTCCAATGGATTTGTTATGAGACAAATTGACCGAACTACGGAGGTAGCTGCGTCCGAGATCGCCGCGTAGAAGTTTAAGCCACTTGCAGAAACTATGAGCCAGCACCACCTCGATATCCTAAAAGAAAAAAAAAGAAAAAAAAAACCAACGGGGACTTCGGGACGGCCACTGTCCTCGTGTGTAGCATGCATACTACTTTGCGCGAATTGCGATGAACTTGGATCAAAGTGCCCCGTCGTCACCCTCGTCTTGTCCAACAAAGCCATCCAACAAGCGCGATTCGCAACCTGTACAGAACATGGCTTCCGAGTCGTTTCATTGTATCCGTTGCTGAACAACGGCCCTGAAGATGAGCCAAGCTGCTTCATGTCAGGGAACGTGACAAATATAACTCGTCGCCAGCATCAAAGGGTTAATCACCAGCGGGCCCGTGACATTTTGACCAGCAGATCTTTGATAGTCCTCATGATCAAGACGAATAGGAAGCAATTAGGGTCGACTTGACCTATCAGGAACGAGAGCCATTTTCCAAACGTATTTTCTTCCCCAGCGTAGCATTCCGATCTCTGCTATACTCTGATACTAATGTATGTATTGGCAACATCAGAGAAGCGGCAAGCTGGTTCTGTCGTCTTAACGTCTCGGTCTACTTGTCGTGGAAAAAGGCCAAGTATTTTTTCCCCTGAAAGCTCTACGGAGTAGACATGTTCAAAATGTGCCTAAAAACAACCCAGACATACCATGTTCTCGGATGGTCTCGGACGTCTTTTGTGTGCTGGACTTACTCCTTTCTGCTAGGCCGTGAATGCAATGCTGGACCGAAGAAAGCATGGAACGCTCTTGTTTCCTTGTTCAGAAGGGAACGGCGTTTGACCACAGCCTCAAAAGGACTAGTAACGACGGCCAATGCTATTTTTATTCGAGGGCGACGCGCAGTCCTGATCTTGTTTATGCGTTCCGCCTCATCCAGAATAGAACCCAGCGGACTCCACACGCAGCAAGCTCGGCAGTTCCATTTAAGCGAAAGGCCAGTAATCGATTCAATTCTCTAGATCTCATCTCACACCAATCAGCCGATGGCATACATACACTGCACTCAGGATTTGCAGTCGCGTATAGGCCAGATCAGCAGGCCAATCCACGATTCAACTTGTGCTCGCCTTCTGTGACATCGAAGAGCCAGTGGAGTCTGACAGTATTCAGATTGGTAAGGCTTCCGCACCGCTCAGCTTCCAAGTCTGCCCATTTGCATTTCCGACATTCGGTATCGATTGCGGCTAGGCAACGGGTTGCACGTGGAGTGCAGATGGGGCGTTCTTGTGCCACCAATCACCAGCCGTAGACAAAGTCTAGGTTGAGCGCCTTTGCGCCTGAGGCGCCTACAATTCAAGCCCACTTCTTCAACTTTCTTCCTGGCTGTGCGCCCAGTCTGTCCAGTGTCTCTTGCTCGCCGACTTGCTCGTCGTGGTTTGCCTGTGACAACAGCAATCCAACGAAAGTCCAACTACCGACCGCCCCTCACTCTTTCCCACCGGGATTGAGCGCCCAAGCTTTATTTGCTTCGTCCTCCTTGTCAACGTCGAGTGGAAAGGCCAATATTTTTCCTGTTGGCTGAAAAAAATACTTAGCCGGCCGCCTCACCGCCCACTCAACGACGCATACCACATCCAAAGTTCGAAGCAAAGGGACCACTAAGAGGTGCTTTGTAGACGTGCCGTAAAGGTTTCTGTCTCCGGGTGATCTTCCATTCTCAGCTAGACTTTTGCTAGTCATGGCTGAGCCTACGCAGTTGGCTTTCCGTACGCTCAAGGGAATTGGTATTTTAAATACTGCTCCTGTGTACGAGCCATTGCCAGGCTTCGTGCGGTATGTTTTTTATTTCATAGTCGTTGTTTCGGATGTTTGATCTTCGTTTTTGGTGCTGGTGAAAGCCCCGCAAACAGAAGCGTATGAAGCGCTGAGCAGTCGAGACTAACGAGTGTGAATGCGGAAATAGGCCAGAGGGAAACCTTCGATGTTGCTGCTACTCACCCGACGGCAAGCTCTTTGCTTGGGCCTCGCCTGAGAAGTAAGTGCCTTCTTCCGCCATCCTCAAAATAACAGTACCTGACTTCAGACCACTCTAGGGTCACTGTTATTGACGCCTTCGTCGGTCACGAAATCACCACGCTCCCGGCCGAGAACGTCTTTGAGTTGGGCTTCTCGCCCTTTGGCACATACATCATCACATGGCAGCGGCCATCAAAGGATGCTGAAGGGAATGCCACCAAGAACCTCAAGGTGTGGCGTACAGTTGACGACACAGCCAGCGATTCAGGTGAGCGTGCAACGGTTGGCTCGTTTGTGCAGCGTAGTCAGACGGGATGGAATCTGCAGTATACGTCGGACGAAAAATACTGCGCCCGTGTTGTAACGAACGAGGTTCAATTCTACGAATCCGGTGATCTGAAGACGGTGTGGAACAAGTTACGAGTCGAGGGCGTCACAGACTTCGCTGTTGCGCCGGGCAAGACGCATTCAGTTGCTGTTTTCGTGCCCGAGCGCAAGGGACAGCCTGCAGCCGTAAAAGTCTTTAATGTGCCGCATTTCAATGTGCCTGTCAGCCAAAAGACATTTTTCAAGGGCGACAAGGTCCAATTCAAATGGAATGAGCCAGGTAGCAGTTTGATTGTCCTCGCGCAAACGGATGTGGACAAGAGCAACAAGAGCTATTACGGCGAGACAACTATGTATATTCTGAGTGCCAATGGCGGCTTTGATTCCAGGATAACATTAGGTATGTGGACTTTGAATGTAGAATTTGCCCGCGCGACAGCAGAACGAGTTATACTAACCATGTCGGCTCGCAGACAAGGAAGGCCCGATCCACGATGTATCCTGGTCGCCTAATGGCAAAGAGTTTGGAGTAGTCTACGGTTATATGCCTGCAAAGACAACAATCTTCAACGCCAGGGCTGTGGCTACTCACAGTTTTCCGCTTGCTCCGCGAAACACAATTCTCTTCTCCCCTCATGGCCGTTTTGTGCTTATTGCCGGCTTTGGCAATCTTGCTGGCTTGATGGATATTTATGACCTGGAGAAAAACTACGCCAAAGTTTGCACCATTGAGGCGAGCAACGCATCAGTGTGCGAGTGGAGTCCAGACGGCATGCATATTCTTACAGCCACGACCAGTCCTCGACTCAGAGTCGACAATGGCGTAAGGATATGGCATGTGGGAGGTGGCGTTATGTACAACGAGGATATGAATGAGCTGTATCATGTTACGTGGAGGCCACAGAGCGTCGACACGTTTTTGTTGCCAGCAGATCCAGTTGGTCACGTGCCGAAGCCGCACCCAAGTGCACTAGAGTACCTGGCCAAAAAGAAAGCACCGAGTAAGCCTGTAGGTGCTTATAGACCACCTGGTGCAAGAGGAACCAGCACGCCTCTCGCATTCAAACGCGAGGACGAGGGCGGCGCTGCATACACAGCTAGTAATGGCATCAGCGCTGCTGGCACTACGGGAGGGAACATTAACGGGTTCGGAAAGTCAAGGCGATTTGTTCCCGGGGCAGAGCCAGTTGATCAGCAGCTGCCTCCTGGTGCTGCACCAGGTGGGGGAGTAAGCCTTATGGGAACTGGCGAAGGCGCTGATGGCAACGAAGGACTAAGCAAAGCAGCCTTAAAGAACAAAAAGAAGCGCGAGGCGAAGAAGGCCAAAGAGCTCGCCGAGAGGGAGAGCAAACTTGAGATCGAAGGCCTGGAGAACGTGCCCAAAGGGCCTAGGGCAATGTCGCGGAGTCCGGAGCGACGAGCTGGTGGGAACCCACATCACCAGAGAAACAGGAGTGGGCTTGAACATAACAACTATCATGGACGTTCACCTCAACGACAAGATAGAGGAATCAGCCAATCTAGAAGGGAAAGAGGTGACTCGTACGTTAATGGTCAATCGTCACGGGGTGGCTCTCGTGCGCAGCCAAATTTGCGCGACGCTCCCGGACCGGCCCTCCAAGTACCACCTGCCGGGCAGCAACAGGAAACGAATCCACCTCCGGATGTCACTGTCACAAGCCCTGGAAGCGGTGGGCCAAGTGGTGAACAGGGTAAAAAGATCAGAAGTTTGCTAAAGAAGATTCGTGCTATTGAAGAGTTGAAGATGAGGCAGGCAAGTGGAGAGAAGCTTGAGGACACTCAAGTGAAAAAGATTGCGACAGAAGATGGGGTGAGGAAAGAACTGGAGGCACTAGGCTACGTTGCTTGAATCTTGCCTGCTGGCTGCTAAGAAAATGAAGTAATGGTATATGCTCTGCGGCAGAATGTCTCAAGCTAAGATGAGATTGACTCGGTCTTGGATTTCTCCTCTCTCGGGCATCTTCTGCATATGCATGGGCTGGCGCACTGAGAGGCAGGAATGGCTTTGATTGATCGATTCGACTCAGAACTATGCATAGGCTGACTGCATTAACTATACGCGGTTGGTTGCCCTCTTGATGTAGAACAAGGGCCGGGGGGAAACATGTGAAAAGATCTTACATGCGTATCCTTTCGAGACATGGCTTTTCTAGAGGACCGACCGAAAAGAGGAAGATCACCAAAAAAGATTTATGCTACCATGCATTTTTTGACTACGAGCATTTGAGAGACTCGAACCTGGCCGGCATGCCGTTCGTGCGTCACTTTGGAAAACAACCCATTGATTTCCGCACAGAGAGGCCGTGCAAACGGTGATACAGCATGTTTAGATTCAATGCTCAAGTTTCTAACTCTTGTTTTTTCTCACTCCTTTTCTCCGTTATCAGCAATCCTAGACTCCTGAGAGTGCGCCATGTCTACAGCTCCACAATGTGCAAGCAGCATTTAATCTTCAGACCGTCACGTAAATGTCACGTCGGCATCAGTCCAATCCCACCACGAACGGGACCAGCGCCGGCTGAACCTCTCGAGCCCCCGCCCGTGCTTATCGTTGCTCGTGTATTGCTCTCATTCGATTTTCTCTTCTTGGCTATGCCTTTTCTTTGAGTCCCACCAGTCGCGCCGGCAAACTTCTTCTGCAGCCACGCAGGTTTCCCGCCTGAAGCCTTCCTCGAAGTAGCATATGAAGCCTTCCGTCTGATCGGCGACTTGGGCTTCTTCCCACTCATCTCACGTGAAGAACTTTGACGTGCAGGGGGGCCGGATGCCTGGAGTGCGTCGTATTGTTCTTGCCATCTCTTTGCTGCCATGTTTTGAGAGTCGTGGGCTGGCGGCGGCGCTTTCGCGAAATAACTGCTCGGACCCGTGTCCTCGTCTTCCTCGTCATCAAAATCATCGAGCTCAAGAGCCTCGCCATACTCAGCGTCATCGTCCTCGCTGTCGCAGAGGTCAACAACTTCAGTGACACGGTGATTTGGGTCGTATGGCTTTTCTTCGTAAGCACGACCTGTGTCACGGTACAAGTCCTCGAGATTTCGCAAGATCTTCAAATACTTGTCTCCGTAGGCCGCCACCATTTCCGGTCTGACGCCGTCGATGCGAAGCATCTGATCCTTGCCTTTGATGTTCTTGATGGCCACCTCTCTGAGAATGGTGTCAGAGAACGGCTGATTGCGCAAGGACTTGCTTATCATGATCGAACTTCCAAGATGACGAGCGTTGGCGACGAACTCGTTCACGAACTCTCTGCGGCTCGGCTCCAGTGAGTCCATAACCGCATCTCCAGTGATGGGCGGGCCGACTGAACGAGATTTCGAGTTTCTGTAGCCAGACCTGCTCTTTACGATCACTTCGTCATCGTCGACGTAATCTTCATCTTCATCGTCGTCGTCAACGACAAACGAATCACGGCTGTATCCGTTGGGATGAAGCTGCTGGACTGGATCAAACGCATCGTCGCTCTCGGTCTCGTCGCCTTCTGCCTCGATGTCGATGTAGCTCTGTTTTCGCCCCTTTTTAACACTCGTCGAATGGCGGATAGGTGAGGAGACATAGGTTGATGCGAAGTCGGTGCGACTTATCGCGCTATCTGTTTCGTTGATTGCCTGCTTTTTCGACTTGCTCTTTGGTTTCGTGAGGGGTGCTCTCTTGTTCGGTGACACACGTATGTTCAAGCGGAGATCCCTCTTCCCTTCAATGAATTGCCTGATATTGCGACCAGCCTAAAGACATTAGCATTCCTGATGTTGGTAAAGAATAGCGGCTTACCGTGATGTATTCGAGCGGGAAACCAGCATTGTTCATCTCGTTGTACTCGAAAATCGCTCCCTCGACAACGAGGCGGTGGAAAAGTCGCTCAACCTCGCCTATATCGACACCACGGGCGGCACCGGCACCATCAAGTCGCCTGTATCTCTCGGCAATGCCCTTCGTCTTAGTTCCTCGAAGGAGCTCGATGCATTGCCTCATTGTGACCTTCTCGTCTTTCAAAGCTAGAAGGAGACGGCACGCAGCGGATGCAATGTCAGTGAAATCTTGTTCCACAAAAGTCGCCTTCGATGAACAATTGTCGCAGGTGTCATTACAGTCAGCCACGTTGAAGGCCTCGTTGAAGTATCTCAAGACCTGCGCACGACGGCAGTCTGCCCTGTTGTCGCAGAATGCCACAACGTCGTTCAACATGCGGTACTGTCTGGCTTTCTGCTCCTGACTGCCCTCTCCATCTCGGATCTGCCTTTTCATTGAGTTTGTGTCGCCGTAATTGTAGAACAAGTAGCAACCTGAAACAAGGCCGTCTCTACCAGCTCTGCCTGTCTCTTGATAGTAACCTTCGAGCGATTTTGGGAGCGTGTGATGAATGACGAAGCGAACGTCTGGCTTGTCGATGCCCATACCGAAAGCAATCGTTGCGACAATAACATGACAGCGTCCCTCCTGCCAGTCTCTCTGAATTTCTTTCTTCTCACTGGATTCCATCCCGGCGTGGTAATGTTGTGCTCTGATGTTGTACTTATCGCGCAAATCCTCGGCTACCTTCTCGCAGTTCTTCCTCGAGTAGCAATATACAATTCCGCATTTCTGCCTGTACTTCTCCTTTATCAGTTTGGCGATTTCGTTCAGGACACCTTTTTCCTTTTTAAGCACGTGATAATGGAGGTTAGGTCGATTGAAGCTCTGCTTGTATTGCTCGCAGTTTGTCATACCGAGGTTATGTATGACATCAAGCTTGACGTTTTCTGTCGCCGTGGCGGTCAATGCCATTACCGGGACACCTTTGAAGCGCCGTCGAAATTCACCTAGCTGCTTGTAGTCTGGCCGAAAGTCGTGACCCCACTGGCTGACACAATGAGCTTCATCGATTACCAGCCTTGCCAGGAAACCACGCTGGTGCAGTCGTTCCAAAGCGTTCACTACACTGCGACTGCTACTCAGCATTTCTGGCGTGACGTATAGAACTTGGATGAAGTCGTGGGGCCGATTTTCCCTGAACGCCTCGAATATCATGTTGCGTTGCTCACTGCTGCATTCGCCGTTGAGGTAAAGGGCTTGAACGTGAAGTTTGCGAAGGTGCTGAACCTGGTCCTCCATGAGACTCAAGAGTGGCGAAACGACTACGGTGACACCTCGTGTTTTTCCCGACGTCACCACAGCCGGAAGTTGGTAGCATAGAGACTTGCCACCACCGGTGGGCATGAGAACGAACACGTCTTTCCCAGCCAGGGTAGCATTGATGGTCTCAAGCTGGTTCGGCCGAAAACCCTTCAGCCTGAAGACATCTTTGAGTTTGGCCTTCACCTCCTTCGACCACGGGTGCTGCATGAGAGGTCCTTCCAAAGTGGTCGATTGCTTTTTCGCTGGCTTGTTCGTTACGAACGGGTTGGATCCAGCTCCATCATTTTGGACTGAACCAGGTAGTGTCTTTGGAACTCGAGCTTCCATGGAAGGCAGACTGGTATCGCAGTTGTCAAAATCGTCTGCTTGGAGCATGTCTTCCTCGGGAAACTCAAAATCGTCTTCCTCCGATGCTATTTGCCTCGGTGGGGTTCCCATGTTATTTGCAAATAGAACTTCATCGTCATCAAAATCGTTCTCATCAAACTCAATCGGGACGGTCGGCTTCTTAAAGGGCAAAGACGTGGGAGTCGCTCTGCCCGACATGGACGGTCGCTCATTGAGTTTTGAAGCACTAGCCTGTGCCATAGCAGGCCTCGGCGGTCGCATTTGAGTCTCGATTCTCTTCTCATTCCCCGATAAACCATCAGTATTACTTCTGCCAGCCAACCCGTTGGACGTGGTGCTTGTGCTAGCCTTGAGCATTGTCTGACTAGTCTGGCTGCCAGGTCTAAAAAGGGGCTCGTCCGGCTTCATGCTCCATTGGGCGCCTGCAAAAGCATTCTTCGACGGGCTATATCGCGGATTTGCTTGAGTCTGCTTGATCCTTGAAGCACTAGAGACGACGCTCGATTCAGGAATCACGTCTCGAGACTGCAGAATTGCCGAAGGGGGCTGCGTCGACTTGACCTGAACTGGAGCCCGGTTAGAGCCTAAGAGTAGTTCTCCAAGAGTGCCATAGAGGCCCGGCACCTTCAGGACTTGAAGCATGTCTATCTCGTTTTGCTTGATCAGCTCCTTGAGCTTCCTGTTGTTCGCCTGGTCCTCAATGGATAGATCAATACCCTCGCGAATAGCCGCCATCATCTGATTCTGAAGCTCCGTCTTTTTTGCCGTGTGTCTTGCATGCATGATACGCGTTTCCACGAGCTGCTTCAAGGCGTCAAGCTGATTCTTGTTCATGACCAGCTTTCTTTGAAGCTCGGGCGAGACTTCGTCGTGCAATTCTACGTAAGCCATTTGCTGCGGCACCAGTTCCTCTCTTTCTCTGATCAGGCGGCGCTCTGCGAGCGTGATCGGAGTATCTGTCAGCTCAAGCACTTTCCTGAGCAGGGTTTCATCGTCTTCAGTCAGGTGTGCTGTCGATGCGACAGGGGTCAGAGTCTTGAGGGATTTGTCAGGTGAACCTTCATCATCCGAATCTGCAATTATTCTTTTGCGAGCAGTGCTGCTCGACACCGGCGTTTTCGATTTGACCGCGGGTGAGACAACCACCCTCTGAGGCCTCGTAGGAGACTCCATCACTTGCATCTCTTCTTCGAATGCTATTGCCTGCTCTATCTCCTCGTCCGTAGCCTCAACAAACGGAGACGGATGAACGGGTGGGGATTTGAGGCATTGCACTGGGGCAAACGCGCCGCGCGGCGTCTGTGACCCAGGCGCCAATGTTGCGTATGGCGGCGGAGGTTCATTCGGGTATACATCATCGATCGAAGTGAAACCTTCGTCCCCCGATGCTGCCGCCAACGTTCGTGCAACCTTGGGTGATCTGCGCGAGCGGCTGGGCGAGCACGGATGAGTTATCTCCTCGCTCTTTCTTTTCCTGCGCACGGTTTTTGGACTGAAGTGGCCGGTAAGATCTAACGAGACTACGTCTGCAGCGTCCAAAGCGGCCGTGTTCTTCGTCGCCACGGGCGTGGAACGAATCCTGGAAACCGGCGAGCCGGAAGGTGAGCTGGAACTCGCTAGCTTCTGCCGTCCTAGGAACGGATTAGTTCCTTTAATTTCGAACAAGACCATACGTATTTACCGTTCGAAGCGCTTTCGCTTCGTTTCTCTCCGCCGAGAAGAAGTCGCGGCTTCGAAGCGGACGTCGGCGCAGCCCTCAGCCGGGCCATCTCTAAACCCCCGGCTTGTCCTCCGTTTGTATCTCTTGGGGGACTATGCACGGCAGCGACCGTCAGACTTGCAGCTTGTCCAGTGGAAGAGCCCGAGGATCTCTCACGACCATCCTCGTGATATACGTCGGAAGAAGACACGACAGGTGGCGGCGGAGGCGTGAATGGCTTTTCGCGCAACAACCAGGCAAGGTGCTCGTTCAGGTTATTGACGGTGGCAGGAGACATCTGTCTTTCGTCATCTCGAGTAGGATGGGGTGCTGAGACGCGTCAAAACACGGTCTGAAGAAGTGATTGCGGGCGTTTGCACAACCGTGGGGGACGATGTTGGGCCAAGGTCGCGCGGTGTCACGTTGTCCGGCACGTGATGTGTTGGAGAGTTGCCGTAAGTTAACTTAGTGGTCGTACACATTCAGGCTCCTACTTGTTCTGCAATTGGCTCTGTCGATCGGGGCTGCTCTTGACTTCTCACAGGAGAGCGTAGACGAACATGTTAGCTCCTCTTCATTTTCCAAGTTTTTTGCCTTGTAAGCACTGCTTGACTAGTGCTGCAGTGCTGGACCGATTGATTCATTTTACGCGTATGAGCAGGCTATGAATAGTAGACACGGACTTTCGACCAACACGCCGACGACGAGAATGTATGATCCATTCCATCGTAGTTCGTTCTTTGTTCCTTTGTCTCAAGCTAAGGTCGTGCGCTGTCTATGCTTCTCGCGTAACGTACACGCCGTTCGGAGAGAGCAGACGTTCTCTTCTCTTTTTTTATTCCGCAAAATTTCACACCAGCCATGTTGTCGGGACCTGTTTTTCCCGCATAAAAATTCACAGGTCCCGACCGCCAGTCGAATCTTCACCTTCCTCATGGAGATGGAGACTGACACGTCTCCACCTTGCAAGTTAGCCTCGCAAACTATTGCCGTGTTGCTGGCGCATCGAGTTGCCAAGCTGAGTCATCGAAGGGTTTCGAACCACGTATAAAACCGCGGTCGGAGGGGAACGAAGAAACACACGGTTCGGACGTCGTCTACAGATGCCCGGACGCAGTTTTTGGACCTGAAAAGCCATGGACATCCCATTCTCATGCTCGCTCCGCGGCGGCAACGTGCTGCCGCCCGCCAGCGCCCTGGAAAAGGCTCGCGCGGAGCTGATCAAACAGCTCTCGGATGGCGGGCTCGGCGAGCAGGCAACGGAGGATCTCGTGCGAGACAGCGTCTGCCCCGGCTTGAGCGGGAGCAGCCAGACGCCAAATTACTACGGCTTTGTGACCGGTGGCGCGACGCCTGTGGCCAAGTTCGCGGACAACGTTGTGACGGCGTACGACCAGAACGTGCAAGTGCACCTGCCCCACGAGTCGATCGCCACGGATGTGGAGGACGCCGCGACGGGGCTCCTGTGTCAGCTGCTGCGGCTAGAGCCCGACGAATTCAACCATCGGATCCTCACGACGGGGGCCACCGCGAGCAACATACTCGGCCTCGCGTGCGGGCGCCAGTGGGTGCTGCAGGAGGCGGCGCGGCGCGGCGGCCTGATCGAGCGCGACGTCGCGAGCCTGTGCGACGTGGGCAAAGCGGGCGTGGCGAAGGCGATGCGCTTCGCCAACGTGGACGAGGTGCAGATCCTGACCACGGTGCCTCACTCGTCGCTGTCCAAGGCCGCGAGCGTCGTCGGGCTCGGTCGCGACGCCGTCAAGCTGCTCGGCCGCGCGGACGCGCCGCACAGATTCGACATCGAGGCGCTGCAGCGCGAGCTCTCCGGCTCCCGGGCTGCCTCGATCGTGGCCGTGTCCTGCTCGGAAGTCAACACCGGTCTCTTCGCGACCACGGGCGAAGAGATGAAGACGATCCGAGAGCTGTGCGACAAGTACGGCGCATGGATACATGTGGACGGAGCATTCGGCATCATGGCTCGATGCCTCGACCCTAGCGACGAGTATAGCACCATCCTCGAGGGGTGCGCCAACATGGAGCTGGCCGATTCCATCACGGGCGACGGCCACAAGCTCCTCAACGTTCCCTACGACTGCGGCTTCTTCTTCTCCAAGCACCCGACCGTCGCGTTTGCGGTGTTCCAGAACGCGGGAGCCGCGTACCTGTCCACGGGCCCGTCAGAAGGACAGACCATCCTCTCGCCTTTGAACCACGGACTGGAAAACTCAAGGCGATTTCGCGCGCTGCCCGTATACGCCAACTTGGTCGCGTACGGGCGCGCCGGGTATCAGGACATGCTCAGGAGGCAGATCGCTCTCAGCCGGAGAATAGCCGCCTTTGTACGGGAACACGACGGCTTTGAGCTTCTTCCGGCCGGCCTCAAGGAAGGCGAAACCTTCATGATCGTGCTGTTTCGCGCCGTGGACGCGAAGCTGAATGTCGAGCTGGTGAAAAGGATCAACGCCACGTCCAAGGTTTACGTGTCCGGCACAAGCTGGGACGGCGCGCCAGCCTGCAGGTTTGCCGTGAGCAACTGGCAGGTCGACGTGGAGAGGGACATGGGCATCATAGCGGGAGTCCTCGACCAGGTGTGGCAGCAGAGAGCTGGATGAGCAACAAGCGTACCAACGCAGGCATTTCCAATTGCTCGAGTAGTAGATCCTTCACAAATGCGCTCTCTGGCCGCCTCGCGTCTCACTGGACGCAGCTTATGTACAGATACATACAAATACATGTTCATCCATCCATTCATCCTCGTATCCATCCATTCGTCCGTCCATATGCACAAAATCACCCAAAACCGCCCTCGAACTCGTTGGAAATTCACAAAGCGAACACACCACGGATGAAGCGTAACACGCATACGGTGTTTTTATCTCCACTGTGGGGTGTCATTCCTTGTCTCCCCCACCGGGGAGAGGGTGGTGGAGACGTCATCATCGTCTCCGGCGGCAGCGACGGCGGTAGCGGCGTCCCTCCAAACCAACTCTACCACCAACCGTCGGCGTCGAGCGGCTCGCCCGCACAGCTGCTTGGTCCGAAAGTCACGAGCGCGCGCCCAGATGTCGCGGCCAATCACTACTCCCAACACGGTCTAGCTGCGACACGCGCCAAGCACTTTGGCGCGTGTATCTCGCGTCGCGTCGCGTCGCGCAACGGCGCAAACTTCTCCGACCAACTGACAACGAACGCGTCGTCGCGCACACTCCCCCCCCCCCAAAAAAAAAACGCGCTACGTTCGACCTCGCAGGCGAGTCTGTGGTTTCGGCAACGAGCTTCTTGTTTCGGTTTGGGGCAGGTGATCGGGCAAAAGTAGTCACGAAAGGCCCAGGACGGGAAAGGGAAGAAGAGGACGAGGGAAAAGGAAGCGCAGCCTGGATTCCGCGTCCCAAAAGAGCAGAAACAGAAGCGCTGGGGGGCAGGCAGGGGGGGGGGGGGGGAAAGAACAACCCGTATTCCCGGGACGCGGCGCCCGACGAAAGGGAAGTTTGAATTTAATTTTCTTTTTTTTTTATTTTCTAAAAAAAAAAAAAAAAAAAATAGGCACGCCCAGCCTGGCCTCAAACCCACGGGAGCTTTCTCACCGAAGGATTTCAAAACACACAAAAATGCTCCCGCGTCGCCGCCCCCGCCTCCTCCCCCTCCTTCGTGTGCGAAAGAGCCCGCGTGGCGCCCTCGCCACGACCGAAGCGGGGAGGGGATCATTCCCGTTCCTCCGGGAGGGGTGGGGGGGACTGAGGATAGAAGGATACGATCGGGTAGGTAGTTTAAAGGGAAGAGGGTGCGAGTAGAAAGGGCAGGTTCGTATTTGTATTGCTATGCTCCTTTGCCGTCAGGATTTGACGGCGCGTCGGAGCCTTTGAATATTCAATTCGCTTAAACTACATACACGGATTTGATGTACTCATGGGAGAGGTTTTTTTTCCCCCTCATCCTCACTCCTTACGATGTCGCTCGTGCCAAGGGTGAGAGAAGGATTTCCCAATCTTACATGTGGGGGCGCTACGGACTCGCAGCGGCGCTGAAAAGAGCTCCAGCCAATTCGCAGAACGTAAAAGTTCGACGGCGATCTGACCAAGAAAAATAATAGGACATGCTCGTTGCTTATGCGGCTTCCATGAATCCGTATCCGACATAGGATGTATTTGCCATTACAAGATAGTCGTCAAAAAAAAAAAGGGATGTCGAATGCAGTGACAGCAAAGCTAGGCCAAGAAATGCGTGTTCCGTCGAGGCGCAAGTGTGTAAAACGTCCAGGTAAAATGTTGTGTAAGACTGGTGGCGGTGATGGTAGGTTTTGCACTTTCCTCTTGGTCATTCCCGCCGTTCAGAAGCGACCAAGAAGATTTCCTTCATACTCTGTTCAGCTCGTTCCATCGTAAGCAGTCTCTTCAGCCAAAGCGTCGTCGCATCGAGCTGGCGACTCTTTCACTGCGAAGAGACCAGCTCTCCGCCAAGCTCCATACCCAGCCCGCTCAGCTTTGAATCATGTCCGATTCTTGGACTCTCGCCCGAGCTGGGCGGCATCAAGTTGTCGAAGTTGAGTCTCCGGCGTGTGCCAGCCCTTGCCGTCAGCGGGGTCTTGCTTGCGGCCGGAGTGCGCCACGCCGCCTGTGCCGGCGACGGCGTGACGTTCAAGTAATCTGAGAAGTTGAAGGTCGGACCGGGTGTCGTGGTGCCAAATCCGAGGAAGCCAGCGTTGCTTCCGCCAGGTGTGTTCATCATACTCGAAGGCAACGGCGTGCTTTTGGGCGGCGGTGTGGAAGGCGGGTTGTTCAAGCGAGGTGTTCTCGCCCCCCTTGGGACGGCTGGCGACGGCGACGCAGCGAGGAACATGAGCAAATCTGCGCCAGAATCCTCGCCATCTTGGCCAACGTGCGCATTGGGGAACGGTTTGCTCCTCAGCCGCGCGGAGCGAGCGATGTCAGGCGAAGGTGTCCGCAGGATGCGCTGTGGGGGCGAAGACGTGATGTTGGTCTGGAAGCTCATGACGGGCAGGTCCTCGTCGTCCTGCTCGGACGTCGGCGACGGCGATCGCTCTGCAACAGTGCTGGTTTCGGATATGAAGGACAGGCGCGGCACGTGGGAGTCGCTGTACCGTACGTGCCGACTGTGGTACGCAGGACTTGACTCCGGCAGGCGGTAGTTGCTCTTCCACGAGCTCGACTTGTGATGCATGCCCTTGACTCTGACTCTTGCGTGATTGCTCGACGCTGGGTAGTGCGGCAGCGGATGCTGTTGGTATCGCGCCCGCTTCCGGCCACCGTACGACGAACCGGAACGGGGAAAGTCGTCGGAGAACATGGGCCCCGTCAGCGGGGAGGAATCCAGCACGCCGCGAGAACTGTGATAGTAGCGCTCGGACACCGACGAGGAGGTGTCTGACGGCGCGCCGTTGCTGGACGCCGGTCGCTTGCGCTTGAGTTCGAGCTCGATCTTGGGCTCGAGCGTTTCGATGCTGTACTTCTCCCAGCCCTGCTTGACCTTGATGTTGGCCAGAGCAAGGCGATCCTGAAGGGCTCTGGTCATCTTTGGAGACGATATGGCGTCAGCAACGGCTTCGGACAGAACCTTCGAAAGAAGGCCATGAGCGGCCACAGTACCTTTGAAACTTGGGCTCTCCTGAGCACCTTGTTGGCAACCTCGGCGGGCCGATCCACGGGATGAACCTCAGCGGTTGCCATTGTCGACGCCTGGCTCTGCACAATTGGACAAACGACGACGAACGGACGTCTTGAGGCGTGGGAACAAAGGGCAGTGGAGAGAGGGAGGGGGGAGGAAGGGGAGGGAATATGGACGACGGAGTGGAGGGAAGAGGAAGGAGGACAGCTGGGTTTCCGCGAAGGAGAGCAGAGGTGCAGGTCGCCGGTCAAAGGAGGGTTGAGGTGAAGAGCAGCGGCTGCGTCAGTCAGTGTGGTCGTGCAGAGAGAGCAGAGGCGGTTCCGGCAGGGAAGAGAAAGCGAGCGTGAGTAGACGCACAGGAATCTTGCAGTTGCTGGGGAGGCGTCGCCCGATCGTCGATGGCCATTGGCTCGTCGCCGCGCAGAGTTTACCCCCCCCCGGCTGCCAAAACGCCTTGCAAAAGCCAGCTCCCGCCGACGACTCGACGCAAGCTTCTTGTTTCCTCGACCGACTGGCGTGTCCGCGACCGTTTGCAAGCGCTGCCCATTAATTTCCGGCCTTCTGTGGTGGGTCTCTTTCTTTTTTTCCTTGGTTGTTAAGGCTCCGCCATGGGCAGTCGTGGGCTCCCACGCCTTATCAGCAGCTCCAGCTTGCCCTCTGCTCCCTTTTGCTGTCGCTCTGCCCCCGTGCCGTACAATGACTGCCTTTTGCCCCGGCGCACACGGCCCGCGCGCATACTCGGGCGTTGGCGAGCTGAGAAACTCTCAAGGGCCTCGCCGTCTTCTGGTACGAGAACCTTGCCGGTGCGCCTGTCGATGCCTTTTATTCGTCCGCTGTGCCCTCCCCGGGATGGGGGCCCTTGGCTGGGGACTGGCCCGCAAAGCACTGCGCACGTCGTCACTACTGCTCATTATTACACTACTACGCCGCCGAATTGGCCTGGCACAGATCATGTTCTATTTCGCTCTTGGCGTGCGACAGCTCTGCGGCTCTGCTTCGTAGATAATGAATCCCATTAGGCGTGGCTTGCAGCTGTCGCACAAGTCGACAAGTCTGCCTACGTTCCTTGCGTAATTTTGTTCTTCGTACATTCTAGAAATCAAGATCGCGAATTGCGCCCAACGCAGTAGCTGTTTGCATGCATGACTTGAAAGAATTGATGTGGTATACACAGTGTTGCACATGGCAGCGTGATGATTGTTCGTCAAAGATGTGTTCCGCCTGCGTTTTCTTGGTCAATCGCCCGTCCCCTCCCGCGTGTGCGGGACCACCCCGTCCACGCAAGCATGCTGTGCACGCAGGACCGCAATTTGGCATGTCATCACCTGTCTCCGCATATGCGGAAACCGTTTCATTTCCGGTCCGTGGAGAGGGTCGTCCGCTGGACGCGCCGATTGCCACGACAGGTCGGCGGGGAAAAAAAATTCGTATGCGTGAAGAAGAAATGACATAACACTCGTAACAAAGTCAATAAAAAGTCATCGGACCGGCTCGTACACTCCTCTGCCGACAGCAGCAGCCATGATGAACATCCACACGAAGAAGACGGACCCAATGACCCAAAACGCAAACGCGGCATACCAGCTTGAGCCTGTTTGTCGTTAGTCTGGCTAAGCACACGCAAAGGCGACGGGTGGGCGCAAGACGTACAGATGCTGCTCTGCTGCAGCCAGGCCAGCGTGTCCACCGAGAGGCCCCTCACAGGGTTGTTGGTCACGTAGTTCTGGCAATTCGAGCTGACGTCGCCCGCACCGAACAGTTGAATGGCGGTCTCAATGACGCCCGTTAGGAACAAGACGAACAGCGCAAATGAGGCCAGCATCATGACGCCGGGCAGCAGCCGGTTTTGCGCAATCATGATGATCTCGAGAATGACGAGGAAGACGACGAGCGAGCCGACGGTGACGCCGTAAGGGAATAGCCTGTGCAAGTGCAGAGTTAGCATAAGCCTAGTTACCAGCCGAGCCCGAGTTGGGCCTCGTGCGTGGTTTTGTGCGTACCATGGTATGCCCAAGTCCAGCCGTTGCTGTATCTGTATGAACTGCGCGAAGACGCCGAGTTCGAGCGAGCCGGCGACGAGGATGATGATGGTCCAAAAGTTGAGTTGGATGGGCGGCCAGAAGTAGCGCTCCCTCACGACCACCCGCTCCGACACGTATGATCGCGCCATGGTGCCTGCTCGACGATATTCTTGCGCCCCCCAGCGGAAGGAGGAGTGATGGGAGAGCGGAGGGAAAATATGAATGTGATGTTGGCAAGTGTGCGCAACGTGCCAACGAAGCACGCAAAGGTGCGCTCGGGGCTATTCAGACTCGAACGCTGGCAGCCGGTGCGGCCCGACAGGAGAGGCTCGTCGTGTCGCGCTTTCGCGAGCAGCAGAACCTGCACCGACCCTCCAATTTTTTTTTGGAGCCACGAGTAATCGACGTGTCGCAAGGGGTCGCGCGGGACTTCGCTGCTCAAACGCTGTCCGTCGTCTGCGCTGCAAGCCCTGGGGGGATGCGTGGAAGGAGAATGGAGAGTCTGCGGTCGAGCAAATCCGATGGTGCCACGAAGGGGGAGGCGGCGCGAAATGATTGGGGGTCAGCGAATCGGACGGGCTCCGGATCGGTTCGCAAGGGAACGATTAAATTTTCAAAATTCAGTCGCTGCGGAGGAGTGATCGCGGCGCAGGCGGAGCGGAGGACCAGAGGGAAACAATCGACACGGGCTGGAGAAAGGCTGTTTCAAACGAAGGTGTAGCACGAGGGAAAAGCATGCGACGGAGGAGAATGGCCGAGACAAAAACAGCCAAAGTTACAGTACGGATCGTGCATTACCTTACGTCAACTTAAGTTACGTTTTCGACGGCGTGCGGGAGTGGCTGGGAAATTGCCAGATGCGGGTTAGCGTGCAAATAGAGCGAGGCTGGGGATTGCTGCGTGTTGCCGAGAGCCGCTTGGCTGCCGAGACGCCGATTGGGCGGCGCACAAGCGTGCTCGAGCGGTGATGATGCTTGTCCAACTGTGTGCGTTCGGAGCTAGTTTGTGAAGAAATAATAGCAATAATGTGCGCCTGAATCGTGCGCCATTTTCCGTTCGGAGCAAGCTCAGACACACCGTTTTTGCATCCTGCAGCCCTGTGCGACGGTTCTGCAGCCAGCAGAAGCCTGGATTCTGCAGCCATCGCCCGCCTGGCTCGTCGCGGCCGCATGACATAGCGACGAAGTGCAGTACTACAGAGAGAGAGTGTGTGTGTGTGCCTGGAAACTGCCCAATGGCGGCGTCGGAGACAACTCCGCACTGTCAATGACACCCTTCTCGCGGTCTGTAACGTACTGTAACGTACCGTCCAACGCCATCTCTCCTCGCTCTGCCTGCAATGTGTCCGTTTCCACCTGGTCGAACGTACGAGCCAAGCAACGCTTGTTGCCCTTGCATTCCATTTTTATAGCCCAAGCAACGTCTTTGACCTGCCAGTGCACAAGTAAGGGCGCACGGGTCCACATTTTGCGTGCACATGCTCGCGGGCGTGGCAGTATGGAGCTCGCAACCGATGCCCTCTGCGCAACCGCCTCCCAGAACACAACAGCAAATCCACTGCCCGTCACACCTTTCACGTTCAAGCCTTGCGTGAACGGCGTCCTGCACGGCGTTTTCACAGTCGTACAAGACAGACTCCTTGTTTGGCGAAAGGATTCGTGCCGCGCATGCGCTTCTGGCAAGCTCCGTCGAAAACCCATCCTTCTCAGCCTTACTCGTAAGGCTTTCGCCACCACCACACGCCCATTGTGCAACGTAAGAACCCGCACGATTACGACAGTCAGCACCCAACGCTGACGTAGCGCGTGCCACCCGACGACACACACGCCCATGGATTCGCTTCTCCTTATCAACGAAGCCTTATCATGCCGTTCTCTTGTCTGTCAGGTCGTCGCCGCCGCCGTCCGGTAAGCTACCCCGCCCGTGACTCTGGACAGCTCGTGTCTGATTCGCGGGGAAGTGTTCCGCCATTGCAACACGTGTGGATGACATCAAAGCCCAGAACACGATTTGCCCGCGAAGCAAAACAACCTGTCACAGTAGACGGACATTTCACTTGTTTGCTTCACTTGCCTGCCGTGATTCAAGCTGCACCCCAGAGCCAAGATCCGGCCCGAATGGAGCGGATTCACAGCTATGCATCTTGGCCCTCTGGCTTACTGGTGACCAACAATCGTGCGTCGCATTACATATAGTACGGGTGGCCACGAATGTCGCCTCCGTCCAAACAAAAACCGCACCTACAACCATCCGCAAACTTGCTTTACTTGCGCGCTCTAGCCATCGATCGACATGGATCACAACGACACATCTGAGAGCAGGGAGCAGAGGCTCAAACAGTTTTTCGACTACTTCAACACGCAGCTGAAAGGTTGGTGCTACGTCACGTCCTTGGTCCACACACGAACCAAAAAAGAAATTACAAAAAAAAAACCGCTCACACACCCGCAACAGTTCTGAACAAGGATTTGGAAGAGCTGTCTGCGCTAGACACGAGCAGTTTGCAGCGCCGGGAAGGCATCGACAATCTCGCAAGGGAGATTCAGCGGGTCCAGGAAGAGGTACAAGATGCGTCCTCGTACACGCCGGACTATGACCAGGCCCGTTACGCCCAGGAGATTCGCGCCTTTCGGGAGAAATTGCAGGCCGCCAGAGCCGCAGCAGCGTCCAGGTCCAAATTCGCCTTCAAATCAGGTCGCAAGATCGCACCGCCAGCGGCAGCGACGGCAGCCGCAGCGGCAGAGCCGTCGGCGTCGACGTCCACCTCGTCAGGCGCCGTGGACGACAGCACGGATTCCACTCCCACGCCAACACCGACGCCGGGACTGAAGAACGGCAGCGCCGTAGACGATCGCGACGACCTGTCGTACATGCACATCATCACGCCGCCGACGCGCAACAACGAGTTCGAGGCCATCAAGCACAGCGTCATCAACCTGCGCCATCCCAGCGTGCCGGGCAGCGTGCCCACGTTCGCCGACCTGCACCTGCGGCACATCAAGACGTCGCTCATCATCACGGGCGTCCAGACGGGCGCAACCCACGTCACCAACGTCAAGAACTCCGTCCTCGTCGTTGACACCCACCAGTTCCGCATGCACGACAGCAAGGACGTCGACGTCTACCTCGCCTGCGCGACCCGGCCCATCATCGAGCGCTGCACCCGCATCCGCTTCGCGCCCCTGCCCAACCTCTACGCGCAACGTCCCGCCGCCGAGCCCCCCAGGCCAAACCTGTGGGACCAGGTCGACGACTTCAACTGGCTCAAGGCCTCGCGCAGCCCCAACTGGACCGTGCTGCCGGAGACCGAGCGCGTCACCGAGGACACCTGGCGCGACGTCGTGCCGGGCACAGAGAAGATTGGCTTGACGGACATACTCATCGCTGTCGGCGTCAAGGACGCCGAGAAGGGCCGCAGTCGCCGGGGCAGCGAAACCGCTGGTGGCGACGGCTTCTAAACTCTTCTTATTCTTCCTTTTTTTTTCTGTTCATCCCCTCTCCCTTACTTTCTTGCGGGGAAAAAAAAGGGGGGGGGGGGTCGGGGACGGGCAGGCGTTCTCAGCAACGACTAGACTTGGATAGGTGATGGACACGAAACGGACACGACTGCACGAGCAAATGACGAACGGCAAAGGATGAAATGGGAAATGGGGGAAGAGAGAGAGAGTGGGGGGGAGCAGGGCGGCGAAGGGAGTTTTTGCACCCGGTTTGACTCTTGAACTGATACACCCTCTTACTTTCAACGTGCTATTTCTACTTGAAAATCTAGCTATCATTTTCGCTTTTCTTCTTTCTCACAGACCAAGACCCTATCGCAAGGAACGAAGGGGGGGGAAAAAGAAAAAAAATTTATTTTGCCCTCATACAGAGTCGAACTGTAGACCTCGACATCTCAGTAGCGGTTACTAGTGTCGCGCTCTACCAACTGACTGCTCAGACGTTAGTCGAATGTTGCCGTTTGAGTTTGATGACTCAACATACGCTATAAGGGCTGGACCCTGAAAAAAAAACGAAACGAAATGTATAAATGTGACATTGCCAGTGCACGCTTCCGACTCGACGTCCGGCGGTCACTGCCGCTGTCCGCTTCGTGATCGCGTCGGAAGGCGCGGTCTACGCGAGCGACGACCCGTCGTCCACGCTCCGATCGTCCGCTTTTGGCTTTTCGCCCTTGGTCTGGCCACCGCCTTCGCTCTTGGCAGCCGACCGCTGCTCCGCCGCGGGTTTTTCCAGCAGCTCGCGACTGAGGTAGTTCTGGAGCCTCAGCAGCGCCATCTGCGGCTTCCAGCTCCTCCACTCCTGCCTCACGACGAGGCAGGGCGCGTCTTCGAAGACGGTGCCGCTCAGGAGCTCGTCCAGCTTCTCCCGGCCCAGCAGCTCGACGAGGCCGTACACGGGCACGGCTTTGCCGTCGCAGTCCGTCGTCGTCGAGTATCGGAAGGGCGGGTAGACGGCGGCGAGGTTCTGCAGGGGCGCCAGCACGGGCGCCAGCGGCACCTTGATCGGGCCGGGGGCGCGGGGGCATCGCAGCAGCTGTTCCCCGCGCGCTTTGTTGCCAAGGGCCTCGGCCGCGAGGACTTCCATGTGCACGCGTTGAGCGATCAGATCGAGCTTCTCGCTGGTCAGCGGCACGGTGTACAGCACGCAGCCCACACCGGCGCCCATTTCTCTTACCGCGAGCGCGCCGCCATCACAGCGTTCAACGAGGCGGGCGCCAGGGTGTCTGAACGGCCACTTCAGCACCTTGACGGCCTCCTCCCTCAAAAGCTCCAGCACCAGGTCGCCCACATCACGCCGTATCTTGAGCTTTTTCTTCATCGCGGGCGTCAGGTGCTTGCCGACCGCCAGCGTGGCCACTCGGCGCCCGTCCTCGCCCGCGAGCATGTCCAGCGTCGCCCGCGTGAGATCGAAGTACGTCTGCGGAACGGACTTTGGAAGAGGCTTGCCTGAGGCCGAGGCCCACAGCTGGACGGGAACCCACGTGAGCGCATGCGGTGGCTCCGGAGAAGGGTGCAACTGGAAGGGCAACAGGAAGAAGCGCGGGAGGTGGGTGTCCGTGACACCGCTTGTGCGAACGGGAGTGGCAAGAGCCTGCGCTGCACGTCTTGTCAGCTCATCCTTCGCATCCGGCGGTTTGTGCGTAAAGCCTTACCGTACGGGTTGCTGTACAGCCTTTTCTGGAACGGCGTCATGTCTTCTGGGAGGGGCGGCCGTGCCTTCTTCATCTTCCATTTGTTCCGCGCAGCCGCGAAGACGGGGTCTATGAACGGCGAAAGCGGCAACGGTGGGTTGCCGTGCTTGCGCGAGCGGTACGTTCGCGCATCGCCTGGTATCTTAGTGAAGAAGTTGGGACTGTCAGAGTCGACGTCTGACGGCGTTGGGTTGAATTCCCCTAACTCCTCTCCCGCACGCGTATGTCCGCGGTGAGCGCGTCTTGGGGTTGATTCAGCACGTCGCTTCGCATCTCGAGCGTCGATTTCTATGTGTTCTCGTCGTATCACCTCGTTCTCGATCGTTTGTCCTGGCCCACCGTCTTCCTTCGCCCGTGCGGCACTGGCTGTGAACTTGCGAATGCATCGTCCTTTTGGTAACTGTGGACGTCTCATGAATGAGACCCGCCATGCCTGCATGCCATACACCTGATAAGCATGCTCCTCGCTGAAGAGGTAAATAGTCGAATGCACGATGATCTTTGTCGTACTTGGATCGGGGCCGAATGAGGAAACACAGACGTTGCGGAGTTTGGAGCTCGGTCCAATTTCCGCAGCTCCCATGCTGTGCTGACATCAATGTCGCTCGACAAAACTGCTTCACTCTACGCATACTTCGCACCATGAATTTGCTCATATGGAGACCTGCAACCAGGGTCGCTAGTCGGAACTTGCCCAAATTCTCAAGTAGACCGCTCACGTCAACGGCAAGGCGGCGCAATGCGCCTGGGGCTGTCGTACCGCCGCGCTCGTGGACGCCAACGCCGTACGTAACGGAGACAGTGGTATGAAGGCATCCTCACCCTGAAGACCGACCGCGCTGATTCCACCAGGGAGGGGTATGGCACACATGTACGGGATCGCCATAGCGACAGCAAGGATAACGTTTGCTGATGCTTGGAGTGAAACAGACGACATCTTCTCCAGATTACTGAAGGTAACTACCTGCTCTGGCCGACTCGAAGACCGCACCATGCTAAGAACGCGCACAGGAACGCATCATATGTCTCAATGGCGAAGTAGACCAGCCTACCTCGGCGTCGATTGTCGCCCAGCTGCTCTTCCTCGAGGCAGAAAACCCAGACAAGCCAATCAACCTGTACATCAACTCGCCCGGCGGCTCGGTGACGGCAGGTACGTACTACTGCGGGTTCAGCGTTGCGAAAAGGACGATCCTCTGACTGCTAGGACCAAAAAAAAGGCCTCGCAATCTATGACACAATGACCTATATTCGCAGCCCAATAACAACGATCTGCATCGGCCAGGCGGCCTCCATGGGCAGTCTTCTCCTTTGCGGCGGCTCCCCGGGCCACCGCTTCTGCCTCCCCCATTCTTCCATCATGATTCATCAGCCGTCGGGCGGGTACTCCGGCCAGGCCAGCGACATTGCCATACATGCCAAGGAGATTTTGCGGGTACGAGACCAGCTGAACAGGATATATCAGAAGCATCTCACGAAGAAGCACTCGTTAGAAGAGATTGAGAAGTTCATGGAAAGAGATTACTACATGGGTGCGCAGGAGGCGCTCGAGTTCGGCATTGTGGATCGAATATTAGGGCGAAGAGAAGACGAGGACAATGAGAGTGGAGATGTCAGGTAGAAATATTGATGCAATGCGATGGTTTTACTTTTCCCATCCGTCGAAACCGGCATTCTTGTTCTTGCGTGTCTCCAAACGTTTACTAAGGCAAGTTGTCCCTCGGAGCCCGCGTAGTGACGGACCCAGGGTAAATTTCCAGCCTCCCTTTCCCTTCTCCAAATATCTATTCCGGTTCTACGAACCATATTGCGCAGCGCAAGGATGCTCCTCGTCGTATATTTTGGCGGCTGAACAACAACCCCTTTGTCGCCGTGTCACTTTGCCATGTTTTCATGAACGGAGCGGTAGCAACGGCTTGGGCCTTTCTTGCCACTTGATTCAGCACTCTCAGTAGCTCTCACAGCGACGGTGTTTCGTAGTTGTCCTACAAAAAGCTTCGGAGACGAACGCAGAAGGATGTCTTACCTGGCAGCAGCTTCGTCGACTGCTCAGACAGCCGAATTATGCGCCGTCGCAGCTTGGTCGAAACAAGCGAGGCCCTTCTAACCGGTACGCTCGCTTTGCTTTCACAGCCACGTACTTTCATCACCCAAACGACTCCGTTGACGTTCCGCTATCCGGTGTAATCGATCCGATCAACTGCGTATACAGGCAGTCCTTCGTCCGGTCATCGCCCTTGGCGTCGGACGGCGTATCTGAGTTCTTCGCCTTCTAGTACGCTGTGTTAGCCCGAATGCATCGCTCTCGAAGTGCATGCCGCCCCATTGGTATGTTCTCTTATCTGATCTGATCCGATCCGCAGTTACAATTCGCCGCCGTTCAGCTTGAACACAGCTCCGGATTCCCGAATTTCTCTTTCCATGTAACCGGGGGGTTGTGGCATTGATTTGAAGACGGATATCACACTGGACATTTCGAATGGTCGCAAGACCAAGAAAGCGCGATGGATTTCTTCATGATTCCTTTTGCAGTGGCACAATGGGATCCAAATTCGTTTGGATCTGGCATTTGCATCATGTGAACTCCGATCCGACACCGATTCGAGGATCACTGGAGGTGTAACAAGCCCACGTTAAATTGTCACGCAGTAAAGTCTCTCCCCATCGAAGCTACGAGCTCGTCTGCCGGTATGTTCGTCCGTATGGACGGCCGAACGAGCATGCTTGTTCACAAGCAGCAAAATGCAGTCAGAAGGCGCAAAGAATCAATCGACAGGTCAAATGAAGCGGTGCAAGCAACGAAGGGTGTGAATCCGTCAACATGGAAGAAGGTCCTGGCGCTTACGAACAGGCTGAAGCGGCCTTCTGGCCACCAGCGCAGAGTTGAGTTTTGTTGACGGCATGACGGCTCATGTCGTTTAAAGTGTGCTGAGAGCGTACGCAAACGTGGGGGACACCGAGTCATCAAACATGACCACGTTCGCCTGGCGCTCAAGTGGGGAACGGAAAGGTGCAGACGTTGCTCCGTTTCGTTTTCGGGGCTCCGATCAAGAAGGGCGGATGTCGAAGTTGATATAATCGAATCGGTCAATGCCGAACCAGGTGCGAGCGGGAGGCCACGGTTCGCCGAATGACTTGTGTGCTAGCACTCAATCCGTGGTGGACACGAGTGTTGCGATGGAACACCATCGCCCAGCTTGCGTTGTGGGTCCCGCAATACCAAGCTCTTCGTAGCAGAAGCTTGGTATACTTGGCAGGCGATGCCAGCGCAACGTCGTGCCATCGACGGTTTGGAGATGGCCATTGCTGTGCTACTGCCTTGGTCGCTATGGAGTCGAATGAGAGCGGACAGGCGCGGCGGTGGGAGATAAAAAGCACTCCAAGTGTCTGACGGCATACGAACGGTCTTGCTGGACAGATTCCCCCAGTCTGGTCCCGCCCAAGCTTCTGCAGTCGAACACCCAAACTTCTGCGCGTCTGCTCGCTTGCCGCCTTGCAGGCGAGCTCACACCACACCATCAACTCCAGTCCTCCACGCAGACCACTGCGCGCGTTCCATGGCCCGGCCGGCTTCACATATATCAGTGCGCCACAGCCTTCGCGGTACGAGATTTGTGGTCCGCGCCTTATCTTTGAAGGCGAGCTTGAGTCACTGGCCGCTGTCAGCAGAATCGTTGCTGTCCAAGGGGCAACGGACGTTCCCCTGGAGCGGATCCAATCATCGTCCAGTATGTTATCAACGACGCTGCAGGCCGGAAAACCACGTTTGTGAAATAGGCACGAATGGCACATGATTTGCGATGTCACGACAATCTCAGAATGTCTGAATGCGCAATACTGGTCGTACGCTCGACCACAGTCTTTGATGCTTTCGCCGCCTTTCGTCACGGCAGCGACATCAGAGTTCATCTCTTGCAGGCTGTCGACGTCGGCTCTTTTGGGCCTCTCAAGAACGAGCGTCCTGGCCTTGGCGAGGTCGCAAAACCGCTCCAACTACAGCTCGCGCTGTGCGACTTCCACAAAATAGGACCTGGATCGCAAACAAAATAAAGATTTGATGTGACGCAATTGTAAATCGACATGCGAGCCATACGCCCGGACCATTTGTCATTCTAATGACAGGATGCGTATCTTTGCTGCTGGCCACGAGAAAGTGTTGCTCGCCAAAATTCTGGACAGCCAACGAATAGGGAGACGCGCGGTTCACACTTCAGCGACGCCAACACCGGATCCACGCGCCAAGAGGACAGCAGCTTGCTCGCTTTGGAGTAATCCGGGGATAATGAAGTTTTGATAAGCATTTTGGACGGCGAGTCCAGAGCAAAGCTTGTCGACGGTAGCGAGAGATAAGGACTCGACGGACCAATCACGTCCCGCAAACATGGGCGGCCCGGTACGAGGCTGCACAGAAGGCTTGCGACTTTCCATCCGCCGGACTCTTGGGTCGATTAGAACTCCCCAAAGGTGCGTGGGGACTTGCATGCCGTGATCGTATGCAGGGCAATTTCTTTGGTCCCGTCTTTGACAGGGACAGCCAGCGGCGTCGAGCTTCTTCCCCTTGAAAAGTGATATATTCGCGTCGCGGCCGCAGACTGAAAATCTTTCTGGACCATTCTTTCCTTCCCTTTGCCGTCCTCTGCGGCTCCTCCCTGTTCTCTGGCCTTCTTCATCCTGTCCTTTTTTTTGGCTTGCGATCATCATGTCCAGTTTAGTCGCGCCATCTTGGCTGAATCAGGGTGACAACGCTTGGCAGCTAACCGCTGCCTCGCTGGTCGGTCTCCAAAGTATTCCCGGCCTCGTTATCATCTACGCTGGTATGTGAAATCCGGAAGCGCAATGTTTTTGCCCTTCTTGCCTTTCGCGGTGCTCACTATTCGCAGGTCTTGTGAAGACGAAATGGGCTGTCAATTCGGCATTTATGTGCTTCTACGCCTTTGCCATGACGCTAGTCGTCTGGGTTGTTTGGGCATATCGCATGGGTTTCTCTGAACATTTGATTCCTGGCCTGGTTGGCAGACCCGGACCTATCTTGTCATCTCAAACCGAACTGTCCGCTACCATCATTCCCGAAGCCAACATCACGGCCGCGTTCCCAAAGTCCACAATGATATACTTCCAGTTCGTCTTCGCTGCGATCACCGTCATCCTGATGGCAGGCGCGTTCCTCTGCCGTATGAACTTTACTGCCTGGATGATTTTCGTACCCCTTTGGATCACCTTTGCCTACACGCCAGGTGCTTTCTCGCTCTGGGGAGGTGGCTGGGCTTTCCAACGCGGCGTTATCGACTACTCTGGTGGCTACGTCATTCACGTCTCCAGCGGTACAGCCGGTTTCATCGGCGCCTGGTGGATTGGTCCTCGGCTTAAGCAGGACCGGGAAAATTTCAAGCCGCACAACATCTTGCTCGCTCTCGTGGGTTGTGGCATCCTCTGGATCGGATGGAACGGCTTCAATGGAGGTGATCCATACACTGCATCACCTGACGCTGGCGCTGCTGTACTCAACACGAACATTGCAACTGCTGTCTCGCTGCTTGTTTGGACCTTCTTGGACATCATATTTTTCAAGAAGCCCGCGGTCATCGGCGCAATCCAGGGCATGATCACGGGTCTCGTGGCCATCACTCCTGCTGCCGTAAGTTTCTCGTCCTCTTTTCACTTTTCTTCTAGCGTGCACTCGCTAAGCCAAGAAACAGGGTGTTGTTGCCGGTTGGGGTGCGATCGTTATCGGTGTGTGCTCCGGCTCCATCCCATGGATCACGATGAATATTCTCGGCCCCCGTCTTGCCTTCTTCAAGGCCGTCGATGACACCCTCGGCGTCTTCCACACTCACTTGGTTGCTGGCACAGTTGGTGGCTTCTTGGTTGGCATATTCGCCACGGCGGAAGGCTGTGCCGCTTTTGCTCTCACGACACCAGGTGGCGCTGTCGCCGGTAACCCCAAGCAAATTGGCTGGCAGCTAGCAGGCGCTTGCTTCATCATCGGCTGGAATGTTGTGTGGACAAGCTTGATCATGGCGTTCATCAAGTACGTGTGTCGCGTCCCACTGAGGATGAGTGATGCGGATTGCATGATTGGCGACGACCTCATCCACGGTGAATCAGCCTACACCTTCGGCGACGCGGTTGACATCAGCACCCTTCACGGCATCAGGACAGATGAGGAGCACGCGCCGGAAGCAACAAGCTCAAGCACTCCTGAGCTTGCGGACTCAAGCAAGCCTGTGAAACAAGCTTGATTATTAGAAGACATACGATGCAAGAATAGAAATGGTGTGCAAGTGTGAATAAATTGTAATAGCTTAATTGACGTGTTATTACACAAGTCGCCCAGAGGATTTTGTGAACTGTAAACAACTTATTTTCCCGAACATACGCGTCACTCATGCGTGTATCGGTGTGAAAGATGTGAGTTCAATCGTCAGGTACAACATGACAGATAATACTCCGTACTCCGTGCCGTCATTTACAATTGGCACCGCGACTTTTAAAATAGTCACGTGATACACAACGTCATAGCGCAGCACTCCCGAGGCCGTGCAAGATTCTTGCCTGTGGCTGTGGCTGAACACCCACCATCGTCATCTGCCTACCTCCACGTCTCTCCCAGAACCCGATCATAAAGTAGCAACTGTTTCAAGACAACTTACTACAATAATTTGGATTGCCCCATCTGTTTGGAGCTTTCTCTTGACCATTCTTCCGGCTCTTATCATGTCACAACGAACGAGCGTCAAGGCCAACGGCAGTACCGACAAGGCCATGACGAAGGATAAACCTGCCGAATCACGTACGGATTTTGCTCTGCCTTGTTGTTGATGTAGAGTATCAAAGGGCTGACTCATGTGATAGCGCAGGATAAGCAGGTCAGGCTGCTTGCTGAAGATGCGGGCCACTTTTCGATGATCAGGTACAAAACCTTGCCTTGACGGGATATGTCCTCAGCTGCGAGTACTGACGCCATCTTGGGCAGGGCGCTGCATCTCGCCGATCTGATCACGGAACTCAATGGTTTCTGTGGCATCATGTCAGTCTTTTCGTCTCTACGCTACTGCCTCGGCGACCCGCAGGACTTTTCGAACATATGGCTTGCCCTCGTATTCACGCCGTTCGGGTTATTCTTCGATTTCATGGACGGAAAGGTCGCAAGATGGAGGAAGAAAGCTAGCTTGATGGGCCAGGAACTGGATTCGCTTGCGGACCTGGTATGAAACGTCCCAAAATTGCGTACGACTGTTGCTAAAACCACGAGGCAGATATCATTTGGAGTCGCCCCTGCCTGCGCCGCTTTTGCCCTTGGTCTCCGCACGCCTCTCGATCATGTGCTCCTCTCCTTCTTCGTCCTATGTGGGCTCACACGCCTTGCGCGCTTCAATGTCACCGTTTCGGCGCTGCCCAAAGATGCTACAGGAAAAAGCAAGTACTTTGAGGGCACTCCGATTCCTACGTCAATACTGGTCGAGGATGCTATGATGGCCGTATGGGTGTACAAGGGCTGGGTCTTGGACAACATTCCTTTCGGAACGTGGTATGCAGGCACGGCGTTTGAGTTTCACCCCATTGCATTCGTATTCGTTCTGCACGGGTGTTTGATGGTTAGTAAAACTCTGCACGTGCCGAAGCCATAACCGTCGCGCCTTTTTCTCTCTTTTTGAAGAAAGACTTTTAGCGCGGAACGTATTCATTTGCGACTATGGGAAGACGATCATCATCGGGCCGAAACTTAGGGCCAATCTAGATTTTATGCGGTCGCAAGCGATGAAACGTAGAATCATTGGTAATATGCATACTACATGTGGCCCAATTATCCCTTTTCTTCGCACTTCGCCAATTGTGGGCCGAGTAGATTCGGCCCGATATTCGCGGGCACATGATACGGGTAGTCAACCTTTGGGGCTAGATCGAGCATTGTGATCCAGACGTCAACGTCGCATTGAATCATCATTACGCCTGGTCCCAATCTCAGCATCACGAAAAATTCCATAAGGAGGATCGTCTGAGGCTGAAATTTCGCGCGAGACTAAACCTATAGGGGTTTGTGCACCAAATGTCATGATGACGTCGATAACAGTGATGTACAAACATTGCTCCGCATTTCAGAGGCGGATGCCCTTTTAAGTCTCGCTTGCCATGCTCCGTTATATAGCCTTGTGAACTGGCAATAAGCAGCTTGAACCTGAATTCATCTTCACCACTTCCTGAACACAATACGAAATCTCACCATCATGTACCGCTCAGCAATCGTACGCCAAGCACGGCTCCTCAGCACGACGGCACGGCTCAACAAGGGCCCGATTGAGACAGCGAAAGATGCTCTGAAGTCAATAGACCGAACAATTTCTGACGCCGCAGTGTCAGGCATCGAGAAAGGCGGTATGTACTGCATCGATCGGATGCTCTTCTCGTGTTTTTAATACTTGAGCAGAACAAGCCGCCGCGTCGATCAAGAAGCAGATGCCGTCAGCAAGTGACGTGAAAGGAAAGGCGTCGGAGCTGTCGGGAGAAGCGAAGGGTAAAGCAAGCGAGCTTGAAGGCCAGGCAAAGGGCAAGGCCGAGGAGATCAAGGGAAAGATGCAGTAATTGCTTGGCTCTGGTTTAGACCGCATGAAGCCGGGGCATCATTAGAGTCAAACGGCACTTCTGTACACCGATCGCTCGCTGTGTGCTTGACTACATCGTCCCAGCTTTCCCATACTGCAAGCGAAATTACTCGTTTCCCCTTGGCCACGGTCACTAGTTGTCAACACGGGAACCGCGCTGAACCCTCGTCATTTTGAGCTTTCGGACGCCTTCCGAAATTTCGTCCTGTATATATAATGGCATTGTATATGAAAATATTGGTTCTACTACCGCTGAAGTTGGCCGATCGTTCGTATCTTTTGATGTTCTTGGACACACAATAATCCAGACCTTTTGTCTCTGCGCTGGCGAAACAGCTGCGATAGGGTCTAAGTTGGACATTGCCTGGGACAACTTTTACGGTACGGCGAAATCAGAGAACTTTGCCAACTCTGTTGTCTCTTTACGTACTGATTTGCAACCTCGAGGGTGTAGTATGTACTCGGTTGCACAAAGTGCAATTCATGCCGTCCATAAAACAATTTGGCTCGGCTGAGCATCTCTTTATCGATTCCAAGGCCTAGCTGCCGCTCACGTCTTCTGCTACGAAGTGCTGTAGATACATGTGGAAGCTCACCGTGGTTGGATGCAATCTAAACGGAACACGCAAGTGTCTGCCCAGAACAGCATGGTATCTGAAGGAATATATGCCTGTCCTTCGTTTTCATATGTTGCCTCAAAGTAATATGTGAAGACATTTTGGGGGTTTAGAAGCTGCAGTTTCCTTCCACTTCTTCAGTTCGATGTTCTCAATCCTGCAGAGTGATGGCATGAGTACGCAATACTACCGGGAGTCCGCTTTAATGCCGCCGACGTCAATGCTTCCTGCTAGCCTGTAATTAGAGAGAAAGTGGCCTCACTCTGTTCGTCAGCTCATCGAAACACAAGCACTCGTAACTTCTCTGTCTTTTAACACGCTGGTACGAGGAGTTTTCGCATCATCTTCTGGCAGCCCATGAACACTCGAAATACCACTGTCTAGTCGCCTGCGAGCGAAGAGCTAGTGAGGATGCGGAGACTGACGGCTTACGTCGCCGTACGTGTGCCACTCTTCTGTGTCTACCGCTAAAGTGATAGCGAATACTGATAGCACCGTGTAGGGTTCGGTCACTTTGGCCACCGGCGTGATAACGTATGCAGCTCTCGAGCGTCCTAACTTCTACTCTGCGGCGGTGTACTTATCGCAGAGCAACGCCTGCCTAATGATACTTTGTAACATGGCCCTTGTCCTCGCCGGTAGCATCATCTACGCGCTGCAGCAATTACTATTTGGCCCACTGCGCCCACTTGAAACGGAGCAGCTATGGGAGCGCGGCTGGTTCGCAATGATGGAGTGGGTCTTCGCAATGTCTACCTTCCGCGACGAGTTCGGCGTCTGGTTTTTGTCCATGTTTCTTTCCTTGTTTACAGGCAAGGTCTGGGGCTGGATTGCTGAGGGTAGAGTGGAACAGCTGGAACAGCAGGCGCCGAATGACACCCGATTGTTCCACGGGCGACTGGTGGCGAGTCTGGCAGTTTACGTCTTATTTGCCGTACAGATGTTCAAGTATGCGGTGGACATTGTGCTGGTGGAAGCGAGACCAGGAATGACGATCATGTTTGTCTTCGAGTTTGCAATTCTATGCATTTCCGCGTGGACGACGTGCTTGCGATACGTGATCTGGGTACAGGAGCAGCGCACCATTAGGGCGCAGATCAACATGGCAGTCGAAGCGAGGAAAGCGGAGATCAGAAAACAGAGGAAAGAGGCAGAAGAAAAGCTGCAAGCAAACCCAGAGGCCGAAGACGCGCCTAACCTGGACGATCTACCCAAAGAGGATGATGTCGATGAGAATGAGATTGAAGCTCCGGGTTGGGAATCCAAAAGAGGATGGGTGTTTGCTCTCGATATCATCTCTGGTACGTTGCTACCTCCCAACGACTCGCTGCACGGCCACTAATTCATCTGTTCTAGACCTCCTTAAGCTCGTTGCGTACATGGCATTTTTCACCATTCTCACTGTCTTCTACGGTATCCCCATCTATATTATCCGCGACCTTTACATGACCATGCGCTCCTTTACCAAACGTGTAACAGACTACCTGCGCTTCCAAGCTGCGACCCGCGACATGGACACAAGGTATCCAAATGCAACAGCACAGGACCTTGCCGCAGACAGTACTTGCATTGTGTGTAGAGAGGAGATGCGACCCGCAGATACTGCGGCCCCAGAAGGTGCTTTTGGCCATGCCATGCATCAGAAGCAGAAGCCGAAGAAGCTGCCCTGTGGCCACATATTACATTTTGGATGTTTGTCGAGTTGGCTCGAAAGGCAACAGGCCTGTCCCATTTGCAGAAGGAGTGTGTTTACCCCAGGGCAGGCTCCGGCGAACGCCGCCGGCGTTGGACCGCCCGGACAGGCACCCGCTGGTTTAGCTGCGGCAGCTCCTAATGGGCACGGTCAAATCCCTCAAAATCGAGTCCAACAGCGGAATGATGGCCGAGTGTTCCGGCTTGGACCTTTGCGCATCCAATTCGGCGGCCAAATTGCGCGACCTAATGATCAAGAAATTCTCAATGCCTTGGGCAGACTGGCAATCAATCACCGTCAAAACCTCCAACGAAACCGCGATAATCTTGCGAATTTGGGCAATCCTACCCCAGTAGCAACGGCTCCTGCTCAACATCAAGCCGATGGTGTCGGTGCAACAGATCCAATAACATCGTCGGTAACCGATCCAGCAAGCAGTGATATCCATCCAGGCATCAGATCTGCAGCAGCAAGAATTGCTCTGAACACCATTGAAACACAGATTCAGCGTGAAATTCTAGCATTGAATCTCCAGGGACAAAGAGCTCAGACCATAAGGAATCTCTTGAACGAACTCGACCGATCTAGGGGCATTCCCCAACCTCCACCGAGGCAGCCACAAAATCGCCCAGCTGTCACTCCAGGTTCCTTGGTCGCTCCGATTCTTGGCACCGCCCAATACTTGAGACCTGATGTTTTGAATCAAGCACAGCAGGCCTTTCCTGTCGCTCGTGCTATGGACAATATGGCAACGGTCAATCCGCCTCAGGGTATTGTGATTCCGCAGGGTTGGACTCTTGTACCCCTAAGTTCTATTTCGGAGTCAAATCCAGCTGCACAAGCCGGCCCCCAGATGCTGCAGACATTGCTACAGCAGAACACCAATTCAACTTCATCTAACAGGGCTAGCGTTAACTACCAATCCTCCTTGCCAAATCCACTTGTGCACCTTGTGGCGGGATTCACAGGGAGTGGTTCACTTCCCAATGCTGTTCCACATATCAACGCTCAAAGTCCCTTTCCGGCACCGCCTGACCCGAATCCAGGGAATGGCAACATTAATGACACCCTGATCTTGAACGGAATCTCAAATGGAGATCACGCTACGCAGCCAGCAACAAACATACCGTCTCCTAGTTCATCATCCACAGCGCCTCCGCCGACAGCACCAAACGCCACATGGAGCTTCCCAAACACGAGATCTTCATCGACTGAGTCTGCGCCCACGCAGACGAATGCAGGGGAGGTGGACAAGGGTAAAGCACCTGCTTTGTCTATTTCTGATTCGCCTCAAGTTCCAGAGACACACGTGGAGCCACCGACACCCATCACCAGCCATTCACACATGCACGCCACAGTCGAGGATGCAGAGGGCGAAGACTCGGGTTGAGTTTGGGCGGTTTTAAAATTTGTACAGTAATCTCATCTTATTCCCGCTTTGATACAGTCGTGAAATGTGTGATGGGATGCTCATTATGCTCTTTGCATAGCGCGGCGCAGTCTTTTTGAGGGCTCTGTATTTTAGTACCTTATGGCGTAGTTAATCCGGAGGCAAAATGATTGCTTGAAAGCTGAATTAACTAGGATATTAACTATATGTGATAAAAGAACTAAATATCAGTCGGTCTCGTTTTGTAGCCCCGTATTCAGGCTCAAAAACCATCTGTTGAGCTGAAATGGCAGATGCTAAGTCGGATGCTCTGCTGATTCGAGACTAGTAGTAATTTAGCAGCAATACACCCATAGCAAAATTGCGTGAGCCAATCCTCAATTGAACTGTGTTACAAGAGCAGTTCTCAGTTCATAGGAGTAAATGTTACTAGTCTCCTGAGAAACCTTTCCAACTTGGCGATCCAGCTGAACGTTCGCGATGGAAGCTGTGCCCTTCTGATGCCTTAGTTCCACTGTATGTCAGAGAGATGTTCAGCCGCCCTCAGCCGCACCGTAATTCTTTTAGCGAAAGGCAGTTCCCTGACGTTCGTGCATGCTGAGTATCCAATGATGCTGGAAGAACTTGCATAGGCTAAGAAAGCTTGTTTCTGTATATTTTTTCCAGCTCTTCGCCACACTCAGCAGTAGCCACCCATTTCCGTTTCTGTATCTGAAGAAATGGGCTTAATGGTTGCCCTCTATGCCTCTGTGGCATCGTTACTTGCTGGCCTTGTACTACACATCGGCTATGAATTGCTGTTTTCTCCGCTTCGCCACGTCCCTGGTCCTTTTCTGGCACGATTCACAAGACTGTGGTATCTAAGATGCATGTATTCCGGCAAGGCTGAACAAGAGATCATCACGCTCCATCGTAAATATGCAAAACAGGGCCAGTTCTTCGCGCCGGTCGTTCGTCTAGCCCCGAATATGTACAGCGTCGTCGAGGCGGACAAGTCGATATACGGGGTTCAAACGAAGGCTACGAAAAGTCTATGGTATGAGAGCTGGAAACATCCCGCGCCTGAGCGATGGACGTTGTTCCCGTTGAGAAACATCAAACTGCACGCCGAAGTGCGAAGAAAGTTCCAAGGACTGTATTCGATGACTTCCATGATCTCTTACGAGACGTATGTTGACGAAAGCGTGGATGTCTTAGTTTCACGTTTACGGAAGGCAATCTCAACAGCGCCCGCGGGCGTCATCGACCTGGCAAATCTGTTTCAATGCTATGCGTTCGACGTTGTAGGCATGGTGACGTACGGCTCACGTTTCGGATTTTTAGACAGCCCCGAGAATGCAAAGTCGATATTTTCGGGACTAGATAGCGCATTCAAATACTCGGCGCTGGCGGGCCTTTTCCCATCCGCACACCCGTACCTGTACAGCATCATGGAGCGGATTCCGGGTAGTGGAGCGGCCAGCCGTAATATGGTCGTTGGGTTTGGAATGCGTCAGCTGAAGAAAAAGCAGGACGAGTCGTCTCAGACGGAGAAGGAATTCCACAAAGTTGCGACTGGAGAAGGCAACGCCGCCGAACCAGAAGATTTTGTTACAAAGATGTTGAACTTACAGAAGAGTGACAAGCAAAGCATCAATGCCTACCACATCTCCATGATGAGCTTGGGCAATATTTTTGCCGGTAGCGACACCGTGGCCATCACCCTGAGCGCCATCTTCATGTATCTGGTACAAACTCCGAGAGCAATCCGCCGACTACGAGCGGAAGTCCAAGATGCGCAAGCAAATCTGGCTTCACGCAGTAGAGAAGCGTTGCCTTGCGCAGTTTTGCAGAATATGCCATATCTTCAAGCTTGTGTCAAAGAGGCACTTCGGTTACATTCTGCCGTTGGTCTGCCACTGTGGCGGCAAAGTCCTTCGGGAGGAGTAAAAGTTGGAGGAGAGTACTTTCCAGCATCCGTCGACATAGGACTGAATCCTTGGGTGGCGCACTACAATGCTGATATTTGGGGCCCGGATACAAAAGAGTTCAGACCGGAACGATGGATCGAAGCTGAGGCAGAGGGCGGCGAGCGACCAAAAGTGTTGGAGCGTAACCTAGTGTCCGTAAGTTTTTCTTCTTTCTATCCTATTAGGAAGTTTATAACAAGATTCGTAGTGGGGACTGGGTTCGCGTACTTGTATAGGAAAAAACATCGCCATGCTCGAGATGACGAAGTTGATTCCACGACTGATCCAAGAATTCGATATGGAAACGGCCTTTGGAGAACGAAATTTTATCACACACAATCATTGGTTTGTAAAGCCCAGCAATTTTTTCGTGAGGCTTCGAGAAAGAGTCTGATGAATTATGCGCAACTTGCCAATTTGAAGTTTGAGCTAAAAGCCATGAATTTTTCAACATAATTTGATTTTGACCACTTAATTTGGAAATTTCGTCTTTAGGTCTGATGGCTATCCCGATCCTTGAATCAGTGTCTATTGATTTTATCTTCTCATCCCTTTTTGGTTCTTATGACAACACCGAAGGCTTCAATTGCTGCGAAAGTCATAAGCTTCTCAGAAATATACAGTCTGTGCTTTAACTACTACACTGAGTGAGCATTGAGACAGCCAAGCGATAGTTTATGGATACTTTATTGAATGTCTGCTATGACCCTCCATTCTTATTCATCCTAGCCAACCGTAAGGCGAACCAAGCGACTACACGATACGCAACGACCAAGACAGCGAGCAATGCGACATTGACTGCTGCAGGTCCGTTTAGATCGTACAAATCCAGAACTTGTTGGCCCGTGGAAATGGCGCACTCCCCATCCGGTAGCCTTTGTTCGTTATTGCAGGTGAACGTTTTCGGCAGTATTGCATAGTGAGCCACCGCGCGAATCGCGTATCTGCATGGACTCAAAAGGTTCATTTTCTTGAGAAAGCCGGGCATGTCTACGCTCATGCTACCTGCCAACACTTGCGCAAGCGCCACAAGTACCGTAGGAATATTGATGGCAAGGCCAGGGTGTCTTGCGAAGAGCGTGTTGAAAATGAGACCTAGACTTTCGCCACTGCAGACTATAGAGAAACATGAGAAAGCATAAACGAAATATACTGTCGCGCTGTTTGAGAGCCCGACAGCAAACACACAGAACACCCCAGCAAGCAGGCAACTTGAAACATCATAGGGAATCTCAAGAAGGGTGTAGCAGAGGATGAATGCCTCAACCCCGTAGAGACCATCGTCATTTTCCAGATAAAAGACATCCCTCTCGGCAGGATAGACAGCTAAGTTCTGCAAAACTCCAATGAAATAGAAAGCAGAAATGTTTTGCACAAATCCAACATGATTCTGAACACTAGCAAAATCGTCTCCAAGGGGAGCAAGAAAGAGAGTCAACAAAATGGCCAGACCCATCACTTGCATGGTTCTTGCAATCAAGAGATGTGGTTGCCGGCGAAAGTTTGTTATTGATCGATGAAGGAGAACCGGAAGAATTTTGCCTAATGGAATTGAACTTCTGCAGAGCGCACCAAGTTCAGCCGGAGTCGATATGGATGCTGTACAAGAAGCCAGCTCCTCCAATGCTCCTGGATTTGTGTGTGATTCAGTGATCATTTCTGTCGAAGAGGTTGTCGAAATTACATTCATAACTGACATCGTTGAATCGTGGGACTTGCCCTCAACCTTTTGTGACAGTGAAAGCTCGTTTTTCCAGGCTTCGGTTAATCTTACGACCCTTTCTCGGCTTGTGGCCTCTCTTTGCGTTTCCTGTAAATCTATGGTGATGAGGTCAACTGCAAAATCGGCAGGATTGGTATGCTGTGGACAGTCATATCCGAGACTGGCGAAGTAGCTCAGCATATTCGACGAAGAACCCGAGTACACAGGTAGCCCGCCACGGGTCAGCAGCAAAACATTGCCAAAGAAATTGAAGAAGATATCCGAACGAGCCTGGTGAATGGTTGTGATCACGGTACATCCTTCGGCTGCCAATTCCTGGAGGCCTTCCATTATTGAGTTAGCTGTGAAGGCATCGAGCCCACTGGTTGGCTCATCAAGCAGAATAATTCGAGGGTTTGTAAGTATCTGAGTTGCAATCGTGGTCCTTCGCTTTTCGCCACCTGAAATGCCCTTGACGGGGGGAATCTCACTTCCTATTTGCGTGTCTGCACAATCTTTCAGGCCTAGTTTTAGCATGATTGTTTCGGCTCGGGAGGTCTTTTCATGACTTGTCATCCAGGATGGTAGTCGCATTTCGGCTGCGAATCTCAGAGTTTCACGAACTGTTAGAGAAGGGAAAAGACCATCGTCATCTTGTGCTACATAAGAGCAGATGGATTTGATGACATTGCTGGTGGGTGTGGCTCCGTTGAACGTGAGCTTTCCGGACAATTTATGTTTTCGTCTTGCAGAGTCTTGCAATCGGAGAGCAATTGAGTTCAACAGGGATGTTTTACCACTGCCCGAGGGTCCCATGATGACATTGATCATGCCCGGTTGAAAAGTCGCTGTGATTGGGCTGAAGATACGCTTTGTGGTTGTGCCTTTGATTGACTTTTGTTCAACCTCGAGACAAAAATTTTCAACATTGACAGCAATTCTCCTGAACTTGTTTTGTGATTTCACGTCAAGTTTGCGCGGGTTAACCAAAGCTGTCATCTGGGATGTTCGGTATTTCACATTGGCCAGGTTGACTTTGAGAAACCTTAGCCCCGCTGCATTGAGAATGCAAAAGAATACAATAAATGCCAGCTGCGCAAGTATTGGTTGGTACTTCCATCTGGCCGGAATGCCAAGAGAGCTGAGAATATATCGACCGGTGTACTGGATGCATTCTGGACTTGATGCTCGCTGTGGATTTGGACAATCGTAAAAGTTGTTTTCGAATTCGTTGGCGCAGAATCCTGTAAAAACGTAGTACTGGAGCGGTCAGCATTTTTGGTATTAAGATAGACAATACGTACGTTGTATGTAATGTATTTGGTCCACCGAAGATAGGCTGGAATACTATTGCTTTGAATGAAATATCCTGCAGCAAGGGTTTGAAGTGTGTAGACTGAGTTGGCAATCAAGCTCGCTCCAGCAAAATGCCTTATGGTAGCTACACAAGTCTGAGCACAAGTGACTGCAATAAAATGATTCAAAATAACAATGAGGAGGAATGTTGGAAATCTTTCGATGTCAAATCCAACCATGAAGTAAAAGATGAGACTAAAGATAATTGGCACAGGTAAATCCTCGGTGAATAGCCTTGCAAGCCGCCGTGATAGTAGAAAAGGGATAACATCAATGCAACCCTCCTTGTTCTCTCGGTCAAACCCAGGCATGTCGACAGTTAATCGGTAAGTCTCGAAGATAAGGAAAAGATAGCCTTGCAAACCGCCTACACTATACATTGCTCCTTGTCTGGATTTAATGCCTGAGAGAGTCCTTGGAACGCGAAAGAATATCAAACCACAAGTAATCCCCATGACAACAGCCTCAATAATCGATGAAGCCATTCCCATTGGATCTCGGTAAGTAGTTAAGAGGGTTCGAGCGGTCAAAACGCGGGTCTGCAAAAGCCAACGACTTTCTTTTCGGGACTTAATTTTTGCATCCGGTTGAACAGGAAATTTTTCTGCCAGTTCTTTGGTTAAACAGTGCCGCGTCTCATATTCTTTCCACGACTTTCTCAGGCCTTCAACTCGACGCATACTGATTCGTTGCAAATCAGGACTCCGATCATCAATGGCGACCAGGTCCGCAAGAAAATCAAATGGGTTGACATAAGATGGTAGAGGATGACCTAAAGACTCAAACCAAGGAATACACAGATCACTTGGTCCAGAATATATGAGCGTCCCACCTTTGCTAAGTATGATGAGGTTGTCAAAATAGCCCCACATCTCGGACCGGGGTTGATGGACGGTTGTAATGACGGTTCGACCCTTTTTTGTGAGCGATTTCAGCGTTTTCACGAGTTGAAAGGCTGTCGTAGCGTCCAGCCCCGTTGTAGGCTCATCCAAGAATAATACGGATGGGTTCGCCAAGAGCTGAACCCCAATGCTGGTCCTTCTCTTCTCCCCTCCTGAACAGCCTCGCCGCTGGTAGTCTCCGATCCTTGTATTTGCACAATCCTTCAGGCTCAGCTCAAGTATGACTTCTTCAACGACCTTTTGTTTCTTGTCTCGGCTCAAGGAAGGAGACAATCGCAGGTCCGCCGAGTAAGTCAAGGTTTCGCGGACAGTCAACGTCGGGAGCAATATGTCGTGTTGCATTACGAACGCATGGCGTATCTTTGACAGGCCTTCTATACCGTTGTATCTTATGGATCCAGAGGATGAGATCCTAGAGTTCGAGGACCATTGCGAAACGGCATTGAGTAGAGTGGTTTTACCCGAGCCACTACCACCGATGATTGCAGTCAAAGTGCCAGCTTTCAAGGAGCAAGTGATCGAGTCCAAAAGTCGCTTCTTAGAATGTTCCTGTCTGCCATGGCGAATGCGGTGATAGAAATCTAGGTACGTGGCTGGTTTGAAAAAGGAGGGTGAAGAATCAACCTCCACAGTGAGGTCTTCAATCTCAATGTCGACTCGTTGAACATCATCTAGAGGTATATTGAAGGTCATTTTCAACACATTTGATTTAATGGAGAACTCTGTCTATTGGGAATCGAAAGGGGAAAGAGAGATTATCGAGAATGTGGCTGGCAACATTCTTAAGGATGGTTGGTTCAAATCATGGTGCGCTATCAGCACACCATCAACACGCCACGGGAGTATGCTTATTGCCAAGTCCAAGACTGTTCACATGTTTGTTTAGTCCAGACAGCTGTTAATGTCGAGTTGCTCAGCTTGCGGCTGAGAGTGTCAAGCGATTAGGCTGCATTGAGCTCGAAATTAGAACCCATCCCGAAAGACTTATGTAGCCACACTGGTATACTAAAGCACACATTCTTTGAGCTTCTTAGACTCAAGATCCTAACCGAAATCAAATACTTCCACTTGGGGAAAGAATAAAGATGTCGAAAAAAATGATAAAGAGGTTGAATCGGAACTCCAAAGTCGTAAACTGGCTGTCCCTCATTGGTTTGTGGAATTTCCGCTGGCCTGCGGCTGAAGTTGGGTCAAGAGTCGCTGTCTTGGCAGCAACCAAGCACTGGTTATCATATTTTCCTATGTGCTTCATCGCTATTGGCTGGTGAATATGCAAGAGTTTTGCTATTTTTACCCCTATCGTTAGCAGCTGAATACTGTTTTGAAATGAGGCTTACACAATTTTCATATTTGTATGGCACATTAGTCCTTATCGTCCTTGGCAGCAACGTTAGAGCTATCAAATCGTCGGAAACTTTCATGCTCCAACTCAATTCATGAGCGATAGACACGGGATGTTCAGTTGCTAATGTACATCGTCTTGACAGATTACGTGCTTGATGCTGCCAACGAGACGCCAATTAATCATACATTCTCAGGCTTTACAAAGGAGAGCTTGTGCAAATCAATTGGACATCTTAATCACTCTGAAACGATCAGCAGATCCAAATCTGCAAACCTTGATATAAACTACACTTTGATTATCGTGACAAAGGACGTGAGACTCAGGTTCTGTAGTTTTGTCTGCTGCGTGCTGGTGCCAAGCATCGTGAGGCGTCAAGGCCCGCAATGTGGGTTTTCATCAGGCAGCAAGTCTCGACGTCACCGTAGCGCGTTTGGCGGAAGCCCGAGAGCGTGACAACACGGGCATTCCCCGGCTCGAGACACGTCGCTGTCACAACGTCCACTGCTTCGCCGTGCGTTCGGTCGTATTTGACACTGGTGAATCTGTCCAACCCTAGCCCCTAATCTTTCCAGAGAAATACCGTCCTACGAAGCGCATCTCTGCGGCCTCCTGTCTCAAGGCCGAGCTCTAGGCCGTAATCAATCATGTCGCAGTTCATAACCTCCCTGTGGGAGTCAATCTTCACACCCGGCCCTACTCCAACCCTCCTCATAGCTGCTAACGCTACATTTGCCTCTCTTCAAATACTGCTTCTCATTCTTTTCCTTGCAACCTACTCGGCGCATTTCATTGCGCTCTCCACCATCTGCGCGGGCGTGTGGTGGGGCATCAATTGGTTTGCCGCTGAGCTGGCCAAGGCACAGCGCGCGGAGGAGGAAGCTGCGCGGATACGCAAGGAACGTCGTGCAAAATCACCCTCCGGTGCGCTAGATGGCGCCACTAGTGGAGGCGAAGGGGACGGCGAGGACGAGGAGACCGAGACGGAGGTGGAAGGGGTTCCGGCAGGGTCATCTTCGAGTCTTAGGCTGAGAGGCGGGCCGAACAAAATCAAGAATGTGCTCAAGAGCGCGGGCTACAACGTCGAGGGAAATATTGACGAGGCACAAGGGAGCCAGAGCAAAAGCCTCGAGCCACCCGCCGGGCTGCAAAAGCGGAGGGCCGGGCAGGGAAGCTCAACGGACTTGAGCGTGTCCGGCACGGACAGCGAGTGGGAGAAGATATCAGAGACTGATAAATAGACCACCACGTTCAACTGCGGTGAGCGATTAGGTGCTTCGCAGGTCGGCGGCGCCGATAGGACCAAGATGTTGCAGATTCGTGTTTTGGAGGAGATTTCTGCGTCTGGTAAATCATGCCTAGAGTTGCCTTACTCTTCAATCATCTCTGGTTTGAGCTATTTTACACACTCTCAACCTTTGAGACACCTTGATGAAGAAATGATAGACGTTTTGCAACAGTCACATGCATCCACATTATGCCATAGGATTCTTGGAGTGCACACTAAGAAATCGTCCCCTAGTATTCATGAACATATCCGGGCTGCCCTCACCAAATAGATCACCATCAAGATGCTTATTCAGTGTCTAAATAGACATGCGATTGACGTGATCTGATGTTGACCAATCCCGTAATTTGATATTGCCTGCTCTCGATGAACATTACTCAAAGCCCCAGTAGGTTAGCAAGATGATTTGAAATATGACTTGTCTATATTCTGTCTGATAAATTCATTTGCAGGGCGAAAGCTCCCCTTAAAGGCAGTGTTGGAATACTGTCTCGTCTGCTTGGTCCAGTGAGGGCATCAAGATGACAAGACCAGCAAAGAGAAGAGCACGTGGAATTACTGGAGGTATATTTGAAAAGAATTATGGTCTCAAGAGTCGACAGTAAGATAACTCCAGATCTACAGCATTTACAATTTAGGGCGAATCACTAGTATTATTATAGTAAGCACTAGATTGCCTACATCACTAGCGTAAAATATTTGAAAATAAAAACCTGGTTATATAGATACAAAGATGATATTTAAGGGGATGCCTTCTGAACGAAACATGCTTTTATAGGCAGAAGAAAGGTACCAATCTATGCCATGATAGGCTTTAGCAACAATGCGGTGACTTAAGCTGTCCGCATAGAAAACCACCGAGTACAAGCTTCCCTCATCTCGTATATGACTAAATGAAACATGGTACTTCAACGAAGTAATCGTCTGCATCTAGCGTCTACCTCTCGGTAACGCCTTGTGCCGAGTACTACCTCGGGCAACAGCAAACGGCTTATCGCATTCTCGGGCCCAGAATGCCTCCAAATCTCTTCAAAGCCAACATGTAGAATGCTCCCCCGAATATAGCACCCCCAACATGAGCGTCATGGGCTACACTTGTATCACCATCCATTGCATACGTATCATACGCAATATAACCAATAGCTAATGCCCATAACGGAAGTGGCACAACGCCAAATAACAGCATCTGTTGATGTGGCATTAGACACGCGGCGCTGGTCACGACTCCCGATACCACACCGCTGAATCCCAAGCCTACCCGCTGAGATCTGGACGACGCGCTTTCGTGTGAAAGAAAAGCCGCGGATCCTGCCAGCGCAGAACCGAAAATTAAAGGAGCCAAGTGTCGCGACGCCGTCAACCCGGGAGTGTAAACCAAGACCTGGCTAAGTTGCTGGAACGTGAACATGTTCACAAACAAATGCCAAAAGCTTATGTGGCTAAATGCGCTGGTGATGAGGACCCACCACCTTCCTTCGCGAACATTGCGTGTAGCAAGCAAGAAATTCTTCTGGAGATCCAAACCAAGTTTCCGGATCTTAGCGGCTTGCTTTGAGGTGCCGCCCTCCCTTCTGGATGCTTGCCAAGAGAGCCAGACGATGCAATTAGTACCAATGCAGAGCCATACTAGAGCTTTCTTGGAGCGAACTGAGCGTAGGTAAGCCCCTTGGGCTGCTGACGAGGATTGAACACGACGGACGTGGCGGGTCCAGAAGTTTTGAGCAAGGTACGGGTTGATATATGGACGTTGCGACGCGAAAATGGGTTGAAGAGGCGCATATGAGAAATGAGGCAGATTTGCAGGACGTAGCATGGCCTCAGCACGTTCAGACTGTTATATAAAGACGCTGTTCGGGTGTAACGGATTGGGATCAACCTTCCGTGTCAGCCTCTTTTCGCAAGTTGAAGACCTTCGAAGGCCAAGAATCCGACCACCACGCCTCTTTGATTGCAGTACAGTGGATTTCGAAGGCAGATGCCCAATGATCAGATGAAAATGAATCGCGGCTCGTTAACAGTGTTGAGGCTCCGCGAGCTGAGATGGGATTGGTTTCGCTAAAACGAGCCACACGTGACCGACGCTTCAACCACCCGCTATAACATCAAGTTTCTAGAACCGCACAGAGCGACGATGCAACCATCCTCACAACAACATTGAAGAAGACGCTCTTGATCACTATCAAATCCGACCTCACATAATTTAGCCTACTCCTGTGCGAGCTAGAGCAAATAAATCATCAGAGATACGTCTCTGCAATCGTGTTTCGACGCAGCCCACAAAGGTTCGTATCGTGGTTCAAAGGCTCGGCATCATAGAACTTAGAAACAGACACAATAGTGGCTTCTCTGTAATAGGCGTCTTCGCGAATCAAGTATCGCCAGAAAGCTAGCCTTTGACACATATCGCGCCCCGTTTTCTCGGTGCAAGCGCACACCGCTAGAATCAAGAACACCCCACATTGTTGACAACTTCAGCCAACGGCTTCTATTGCATATTATCGCTTGAGCACGCACAAGTGCAAGCAAATCGGTTCATCACCACGATACAATCAATTTCTCCCTTGGAGGCTTTAGACCACTTTCCCCGTTGAAGTAGACTTTTCGCACGAGCAAAATGTCAGCCGACTTAGCAAGTCGGCTACAGGCGACAAGCATCAGCGATGCTGCGCCATCGAGTACGATGTCGAGTAAATACCCAGGTGCTGTTGCTCCACCGAAAGACCTACGACCGCAAACGGAGGACGTAACGAATACGAGAGGACTGGAATGGGAGGAGTTCTACTTGTCGCGAGAACTGCTCATGGGCATCTTCGAGGCAGGCTTTGAGAAGCCATCGCCGATTCAAGAGGAGGCGGTGCCAGTTGCAATGACTGGCAGAGATATCTTAGCACGGGCAAAAAATGGCACGGGCAAGACAGGTGCCTATGTCGTACCAACCCTCAACAAAATCAATCCGAAGGAAAACCACATTCAAGCCCTCATTCTCGTGCCGACACGTGAACTAGCACTCCAAACGTCTCAAGTATGCAAGACTCTTGGCAAACACCTGGGAATAAATGTTATGGTCAGTACAGGTGGTACTGGTCTGAGGGATGATATTTTACGATTGAGCGAGACAGTGCACATTATTGTCGGCACACCTGGGCGTATCCTGGACCTTGCTAGTAAAGGAGTGGCCGACCTCTCCCAGTGCACGACGTTTGTCATGGATGAGGCTGACAAGTTGCTGTCTCCTGAGTTCACGCCGGTCATTGAGCAATTGCTGAGCTTTCATCCGAAAGATCGTCAGGTGATGCTTTTCTCAGCAACCTTCCCTCTTATCGTCAAAGATTTCAAGGATAAGCACATGCACGATCCGTACGAGATCAACCTGATGGATGAATTGACACTCCGAGGGATCACGCAGTATTATGCTTTTGTTGAGGAAAAGCAAAAGGTCCACTGCCTGAACACACTATTCAATAAACTGCAGATCAATCAGTCGATTATCTTCTGCAATTCGACAAACCGCGTTGAGTTGCTTGCCAAGAAGATCACTGAACTCGGATACTCATGTTTCTATTCTCATGCTCGAATGCTGCAATCTGCACGCAATCGCGTCTTCGCTGATTTCCGCGCCGGTGTTTGCCGTAATCTGGTTTGCTCCGACCTCTTGACCCGAGGTATTGATATTCAAGCTGTCAATGTAGTTATCAACTTTGATTTCCCCAAGAACGCAGAGACATACCTTCATCGAATTGGTCGATCCGGTCGTTTTGGGCACTTGGGTCTGGCCATTAACCTAATTAACTGGGAAGACCGCTATAACTTATACAAAATCGAACAGGAATTGGGCACTGAAATTCAACCCATTCCCCAGGTCATCGAAAAGAAACTCTATGTATATGATACTCCGGAAACTATTCCACGACCCATCACGACTGCACAACGACCATCTGACCAGCAGAATGGAAATGCAGCGCTACAGCAGCCAGGAGCAGCAACTGGGCAAGGTCCAACGTCACGCCAGCCAGGTGGCGGACGCGGTAATTTTAAGGGCCGAGGTCGTGGTGGTGGTCATCAACAACCTCGGGGACCGCCTCGAGACAGCCAACAAGGTGGGTTCCAGGCGCGTCAGAATGGTGGTCAAAGAGGTGGCCATGGGCCTGTTTCGTAAGAAACCTTCGGGTCGGTACCCCTTCATTTTCTCAATAATGCATTTTCCGGAGTTTGTCCAGACGGGGTGACGAAGGACATGATACCTGATGGCGTTAACTGGAGTTTTGATTTCCTTTTCGTTTTTTTCTTTGACGGAATTTTCGTTAGTGGCATAAGCGAAACTGCGCGACTGGCTGGATCAGGATTTAACAATCTCAGTGACGACCCAGTTCCTAAGCACACAAATGGTGTGCGTGGAGCTTTCACTGATCTTCTTCTGCCACCCTCTAGGCTCTTGTCGACTCTTCTTCCGATGCATTGCAGACACATATCTTGCGGATTTTACTGATCCCTTGTCTCTTTTCTCAAAACTTTACGAATAACATACGACATGGCGACCTAACGCGTTTGGTTCCCTCCGAATTGGCGGCGCGGCCATGACGTGCCCCCTACACATATTTGCTGCATATATACCGGATGGGGTTATGGACTCTCGTTTAAGAAAGCCTTAGAGCGCGATTGGGATTGGAACTGTTTTACAACACACTTTTGGGCCTGAACAGGTCATCGCCTCTCAGCCAGAACGTTCAAACTCGCCTGTAACACAACAAAATCATCGCGTCATTAACTACTCACCAACCAAATATCCTCATTTCCTCGCCGAACGAGACTTCACGCTGCCTAGGAGCCGTCTACGATCCAAAACCTTACATTCTAGGCATGCTTCACTTCGACCTTGTATACGATAACAGGGGTAAATTCCCTAGTGTCGACTGTTGACATTGTTGATCACCTACCCTCTCAGCACAAATGGAGAGTCTGCCAGATCAGATCCAAGTCACACGTTCTTGCTTTAAGCTCAATGCCTGAAGTCGCTCCCCTGATGCGATTTCATCTCCGCAGTCAGGACGTATGACTTGGTGGGAAAAAATGACTACAAAAGACCTTTCTCAGGGCTTGCCGAATTGCAAGGATTTTCTGGTCACTGGAAAACCCCGGTTAGATAACTACTGCAATGCCAAACCATCCAAGCCCTCATGTTAAGTGTGTCTTTTGCTGTCGTTGCCTGAATGATTTTTTCCAATGTTCCCTGCATGCCCACTTTAAATTCACGTGCTTATGGATTCATCATCCTTCACTCAGATATGGAATGATAAGCATCCGCTAAGCAAGACAGAGCTGACAGTCGCAAGTTCGTGAAACCTCAGGTTCCTCAAAGTCGTCTCCGGCCGCAATCCCCATTGCTTTGTCGTACTCTGCAACCTTTCTCACTGCACACTCAATCAACCAAAGCAAATGTGGCCAGAATTGATTCGGTGATCGAAATCGCTTCTTGGAAGGGTGACCATACAAAAAGCGATCAACGCGTCTACTCACATTTCGGATTCTCACAACGCTAAAGTATCCATTTGGGAGATCATTGAAGAGATACTTTTTCCCCGACTCTGCCTTGCCGAAGTGTTCCATATACCTGTCCGCCAGGCGTTGGCGGTATAGAAAGGTGTCCTGCTCGATTTTGCAGTGTCTTGGGACAGGCACGCTGCTGTCGCCATCTGAGCTTGTACTTAAGAGCGGTAGATCGATTACTTGATATTTGCAGTCATTGATCACCTCGCATCCAATAGGCGTGAAATCTAGGATCCAGTCGCGTATTCGGTGTCCTTGAGCCATTTTCTCACGATCTGAAATCTTGTTAGAAAAGATTTTGCGATTCTGCCGAAACCTCGGACAAAACAATTTGGCTGGTGGTGTAGTAATTGTAAGACTACCTGCTTTGCGATGATTCTGCTATTCTCACAATGGGACCAAGGCTGATCTAGATCGAAAGATGATGATCACACGAAAGACTTATAGGAAAGATATGCTGGCTTGTGAATTTCTACCACCACAAACGCTCAGGACAATGAATATCATTCGCAGAGTTGCTTGTTTGTGGCAATGCAGGAACGAGTTTTTTGCTCCGCCGAATGCACCCGTCACTTGCATGGTTACTATTACGTCTTTGTTTCATGTCGACATAGAACAAGGCCTGTAATCGATTCACATGGTCAACTTTGACAATAAAGACGTATCTTTGCATGTAGGGTCGGATTTAAATGCCTTGGTCGCTCCTGATATTTGGACGGACCCAGTTTCAAGACGTAGAAGACGAGAGCAAGATGAACTCTGGAGAAGAATGGTTGAACGAAAGCATAGCGTTACTCTTCCTTGGCTGGTGGAACTTGCAAAAATGTCTTTAGTCATGTCTATTGCTTTATCGCTTCTATGGATATGTCTATATGCTTGATAGCATCAGAGCTTTTTGGTTATCTGCGTACAATGTCGTTAAGATATATTCCTCATATATGCACTGTCCAATTGATGAATACAATGCACGTAATCTGTTTGCATGTAGAGCTTGGCGGGATCCCCCGCTTTTCCCTTTTTTTGTTGCAATAGCAGAGTCCCAAATTACTTTCCCCTTGCCTGGCGGTTGAGACGCTCGATCCTCCACTGCATGCCGTACTTTTGCTCTATAACGACCAAAATCACAGAAAATGCAGATATGGAAGCCAGTATGATGAAGGTGAGCTTCTCTTCGATTGCGGAGATGGATATGTCGACCAAGCCGACGCCAATACCGCCCAGGGTACACCGCACCAAGTTGTTCTGCGCGCATCCTGTTAGTTCGCCTGCACACTACTCTTGAATACCGTTTTCCAAGTTGTAGAACTCACGATTGCAGTTGCCGAGGCTGGCTTTGCCGGGTATAAGTCGATCATCAAAGTCGAATTTATGTTGAATATTGCGGTCGCAGTAAAGGCAGCTAGTCGAACAAGGTCAGCGAGGAGGGTATTTGGAGAGTGCGGATCTGATTTGCTCACTTAAAAACTGAAAGGTCAGCGGAATGAAGATGATCCACTCGACTGAGAAGCCGTAGATGGCAGTTGAAATGCTAAAAATGGCTGACAGAACGTATACACTGCGAAGTCTTGCCGCCTCAATCGGGAAGTCGGGGAAATCTTGCTGCTTCAACTTAATGTCGTCAGAGAGGCCGTACTTCCTTCGGTATTCTTGCGCTGCACGTTTGTAATCTCGGTCCATGAGTCTACCGGTAATCAAAGAGCCGAGAACGCATCCCAGGCCTGATTAGCGATGGTCAGTTTAAGTCCCAAACATGGACAGGTAATCTTACCGTTCGGAAGAAAGGCTAGTCCAATCAGGACCTCATTCAGATGGTACTCTTCCTTGAATAGAGAGGCAGTGCTCGAAGTTATCATTGACCAGACGGTGTAGATTACGCCACCAAAAAGCAAAGATATTGCAACATCCTTCTCTGCCAGTAGCTTAAAAGACTCGAGCAATATTGCGAAGGACATCTTGCTAGGTTTGTATCGTTCTTCTGGAGGGATTTCCGGGCCCTTTGGGGCTCCGAGAAGAGGTCTGTAGATGCCATACAGCCGCCTGGTACCATCTCCTGCAATTTTGCGTTGGGTTTCCGGAAGGTATGTTATGAGCAGGATAATAACAGCTGCCGAAAGGCCAGTCAAAAAGAAGAAAATTGAGCGAAATCCGAGATATTGTGACAACGCGCCGCCAAATACCGGGCCGACGGCTTGACCAAACATGCGAACTATATTCACACGTGTTAGCCACTTTTGTCTACATAGCGTTCAACTTGGTCACCTACTTCCGCCGAAAAGCCCCATGAAGCCTCCTCGCTCGTCAGCATCAGCAATGTCACCGATAACGCCCGCGCCAATCGCTATGGTCGAAGCAGAGCCTGCTGCCTGTAATCCGCGAAAAAACATGAGCACCGCATAACCTCCTGGAAGCGATAGAACTGCATTGGCGATCACGTAAACCATCAACGTGGCAAGAAAAATTGGCCTTCGTCCATAACTGTCCGCCAACGGTCCCCAGAAACTGGGCGCGATGCCTTGAACGAGCATGTAGACTGTGATCGACAATGAGATCAAACCGATGCTTGTGTTCAGCGCGGCAGAAATCGCATTCAGTGCCGGGAAGTAGATGTTTGATGACAGCGGCGAGAACATCGCGGCCAGCGAGACGAGATAGACGAAGCGCTTCTTCTTGCTTCGTGACCACGAATGGTTGGAAGGATCGAAGCTTTGCAGTTTCTCGTCCGGGTCCTCTCCAATTTCGAACTTGAGCACGATGTCGTCGGGATCCTTCACCCAGATGCTTCCGTTAAAGCTAAGCGGCCGATACATCTTCGAGGCAAACGTGGAAAAGTACGAGGCATTGGACGCTGTAGAGAGGTACGATTTTCTGGCCGTTTTCCCTGGCTGTTGTGATAGCGACAGAAGGGTGCTGCTTCGCCGCCATCTTGAGTGCGAAGTTCTTCGGGACCTGTTGCTCCTGTACGTATCGATGTTATAGAAGCTTTCGTACGGATCAAGCTCGAACTCCTCGTCTTCTTTGATTGCGAGACGTCTCTCTGGGATAAAGATAGGTTGGAATCGAGGATTCCGCGGATGATCATTGATCAATATGGCAGGAGAAGAGAACCTTTGGGCCCTGTTGGGGCCTGTTCTGCCTTCCATTGTGTGAAAAGTCAATATTTCCTTTGGAGAAGTCCGTCGGCATACTAGCAAACAAGAAGCAGAGTTCAGTTATACCAAGTACCGGGAGGCAAGGCAAACGCCCGGATCTGTATCAGTATGAAACCATGACTACGTGGGAAAGCTCGATGTGCCAAGAGCGGATCACTCGCGTCCCACCGCAAATGTCTCGAATGGGAAAGTAGACTGTTATCATAGACACATTCTTCTTTAGGATGTGAGATTCAGAGTTCATACCATGCACAGGCCTAAGCCAGTGAGACCCAGGCGAGGCGAAGCGGTATGGGCACATCCTGGTGGTACTGATTGCAACACGGCGGCTAGTTGGCACAGGTACTGGCTATGCAATCGTAGCGTATTATATGAAGCACGGTGATTGCGCGTCAAGTTGATTGCACGTCGTTGTGAGTGAGTCCTTCGTTGGACTGACATGCCAAGCATGCCAGGGGTCAGCTTGCGTCAGAAAACACAAGTCTCTTCATCCGGAGGAATGTCTGCGCATTCATGATCGCTCCGAAACAAAGCTTGGTACGCCGGAATCTGCACGGCTGTCTGATGCACGTACCGCCAAGAAGAACAACGTCGCAAAGCGGCGACAGAGGCTACCGCGCCCATGGTAAGCATTGTCCTAAGCCAATGGTCCAGAGCTGTTCAGGAACGTGTCGGTTGTACAGCGGAAAAGTATTTCACACAAGGCTTAACCGCTGTGATATCCTGCGTACGATGTCCAGAGGTGGCAAGATTCAAGAGACAGTGGGAGATAAATTCGGGAAAAGAAAAGCTTCTCTAGGTTGCGAACTCAACTCTCTGTGCGCTTCAAACCTTGCGACATGAAAAAACACTGCTGTCTTTGTGCTATAGCTCATGAACATTGGACAAGAATCTGTGCGCCTTTCTTAGGATTTTTAACGTCTCAGATCATGCCATTTGGATCAGCATGTTATTACTACTGCATATTAATGCCAGCAAACGCGGAAAGATATTGCTGTATAGTACGTTCCCGTTCATCTGCTGACCAAGCCCGGCACATGCAACCATCCTTCTAAGGATGCAAAGGTTGATGACTACTATAGCTGCCCTCTGCCGTGTTCGCTCTTTGCAGTCCTCGTAGCTCCAGGGCCTCACTCCTCCGCCCTTCTAAGCCTTGTTCAACATCTGCATCACCGTTTCGTCCCTTCTGGGCATAACTTGTATCTGCGTAACTACCAACGCCCATTCCAACACCAAAGGCTGTTCCCTTGTGTCTCGGTGCCCAAGCCCATCCACTAGCGATAGAGATAGGAGGGTGGTACCAGCGGATGGCAAACCAAGCGCAGACGAGCCCCTCAGCCGAGCCGAAAAGTATGTCGAACCCAGCATGCTTGTTGTCGGTATATCGTGTCGATACTATATAGATAGCTGCCGCGATTGGTATCAAAACTATGACCAAGAGGTACAAAGGAGGAGCTGCTGCTCTTTCCCTTGCGTTTGAGCGTCCTGCAAAAGCGCTCGCCGTGCCAGGGATGGTTGTGGAGAGCTTCGTTGCGAGATACAGACTCAAATAGGCAAGACCAGCAAATGCAACTATCGTCGTCAGTATTGTGTTTCAAAGGCTGCAACATTTTGCTCTTACTAGTGCTGTGGCCGCTAGGGAAGCTTCTGAACCCGTCGATGAATTCCTTATATCCGACGCCAGAACCATTTTTGCTTATGCATATCTGCCAATCCACGAGAACGGATGTTCCCTCGAGCAGCTCGCTCGTAAAGCCTCCAACAGTGAAGTTACCCATGTTCGCCACGTCAGGATTGCATCGTGCGAGAAAATCAGGGCGGTGCTTTCCGAACATATTTTTCATTGTCTGTGTGAGGAGCAAGGACAAAGTAGTGGCGAGCGCGAGGCCCAACCATCCCGCATGAAGTTCCCATAGTTTGCGACGCCAAAGAGACGAAGATGAGCGCGGATCCGTTGAGTTTATGGGAAAGCGGACGAACAAGAGGCTGACTACAGCGATGACCACGATCGGTACCGCAACCGCGATGATGAAAAGGACCGGAATGGAGATGGTGTCTTTCCGGTACGGGAACGATATCGCCCTATCGGTCAAAGAAAAATCGCGCTTGACAGGCTCCACGAAGTTGAGGGCTCCGGCAATGGCCAAAAAGACTATTACAATCACCCAATCGAAAATGTATGATACCCACACGCGACCAGGCACCGAATAGAGAGCCATTGTGCAGAGTGGAAAGAGTAATGGGGCTTGACGTGACTAGGACGTGAGAAGTAAGCAGAGATGCGGTCGCTTTAACTCTACTTTAGCCCTTCATTAAAGAGCACCCGCCACCTGTGTCCTGAATTGCGCAGCACCAGTCGCCGCAGTGCACAATTGATATGCATACAAGGGTGAACGAGAAAGGTCGGTCATTGGAGAATCCCCAACATTAGCGGGGGCGCTGCCAACGGTCTCCGTACATTTGCCAGAAAGGAATAGCATTCTCTCGCCTCAAGACCTGGCTCTTTACGGGGCCCTTCTGGTCCGACTGTCTTGATGGATATCATTTCCGGGAATTTCAGCCTCGCACAACAGCGGAACAGCTGCTCGTGTGTCGGCTCGACGGCCGCACCCAGAGTCGAGAGTTCTCTCCAGATCCTCCGCTCTGCTGAGGGCTCCTAGGCGGAGGAAGCATGCAGAGAACACCCAAGTGCGGATCTTGATGTGAAGCGTCGTCCAGGCGCTGAGAACCAACAGTGCCAAGAGAGGCTTAGACCATCTTTGTGTCAAAAAGGTCGAACTAAAGCTCAGCCATGACGCTGCGTTCTCGGAAACCGAACGTCTTTCACTCGGATTTGGCCACTTTCACGATTGCCACCCTGGGCTGGACGCTTGTGGCTGGATCTGAAAACGTCCGTTTCGTTCAATCGTCGCAGGGGACCTGCGCGACCTTCCGGAAGACAGCACCAACGATCGCAGTCGTCGGGGGCCAATCATGAGACTGCCTTATTCGCTTTGTCACACTGGAGCGTCAAACGCCAAGGACCTGTGATGCTGAGCATCTCTTAGCCCGAGCTTTGCTGTCTTTGCAGCTCGGCTTTAAAAGCTTGGGAATCTTGGCAGTCGATAAGATGCCCTGTGTACTCGTCATCTTCTGGCCCCTAGCAAGAGCTTGTGCTTTCGCATGTCGGGTGGAAAAGGAGAAGGTGTGAGCTGTAAGACTGAACAAGGCAAACGCGAGACCAGCGCGTCACATTATGATGCCACAGTCTGGTCTTCGCACGAGGCCTCAAACGTCTGCGTGATGGGCAAGACGGTCTGTTTTCGGAATCATGGCTGCCTCGTTACACTCTGAAGGAGCGAGCTCTTGTGAACAATGCTAGGCTTTTTCAGGAACAGATCTATTCTAGTCCTAGACGGAAGCCGCTACGAAGTGCCTTCATCGACATTTCTGACCGGCCGCCATGAGATTGTTCGTCGCCTGTAGTGCGCACAGCTGCCTCTGACGAATGATGTGAGCTTAGAAACTGATTTGTTTCCCCCGACACATCCAAGTGGATCTGCTCAGTCTAGCTTGCTTTGAGGCTCTTCGCTGCTCATCAATCACTATTCGTCTCGTATATCAAAGTCCGAGTAGATGAGACATGCCCGTGGTTCTTTCCGACGAACATCCGTCTGTTCATCAGGGCTAGCGGGAATACTCAATGCCTTCACATGCTAAATGTTATTCGTGACTGCTACCCAGAAGTCATGAAACTGGATCGATATTGGGAGTCACAATACCTGCCCAGCATTCAGCCAGACTCGCTATCGACCTGGCGGCAGAGAAAATCTTGAGTTCTTGACTTCTTGACAACGTTTGAAGCCGTCGAGAACAAACATGTGGCGACAGTTTGAAGCTGCGGATTTTCTCGACCCTACGAACTGGAAAGGTCTGGCAAAATTGTTCGCCTCTACAATCCTGCGTCGCCCATTCTCCGCCCAGAGTCCAGCGAGGAATTTTCAGAACGCCTTGGGGAGCTACACGGGAAGACCGTAAGCAACATAGATCCCCTGACATTCGTGGCCAAGGGCGATCTCTTGACTATCCGTTTTTGGAATCTGAAAGTGCGCAAGTACATCAAGAAGATTTGTGCCTACAAATGCGAACATCAACTTTGGTATCACAAGCTTGAGAAGTGATGAGGATAACTTTTGATGTGTACTTTCGGTCGCGTGAGTGATCAGTTTGGCGCGACCGTCGGTCCGTAGTGGCAACATTTCAGAAGTACTGTTATGATGGAGCATTTCCTATATATGATATACGGCCTCAGATGCCAGATATTTCATCTCATGGTAGGCGAAGAGCCTCTGAAGCCCGTTTCAAACCCGCTTTGGCACTACTTGGCATGTCCTCGGGATCCATCACAATGTCAATTATCTTCAGCCCTTGGCCGTCAGCGAAGTTTTCGTCCCCCAGAACATCATTCAGCTCGCCCCAGGTCTCTACCTTTGTACTCATGGTTCGGTAGTCATTACCGGGCTTGGCTCCAAAGAAAGCCGGTGCATCGGCATAGCTCCAAACAGGAACGTCGTTATACTCCTCCCGCATCCCATGCAAATACCTTTCATAAGTATATCCAGCGTTGTTGCAAACAACGATTGTCACGTCGAGTTTGTATCTTATGATATCCGAGATGCTTTGGCAGGTGACCTGAAGTGATCCGTCTCCTTCATAAATGATAGAGCGGCCGGGAATGTTGTGGTCTCGTTTGGCAAGAGCGATTCCCTGAGCGCATGGGAGCATAGAACCAATAGAACACCAAATACCGGAAGCGACCACTTGAGTGGGGGAAGGGATGGCGATTGAGCGTCCCCCAACGAGAGGAGTGCCATTTGCGAGGAGATATGTGTCGTGTGGACGCAGCCACGTAGACATGCGTTCCCAGAGTGCATCTTGGCTGATTGGCGACGATGGCGATGGCGATCGTTCAGCTCTCAAAGATCCATTCCGATCATGTCTGTCTAGATTCCATCTTTGCCCAAGCGGCTGAGCTTTTAGCCGCTCCACAAGCTTCTGAAGGACATATTTGCCTCTGACAGAGAAGACTTGGCCACAAATATTCACGTTGTCGAGATTAATCGAGACGCTGATTCCTGGATCGGGCACAACAGTCCATGCTGCCGTGTTTGTATTGCTGAGCAGCGGCCCAAAAAGGAGAACAAGATCTGCGGACCGGCTGTAGTCGGTGGAAGTGGTAAGCGGGCCAAGCCAGGAAGGATGGTGTTCATCAATCACGCCTTTTCCCGCGCTAAAGCACATAGACGGTATGCCGGTCAAGTGCACGATTTCGTTCGCTTCATCAACCAGGTCCCACGAGTATGACAGACCGTCCGCAATGATCAGTGGCTTTTCGGAGGCCATGATTCGCTTTAAAATGTCTTGGACAACCCGGTCTTCCTCGTTCATTACTGCTTTGTCTCGCACAGGCTCGAGTGGGAGAGGTCGATGGAGTAGTTTAGAAGGGACTGGCTTTTCAACCATATCAATTGGAACATTGACATACACCGGCTTTGATCTCTGCACGCATTGCACAAGTGTCTCGTCATATCTTTCTATTGCCTCTTCAACATCATCACAAGAGAGATCTGCCTGTGCGCAGGTAACGTGCTTGGCAATATCAGCGTATACACCCAGTCTACCATCAGCCATCGTATGATGAAGTATAGGGCGACTACGCCACGCCTTCCTACTTGGCGTTCCCACGAGCTGCACTACGGGAACGCTCTCTGCGTACGCACCAGCCAAGGCATTGATAGCGGAAAGCTCGCCCACGCCGTACGTAACAAATAGAGCACCTACTCTGGGAGACGTGGTCGACAGTGACTTTCGTGCCATGGCTGCAGAGCGGGCATAGCCATCGGCCGCATAGCCTGCACAGAGTTCACTCGCGTTGCCGATCCATTTGACTTTTGAAGCACGAAGGTGGTCCAGAGCTCTCAGGGTGAAGTCGCCGGGCACGCCGTGAATGGAGTAGCAGCCAAGCTGGTGCAGGCGGCTAAACAAGTACTGAGCTAGCGGAATGGTGCGAGACATGGTGTATATTCCCAGGGCTCAAGCACTCATGCACACATGACAGGAGTACGGTATTCCTCCGTAAATCAGCCTCGACGGCCTTCTCGTCTCGTCTCTCTTCCGGAACCGGCAAGCGTCGGAAGGTTGCTCGGAGGATGGGCGGCTTTCACAGCGACGGGCGAACCATCTTTCATGGGAGGTCAGTAGTGGCGGAGGCGTGCGTTTGTAGATTGACAATTCTCGGCCGTTCAAAACAGCCACCAAGAAAAACCTTTGATTCTCAGAGTGGGGAGATCTCGGATTTAACGTTAGTGCGATAACGCATCAGACATGGATCGAAGAGCCTGGTGGGCTTAAGTGAGCAAGCACTGTTTCCATGTACGCGGCAAACCTCGCTGGCACGGGCGATATGCGTTTGCTGACTCGCCAGAGTACTTGAACGCGGGCATTTTCTCTTGAATTTGTGGATTTTGAGACTGAGAGAACGTAGCACATTCGACTGATTGCCATTGGTTTGCGTTATGTCGTGGTGCATAAGCTACGCTGGGGTTAAATTCTCCCCAGCTCTAGCGCAACCTTAGTTTCTAAGCCGCATCCTGTGTTCCTCGACATTCTCTCCACCCTTTTTGTTCACAACCAAAACCCCCTAGGGGCATAAGAATGCCGCTCATAGAGCCACTTCAGGCCGAAAAGTCCACCGCAGCGCCAGGATGGGCGTATGTCTACGACCGACAAGTCGATGCCTCGAGAATCGGGCTCGATCCGACGACTGGCGCTCGTGGCAAAGCCGGACGTGCCCAACGCTCCGCAGCAACCACAACCGTAGCGTCCAACGAGCTTTCGCGCCGTGAACAGATAGCTATCCAGCGCCGACTGGCTGACCTGGACAGAGATGGCGGCGCCGGGAAAGACGTTCCTGTGCCGCAGAAATGGAAGGATTTTCAGATCGGAACAGAAGGCGGTGGCGTGGGGACGTGGGGCAAGAGCAGGAAGATGACTACGAACGTGAGGAGGATCCTGCTGAGCGAGAAGACGTTCGCGCACTACCTTGACGACGAGGAGGCAAAACTCGCGCTGGCGAGGGAAGCTGGCGCCGGCAGAGTTGAGGGGCGAAAGACAGATGCTGGAGCAAAGAGAAGCGAAAGAGCGCAAGGAAAGAGGGCTAGCGTTTCGGCGAAGACGGAGATTGACGACGTTGATATGGCAGATGTGTCGCTATCGGAAGACGTGGAGGCGAAGACGAACGGACAGCAGGCGGCAGCTACAAACGACGCCGCGGATGATCCTCTGCTGAAGATCTGGACGCCTTCGCCTTTGTCCTCCGAGGAAGTAGAAGAGCTCTTGTCGCACCCGCCTTTGTCATACAATGCTGCTCGCGCAGCGCCTCCACGCATCAACGGCCCTCCGCAGCGCAAGTTCTGTGAGATGTGCGGCTACTGGGGCAGAGTCAAGTGTCTCAAGTGCGGCTCTCACGTCTGCGGGCTGGATTGCAAAGAGGCACACGATCAGGAGTGTCGAAAACGGTTTGCATGAAGACATTCTGGCTGGCGTTTGCATGATGTTTCATAAGAGAGATACCCACTGTTTAACGACTGTGTTGAACTTGACCCGCACAAGCTTCAGTCTGTCCAATTTTGCCCACCATGTACGCGTGCGCTAACGTTCCAGTCAACCGTGAGCTCAAAAGTCACCATCACCGTCGCTATCGCTGTTTCCTAATCGTGCGGTCCAACATCCTTGACTAGACGTACTCGTTGGTTGCGTACCACTGCCCACGGCCTTCTGGTGTCAGGTCGAGGACATTATACGTAGTTGCCAGCAAATCCAGACCCCTTTCGCTCTTAGGTTCGATGCACGGGTACGCTGTATATACATGGCGTACATTACCCTCCTCGTCCTTCTTGAAGACGCTGACCCCAGGCATCTGCTTACAGTCCTTCGCCCACACCGGCCTTTCCACGTTCATATCGGCATTGAAGGTGGTACCATGGCTGGAAAGGATGCGGATGTTTTTCCAGCCCCGCTTCTGCGCCCAGGTTTGAAGTTTGGGAAGCTCGGCCTTGCCCACGACGGCGAAGTTGACGTTTTGAGCCAGATGTTTGCCGACGCCGTTGAAACTATCAACAATCATCGAGCACATTCCACAAGGCTTCTCGTCTTCTGGGTCGTACATGAAATGGTAGAGCACAACGCTGCGGCCGTCGGCAGCAAGATCCGCAAGGCTAGTCTTTCTGGCTGGCTTCGATCCATCGGAGTTGAATGAGCCTTCGTCAAAATCATAGGGACGCATAAGTGCTCCTTTCGGGAGGGATCGACGCAGAGCCGCGACGCGCTCAATGTGAGCGCGTAGCTCGTATTCTTTCTTGAGCAGGTCGTTGCGAGCATTGATATAGTCCTTGCTCGCTTTGGCCGGCCAACGTGGGATGGCAGAGGCTGCGGCAAACGTTGCTGCATCCATGATTTATAAAGATGAATTATGATTGGAAATATAGTTCGCCTGTTTGTGTGTGGTCTGAGGTCGAGAAAACAGGAATCATTGCCTGACTTTCTATCAAATATCGAGGCAATGCGAGCATATTTATCCTCTTAACATCCGCAAAAGCTAACAAACATGATCAGTAATCGATCCGGTGGATTGGAACATTTCTGCCTTGAAGCTCTTCTTTTTTCTGCATCGCCGTCACCACCTTCGTGGAAAAGCGCGTCCGGTAAAAACCGCAGCAGCGCGTGTGATACGCGCGATCATGAGATTAAGTTCAGTTAGAATTAGCACATGTGCAAGGCGTCAGGCAGCAAAGCCCAACCCCCGCATTTCAATGCGACAGCCGGGCCAACATCACACCGTCAGCAGGCATTGTGCTCCGCAAAGCAAGCACTGAGAGTCGACGGCACCAGTTGCGGGCACATTCGACATGACCAGCAAGATCGTAAATGAACGCTTTGGTGCCACAGCTTGAAGACCGGTCTGATTCTCTTAAGGTGGGCAGGCACCATTGCTCATCTCAATCACATAGCTCGAGTGAGCGACTGCTCTGGCGCAGATAATCAGTTGGAGGTCGATTTAAGACGCCGTGTCTTGGCATGTATAGCAGCTTGAAGTCAAATAAGTATGCCCCAATGCACAGAGACCAGGAGACCAGTAGTCCTGAGGACCATCTACTCGATTCTTTTGCCTTGCGCAAAGAACTGGCACCATACCTCCCTTATGTGGACAAATCCCCTGTTTCAACATCGGCTGCAGACCGCGAGCTGGTCGCTGCGTACTTTAAGCCCAGCCCATGGGTCGACCTTGGAGTGATACGACGTTGGATCGAGACTTGCCAGGAATATCACGAGGACCACTGCGTATCGAGCGATGCCTCCGGTCTTTCTCCATGGCACCGGCCCTTGTGGCTCATCGACGCTTCCAAGCGCTGCTTGATTCCTGCTCAGGCGGACATGAAATACTTCGCACTTTCGTATGTGTGGGGCAATTGCGGGGGGCCGAACGCCAGATTTTGTCTGCAAAAGTCCAATCTCGATAGGTTGCTGCAACCTGGTTGCTTGCGGCGCTCGGAAGACGGACGGCCGGTGTTACCCAAGCTGGTTGATGATGTGATTGAGCTAGTAGATCGTCTAGGCTGGCGATATATATGGGTGGATCGATATTGTATCGTTCAAGATGACGGACCCGCCAAAGATGCTCAGATCAACGCCATGAACTCCATATACTCCAGTGCCTTTGCTACCATTGTCGCAGCTGATGGAGATGCTGAGGCCGGAATCAAGGGTGTCCGAGAATACATGGACCCTCGAGGATCTCGTACCATTATGGACCATGTCATCGAGCTGCCGACCAAAATATCTGATGATGATGATGATCGATCCCGCTCTCTGCCAAGTCGAGATGAGAAAGTGGTCGGTAGAGAGTGGCTAGAGGCATTCCGAGCTCACATACATGTGAGTGACGCAGACGTGACCGCGAATCCTGTCGTCCCGAACACTTTGTCGCGAGCCTCGTCGTACGATTCGTTCGATTCGTTCGTCGTCGGCGACGGTGCTCGACAACAGATGATGGAACAGCAGCGGTCACATGATCGCAAGGTGCTCGAGGCAAAGGCGTACCTTCTCATGCATTCGCCGTGGTATTCAAGAGGCTGGACCTTCCAGGAAGCCCTGTTTTCAAAGCGCAAGATCATCTTTCAAAACGACACCGTGAATTGGGAATGCCATTGCTCGGCGTGGTACGAGGGACAAGAGAGTTTTGAGGACGTGGAACAGAGGCCATGTGTCAAACGGCCTGGATTCAGCACGGAGTCAGGATTCGATTCTGCATTGTGGCCGGATCTGTATCGATACGGCCGCCTGGTTGCCTTGTTCAATCGTCGAGACCTTACATATCCAGACGACGCGTTATATGCATTTGCTGGAGTCATGTCCTCGCTTTCTCTCACGTTCATGCATGGCTTCGTCTCAGGTCTACCGCAGATGTTTTTCCACTCGACGCTTATATGGCAGCCTTATCGACCGCTGTCCAGGAGGAAAGGCAGAATTGAGGAGAAGGCGATCTTGCCAAGCTGGTCTTGGGCTGGATGGCATGGCATTTTTCAGTATGAGAGCTGGCGAAGCGGCTATTCGTACATCAAGAGCTTGGCTACTGAAGAAGGGCTAGATATGACAACGTGGGAGACCCACGAGACCGTTACGTGGTATAGAATCGATGACAAGGGACAGAAACATAAGATCAAAGCCATGGATGTCCCGTACGATTCTAGTGACTTCAACGAGCACGGCTGGTCCTGTATCAGGGACGAGAACTCCGGGACGTCAATCTATCGCCACGACAGCATACCGGACACGGAGTTTTGGCGTCCCGTACAATTGCGCGACGCAACAAAAGCTCGAGTTCCCCCGATGTATTGCCGATTCCTGTCGTCGGAGACAAACGCTGCCGTCCTCAAAACAGGAGAAAGCTTCCGGAGGATTGAAGCCAGTCGATGCGTATCCGTCGATCTCATTGACGACCGAGGCCAATGGGTCGGAATCTTGCGGCTGATGACAGACGATGCAGCTCAGGACCGGTACGAGCTGGTCGAGCTCTCCGCGGGATCGGTGCAGAACAGACCTGGCGAGCAAGCATACTTTGACGAGTGGGATCGAGCCGGGTTGAGTCGATGCTGGCGCGACGACAACAAGTACGAGTTTTACAACGTCATGGCCGTATCACGGGTGCACGGGATATCGTACCGTGTTGCGGTGGGAAGGGTAGAGAAAGAAAGCTGGGAGAGGCTTCGGAAGGGAGGAGTAGAAATTACACTTGGTTAGACAAGATTGCGGAAAAGCAATCTACTAAAAAGAAAGTGTCTTTTCCTCAGATATCGGAGATTCGTCTTCATTATAGGAGCTCATAGTCTCCCCGGAAGAAATTTATCGTCGTTCACCTGTTCCCAGCGGTCGTCGTGCGCTGCGATGATCTCTACGCCCATGTGACCCAACTGCCTCAAGCGTTCGATACTCTTCTCGGCCTCGGCCCTGTCGAGGTGAATGCAAAGCGTCCTTCCCTCATGATCATTCCATGTGCCCATTTCTTTCTCGCCTGTCAGCAAGCGCTTGTCATGGAATGCGTCGCCCGCGAGGCACACCCATCGGTCTTCGGATAGGCGACATAGCAAGTTGATGTGCCCGGGAAGGTGACCGGGTGTATCTATCACGTACATCGACCCATCGTTTAGCAAGTCGATGACGCGAGGGAAAGGACCGAGCTCTTTCCAATCACCATCATTAACTGGCGGAAGTTCGATTGTGCGATGCAGAGGGAGCAGATCTGCCTTGAAGATCTGATGCGAGCCTAATTCAGGAGCAAGGCCGTTCTTCAGCACGTCTAAAGCCTGAGGTCCCACGATGAACTTAGACTTTTGGAAAAGTTCGGGATCACCGTGATGGTCGTAATGCACGTGGCTTAGTATGACCAGATCGATCGTCTCCAGATCAATACTATTTATTCTGAGCTGCTCTGGAACACCAGGGAAAAGCTCGTACGGCTTCCGTGTTTCTAAGTGCTTTTGTTGTGCCTGGAGGTAATCATCGGCACGCTGACGAAGACCAAGGTCGAACAGTACTCGCAATGGCTTCTTCGTCGGTACGTCGATCAACGATGGAGAAGCTGCGATGCCTGGGTGCGTTATTAGAAAGGATAGCGATGGTACGTGACGTTTTGCTTCTGGCTCGGACGGCGAGATAAAAGCGTAATCTGGGAGTGTGATGTGACCACCAGCTATGGCCGAGAGAGTGACATAATTCTGTCCTGGCAAAGCTTCAGGGAGACGCTGGGTCATAGTTTGCTTATGTGAATAATATGCTCAGGCGTTCACTTGGTATCATCTCCTTAAAGAAAACATAACGCATGAAAGAAAACTGCCGAAAGTTTCGCAATACACGCATTATTGGTATACGCGGGGTAAATATGCGGGGTAATGGGCGAAAGAAAATTCGATGGCCGAGATGGTCTGGCTTCTGAATTTGTCAATTCAACACTACGACAGAGTGGAAGAATGACAGTATCCGCTTACGGCGGGTTCAAGCGCTGTCCAGCTTCGACCTACGGCTGTGTCCTCGCTTCCGCCGCATGCCCTGCCCCTTCAATTGGTAGTTCCCGCTTTTTGAGCCTCTTTCTCCGCTTTCATCTCGTTAAGAACCTTCTCTGCAATTCTAAAGCCTGCGATCCCAGCCGGCATGCCTGCATAACAAGCTGCCTGTAGTAGTGTCTCTCTGATCTCCACCTCGCTTGCACCATTGTTGATAGCCCCTCTTACATGCACGCCGAGCTCCACATCTTTCCCCATTGCGCACAGCATCGCGATATTGAGTAGAGATCTTGTCTTGCGTTCAAGCCCTGGGCGAGACCAGATGCTGTGCCAGCAAGCTTCGGTGACGTATTCTTGCATGGGACGGGAAAAGTCCGAGGAGTAAGTCGAGAGGGCTTTTTCCACATATTCAGGGCCGGCGACGGCCTTGCGAATGGAAAGGCCGGACTCGAACATGGCTTTGTGGGCCTGATCCAACTCTTCTGAGCGCTGCGAAGCTGAGCCAGACAGCGAGGCCTGGCGCTGAATCTTGCCTGCACGAGAATAGTCCATGGTAGAATCAAAGGAAAATGCGAGCTTCTAAAAATCTTCTCGTTCGACAAATAAGCGCGTGGGATGTCTATGTCTGATCCAATTGCAGCTAAAACCCGTCAAGATGAAGCGACAGGTGGTATTTATGCAGTGGAGAGAAAGCTCATGCGTCCGCGTCTCGCCGGGGCGGGCGCATGACTGCGTGCACTTCGCTCGGGTGTGGGGTAGCTTGGTAGCTCAATCCAGCCGAAGAACTGGGGATCACGACAAAAACCCTTAGAGACGGAAGAGATGATAAACACCAAGACTAGCGTTCCTGGATCGAAGAAAGGCCCCCGGGCCGTGATTTGGGACCCGAAAAGTGGTGAATCCGTCCGTTAAATCGAAACATGGTTCCCACCTACGGAAACATAGGCTTCATTGGCCTCGGCATGATGGGCGTGCCCATGGTAGAGAATTTGATCAAGAAGACGGATGGCACCACAAGCATCTACGTTTTTGACGTTGTGGAGGATCCGGCGAAGCAGTTGTGCAGCAAGCATCCAGAACGCGTAAGGAAGGGAGAAAATCCGAGACACGTGGCCGAGAAATCTGTACGTGGGCTTTTTTGGTGTACTTCCCCCTCATAGTTGATACAGAGTCTGACATTCAGAACCAAGAACGTCATAATTTCCATGGTTCCGGAAGGCGAGCATGTTCGCTCGGTGTACTTGACTCCCGGCACGGGTGTGCTCGCAGCCGACGTCAACGGGAAGACACTAATAGACTGCTCAACAATCGACACGGCGACCTCGCTTGCGGTTCGCGAGGAGGCGCTCGGTCGGTATCCAAGCACGTACTTCGTCGACGCCCCGGTCTCGGGAGGGGTCCTTGGTGCGCAGAAGGCCACACTGACGTTCATGATCGGCGCTTCCGATGACGACCCTAGGCTCCCGATGCTGAAGGATGTGATGGGCAAGATGGGTCGCAACCTCGTTGCGTGCGGCGGGCCATCGCTCGGTTTGACGGCAAAGTTATGCAACAACTACTGCTCTGGACTGATCGCCATTGCAGTCTCGGAAGCCATGAATATCGGCATGAAATCTGGCATGGACCCTAGGGTTCTTGCGTCTGTCTTTCATTCGAGTACAGCGCAAAGCTCGATCTGCGACGACTGGTGTCCGGTGCCAGGTCTGTGTCCCGAGGCTCCGGCCAGCAACGGCTACCGAGGAGGCTTCAAAGTGCAGCTGATGAGGAAGGACTTTGGCTTGGCTGTAGACACGGCGAAGAGAGTTGGAGCACGACTCGCCCTGGGCGACAAGGGATTGGAAGTGTACACGGAGACCATGAATGATCCAAGATGCAAAGACCTGGACTCGAGAGTTGTGTATCGATACTTGGGCGGTGACGAAGAATGGGAGCAGAAGTTGAGAAGGTAGTTGCCAGGTGATCATGAAACGACTGACGCCCTTATGTGTTCTGTACTTGCATGACCGTCTCCAGAAAGAACTACTCTTCCGTCTGCTTAGTCACATCTCTGCGTTGTTGTGAGCGGTGTTTCATGCGCTCAATTCTTCAAGGATATAGGTCATCACCAAACAGAGTGGCCTGGTTAAAGTCGTGCACGAAATGTGAGTGGCCACGGATCAGCAGCGTCAACGCGATTGCAATGCATCACGCAGCTCAAACCATGCGGGGAACAGCGACGGCGGTCGTGTCCTCTCGAAGGTCAGAAGCATCATCTGCGCAGAGGAAACGGCTGAAGCGACGAGGTCTGGGCCGTGAGTGGAATACGAAACCCCACCAGTTTGTCAGCCCTGCATGTGCGAGCCGCTGTCAATCCACTTCGACCCTGCGAACCCGCCTTGAAACAACTCACTTCGACCCCCAAGGCCGTGTTCTGTATATACATACACGCATATATATATACCTTACGCACTCGCAGCCCCTCGCTTCTAGGGACTGCGCATCTGGACAGGGGCAAACACACGGTGCATGGCAAAGCGCTTCCACTGAAACCTTCGACCGCTCCCGCTCCCGCAAAGCGCACCACTTCCGCCCCTCGACGCGAATAGAAGAGACGAGCAGCCAGTCTGACAGCGGCCACTCGGTACCAGAACACGACAATGGCAGCTCCAAACGCACGACCTGGCGCTCCACAGATCCAGCCGTGCAGATACAAGACTGGCAAGACGTTGGGAGCTGGCTCGTACTCGGTCGTCAAGGAATGCGTCCACATCGACACAGGCCGCTACTACGCTGCCAAGGTCATAAACAAACGTCTGATGGCCGGCAGAGAGCACATGGTGTGTCCCTTGTCTTTTGCCGACTGTTTTCGAAAGCGTATGAAATGACAGCCGGGTTCGTAGGTCCGCAACGAAATCGCCGTGCTCAAGAGGGTTTCAATGGGCCACCAGAACATCCTGACGCTGGTGGACTACTTCGAGACGATGAACAACCGTAAGCCGTTCTCGCCTTTTGGGTTCGTGGAGCTATGAATGACCGACGCGTCCAGTGTACCTCGTCACCGACCTCGCACTGGGCGGCGAGCTGTTCGACCGCATCTGTCGCAAGGGCTCGTACTACGAGAGCGACGCCGCAGACCTGATCCGTGCGACCTTGTCGGCGGTGGCGTACCTCCACGACCACGGCATCGTGCACCGAGACCTGAAGCCGGAGAACCTGCTCTTCCGCACACCGGAGGACAATGCCGACTTGCTGATCGCCGACTTTGGCCTCAGCCGCATCATGGACGAGGAGCAGTTCCACGTGCTGACGACGACGTGTGGCACGCCAAGCTACATGGCACCCGAGATCTTTAACAAGAGCGGGCACGGAAAACCAGTGTACGTATTATCACGCGTGAACAGCGCCTCTTTACGAAAAAGAGCCCCCAGCTGAGAGACAATTTTTTTTTTGTGCAGCGACATCTGGGCAATTGGCGTCATCACGTACTTTCTTCTGTGCGGCTACACGCCGTTCGACAGAGACTCGAATCTGGAGGAGATGCAAGCCATCATGATTGCCGACTACTCCTTCACGCCGGTCGAGTACTGGCGCGACGTGTCCGAGACGGCGCGGGACTTTATCCGCCGCTGCCTGACGATCGACCCGCACGCGCGCATGACGGCGCACGAAGCGCTGAACCACCCGTGGATCCGAGAAGAGGACGTGGCTGCGCCCAAGGCCAAGTCGGCGGAGAGCAAGGACGGCAAGGTCGATCTGCTGCCGACGGTGCGCAAGAACTTCAACGCGAGGCTGAAGCTGCACGCGGCCATCGACACCATACGTGCCATCAACCAGCTGCGCGCCGGCCAGGCTGCCGCCACCATGATGAATGGAGCGAAGAGCGCCGAGCCGGAGCGAGGGCAGCCTGGACCGCCGCTTCCTGCGCAGCCGAAGGAGGAGATGGAGGGACTGGAGGCCACCGGCGAGCTTGGCAGCACCGACGTGTCGCAGGCGGCAGAGGCGGCTGCCAAGAGCGCACAAGATCGGATGGACATCGACCCACGAGGCCATGGCCGCGGCCAGACAGAGGAGCAGATCAAGGAGCAAGAGCGAAGGATTCAAGAGACGACTGCCAGCCTTTGGGGTAGGCGATGATCTCGCAAATCGTGCACCTCCATCCTGCTTCTGCCGCTGCCGCTGCCACTGCCGCCGCCGTCGCCGCCGTCGCTGCTGCTGTGCTCGTGTCGGCGATGTTGACGACGTTGCCGCCATGCGTCTCTTAGCAACCACGCGAGTGGGGAGAGGGGGTAACCAAGGTAAGCCGGTCAGGCCGAACGGACAGGAACAAAACCCCAAGGGCAGACTTCTTTGGAGAAGCAAAAGGGCGGGGAAGAGAACGTGTCGTTGATCACCCCCCTCCCTTTTCACCCTTTTTTCCCCTTTTTCCCTCCTCCTCCTTCTCTCCCTCTTCCTTTTCTTCGTTTTCTTTCATATGACATCCGCCTGCGTCATGTACATGTTCACGCGCGATACGATGCCGACGACGACGACGACGATGACGACAATGAGGATCAAAGACGAAAAGGTACTTGGATACCCTGTTCCCTTTTCCCACCCCCGCCCCCTTTTTTGGGACGAATGGTAGAGCACGAGACGAAGAGGAATAATCTTTTTTTTTGGTTTGTTTGTTTTAATTTGGAAAAGAGAGAAAAAAAAATTATTGCGTCACAGACAGACTATTGACTTTTATCCATTTTCAACCCGGTTTTTCCCCTTTTCTGCTTTCTTTCATCTGTTTTTTATTCTTTCTTTCTTTTTTTTTCTCTCTCTCTCTCTCGTCTAACCAATTTCCACTCGCCCACTCCTCCCTCCCTCTCTCGCTCTCTCCAGTCCCCCGTTTCCTTTTGTCTCTGCACATCTTGGCCGGGTGACGAAAGACACCACGACGAAGTGAACCAAGAGCGAACGACGGCCAGCCGGGTCATTGCCATGGAACTGCCGACTTGGGTGGGAGACAGTTTGCGGGAAGGACGATGATATGCTGATTCAAGAAGGGGTTGGAAAGAGAGAGAGAGAGAGAGAGAGAGAGAGAGAGATTTTGACTCTCGGCCCACACGAACGTTTACTGTTCCCTATTCCCTGGCCGCTTGCTGAGGGAAATCCGAATGACGCGACTCACCTGCAGGTCCTATTCTCCTGCAAGTCTAGTTACAAGACTCGCGAATGTCGATTTGGTGGGGGGGCTAAAGGAGGTAGACGAGCCGAGACACAAGTATCCGAAGAAAGAAAAAAAAAAAAGGGGGGGAGGGGCGCCTACGTGCGAAATGTAGTTTGGAAAAGAAAAAAAAGACCATTGATAAATTTTTTTTGTGTACAAAAAAAAAAGTAAACTTTGAAAAAGAAGTCAAAATGCCGCATTCGAAATATTCCGTAAAAACGCCGTGGCCATGCTCTTTCAAACCGTTTGATTTGTCCCCGCGCCACAAGTGGTATATTTCTGTCGAAATTGCCCAACCCACGAAGATGCCGGATGCTCGGCGACTGTTGAAGAAGGAAGAAGAAGAAGAAGAAGAAGAAGAAGAAGAAGAAGAGAGGCGAGAGGGAAGGAGGGAGGGGAAGGCTTGGCTGGACCAGAAGCTATCGTGATGAAGGGGAAGAGAATGAGGGAATGAAAGGGGGGGGAGGGGAAAAAAAGAGAAGAAAAGAAGGACGGGAGAGGCTGGAAGGCCTCGGATGTATCAGACGGCTTTCCGCTGTCGCCCGCCACCTTTCCTCCAATTCCAAACCGCCTCCTGCGCCAGCGCGATGCTGGTCTGGTGGCCACGATCCTTTGCGGCCTCGGCGGTGATGGTGTCAATGACCCTGCTCTCCTCAACAGCCTCCCACAGACCCTTGGCCAGCATGGCTCTCTCGCCGTCCGGGCCGTCGACGTCGATGTCGTTCTCGTTGCCAAACTCACCTCTGCCCAGCCGGTACAGGATGCGGCCAATGGTCTGAATGGCGAGGCTGCGCTGGGCGGGGAACGCGCTGCGAGCTAGCAGACCGAGTTCGGAGATGGTGTAACCCGCTGCCGAGGGCGCGTCGCCGTGGTGGTGCAGGCCAGCGTCGGTGGGGATCTGAGCGGACCTGCTAGGCGGTATGATCCTGCCCTTGAAGTCGAAGCGGACGTCTTTCGGATCCAAGTTGGTGCGCGAAGGGTCGTACGACGCGTTCTCCTCGTCCGTCGCGGGCGCCATCCACGCAAGTTTGGAGGGATCGTGGGCGAGGTTTGGGAAATAGTTTTTGTGCAGGTCCTCGAGGAAGGTCGGGGCATTTGGATCCAGCTCCGGCGCCGCGGGAGGTTTGGGAAAGTGTATGGTTCCCTGGTCGGCTGGAGGGAGTCCGTCCTCTGGCTGGGAGAGCTGGAGATCGTCTACGGGTTCCGCGGGAAGGGAATCAAGCCCGTCGACGAATCGCGGGCTGGGGCTGCTCGACAGACTGTGGCTCGCAGCGGAGGAGGGTCGGCGTTCGCCCGTGATCTGCGACTCGGGTAGCGCAAACGAGACCTTGCGTGCGTGGTCGACCGGCCGCTGTCCCGGAGACTTCATGGCGGAGCCGCTGGGGGTTCTGGACAGCTCGGGCGCAGAGTTGTTTTGCTGCTGCGTGGATTCCGCATTGTCCGCGGCGTGCACCGGCGGGCTTGCCACGCTGTGTTTGGCTGCTGTCGGGTTCGCCTTGCGCGCAAGCTCGATGTAGTCCGGCAGCACGAAGGACACCTTGCGCTCGTGAGCGTGGCCAGACGAGCTGCGTCTCGACGCGGTTGACGCGTTGCTCGACGTGCGTGACAGTCCTAGCTCAGACACGTCCGAGTTCGAGGCTGAGCCAAACTTTGCAGCCAGCGAGGGCGAGGGGCTGGACGTGATGCTGTGGCGTGACGCGGTGGTGGAGCTCTCCTTCTCCTCAAGCATCTCCTCCGGAAGGGCAAAAGAAACACGGCGATCAGCACAGGATGGCCGTCGATTTTCGCCTTCGGACGGCTTCGCTTTGGGCGACAGCTCGGGCTCCGTCGCCTGCGGCTCGTCGTCGATGTTCGATCTCTTCAACAGCTTTTCGATCAAAGCGGGGCTCAGTCCGGCGAACAGCTCCTGACGCTCGGCCTGGATCTCAGCGTCGGTCATGCTTGCGATGGTCTTTCTGTTCTCTTCGTCGATCTGCTTTCGCTCCTCGGACAGACTGTCGTGATTCGGCCTCGGCGTGAGAGAGCTGGGGCCGGTCATATCTGAAGTGGCCGTGGCGACACCGGCGGGAGCAGCAGAAGCAGCAGCACTGGACGGGGACGAGGCATTTTTGGACTGTCTGAACTTAGAAAGGCCCGTCCGCTTCTTGTGCTCAGGAAAGCCCGTCGCGGTATTTGCACTCTTGAAGCTTGGTGGGGTAACTTCCGATCTTATCTCACGCTCCAGGACATCAGCGACAAATCCGGGAATGGTTGATGCGGAAGAGGCCGCAACGGAGCCTTGTGGCTGGTCGTGCGGAGCGAGAGACGTGTCGTCGTCGAGGTCTATCTCGAAGCGTTCGCCGGGTATGCGCGCCATAATCTAATGCTACCCATAGCAAGAGTAATTTTTTTTTCTGCCTTTGCTGCGAGGTGCACGACGGCGAGGCAAGGGTGGAGGCCAAAGGAACCCACTGGACAGACGCTGGCTCCAATGAATAATCCAGCGGTGGATCACGTGGAGCGGAGTGCTCACGCCAGCACGCCCGCAGCGCGACCCTGACGCCAGCCCCTTGCGCTGCTGACGCTGTCCTCGCGCCGTTCGCGCGGTCTCGTGCAGTAACTCCCAGCACGATCCGCAGCACGCTGCAGAACGGCCGTGGGGTGGAACTTAGCGCGGTCCAGGTGGCCCATTTATCGCGCGGCTTTCCGCCACGAACCCCATGAATCTTCGATCGTCTCGATCTTGGTTCGTGTGACATGGACTTTGTCTTTCTTTGCCTCGCTTCTACTGCTCTCTCGCTTCCTCGCCTTCCGCCACACCCTTTTGCAGTCACTCGCACAATACACATCACCTCTGCCGTACAACCTTCCAAACGCACATGCACACACAGACACGCTTTTCTTTTTTGGCGCTGCGGGCTCGTGACGGCAAAGAAGTGGAGTCGCGGAACACCAGAGGCCGTTACGTGTCAGGCGGTGGTCCGCTCCAAGAGTCATGCGAAAGAGGATTGAGCTGCTCGTTCTGGCGACTCTGAGACAAGCAATAGATCAATTTTGGCGCCATGTTCGGTACCGCGAGTAGCGTAGCGTTGCCCGGGGATGCATGACATGTAGTGAAACCTTACGAAATCGCCTGGCGTAGATCGGGCCTGGACGCTAGTCCCGAAGAGGCAAGACAGCGTTCCCTTCTGAGCCGTACCCCACGTTCAGATGTCGGCAGCAAAGGACCGTACGTTGGCTGCTTGCTCCCGTATGATGTGATTTGTAGGAGTAGAAGCAGTACGTTGGCCCGCAGCAAGAAGCCGCAGCAGTAGCACCATCGCTTCCAAGCTGGTTTGCGGGGTGTGTGCATGCAGCAGACAGCAGTCCGGACGACTTGGCCGGAGGCGAGGAAGGTAGGGAAGATGGTACCGTGTACTGGCCGTGTCACAATGAGTGTGCTCGGTCCGATGACCCCCCAAAAGCAAAATGCGTGGATTCTCGTCGAACGCACGCACGCACACACCCATGCCCCTATATCACGATCATGCGAGAGCATCGTATACACGCAAAAGTGGTCAAACACGACGGCGTGATGGGGCAACTGTGCCGCGAGAGTTGCCACGACAGTCAGCTCAAGTTCAAATTCAGACGGTGGCTCGAAACACGAGAAACGCACCACGTGTTTCGTGTCGGTTGCGGGCATAAAAAAGAAACATAAAACAAAAAAACAAAAACGGTTAGGTTCGAGTTTTATTTGCTGCGCATTCGTGCAAGGCGAGGCAGAGAGCGAAGACAAGGTCGTAGTGGTCGGGTGACAGAGGCCAGAGAAAGGGGACGCAGGCACAGGGGCATGCTCAGATCTGGCGAGGAAAGAGACGGTGTGGGCTGTCGGGCGGCGTTTTCCTTCCACGCAACGTTCAGGAAAGCGTGAGTCCGGGACGGTGTCGGATGCAAGGTGCGAGCCACAGCACCGGGTGATGAGGGCGCCAGGAACGGGCGTTGCATGTCCAAAAGGCACGATGAGGCAGGGGCACGTAAGGAAAGGTCAGGTACGGTACGGCAGCGGTACGTTTTCAGATCAGTTCGGATGCAGTCAGGTTCGCGGGCGACACGTCTGCCAGAATCGGAGACGTGAGAGTCACGACGCTGGCGCCGAACCATTTTCCGCTCCAGGCAGCTTTGTTTTTCCCTGGCGTGACGATCGTGGTAGGAACGACCATTGCGCGGCGCCGCCGTTGCCACTCCTGGTAACTGCCGCTGCCGTGCGGTTCGATCTGCGTGCACTTGCTCTTGCCAATCACTCACCTTCCTGTTGCTGCGAGAGTGGGAGGCAGGTGCGGAGGCCCCACGCTGAGGGCGGTCGGTCTTGCCCAACTCGCCTGTCGCCATCTCACGACAGGCGAGGGCGCCACCGCTGCCCACGGAGAGCGTGAGAGGATGATACGCGAGTGCGTGCGAGTATGCGCGTCTGGATCTGGCTGCGACAGGCGTTGGGACTCTGCGTCACCAGCAGCCAGCGTCCGGGGCAGGGCGAGTGGCTCCGGCGGGCGAGCGTTGACGGTGACCGACTCGCCAAAGCCAGACAGCGGACGTCTAAATGGCAGACCCCGCGCCGTCCTCGCTCTCACAAGGACGTCTGGTGCTTGCTGCTTACCTGTGCAAGTCACACAGAGGAACTGTGCGGAGAGACGGGCGCTGCTGAGACTGGACGACCAGCCAGGCTGACCCGGCCTGATCTGACCCGGCCGGGCCAGCCCCGGCTCTGGCTGGGAACACCAGGGCGGGCGGCGGGCTGGAGACCGCTGCGATTCGCCATTGGCCCGCACCGTCCTTGACGTCCCGCCGTGGATCGAGTGTCAAGCATCGTGGTGGGATCGTGCATGCAGGTGTGGCTGGTGGCAGCCGGGCGCTGCCATTGGCCGGGGTCCTTTGCCTGCTCTCCGTCCAGCACGACACGACGCGCGCACGCGGCAGACGAACTGCCCCGTTGAGCTGGATCGGCTCTCGGCCCTGGCGGTCGCCTGCCCGATCGGGCGTGTCTCGCTCGCCCTGCTCCCGCGTGTGTGGCTCTGCGTGTGGCGTCCAGCACGTCGCTGCAGTCCAAGAACCAGCGCGCTCGTGGCTGCCGCGCTCAACTGCGGGCGACGCGGGCGTCGTTCGTGTTGTCGTCTGCGGTCGACGTCGTGTCAGTCTGCCTCTGCCTCTGCCGGTGCCTGTGCCTGTCTCTGGCCCCCCCACACAGCGGTCGGAGCAGAGCAGTGGCAGCAGACGTCCTGCCGTACTGCGAGTAGCCACAGGAGCAGCCACACCCGCCGTCACAGTCCCTCTTCTGCTGCCCTATTGCGCTGTTGTTTCCGGCCTCCCTCAACTGCGCTATGCTTGGCCTCTCGCGGTCTTGGTGTTGATCTTCCTCTCGCTCATGCTCCTGCTTCTCGGTCGTCCCCCGTCCTGTCCTGTCCTGTCCTGCCCGCTGCTGGCTCTTCCCATACGCTTTCGGCTGGTCGTGCCGCATCTCTTCGTTCTCCGTTTTGCTGTCCTTTGCTCGTCTTTGCCGGCTTCTCTTTGGCTTTTTTCGTCTCATCGCGCGCGCGCCCCCCAAGTTCTGCCTTCGCTTCCTATACTCAACTGGCCCCCCCTCGCCCCGATCGTCTCATTCCTTCTATTTCTTCCTTCCGTCTCTCTCTTCCTCTCTCTCTTCCTGTTTTCTCCTCCTCTCCGTGTCTTCCTCCATCGATTTCTCACCCTCCAATCGCCCGGCCCGTTTCTTTGCCATCGGATTCGTGTTGCTGGCCGGCTTCCACAACCATCGATCCCGTCTTTTTGATGTGTTTCCATCCCCGCCACATCCACACGCTCGCCCCATCCGCATTCCGCGCATAGTCGCTCGCTACGCCCGCACGCCCAACCAAGCTCGTGGTGTTGAAGTTCCTGCAGCCCAAACACCTCCTCGCATCCGCATTCACCCTTTTCCACATTCTCCTTCTCCCCTGCTCCTTTTCGCTACGTACGCTACAAAGACGCAGCGTCAGTCTTTCGACTTTCTGTCGCTATTGTCGAAGTTGTCGTCGTCGTCGCCGTCGCCACGACCCTACCAGATCCGCCTCTCCGCCTCTCCGCCTCTCCGCCTCGCCGTTTGTCCAAATTTTTGGCTTCTCTCTCTACCTACCCCCCCTTTTTTTTTATTATTGTCCTCTTTCCTGGCTTTGTGGATGGTTGATGCGCATCGGCCCAGTTCATCGTGATGAATGTGGGCGATAATGAGACCGCCCAAGCGATCGCTGCCGAACTCTCCTCGCCTCCGAGTTCGTTGAGCGATCACAGCCCCCAGCGCTCGGATCTTCATTACGCCAACCACACTCCGAGTCGCGATGCGCCCGGTTTTGGTGTTTCGCATCCCCTGTCCCAAAATAGTAATTATGCACAACCACAACCACCAGCCACAGCAGACGAGAAGCCCAAGAGGAGCACGCGTGGGCCCGTCATGCTGCCCGACGGTACGATGAGAGAGCGCAAAAAGCCTGGCCCGAAACCAAAGCCAAAGGATCCAAATGCGCCTGAGAAGCCGAAGCGCAAGCGCCAGAAGGTTTCCGATGGCCCAACCTCAGCTCCTGCGCTTGCGTCCGAGCCAGTGCCGGCTCCTGCTACCGCTGCACCGCAACATCCGCAACCACCACCGCCCCCGCTACCGCCGCCGATGCCACAGCAACAGCAGCATCTGCAGCAAGAGAGCACCAATCCCCCGTACCAGCAGCCGGTCGCCTCGCGACCCCAACCGCAGTCGGCTCCAAGGCAGTCCAAGATCACCGATCTCGTGAACCACATGCCTCCTAGCCAGTCGCGTCCTACAGCCTCCGACATGTACGCGTCTCCCGCACCTCCACCTCAGGTCACTCGCCTCAGCGCGGCGCCGTCGCCGCCGCGCCCCGCGTCAAGCGGCCAGGTGTTCGACCTGATCCGCGGCGAGGTCAGCAGCAGAACGTCCAACACCTCTCATTCACCGACTGCAAACAGTCATCAGCCTGCCGTCACGCGCTATGCTTCGTCTGCTTCTGTGACCTCCGCGCCCGTCTCTCCAGTCCCACCCATGTCGAAACCACCCTCCAATCCCTATTCTGTTCCGCAGCAGTCGTCAAATCTGGCGCCGCAACGTGTGTCGTCGGCAAGCGTACCTGCAAGCGTGCCACCCTCATCGTCCGACGCCATGGATGTCGATCGACCCTCGAAACCTGCAACAAAAGCTGAGCCGGGAAGTGCCGGGCCTTCATCGAATGCGGCCACGCCCCCGCCGCAAAAGCGTGCAAAGCAGCAACCTCCTCCTCTGCCCACTGGCAGCGGCCTGTTGTCCGGCACGCCTTTTGGCGGTGTAGAGGCCGCCACGTCAAGCACGAACGGCACCACGGGAACCAACATATGGCTGACCTTCCCGCTCAAGGGCCAGAACAACGTCACCATCAACTTCGCTCGGGAAGTCGAGAAACAGTATGGCTTTGCGGCCCTGCACCCGCGCCTCGCCGCCCGCAAGGAGCGTCAGCGCCAGCTCGCAGCCGCCAGCAATGCGCTCGAAAAGGCTGCTGGCATGGCCGGCTCGGCGGACGAAATGTCGCTCGACATTTCCGAGCCGGAGAGTGGCAACGAAGACGAAAAGAACGGAGACGATGCAGGCTCCAATGCGCCGGCCGGCGATGGCGCCACGAAGAAGCGAAGGAAGCGCAAGGCGGAGGACTACGATCGCACTGACGACTTTATCGACGACACGGAGATGGCCTGGGAAGAATCTGCCCTCATGGCCAAAGACGGCTTCTTTGTATACAGCGGTCCGCTCATGTCGGAGAATGAGAAAAACCAAACCATCGAACGGTACGTTCCTGTTGATTCCCAAATTGGCTTCTCTCCCTCCACCCTTTCCGTTTTGCTGTCACAGATCACACTTCTCGCAAGGAGAGTTTCTTTTATTTTTCAGCCCTTTTCTTGATCCGCCCCCAAAGAGTATGCTTGCTAACATTCCATTTTCCCAAATTCAGAGCCGATGGGACAATCAAACGTGGTCGTGGCCGCGGTCGAGGTGGCTCGGCGCGTGGCGAGGCGTCAGGTCGTGGACGCGGCGCTGCTGGAAGCCGTGGTTCACGCGGAGGATCCACGGCTCGCAAGCCCAGAGTCACAAAGGCGGATCGCGCCGCCAGGGAACAGGAGAAGATCGAGCGCGAAAAGACGGCCGCGTCGTTGTCGAAAGGATCTAGCGCCGGGGTCGTCGCACCTCCCGTTCAGACCCCCAACCTGCCGAGCCAGCCACAGACGTACCCGTCGGCCCAGGCGGTGAGTACCGTTGGTTAAATCGGATGCTCCTTCGTTCAAAGAGAAAAAAAAAACATTTCCCTGAACTGGGGGGTTTGGCCCTTCCGTGTGAATTCCGTTCTCCTTTCAGCAAAGCGTTACCTTGCTTTCTTTGCTATCTTTTTGATATCACGTGGCACGCAAAGACGGGAAAGGCACGAAAAGAGGCATTCGGCATGGGCGTTTTGTTTTTGTTTTTTTTTTTTTTTTATTAATTTTCCATCATATACATGTACACACGCCTTCTCGTGCGCGTACGCAAACGTACGCGTGCGTGTGTCTGTGGGCTTTTTCGAGGACTGTATCACCACCGTTACTACTGTCATCATCATCATCATCATCATCATCGTCATCGTCGTCATCACCGTATGGCGCCTCGGGCTCTTCGACTCTTCTGTTTTTATTTTTTTTTATAAACTCTAGAATGAGGGAAGTACAGGGGGGCTATATTCGAACGGAACGTTATCCAGCCGTGGCGGCGCCGCTGAAAGGAGCGGAGAGAGTAATAACGTATTAGGGCACCGGGAATGTCGGACGGTGGGATTTGCGTGCTAAGAGACAGGCGGGCATGTGGGACGGGCAAAAAGACCGGACGGATAATGCTTTGTCGGTGGGAAGGATTCGATACGTGCGGGATGGCCAGATTTGCGTCGCGCTCACCAAATCTGAAAGGCAGCGGCAAGCCTGTTTGTACGTGGTAGAGAAAAATACATGACTGTGTGTGTGCGTGCGTGTGTGTGTGTGTGGTCTTCTAAGAATTTTTATACTCTTTTCTCTCTCTCTCTCTCTCTCTCTCTCTCTCTCTCTCTCTCTCTCTCTCTCTCTCTCCCTCTATCTTACTTCGAAACAGTACTGGTACAGCGGGTACTGGATTCTGGATGTGGCCTGGCCTCTCTCGAACGGCCGCGCATTCCAGCCGGGTCCCGTCTCCCTCTTTTTCACCATCTTGTTTTCCGGGGGTATCGTACAGCGTTCGTCACGTCAGAATCCAGCCGCCGGTCAAACAGAGCCGCGACGCCATGCACGGCCCCCTCGAAGACGTCTGGCCTGAGTGTCGTGAGAAATGTATATATGTACATATATATATATATATATAAGAAAAAAAAAAGGGGGGGAGGGTTTAGAGGACGGGACGCATCGCGTCCGTTTCTCGCTGTTTCACCCTTCAGAAAGGCCAAGCGCGTCCGATTAGATGGCGCCTCGTACGGGGGGGCCGTCACGAGAAGCGTATCCGGCCCTTCAGGTTCGTGACGAAGTTGTCCCACCAGGAGCGCGTCGGGGCCTTCTCCAGCTCGGCGATCAGGTCGATGTAGTGGTTTGGGTTTGACTGGGGTGACAGGACGTGCTTGGGCGTCGGGTACTGCGCGGTTCACTCGCCGTCAGCCAACGTCTTGTCTATCTCTCTCTCTCTCTCTCTCTCTCTCTCTCTCTCTCTCTCTCTCTCTCTCTCTCTCTCTCTCTCTCTCTCTCTTTTCCTCGCCGTCGCTTCCTCGCCGTCTTTTTTCTGTCTTCTCTTCTTCTTTCCATCCGTCTTTGTCGAGAACCCGTTCCACCCCTTCCTTTTCCAGAGCCCGCAGGCGCAGGTAAACGAGAGGGGAAGAAAAAAAAAAGCGACGCACCTTCTTGGAGTATCGGTCGTCCAGCAGCGAGTAGAGGGCGTTGATGTTTCGCAGCTCGGCCTGGCCGGCGTCGGCGAGATGCTTCTCCCTGTGCTCGAGCACCTTGGAGAAGACGCGGTCCGGCCGCATGGGATCCTTAGGCCACAGCGACGCGATGCGCTGGTAGTGCTTGGTGAGAAGCTGCAAGGCCGCGAAAACGACATCTCCGTCAGCTCGGCGTCGGCACAATATGGAAACGCATTTTTTTCATCGTTGGGAAGGAGAAGAGACCGACGGCGGGATGGGGAGCAAACTGGCTACGTACCGTTCGAGACATGGCGAGGTAATTTTTTTTTTGAAGGGGGGCCCGATTCGATATTTAGGGGAGGGATTGAAGGGTGATGGAGTCTCTTCGTGGGTTCGAGAGAAGGGACGTGGTGGAGGAGCGAAGAGAATTATATGAACGAAACGGGCATTGTCGTGTTCAACCAATGACGACGCACGGCTTTGCTCGGAGGCCGTGGACGCTGTTGTTCGTCCTCCTTTTCTCCCTCGCCTTCGATCACGGCGATGACAAGAGGCGATGGACGGGATGACCCTTTTCGCGCAGATGTGTACTTTGTCTTTTTACCTCCGCTTTTGGGGCACGCAAGAAATGGTGACGCTATGCGTCTCGGGGCCAGCGACCGTCCGCGGCTGGCCTGGTTGGTTGGCCGCGCGCGTGTTGCCCCCGCAGGCTTTGGGGCTCGGCTTTGGGGCTCGTTCGCTTCGACACGTCGCCTTTGCGCCGAACGAACGCACGACATGGCCGCTCGACCAGAACGGCCTGTTGTCTGCGTGTGCAACGAGCGCGGGGAGAATTCTTGCGGATGCTTGGATGCGCGCGCGAGCAAGCCTGTCGAGGCTTCATGCTGCCTGTGTGCGAAGACCTCGCGCTGGCCATGATCGCGCGCCGTTGGTTATCCATCGCAGCTGATTCTGCTGGTCGCCGTGCCCAGTGGCTGCCGCTGCGCCTCAGCCACTCAGCGTTTCGACACTGCGAACCCAGCACTAGGCCCGAAGAGCCTGACGAGCTTGCGATGCGCTGGCCCTTCATATCAGTTCCTCGTCTTAGTATCACCCTCGTTCAACGTTGACGCTGTCGCAAGTGTCTCCCGCCCGCTTCACTTAGCCCACGACGACTGTGCTACGAACAGCCGCTGCCTTTCCCGCCTCTCCGCCCTCGGGACGCTCACGCTTGCTTTGATTCTCCGTCGCATCAGGCTCCCTCCGCACCCGCCCACACGACACACCTCAGCCGCGCCCTTGTCCCCCCCCCCTTCGACGTTCTTCTCTTGTCCTCTACTGCCTCCTCGCAGCACCAATCCTCCTCACCACCGCCGACCACGAATCCGACATCAGCGGCCATTTCGTCTAGGTCGTCGCTGTCTCGTCTGCCAAGCCTCCCAGGCCATCTCCCGCTTCTCTCTTCCCTCCCTGTGCGTCTGCCTGCGTCTGGGAACCGGGCCACTTCACAACCATGAGCGGTCACTACGCCCGCGTGGCGACCACCGACGACGCGGACCACGAAGAAGGTCACTATCAACCCTCGCAGCAGATTCCCGACTCACCGCCCCCGTCGTTCCACTCGTGGGCCTCGTCGCCCGTTCTGCGAAACGACCCCCTCACATCCGACGCCGACCGCGAGCTGCACGACACCTTCGACTCCCCATCGGACGATGAGGGTTCCGACCGTGAGGACGACGCCGAGCACGGCAGGCGGCTGCTCGTGAGGAGCGACACGGCAGACAGCCGCAGCGGCGCTTCGTCGAGGACGACGGGTGGCGCGCCTGCCGTTGAGCGGAGGGTGACGCAGATCCCCGTCCTGTACGCAGGCCGGACTTTCGGCGGCGGCAACTCCAACGACGGCGTCTTCGCTAATCTGTCGGCGAAGCCCACCAGAGGCGAAGAGGTGGACGAGAAGCCTCCGGTAAGTTGTCACGGCGCGGAGTCTCTCTCGCCACGGCGTGTGTCCGTCGCGCGACATTGTGACTGACGTGCTCAAAACTGCAGAGCTACGAACAAGCAGCCATGGACAATGCACCGCCGTACTGGGAAACGGTATGTATCTCTTCTCTGTGCTCGACGTCTGTGTGCACTGCAAACCGCTGACCTCGACCGTACGCAGACCATCTTGGCCCCCGGCATGGTCTCGGACGAAGTCTACGTCGACGGTCTCCCCGTCGGTTCCCTTTTCTCCTTTGTTTGGAACGCCATGATTTCCATGTCCTTCCAGGTCGTCGGCTTCCTGCTCACCTACCTCCTTCATACCACACACGCCGCCAAGAACGGTTCTCTCGCAGGCCTGGGCATCACTCTGGTCCAGTTTGGCTTCTCCATGAAGTCGGCCGGCCTTGTCACAGGCGGCGGAGGCGGGCCCTCCGCACCGACAGGCGACTTCTCGGGCGCGCCCACCGATCCCAACAGCCACGACTTCACATCGGATGACTCCACCGCACCACAGGACGGAACCACGCCCGCGGATGGTGGCATCAGCACCACGGATTGGTTCGCGTACGTGCTCATGATCGTGGGATGGTTCATACTTATACGGAGCATTTCCGACTTTCTCCGCGCCAGGCGGCATGAGCAATTGGTCTTGCAGAGTCCCGATCGGGGCCTGCCCGTGCCCGTTGTCGCCGAGGGCGAAACGCCCAGCCAGGCTGTCTGAGTCACCCTGTTCCATGTCTATACACTACCTTGAGTCTCACGTATTGGATTAAATCATTAGCTCTGCCCGATTTTTTTTTCTTTCTTTCTGAGATCAACCGGTCTGTGGTTTACAAACCATCCTGTAGGGGAGCAATTGGGGTAATGGCGTTTTCTCTCGTTTTATTTTCCTTATGTATCTTGGGACGGTGGGTAAGAAAGAAAGCGGGTCTGCTGTAAAGGCCCCATGCCGTACAAAAGTCAACGCTGCACGCGCATTTGGGAGTAGTAGCTCCATTACATGGCCTCTAATCGAGGTCTGTTCCATGTATACGCGCTGGTACCATGAAAAATCCAACGACATGAAGTCTTATTCTTCCAAGGTTTCTCTGGGCGCTTATTCTCTATTCCCACACTTACGTTCCCCGGACGAAAAGTGATGCTCGCTTTTGCGCGGATGAGGGCAATGCTAAGGGACGGCCGAGTTCAACCAAAAAGCTTGTCTTTGCGGCTGGAATTTTCTATAACTCGCGTTCCTGGGCCGACCCCGTCTTTCATCGCTTGGCCAAACATGTACGCGCAGGAAATCGTACATGACATCCTTTACCGTGTCATCAACGTCCTTGAGGACTACTAACACTTGAATGACTCGTGCAAGACACAGGTAGCCCTATCGACAAATCTGTCGCTCGCATTTCTCTTTCGGCGGCTTCTTTCCATCTGATCTCATCAGGTCGAAAAAGGCCTCTACTTCCCGTCTGCATCTAACCTGGGGCGTGAACACACAAAAGCCCCCTCCAACCCAATGGCTTTTAATGACGGCACGGGAGAAGACCTGCCAGAAACCATGTCTTCCAGTGCCTTGCTGGCTAGTCGCCGACTTGACCCCTGCGACTTCTGAAGGAGCCATCAAGCTGTCAAGGCTTGACCAAGGAACCTTTTTCGGCCGCGCCGTATCAATCAGCCCCAAGACAAACGTGCTGAGGTTTTTCTCTTATTCTCTTCTTCGGGCGATATGCAGTTCGCGAAAGAAGGCTGAGCCAGCCTTGTCGCCCGGCTTTGGAGCTAAAGCGGACTCGGCGCTGGACTTCGTGCCTAGCGCCATGCAAGCTGCTCGATAAATATGCGGGGAAAGTCTAGGAGCCATGTGCGGTTCCACGATCGAAGTAGCTCGGTTAAACAGGAGTTTCTTTTGGCAGCAGTGTATTCAAAATTCTCGGACCGCCAGCTGGACAGGCTTCTGGAATCTCTTCTTTTTCTTTTCTCTTTGCGGAAATTTTTTTCTTTTAAGTCAAATCAGGTCCTTGGGTGGCTTCTCTCTCTATTCAAATCCCCATATCTTCCATTGATTCAAACGTAAAGAATATATTGCTAACGATAACGATATCGGCAACATTACTTCGTGTCTCGATCGATCTCCCAGCATAGCTGTAGAGATTAAAATACATACTTGAAAATCAAAACGAGGTAGGGGCAGCAGCATGACATTTTTGGAAAGGTGCAAGAGTGGCCCGGTGCCATTGGGCGCCTACATTGGAATCGAAGCTCCTATTTCTGCCCATCTCATGGCCGGTGCAGGCTACGACTGGGTCTTGATTGACATGGAACACGCCCCTTTGTCGGCGCGAGAGACGACCGCCATCGTCCACGCGATTGCGAACGGTTCGCACGGGCAGTGCGCATCCATCGTTCGCATACCTGCCGCCGGCGTCGAATGGGCGAAGTGGGCGCTGGACGCGGGCGCAAACGGCATAGTGGTCCCCATGGTCCAGAGCAAGGACGAGGCAGAACGCATCGTCAAGTACGCAAAGTACCCGCCCGTCGGCCAACGCAGCTTCGGCCCGTTCAACGCCCCCTACGCCGATCCCAGCCCGGACAAGTCCATGGCCAAGTACTTCGCGGCCGCGAGGCAGCCGGGCAACATCGCCGTCATCGCCATGATCGAGTCCCAAGACGGACTCGCCAACGCGGAGGACATCATGAGCACCAAAGGCCTGGACGGCGTCTTCATCGGACCCGTGGATCTCCGGCTGTCGCTTGGCCTGAACGGCGCGGACGGCAACGAAGCCGCTTACGTGGACGCGCTACAAAAGGTGGTTTCGCTCGCAAAGAAGTACGGCCTCGTGGTTGGCATCTATTCGGCGGGGCCAGACGCATTGAAGAAGCACATCAGCATGGGGTTTGACTATTCGATGTGCGGTGGCGACACAATGGCGCTGGCGAGCGGCGCAAAGGCGGCGCTCGACAGTTCTCGACAAGCTGTCAAGGACGCAAAGTTGTAGTCCGGCATCCAAACTCGTGGCCCGTTTTACGTCGTCTGGTCCGGCCTGTCCCCTTCTTGAGCGTTATCAAAGGGCTTGAGTTTCTGCACCGGTTTTCCTGGACCGGGCAAGCAAATGTTGTTTGACAACTGGCACAGGAAATGGGCGGGTCATGCACCAAAAGGCAAGGGGGATCCGTGGCTTCGTACAATGAACTCCGCTTCTTTCGCCCCCTTTTTTGGGAGCGCCAAAAATTGCAACCCCCCGTTCCAGATCCACGTCCTTCAACCATCGATACGATGCCTTGTCCCAGTACTATGTGCCTGTATATCGCACTCCGTCTGAATAGCGATCTGGATTGCATCATCATCATCATCATCAATAGTAGTGCATTCTTCGTCGATTGGCTTGCGAAGACGGCCACTGCCCCTCATGCGAGATGTTTTTGCCGAGCACCCCGAGAAACGCCTTTTCGCATAACGTACTCCACGATCAGATGGACGACGTAGCTTGACCCTCCGCTTCGGGGTGTTCATCCATGTGTGACGGTTCCCTTTGCTTAGATCAATCTCTACGGTGAGCAGCGATGGATGTCCACCCTTTCGCCCTGTTCTCCTTCTCCTCCGCCGCTGGCGTCCTTTCGCACGTCTTCTTTCATTATTTCGAGCCCGAATCCGTCTCCCAGTTTCTCGTCTTCCCAATCTCTGCCGGTGTAATAGAGCGATATGTCTTCTCGCTTGGGGCCGCGCAAATTCTGTTGTCTGGCCTGGCCTGGTCGTCGTCACTAGCCATCTCGGTGCTCTTCTACCGCGTCATCTCGCCATTCCATCCGCTGCATCACGTTCCCGGGCCCCCGCTCGCTAAATGCACTCAGATAGCGCAGTTTTGGAGCCTCTACAAGGGCCGACCTCGCGTGGACCAGTGGAAGCTGCACCAGCGATACGGCCCCGTCGTCCGCATCGGCCCGAACGAGGTCTCGATTGCGGACACGGCAGCGCTGTCTCCAATTTTCGGGGCCAAGTCGTGGGCAAAAGGCAAGGCGTACTCGTTCACGGCAAGCGGAGGCGCCGCCACGTCCGAGACGGCTCTGTCCTCCATCCGGGATCACAGGGAGCACGCTGCTCGCCGAAAGATCTGGGACCACGCATTTTCGATCGCGGCGCTGAAGGGATACCAACCCTCCATCGAGCTGAGGGTTCAGCAGCTGTGCGATCAGCTTGACAGGCTGACCGGAAAGGGGCCGATCGACTTGCAAGAATGGATCGGTTATCTTGTCTTCGACGTGATGACGGATCTGGCGTGGGGAGGAGGAGGCGACGCGGTGATCCAAGGCCGTGATCCGAGCGGAGCCATCGCCTCGCTCCGTTACTCGCTGCATCTTGCCGGCATGACGAAGGCCCTGCCGTGGTTCGCAAACGTCGTGACTTCGCTTCCCTGGGTCGAGAGGAAGACGAGGATGTTCAGGACCTTTGCGCGAGACATGTTTCTGAAGAGGAAAGAGAACGGCGAGGCTAAGGCTGGGCAAACGGGACGCGACGTCTTCTACCACCTTCTTGGAGAGGGGACTTCAGAAGGGCGAAAGCTCAGCATAGGCGCTCTGCAAGCCGACTCGAGACAAGTTGTGACGTAGGTTCTTTGAGACTTTGGCGATTGTGGGAGACGATGGACGACTGACTTTGATTTGCAGAGGTGGGGCCGACACGACGGTGTCAGCGATCACATATTTGTTCTATCACTTGCTGCGGCAACCGCCTTACTACAAGCAACTTCAGTCCGAGCTTGACAGATTGGCTGCATCGTCGCCGGACAACGAGTTGCAGTACGATACCGTCCAGAGATTTGCGGTTCTTGACGCCTACATCAACGAGGCAATGCGCCTGGAGCCTCCGATACCCTACCAGAACCAGAGGATCGTTCCGCAGGATGGGGTCACGTTCTCTGACGTCTTCATACCCGGAGGCACTCACGTACGCACCGCTCTGTACACCATCGCACGATCGCCGGCAAACTTCAGCAACCCGGAGCAGTTCTGTCCAGAGCGTTGGATCTCCGCCCGACGGGGCTCACACGAGGCTTTTAATCCCAAGGCGAACATCCCATTCATACAAGGGCCCTACCATTGTGTTGGGCGCAACTTCGCGATGGCGGAGATGCGGTGGACGGTCGCGAGGCTGGTGGAACGCTATGATATGGAGCTTGTGCCAGGATTCGACCAGCTTGGCTTTGAGAGCTGCATTGAGGACCGCAGCGTGCTCGAAATCGAGAGCAGCTTGGATGTTAGGGTGAGAGTCAGGAAGCACGACCAATCTTAACTTATCACGTCTTGCTTTATGTAAAAGACTTTTCTTTTGGTCGTCTTGCTGCATTTCGCAATCGGAACCCGAATCAAGGTCAACTGCTTGAGTAAGAACAGGCGGCCGAGATCTCAGAGTGAAATAGGCCACTTTTCTCTGACAGCTTTACCATACCTCATAAAAAGCCACGGTATCGGCGTAAGAACTAGTGTGATGATCCCAAGAACAGTGTTACCCATTCCCAGATCGAGTCTTTCATACAACGGTGGACCGGCAAGTGGCAAGGTTGTGCCGGCGATAGATATCGCCGTTCTGACCGCGGCCACTGCGGATGCTGAGTAGATTTGGAACGCATCGACCAAGTATTGTTGAGTGGGAACGAAGATGCCCAGCATACCAAAGCCAAAGAAGGTGCTTCCAATTATTGGGACGATCCAATGTGACTGTCGTTGTACGGACCAACCATACCAGAAAAGACTTACTGGGACTAGACCAGCGAGGTAAATAGCAGCGGGGAGGCGGAACTCGGGTTCGTACACTCCATTGTTGCGCTTCGTGAGACGTACGACGGTCGCGTCGTTGGTTTTCATGATGAATGTAAGACTTATCTATCCAGCATTTAGCACCCCTCCCAACAGCTTTCTTCGTCCTCGGGCTACTCACGACCATGCCAATGCCGATGCCAATGTATGCCAGGCCCGTGTCTTGCGGTGACCATCCGTATGCGTGCTCATACACCATTGGAATGGTGGTAAACCACAGATACAAACATCCGTAGACTACTGCCACGTACAAGCAAATCAAGGAAACGATGGGAGATTTCGTCAACATTTTCGTGGGTCTCATGATCGCTTGCGCAAGCATTTCTTTGCGGGAGATATCTTTGCTAAGCAGCGGACGCAAGTCGTCTCTCCCCAGTTCCTTGCGCAGCCTCTGCGCTTTCCGCCTCAGCAAAACCGGCGCGTAGCTTTCCCTGAAGAAGATGGTCATAAAGAACGACGTTGCGCCGGAGCATATCAAGAGCAACCAGTAGTTCCACCTCCAACCGAGACGCTCCCCAACGTACGAGCCGATCAGAGGCCCGAGGGTGGGCCCGAGGCATTGGGCCATAGTGATGGTAGCTGTACTGCGCGCTCGCCTCTCAATTGGATACATGTCTGCGCAGACAGCCGGCGCAATGGTCATGGCCGCACTTCCGCCTATCCCAGCAAAGAGTCTCATCACTATCAGACTGGCCATGGAAGGTGCGAGAGCAGCGCCTAGGAGCCACGCCACCATGAACCACGACGCGCCGACCATGACCGGATACCGGCCAAACATTTCAGACAGAGGACTGTGGTGGCCTGTCAGGCGAGTGAGGACTTTGCGCATGACAGACACTTACCCAAGAAACAACGGGCCCAGGGTAAAACCCAGCAGCCATATTGTCACGCTAAAGGATCCGATGACTTGATTGGCCACGTCGAAGTCCTTCATCGTTTGGCTGATAGCGGGTGCTACCATGGAGGATCCTAACGGGCTGTGGAGCACATGAGCGAGGCGAACAGCGCGGGAAAAGGGGGGGTTGGTATGAAGCGTACGCCAAGGTCGAAATCGCGCCCATAAAGATCAAATTGAGCCTTCTCGACCATTTTGGAAAGTTTCTTTTGCGCGAGCTCAGCCTGTGTTCAGGACGATCAATGGCAAAGACGGAGCGGACGCACAGTGGATTGGCGGGGTCTGTATGAGACTCCCATCCCACCAGGCCCTTGTCCCAGTCGATGAGACCGCTGGCAACCTGCGGTGTTGATTGTCGCTGTCCAACGACAGCCATGTCGACCCCGTCACGAGTGCTAGCCAGTTCCGTCATCTCTAGCGTCGCTTTTCCCATGGCGCAAAAAAAAAAACCTCACCAAACTCGGCACATGGACAGAAAGAATGACAAGCCCGAAGGAGAGAGGAAAGCTTCACGACCGTTTGAAGCTCGACAGCTACGCTCGAGACAGCGGATCGGACGCCCATCTACTTTTTGATATTTGTATAGGAAACAATGCTTAACATCCGGCAGAGCTGTACCCTATCACCATTGGCTACATGCCGTCTCTTCCGACTAGTGCACCCGCTCGCACGATCACCAGAGCAGATGTAGTGCCTGGCCCTAGTCAAAACTAGCTCCAAGGAAACTAAGAGCCGAAGGTCGCCAGCTATCACCTTTGATCGCTCAGGCCGCCGGGAAATCTACCATCGACTTCGGGCTTCGATTTTCCGATGCCTTGTGGTATACAGACCTGTCCCACAATGGCACGAAGCAGGCGGGTGTTTGGAGAGCCGTCCACTATCATGCCTGACCTTCATATGCCACCCGTTGAAACCCGCTGAGAGTAATGTGTAGCTCCAATTGCTCCACCTGAACGGTGCGGCACTGTTTCCAACAGCGGCCGCTTGAGTTTTAACTTTTTCTGGGCAAACACAAGACACGGTCCTGACCGTACAAGGGACGACAATGATGCCGCGCACATGATCCCTCATCTCAAGACGCAGGCGGCCTTGCGCCGCTTTGCAAGAGTCGCACTAAAAGATGCATCATTGCTCAACGATCCTAGTTGAGGTCTGAACACTTTCACAAAGCGCACATCTACGACACACTCGGAAATAAGCAAACCAAGACTTCTGGACGCCCAAGCTTGACTGTGGAACAAAGAAGAATGGAATTGTCGCGAATGAACGAGAACGATGTGCTTCTCCAGATTTGCGCGGCCTGCCTGGTCATACCTCCCGGCCGTTGTCCGCACTGTTGGGACGTCGATGTCGCGATGTTACACCACCACGTTGCTCACGCTCGATTTCATTTGTTCTCCATGGTTGCAGGATCAGCATCATGACTTTTCTTGTACGTCTATCCGCTTTGCAAGGCGCACACCGCTGTTATTACCGCACAGCAACAGGTCCGTCGATAGTTGCCATGGGGCTACGTCATGGTCTTTGATTCTCCCCAAACATGAAAATTGCATGGCAATTTGCGACGATCTTGCCCCAGTATATCCAGCCTTCTGTGCCCTTCTACTCATTTCCCTTTCTATACCAGTATCCCACTGCTTCCAGCCGTTCTCTTCGCCTTCCATTGGCCTAAAGTGGTAAATCGTCCTGACAAAAGCGGGTCCACCACCATCGTTGAAAATCTTTCACGTTGGCATCGCTCACGACCATACGCATACGGGTCTAGTGTTGTGGGACGATCTAATCTGTCGCGTGCCTTTACTCTGGAACATTGGTGTGAAAAAAAAAAGTTTCGAGCATATAATGACCTCCAACGCCCGTTAAGTTGTCGGGTTCTTTTTTTTTCGTTTTGACACACCCAAAGACTAGCACGGAATCTTGTTTGGACTTTGTAATTCACAATGGACGGTGTTGAGAAAGCAGCGGCCGCTAAAGATACCTTCGTCACCCCTGAGATGACAGACAACAAGACGAAAGATACGGTTGCCATTGCGCACAATGACCGAGCCATCTGGGAAAACAGGGAGCCATACGGACCTGCTGGTTGGGAAAAACCCCTTTTGTATCCTTTACAGAAAGATTTACTGAACGAGTGAACAGGATTTAGAGGGCTATTCTCGTCCTCGTACGTAGCAGTATGTGCCGCCTTCTCTGCCCTTGGTGGTTTGCTTTTTGGGTACGACCAGGGCGTCGTATCTGTCATTCTCGTAATGCCCCAGTTTCTCGACCGCTTTGAACGCGTTTCAGAGCAGGCCTCAGGTGCTGGTTTTTGGAAAGGTCTCTTGACAGCTATGATTGAGCTTGGTGCTTTACTAGGTGCACTTAATCAAGGTTGGATAGCCGACAGAATCTCCCGCAAGTACTCCATTGTAGTAGCCGTTGTCATATTCATCATCGGTTCATCACTCCAGACGGCAGCGGTGGATTATGCCATGCTCACAGTCGCTCGCTTAATTGGTGGGGTGGGAATTGGTATGCTTAGCATGGTAGCTCCTCTATACATCTCAGAGATCTCGCCACCGGAGATTCGAGGCGCGCTTCTTGTGCTCGAAGAATTCAGTATCGTCACAGGGATCGTCATTGCCTTTTGGATCACGTACGGTACGCAATTCATGTCGGGTGAATGGTCGTGGCGTCTGCCTTTTCTACTCCAGATCATTCCGGGTTTGATGCTCGGCATTGGCATCATATTTTTGCCCTTTTCGCCTCGTTGGCTCGCCTCAAAAGGCCGCGATCAGGAGTCACTGCAGGCTCTTGCCAAGCTGCGCCGCCTCCCCGAGACAGATCATCGCGTAAGACAGGAATGGATCGATATCCGCGCAGAAGTTTCGTTCCACAAGGAGGTGAGCGCCGTGCGCCACCCCAATCTGCAAGATGACACCACGGCCTCTCGGATCAAGCTTGAATTTGCGTCTTGGATAGACTGCTTCCGCCCGGGCTGCTGGCGTCGCACACATGTTGGCATGGGCCTCATGTTTTTCCAGCAGTTCGTCGGCATCAACGCCCTGATCTACTACTCCCCCACCCTATTCCAGACCATGGGTCAAGATCACAGGATGCAGCTCATTCTGTCGGGCGTGCTGAACATCACGCAGCTGATCGGCGTCTCGACGTCAATCTGGACCATGGATCGCTTTGGAAGGAGACCGCTGCTCCTGTGGGGCAGCGTGTTCATGTGCATCTCTCACGTTATCATCGCGGCCTTGGTGGGTCAGTTCAGTAGCAACTGGCCTGCACACAAAGGACCCGGTTGGACTTCGGTCGCCTTCCTCTTCATCTACATGCTGGGTAGGTCTTTGCCCTTATTCACGACTTGGATCACACGTCCAGATTTGCTGACATTCTTGCGCAGCTTTTGGCGCCTCTTGGGGACCTGTTCCTTGGGCCATGCCTGCCGAGATTTTCCCATCCTCGCTGCGCGCAAAGGGCGTCGGTCTCTCCACCGCGTCCAATTGGCTGAACAATTTCATCATCGGGCTTATCACCCCGCCTTTGGTCCAGAATACGGGCTTCGGAGCCTACGTCTTCTTCGCTGTGTTCTGCGGTTTAAGTTTTGCCTGGACGTGGTTCTTTGTCCCCGAGACTACGGGTCGCTCGCTTGAACAGATGGACGCTGTGTTCAAGGACTTCAGGGGTGAGGAAGAGCTAGCAAGGAGGATGCAAATTGAGAGGGCAATTGCTGGAGTAGGCATCGGAGCTGCTGCTGGCGCTGGAGACGACAGTGATGATGCGAAAGAGGCCGAAGTCTAACGTTTACTTGGTTTAATGAGAGAGTGATATTGGGTGGCAATCCATTGATTCGAAGATGTGTGACAGAATGTAAAATCGTTTACGTATTCTGATGTGTTCTACTTTCCAATGTAATGTTGCATTACTTCGCCGTCAGCTGTGCAGACTATATCATATGCGTCTACAGAGTATACTACACAGGATTTGTCCTCGCGCAAAACTCCATGCTGATGCTTCTAGCGCATGCTTAATCTCACAGAACTTGACCCATTGCACGTGTCTGTTAAAGGCCGAATCCGAAATCTTATCCTTGCAGAAGAATGTCTTTTTTATGCAGCCCACACATCTTGTCCCTTCTGCTCGATCCATGTCCCCAACCTATGCACGCTTCCATCCCATTCTTTTAGCCTAGTTCTCATACCCATAATCTGTCCCTTGTCTAGAACCTTAGGTTGAACCCAATTTATTCGTGCAATCTCTGCCACCTGATCGATGCTGCCCCTCACAAGACCTAAGCTAAGCGCCTTCATGATCATATATTCGATTTCGTCGCTCTTGATTTTGGTCTCGGCGCTGATGGCTGCAAATGTCATGGTCCTGTCGTGCGGCGCACGCTTGAAGACAGTTTCTGTGAGAGCGGACAGCGCGAGCTTTTGATATAGATCGCGCTGGAACTGGCTTAGAAATCCATCCCCTTCAATCTTTGGCCGCAGTTTGTCATAAGCTTTGAGGTCACCGCGGTTGAACGCAAATAGCAAATCCCGCACCCACGACTTCTCGGTGCCGCTTAGCGAATCAAGAATTGGGTGGAGCAAGAGCTCGCCGAAATTGTATATGCTGTCCGAGACGAGAGCTGCGATAGCGAGATCATAGGCACGCATGCGCTTTTCAGGGACGGGCAAGTCGGCAATGTCGACGCAGGCAAGAAAGAGGAGGGCGTTTTTGTAAAATGGAGCGTACTCGTATTTACCCTGTTCAAATAGGCATGTTAGCATGAGGCAGTTGTGTTCGGCAGTTTTGTAATAAGCAAACGAGACGCACCTTGAAGTAATCCGCATTTTCACGGTAGAAGGAGGCGTGTACGACGGTTTCGACGGAGTCAAATGTGTCGAGTATGCTTTCGCATTCGTCTAGTATCTTGCGAGCCTCGGCGAAATCTTGATCTTCCAGATATGCCTGTGCGATGGCGACTCTAGCCAACACATATGCATCTTGTGAGTCCGGCTTATTCACTCTGTCTGCAAGTGCCTTCTTCATCGCCAGCTGCTCGGCTTTGTCTGTTGTTGTCCAAGCACGTTAGCCACGCTTTACCAACAGCCGCTGTGCCTACATCAATCGATGCAGACGTACCTTCACATTCCAGCGCAGCCACCAAGCCCAAGCTCACCAAGCTCAGCTTATTGATCTTCTCGGCAAAAGTTCGGATGAAGTTGTTGTACAGGCTCAAGCGGGTGCTTTTACTGCCAGGTTGATCGAAGTACTCTAGGAGTTTGTTTGTGAGCTCGTGCCATAGTTTGCGCTCCCAAGCATCTTGAAACTCGAGAAAGTAATGCACAAGGTCCTCGGGGGCATCATCGCGAAGACTGTCCAGATAATCTGGGATCTTGTCCAGCTCCATGGCGGAGGCCATCTTGTCTTGTGCAGGAGTTGTGGTGAGTTTGTGCTAAGGTTCAAAAGGACTTGGCGAGCCGGGAGGTTTGAAGGAATAGGAAGCGGCGTGATCAAAGGGCTCGTCTTGAGCGTATGATTATCTTTTTTGGAGCAAGGCGAGGTGTGTATAAATCAGTATTTCACCGTCAGTCAACACCAGGCATAGCGGCGATGACCAGGCTCGGCGCAGAATAGCAACGGCACGCGGTGAGCACGGACCTTCTTGGCATCGATTCTCGCTCACCACAGCTCCTCACTTGTCACAGCACAGCATCGCTTCAACACCACCAACACGACGCCAACATGAAGCCATTGGGCGCTCAAGGCACGTTGCTCTCGAGGAATTGCCCTCGTGCAGCTACTGGGCTCTCGAGAAATGCGAATCTTGTGCGCCGCCAGCAGCGACGCGGCTTTCAAACCCAGGATGTGCATATCACCAGGACTGGTAAGCCGCTTATTACCATGTCTGCTGGAAGGTCAGTTCTGCTTCTTTCATATGAGTTAGGTCGCCGGCTAATGTGAAAAGGTCTTCTCTTGGAGGTACAGATGCTGTTTGGGCGATTCACATTGGGGAGGGTACTGACATAAGTTAGGACACACTGCAACTGTCTTTGGCGCGACCGGTTTCCTTGGTCGATACATCGTGAATAGACTTGCTCGGGCTGGCAACACTGTTGTTGTGCCTTATAGAGAAGAAATGGCAAAGCGACATCTCAAAGTCTCTGGCGATCTGGGTAGGGTTGTGTTTATGGTAGGCACATGATCATTCCTTCCTGCAGTCTACTATGGCATTCTAATCAACATGACATCTAGGAAATGGACCTCCGTAACAAGGAATCAATTGAGGAGTCCGTTCGTCACTCAGACATCGTGTACAATCTCATTGGTCGCGAGTATCCTACCAAGAACTTTGATCTTTTCGACGTGCACGTCTGGGGAGCTCAACGAATAGCCGAAGCCGTTGCTAAATACGATGTCGATCGCTTCATCCACGTCTCATCATACAACGCCGATGTATCCTCACCTTCCGAGTTCTTCCGTACCAAAGGGCAAGGTGAAAAGGTGGTTCGCGATATTTTTCCCGAAACGACCATTGTACGGCCTGCGCCTTTATATGGGCACGAAGACAAGCTCCTCAATTTGCTAGCCTCAGTGACAAATCTGTTCTGCAGCAACCACATGCAGCAACGCTTCAATCCCGTACATGCCATCGATGTTGGCCAAGCTCTCGAGAAGATGTGCTTGGACGACAGCACTGCGGGTGAAACATACGAACTGTACGGGCCCACTAACTACTCGCTCAAGGAGATTGCAGAGATGGTCGACGAGGAGATTGTAAAAGTTCGTAGAAAGATCAACATTCCTCCCCAGATTAGGGCGCCGATCCTAGACCTCCTTAACAAGGTGTTGTGGTGGGATGTGGGCACAGGAGATGGAGTTCGGAGGGAGTTCATCGACCAGATCATCGATCCCTCAGCCAAGACATTTAAAGATCTGGGCATCGAGCCAGCTGAACTTAAGAACCTGAAATACCAATACCTTGTGAGAATCACCGCAGTTGATTTTCTTGTTCGGACAATGAACTTGCTAATGAGGATCACAGTTGCCGTACCGAAGCTCATCCTACTATGACTTGCCACCAATGACGGAGAAGGAGAAGCGCGAGGAGAGGAAATACCTGCATGTCCTAGACGACCAATAGATTGGTGGATTGAGTCCTTCTCTTATGGTTTTATTTGTTTGTAACTGAGACCGGAAGAACGCAGATGTACATAGTCTAGCCACAATCGCGACTGGCCTTGCCGTTCTTGCGAAAATCACTTTTTCTCTTCCTGATTCGACTCGTCGCGTGGCATGGCAATACTCAGCATGCTCATCATATTCCCGGCGGGACCAGCCATACCCGTTTGGCCTTTGAATGCTTCAAGGATATTGTAGGCGAGGTTGTAGTCAATTTTGACGTCGCGCTCCTCAAAATCGTCGCCATCACTATCATGATCATTGCCATAATCATTATCATAAGCTCGCAAACCCTTGTTCTTCTCGGGCCCAATGGCCGAATCGTCCTCCATCTTTCCCTTTCCCTTCCCCTTGCGATCGTTCTCAGCTACAGCTTTCGTCGTAGCTGGCGTCGGATTCAGATCAAGGACTCCTGTGGCACTGAGTTCAGCTCGCATTCCCTCGCTCAGTAGCCTTATTTCTTCATCTTCGGACAGATTACTCTCGTGGTCCGCAAGCTCGCTCACATCGCTTTCCCGTATGTTTGATGTTGGTCTATCATCAGGCATGCCCATCATTTGTCGCATCATCTTACGAAACTCGTCCTCGTCGAAGCTGACCGCACGATCCTCCTCGTCAGAATCTGACGTGGCCGAATCGCCGTCATCGTCATCTTCGTCGTCGTCAAAATCCATGTCGTCGAGTTCAATTTCGGCGCCTTCAGGCCCGGCATTGGCGTCATTCATCCATTTTTCGAATCGCTCGGCCATGCGGCGCAGATTCTCCTGCGCGGCTTTGTCGCCAAAACCACTTGAGGCCTTAGCATTGTCGTTCGCTGCTGAGCCCTGGTCCCCAGTGCTGCGCCTTCCGGACAATTCTCGTTCAAAATCTTGAAAATTGATGTCCATCCACGCGTCGCTGTCTTCGTGCTGCGGCCAGCGGCTGATTTCTGTGTCGGTTGGCATGGTGTCATCTCCAGCATCGAGATCTTCAAGCAGCAATTTTATCTCACGCACGCACTTTCTATCTTTATACTGCGGATCTTGGATCAGCATCTCGAAGCCGCAGGTCAATTTCAGACCGAGCTGTCGGCGCACAACATCCTTCGGGTCAGTTGAAGGAGGGAACGGAGCATTCTCCCAAGACTTTGGCGGTTCGAATTCCTGCGACTTAAGCTGTGCATATGACGCTTTGTTGAACCTCACGGAAAGCTTCACAAAGTCTTTGGGTGCAAATACTAAATCAGACGTTGAGGACTTATTCAGCGAACGAAGGGAGATAGGATCGCGCAAGTAGAACGCCTCCACGGCCGGGCTGGTTAGCGAATCTTTTGCGTGCAGTACAAAGGCAAGCTTTCGTGGCACGGTGACGAGTGCGCAATGTACCGAGTCATGAATGGCCTCCGGGTATCTTTGTAGTCTATAAAATGCCTCTTCTTCGATCAGAGGGGAATGAATCAGCGACGATGGGTCTGACGAGACCCTATCGAGTGCCTGCTGCAACGACAGATTCTTTGACGAATCTTCATCCTTATTCAACGGAATGATTCGAAGTTGACCATTGTTAATCCACACTCGATGGTCCGCTATCTCCGGATTCAGCCATTTGGGCAGCGCATTCGCGGCCTCTATGAGCAAGAATTCTCCATCTGAGTCGATCACTCGGATCCAGGCTTTGGCGAATTGCTTGCTCAACTCGCGAAGCATAAACACGATCACCCACTCGTCCGCTATAGAGTCACCGAAGTTGGTTCGTCCGAAGAGATACCAACGATTATGTTCGCGCTTGAGTTCGAGCGAAAAGGGCTCGCGTTGCCAGATGTAATCTTTGAGTAGTTTTTTACTCAGGTCATTCGCAGTCTTCAATATGTCGTTGAGACCAGATCTCATCCGCGAATCATTAAGATTCGCATCAACAATATAGATCGTGTACTCGACTGTGTCGTCAGGTAAGCGTTTTGGAAACCCGTCAAACCCTTCACCAAACCACTTCAGACCGTCACCAGCTGGAATGTCCATTGCTGCAAAATGATTTGAACATCAAGAGCATGAATTTCTGCAACTTAAAAGATGTTGTAAACCTAGCTGGGCAATTGCCTGTGAATCCCGATTAAGAGTGGCGAGTCGATTGTAAGTTGTAGAACAAAAATCAACAAGGGTGACACTGCCCAACGAGCAGATGAAATTTCAGCCATTTTTGTACGATACCTTTGCTCCTCAAGCGTGATACCAGCATAATGCTATTGGGTTAGATAGATAAGATGTATGAAAATGGGAGTCTTTCTTGCTTTAAATGCTACCGCTCTGAACAATTTGAGTGAACGGGAATAATTTCAGATCTTTTTTATCCGGGCTTTCAGCATCCAAGCTGCTGACGATGCCAACAAAGAAGCTGACATCCAAGATTCCAAACAAAACAACTACAAAGAACATATAAGCCAACTAGTAGAAAACGAAGTTTCTTTTTGGATTCTGCTTGCGGATCGATTTTGGTCAGAGAAGTCATACGCTGCTTGACCACGGTAATTTCTGCCTAGCAGGCAAGATGAGGCAAGACACAATATATGTTGCTTCTCAAATAGAGCCACAAAAGTAGATTATATCATGAAAAAATTCCGATTTCTCGATTCTCTTATGAGCAACTTTGTACTTGAAGCTGTTGTCTGAGTTATTCAAATACGTGCTCGAAGGGTGATCTCAGATTGTACATGCTCGTCTCAAAGTGGCCTAGTGTGGTCTTGTCCCATTTGTTTACGTGAAAGTAAACAACCAACCTACTCTGATATTCGAGCCAACACTCCGCCGGCATTGTTTTTGCAACTATAAATTTACTCAACCAGCCGATTTCACCCTTTTTATGAAATTTATATGCCGCCTTCTCCTTTGAAAGCTGCGTGGGAATGGCGCACTTCGTAGAGACACCTCGCACCGATGCCGTAGATCGGACGCGATTCACCATGCTGGATCTCTCCGAGATGCCATCATTTCAGGCTCCCGCTGGGAAAGACGATCTGCTAAAAGCTGTTAGAAGCTCCCAAAACACGTCAAGGCACGCTATCGCGACTCCATCGGCGCGTGTCCCTCTGGCTGGGCGAAGCAGAAATGCACAGGCGAAGAATGAGTTCACACCGCTGCTCCACAGCGCAACAAAGAATCGCATGGCGATGCGAGGCATGAATGAGAAGGAAAATGCTGGTCTTGCAACGCCTGCAGCACTCAGACCTGGATTCCAACTGAGCAGTCCCAATATGCCTGAAGCAAGTACGCTGGGAGATAGTTCTGTTATGTCAGACCATACACCCGTGCCGGAAGTCAACAGTAGCAGCTTTGAAAACAGTACGCCAATGGCCTTGCCAAAGGGCCAGCTAGATTCTGGAAATGTCTTGACTCTAAGAGAGCAGGAAGCAGTGAGTTGTTCCAGAAACAAGTGGTGGCCAACTTGTGTTCACTGACTGTGTGCGTGCTAGAGATTGGAAAAGATTGACAAGGAGAATTTCGGCCTCAAATTGAAGATTCACTTCTTGGAGGAGAACCTGAAAAAGACAGGCACAGAGTGGAGCCAACAGGCCCTAAGAGAGAATACAGAGCTCAAAGTCACCCAGATGACGATGGAGCACGAGCTTAAAAAGTACCGCAAGCAACTCCTCCAAGCAGAGCGCGACCTTCAGGCATACAAGCAACAGTTGCAAGAGCACGCCGAAAAGGTCCAGAAACGTCATGCCGACGAGGCTTTGAAAGCTGAAGTCGACCGTTTGCGGCAAGCGCTTGAAGACAGGGAAAGACAGCTCGCGGAGATGCAGTTGCGTCTCGAATCTGCTGAAAACACGATGCAGTCTATGTCTGAGCAAGAGAAGCTACGTGATCAAATTGAAGAACTTGAGGCAGAGATTCAAGCACGAAATCGAGACATTGACGAACGTGATGACGAGATAGAGTTCTTGAAGGCACAACTCAGAGAGGCCGAGAACAAGGCAGACGATGACTTTGATGACAAAACTCGCCAACTTAACGAGCAGCTTGATCGTATCGAAGAGCTGGAGGCAGAATTGAAGAGAGTATCACGGCAAAAGGATGAGGAGTTGGATGCGGTTCAAGAAGAGCATGATGCTGCAAAACGCGAACACATTGCTGAGATAGAGGATCTTCGCCGACAGCTCGAGAACGCCCAGAAGGACAAGCGCGATCAGCTGCGCGAGTTTGAGACGCGACTACAAAGCTACAATCGTGAAAAGACGTCACAGATTGAGGATCTTGAAAGGAAGCTGCTCGCCTCAGAAAAGGAGAAAGCGGATGAGATCGAGTCTCTAGAACTTCGCCTGAAGCTTGCTGAATCGAAGGGAGATAATCAATCGCAACTGGCTCAACAAGCCGCCGAGGATGCTCGACAACAGATGAAGCTGATCATTTCCGAGAAAGACACCGAACTAGACGACCTGCGAGCACAAATACAGTCTCTTCGGGTTGTCGAGGATGAGCTGGAAGCGTGCCGCAAACAGCTGCAAGATGCCACTGCTGATGCAGCGAAGCGACAAGAAGAGGAACGACTGCAGGAAGAAGCCTTGGCTGATCTTCGGAATACTGTTGCGGAAAGGGACCGTGAGCTCAGGCAGTTAAAAACCGTCGCCTCTGAGCAAGCTTCGACTCTTCGGGAAGTGGAGCGGTTAAAGGCCATTGTCGCGGACCGGGATTCTGATATTGAAAATTTGAAACAGACCGTTAATGCTCAGAATTCATCCCTGGAAGATTTAAGGCGAACTAGAATCGAACTTGCTTCTCGTGAGCAGGCTCTCAAAGGTGCTTATGAGGAGGCGAAGCAGTTGAAGGGTGCAATTAGCGATCGAGACAGACAGATTGAGACTTTGCGAAAGACGCTTGAAGATCGCACTTCCGAGCTTGAAGTTCTACGGAAGAACAACGAAGAACCGCATACGCAGATCGAAGGCATGCAGTCCATTCTGCGCCATCGCGACAATGATTTGGAGGATTTGAGAGGGACTGTTAACGAACTTGAAACGAAGCTGGAATCGCTGCAGGTGACCGCAGATGAGCGCCTCCGCACAATCAATGAACTTCGCGGCGAGTTGGAAAAGACGAAACAAGAGCTCGAGGACGAAATTCAGGTTCTGGAGGCCACTCTCGATGAAGCCGAAGACGACAAAGAGAAAATGCAATCGAGGCTCAAACTTCTGGAGTCACAGATCGAGGATACTAAAGAGATCCAGAGCAAGCTATCTCCTATGGGAAAGGATTTGCGTGCCGCCCAGCGCGAGAAGATGCGCCTAGAGCAACAGGTAGCGTCTCTGGAGCGCGATCGCGAGGTCGCTGATCAAGAGCGCGAGAGCCTTCAAGCTACGATTGAAAAGTTGCGTAGAGAACTTCAGTGTGCACAAGCTACACCGAAGTTGACTCCTTCGCGAGATCGGCAAATCGAGAGCTTGCGCAAACAGCTAGACGATTTGTCGGCGCAACTTACACTGAAGGAAGAGAAGCACTCCAAGGAAATTGCAGAGTTGCAACGCCTGCTTCGCGCATCTAGCCTCGATCTTGAAGCTGCTAATATTCGTCTCCAGGAGGCGGAGAAAGACCTTGCAGAGCTTCAATCTGATTCTACGAAGCAGCTGCAACGTAAGGCGCAGGAAGGCCGCGAGGAAAGTGCCAGGCTTATAACAGACATGGCTGCCCTCGAGAAGAAGCACATGGCCGAATTGAAGGGGCTAGCGAAGCAGATCACCGTTTTACGTGGTCGGTATGAGCGTGAACGCTCCTTTAGGGAGGGCCTTGGCTTTCAGAAGCAGTGGTTCTTGATGAATGTGGAGATGTATGCTGAATGGTATGTATACGAATCCTTGCCTCCCGGAGAATTGGGGACTAACCGTCGCCAACAGCAATCAAGCCGATCTCAAGCTTCTTGAAGATATGGGCATCAAACCGTCGTTGAGTGTTCAGGAGAGACGTCCCACTCTGAAGACTGTTGGATTGATGATCATGTTCACGGCGAGAGTCAAGAGGTTGGCTGGTCAGTGGAATGAGAAGAAGAAGATGCAGGAACAGCTTGCCGCAAAGCTGGAGGGCATGAGGAGAGCGAAAACCGTAGTGCAGCAGAGGAGTACGAGGAGAAGTCTACCGCTGGGAACAAGGTAGATAGTAGATGGGATTTGCATGTTGCATTTGTATGGGCGCATCTCGGTTGGCGGACCAGGGTAGCATTCTATCGTTCATAGGCTGCATCTGATTTGTGTGCACCCATTTCAATGACATTCACTCTTAGCAGGCTTGATAACTTGTTCGTGGTGTCGACATTCTCATACCTCATATTCGCATCTCTTGTATTCATCAGCCATTTTTGCACATCTTAAAGTGGCGAAGAGCAAGCTTGTCCGCGCTAACAGTGGGCATAACGGGCTGCCAACTGCGCACGAGACGCTGCAGGAAAGGATGCAAACACTGGAAGTGCAACGACGCAAGTCTGTTCTGTGACGAATTAGAAGTTGACCCATTATAGAGCGATCACAGGTCTTGGAATCAACTCAAATGCAAAATGCACGTTTTGAACGGGTTGATGCTGATTGGAGATGCTGTGGTGGAAAGAAGTGGGAGTGTCGTTGGGCTTGTGCAAGTGACTTTCTTGTTCTGGACGACTGCGCCGCACTTTTTGATGTCATTTGAAGCACAGCCACCACCACTACATACACTCCCCACAACACCTCCCTCATCGATCTGTTCAAGGGCTGCAACTTCAGCTGTTTCCCGTGTATACTGAGTTCGGTCCCTCCATATTTACGACAAAACATGGCTCACGCACAGAAACCTGCCGAAAAGCACGATCTGCCCCTCGATCCAAGATACGACGACTATGACTTCCCCCTCATCGCTCCCACCCCTCAAAGTGGCCACGCTGGGTACACGACCGAGACCCAGGAGGCCCAAGTAAATCAATTGCGCATGATGCTGGAACAGGAAGGCTACACAAAGAACCTGGACACTCTAACTCTGGTAAGACGCGCTCTTTTCCCCCCTCAGACTGGTTTTTCCCCTTGGTGTGTGCACTCAATTGTGAGTAAAGCAGAATTTGAAGCGCTGATAGCTGATGTAGCTCCGATACCTGAGGGCAAGGAAATTCGACGTCAACCTTGCAAAGAAAATGTACGAAATACATGCTTGCTATGTTTTTTTTTGGCCGCGTAATGACAGGATATCTCGCTAGGTTCGTCGAAGCGGAAAAGTGGCGAAAAGAGTTTGGCGGCGGTGTAGATGAGCTCACAAAGCACTTCGACTACCACGAGAAGGCAAAGGTTTTTGAATATTACCCACAATACTACCACAAGACAGATAAGGCACGTTCGCGCTGAAGCTTTTATCTGCTTCTTATTGCAGAATCTAATCGAAGCTTCAGGATGGTCGTCCCCTCTATATCGAACAGCTCGGAAAAATCGACCTCAACGCGCTGGGGAAAATCACCACTGACGAAAGGATGCTTCAAAACCTGGTGGTCGAATACGAAAAGATGGCCGACCCTCGTCTTCCCGCCTGCTGTCGAAAAGCGGGTTATCTTCTTGAAACGAGCTGCACCATCATGGATGCCAAAGGCGTCGGGCTGAGCTCCATATCATCGGTGTACGCCTACCTACAACGCGCCTCCGCAATATCACAGAACTACTATCCTGAGAGACTTGGCAAACTGTACATCATCAACGCTCCGTGGGGATTCAGCACCGCCTTCAGTGTGGTAAAGTCATTCCTGGACCCAGTTACGGTCGCCAAGATCCACATATTGGGCAGTGGTTATCTTCCGGAGCTACTGAAACAAGTGCCCAAGGAGAACTTACCGAAAAAGTTTGGTGGATCCTGTGAATGCGAGGGCGGATGTGAGTTCAGTGATCAGGGTCCTTGGCGGGATCCTCAATACGCGAAGCCTGCCAAATGGGAGTTAGAGCTGGAGAAGGAGCGAAGCGCTAACAAGGATGCTATTGCGGCGGATCAACCAAGTCTAAGTGTCAGCGAGGGTGTACCGCAAACCTAAGTGCAGTATTGTGATTTCCGCGGTCTTAGAGTGGTCTCACAGAGTCAAGACGGTTCAGATTTCTGACTTCAGAGAAGCGTGACTTGAATCGTGCGAAGAATGCTACATAGGAATAGACAGAATCCTGAAATCACGAGATGTAGACATGCAGAGTAGGGTGAAGCGGCATTATCTATTTCTGGCGATTGACATATCACTAAAGCCGGATCACGACTCAGAAATGGCGATGACAAGCCTTTCGAGCTGTGCGCTCTGGGCTGTAAATGGCAGTTCAAAGCTCGCCACAGTGCTCAACGCCGTCATGCTCCGTGATACGGTGTGCTCAAGTCGTGCGAATACATACCCGTACTTGATGATGGACCTTGGAAATCAAAAAGGTTGTCCACCTGAAACGGCGCCATGGCAAAGTCAGGTAACCCATGAGGAAACTCGCTGATACCCAAGTCCATGGGCATGTCCATGCCTGTGCTTGAGTACATGGTGCCTACCAGAAATGGATCCATCACCCCTCCAGAAGCCAGAGATTCGGTCTTCTCAGAAACGCCGGATGGTCCAGCTTCTTTGTCAGCGACCATGAGTCGTAGAGCTTGAATCATGGGAGGGGTGGGCGGCAATGGTTCAAGAGAGTGCTGCTGTCCGGCTAGTGCCATTTCTCTGACTGCCCATGAGCCCAGGACAACCTTGGCAAAGAATTTTACTATGAGATTTGTTTGGGGTCTCTCTCCATCTAACTGTCTGTCAAGCCTCGCCATGAAGTTGTCGTTCATGACCTTCCACGCACGTTCGGCCTGCTCGCACAATGGTCGCCGACGGAGGTGCTGGACGAGCTGGAAGTAGGCGATCACGGGGAAGTTGTATTCCATCAGCCAGAGAAAGCCTCGAGTCAAAGGCGAACTAGAGATTTTGGTGTCGCACTCTAGATGTGTCATTGCGTAATCGAATGCCGCTTGACGTTCGGCCTCTGAAGGAGTCGGCTGATGTGCTGTTGATGAGCTCTGACTAGCTACGTCACCAGACGAGCGATTCGCGCATTTCGAGTAATATTCTATTAAGCGACAGCGGTTGATATATGCACGTGCATACCATATTGTCATAAAGTGGGTAGGGTTCTCTTCATCACAATGCCGTAGGTATTTGTTCTCAATAAGGTCCTCAAGCTCATCCGATTCACTTCTATGCGCTCCTATTGAAGTTACCTTCAGTTGCTGAGCGATCTTGTCCAATGGCATTTGTTTCAAGACCGGATTCGTGAAATCCAGATGGAAATTAGCTCGGCTGAGAAATTTACCCATTTCACCGCGGACTACAGCAAATATCGCCTCAGTGGGCGCGGTCTGCGCTATTGGAGGAGTCCTCATATCCGGCCTCAATTCTGAGTCACTAACATTGGCGGGAATGGCGCAGTCCCAAGTCGGAGTAAGCATACCCTCCCTATGATCTGACATCTCGCTTATTCGAGCATCAAATGTAATGAGCGACCACCAGAGTCTACGTCTCATCTCAGCCTCAAGAGGGTCGTGGGCCCTGTTCGACGTCTCATTATTGATCTGAAGACGCTGAGAAAGTCGAATAGCAATGCCAAGCATGGATGACATGGAACGTGGGTCCGTCTGTGGCATTGACGAAAGCTGTAAAGACAGTGGTTACAATCCAGTGTTCAGTTGGAGTGGGAAGTGCGACATACCAAATAAAAGTAGAACGCAGTCAAACAATTGCGGTCGGCGCTTCTGAGGAATTCGCACTTTCCAAGAGCCTGTTGACAGCCAAATTGAAAACCCTTCATAAGTTCATTTTTTGGAGAACCGAAGATGCGCTGGCAATCTGCATGAGTGAGACTATGGATAGCCAGACAGTAGATCCCGAACATCAAAGCTTCAAGCTCACGACTGATGTTTGTAGGGTTGCTTGCAGCTTCAACGATACATGATTGTAAAGTCGGCGTGTGAGTGACCTTCAGTAGCGGGTTCACATTATCAAGGTAGATTTGCCAAAGCTTAAAGATTTGGACAGCGCTGGGTTGTAGAGGCGACAGATCCACGTCTCTATACGCTCCAAAAAATAGATGGTCGTTGTATTGGTGCGTTTCACTCCAAGATTTCTGGACATTGGCGTATTGGAACTCATCTTGCGACGAGTCGCTATCCACATCGTCTACGCGAAACTTGTCTCATGTTAGCTCGGATTAGGTTTAATCACAGAATGGCTTACTCCAGCATTCATTGCAGACCAAAAACTTCTGTCGAATGAATTAGAAAATTGAGTGAAGGTTTAGGACGCAGCTTACTTGGCCTCGTATGTCGCATTTGACTGCTGTGCAGCAGACGAAGACGACGTGGCTGTCGCCGCAGGCGACGGCTCGTTTTCTGCGGATCCATCCTCATTTGTGTCTGGCAATTCCTTGCCCGTAGAATACTCCCCATGAAGTGGCTCGAAATCGATCTTATTCTGGCGGAGCAACTCCTCGTAGTGCCTCAAGCGAGCCAAGAGCTCTCTCTCTGGAAATCTGCGCTTACGCTTGCGGGGCATAAGGGTTGCAGGTACACATTGCGCCCCAAGTTTTGTGCAATTCGAACATGGAAATGTACGGTTGCACTTAATCTTCCGTTGTTGGCAAAGGATGCATGCTAGCACTCTCTGAGGCCTCGCTGCTTGGGGAGCATTGCTAGGTTTGCCGTTCCCTTGGCCAGTCAACATGACTTGGCAGAAGGTGGTTTGTCCAAGATGCTGGTGTGTAAAATCCAGAGAGAATCAAAAGTTGAGACCAGTCTTTTTTGAGAACAAAACAGGAATTTCCATGGCCACTGAAGGCATGAGCTGTGAGCGTTGAATTTCTTTGGCGCCGGATTCGTTCGCAGGCAACGATGACACTTGCCACAGGACTGTCCTGTCTAAAAGGGGTTAGCGTGGTTTCAGCCTAGTGCGGGACCTTCACATCGTTTCCATAAGCCAACTGGCGAACCGATAAGGTTGAAAGACATTGTGCAATACAAATTTGGAGTTGACCGGGGAGATCATTGCAGCTGGCTTATTGTTGCCATTCATGCAATGTGCAGTCATCTGTGTCATCTTAGCAGCACTACGCAAACGACGAAATCACTTGAGTGAAAGATCTGGGGAACAAGTCGAGCGAATCAGCGTAGGCGAGCAAGTATTCGGGAGCACGTCTTAGCGCTGGATTCAATTCATAGATTGAAGGCCCGCAGAAGCCGATTGCCAGCTTTTATCAAGGTCCACAGTAAATCTTTCGTCATTTTGCTTTCGTATATACGTTGAGCCGAATATTGACATGGTAGCCAAAATCACCCCTTTAACTCTAATCCACATCATCCTCCCAACTCTCCCGCGATGTGTGGAAGCTTTGAGCTGCACTGTCTTCGCTGGGTCTTCCACTATTCTCATTTGACGGCGGAACATTCAACGTCGCGTTGTTCATCTTTTCGCTCAAGTCGTCCATGTCACCAGCCTTCAGCTCGCCAAGCCTGTCGTATATAGATCTTGCACGGACGTATGGATCCAATTGCCAATAGTTCCTTCTTAGTCTTGCAGCGATTTCATCTCGCTTCTTGCGCAGGGCATCTGCATCTACAGCCGGTGTGATGGCAGTGCCCGAGGGCGACATGTTGATCCAATCCAAGACCGTTTGCTCATATTCCTTTGCAAGCTCTGCACGTTCTTGCTGCAGCTTCATCTTAGTGGTTACATCCGCCATAGCTGCATTCTCGTTCGGACTAGGTTCAACATATTTGTATGACCAATCTACGGGCCCACCGAGTTCTTTAATGATGCTGTTGTAATCTATAAACTCCTGCACGTCTTTCAGATTGTTGGTGAAATGTATCTTGCTTGCTACGACTGGGTCAAGCCATCCCCTGATAATCTTCCACACGGTGTTGAAAATCCAGGGAGCATTGTGCACGAGCACAACACCTAGTGATTCGGGATAGTTTGCTTCGAAACACTTAATCATGAACTTCACCGGCGCGTAGTCCATGTTCGCCATGCCGAAATCGGTCATGTCAAAAACAACAGTTGCTGTATCAACTGGCGGCCTTAGAAACATTCGTGCCGTCTCGATTGTGTACACTGTGAAACGTTCGATGCTCTCTTCGCATTCTTGACCAGGCTTATGTAACCGGACTCGCACGTAGCATATCGGCCTGCCTTCCTTGTCTCTGCCGTGCAGAAATGATTTGCCCATCCGTATCTGGGACATAAAGTCTTCGCACTCTTTTGCTTTTTGACCAGTCTGAGTTTTGGAGCATTCTAACATTCCTGCTTCCCCGTTTGGCATGATATCTGAATCGACGTGGGATTCCGCAAGTCGCCAATGCAAGGCAGAGATAGCCATGACAAGCGCCGCATTAACATCCCATTTTCGCGCTCGAAGAAAGCGAAGCAGCAGAGCATCGGGGTGGTCATGTTTGACCATGTTCCAGAAGGCGTCATGAATTTCTTCGGGTGTTGACTCGGCTAAAGCAGCCTTGAACGCAGTAGCAGTGCCGTGTTTGTCATCTTTCAAACCATCCGCTATGCTATGCACTATCACCACCAAGGTCTTAGCCAAAAAACAGCGGCCCAGAGTAGTCTGCGGACGGACTTACCAGATCCAGACGTTGCATCAACTGATGGCTCACTTCTGGCAGGCTCTTGGGCTTCTTTGTCTTCAGCATTGTCCTTTTTCTTCTTGAGAAAGCTGAGACGGCTTTTCTTCTTCTTCTCCGCGGGGCTACTTGATGACGACGCCGTCCTTGATAGAGCAGGAGACGGTGAACTCTTACCGTTTGGCGTCTGTGTTAACGGCACCAGAACACCGGAGACCTGAAGAGTAAGGCGCCACAATTCCCGCAACTTGGCCTCCTCCTCTGGAGTCAACGTCCCTGGCCTACCCCGAGGTAGTTGCACGGGCATATTGTTGTCGCCCGCAACCTGAATCAGATCTGTGAGATCTTGCGTCGCCTTGGCCGAAGCCGTGAACGTCTTGTACACGCCCACTCCAGAGGTCACAGTTGCACCTATGGCGAGGAGAAATACAATCGACGTCCAATTGATTGTACTCTTGCTAAAGGGGCGGCGAAGAGGACGACTTGAAGTCTGACGTATGTGCGTGTTTTGCGGGTCGCAACGCAAGGAATGGCGCGGAACAGCAAGGTAGACTCGACGCACGGAGACGGCTGCAGAAAGGTTCGAACCGCGGAGGAGAAGGCGTAGCGACATGTAAAGGATGCGGAAGACGCGTCCTCGAAAGCGAAGGTCGCGAAAGACAAGGGCAATCAGCGATTGTGATCCACGCCGGAGGTGCGCGGTACATCGAGCTCTCGTAACTTGGCTTCGGCCAGCTCGCGAACTACTTGGCACGAGCAACAGTCGTCATTGGGCTCAGACGGGCATGACGCGTGCTCCAAGAGTGAAAAATCGCACGTCCTAAGGCGAACTTATATACCACATTCGAGGACTGTCCTTGGGACAAGACGTAGCAGGCAGAATCGACACAGTCAAGCTCTCGCTGCTCGCAAACACGCTGGAGGATCGACGTAGGGATGCGATGACGCAGGACCAAAGCGGCGGTCTTGATCGGTCACGTTTCCAGGTGGTTATGAATTTGTTAACTTACTGTAATTATCCTCAACTGTTGGTAAAATATCTCAGGAATAGAACACGCTCCTGGGCCTGGAAAGTACAATCTACCGCGTCCGGCCCTGCGCTTGCTCCTGCTGTGCGTCAAGAGCGACTACACTCTACCCTGCCCAGGCTTTTCCCGTCACGCCCATGCTTCGGAAGGCGCGACCACCACTAAAAACCTCAACAGCCTCCACTACAACTACATCTTCCGAGTCCGCTTATCGATCATCCACCGTCCGTCGCAACGGCGTATAGCACGCGGTATACGACACGAGATAGGCGGCACTCGACGTTCAACAAGCTGGCGCACACGGACTCGCCGTGTTACCTTCGATCGAACCTGGGGTTGGCTTTGCATTCGGGATAGCGCGGCCACATATTTCACAACTCACAAGGACGAAAGGGGAGTCGATCAGTAGCCTGACAAAGTACTTGTTTCATTCGTCGTGTGGCTCCTTGTCTGTTAATTGGAAGAGATACACAAAGACTGCAACCTCACGAGCAACTCGCTTGAATGCGTATGTTCAACCTCATGCCGACACGCGCCTAGCCACTGTCTCCGCCAACGCTCTTGCCCTTATGAAAACTCGTCCCAACATGGGTAATTCGTATGCGCCACTTGCGAACAGCCCGTCGAGCGGCACTCCCAAAACCGTGAATACAATCACAAATCTTAGAAGGTGGTCTTGTTCGGACAATGACCAGCTCCCACCCACCACCCAGATCAAGACCATCCATGTGTATGACTTCGACAACACTCTCTTCGCCAGTCCTCTGCCGAATAGGCAAGTCTGGGATGGCGCATCGCTTGGTCAGCTTATGGCCGAAGACAAATTCGCTAATGGAGGCTGGTGGCACGATCCTACCTTCCTCTCCGCCACCGGAGAAGGCGTTGAAAGGGAGGAGCCTCGCGCATGGAGCGGGTGGTGGAACGAGCAGGTTGCGAACCTGTGCGAGCTGTCCATGCAGCAAAAGGACGCCCTGAGCATTCTACTGACCGGCCGTGGTGAAAACAAGTTCGCCGATTTGATTAAGCGAATGGTCAAAAGCAGAGGCTTAGCCTTTCACATGATATGTCTGAAGCCACAAGTGACGCCTAACAATCGTCGTGTGGTAGACACTATGAGTTTCAAACAGGAACTTCTACGCGACGTCATTTTTACGTACAACGAGGCAGAGGAAATACGGATATACGAGGATCGCCCACCACATGTTGGCGAATTTAGAAGATGGTTGCAAGAGTTGAATGAGAACTTGGCCTCAAATCCAAACGCGAGACGTAAGCCTATACAATTCGAGGTCGTCGAAGTGGCTATGGAGGCGACAAACCTTGACCCGGTGAAGGAGGTCAGTGAAGTCCAGCGCATAATCAATGAGCACAATCTGCTCTACAAGGCCGGAAAACTAGATCGACGCGCCCAGCCCCTTCAGATCAAGTCAGTTGTGTTTAACACGGGCTATTTGCTGAAGGCAGCTGATACAAAGAAACTTATCGAGGAGTTTATCCCGCCAGAAGTGCGAAGTATGCGTGGCATTAAAATTCATGCTGATGCAATACCTATCGCCATGGCTAGCGCTCCAAACCACATTCTCAATGCAGTCGGCGGGATCGGAAACAAGGTACGTTTCAATATCACTGCACAGGGGCAGCTTGAGGACCGGCTGTGGGCCGTTCGTGTAGAGCCTACGAATCCGCGGGAAAAGATACACACGCTGAACCATCCACCCTCAATTGTTTTGGCACTCAAGGATGCGCGCACGAAGGATGTCAACAGCATTCAGAAATGGACGGCGATCCCACCCCACCAGTGCCTGCAGATTGAAACAATGGTTGGCGAGAAGACTATGCTGAGTATTGTACCGGAAATTCCAACACCGCAGCACCGTCAGAAACGTCCACGGGACGATCATCGGGAGCATGATATTGGCGTAGGCAATGTTTCATCACAGACCAACGTTAGAGGAGGAGGTTTATCATCAAGCTATCGCGGTGGTAACCAGGGAAGGGGTCGAGGAAGGGACCGCAGTGATCGAGGCCGTGGCAACAAGCCTGGGCGTGGCAATGGACGTGCTGGACGTGGTGGGAGCTACCGTTCCGGTGCTGCAGGCTATACAGACTATGACGCAGGTGGAGGAAGACGTGATCAAGCTGGAAGTGACTTCTTTAATGCCTATTGAGAGTACTGGGGGGTGTCCAGCGGGCCTGAAAAGATGCCCGTTTCTATTCAGGGATGCACCTGTTTGTGTTCTCAATAGTTCTCAAGCCCACAGGATGTCATTTGGGTGAACGAGCCGCTGGAGGGAGTGCACAGCACTAGTATGGTCTGGCCGCAGCTATGCAATTCGAACTTGTTGTTCCTTGGCTGCTCAGCTTAGAAAGGAGTAGACGAGCGATGGCCGTATGCATTTGTTGTCAAATGACTCTGCGATTTATAGTGACTTCTGACACGAGATTTGGCCGGAAGCAGGGTTTTAATGGTTCAGCGTCCTAGGCGCTTTGTGGCATATTTAATCATTTTCATATTTGCATGTATCTCTATTTTTGTTGTCTTGCCTGATTACTGAGAGCGATTCCAAACAGGGGTCGTTTTCGTGATTGGAGGCCTCCCGAGACTGCAGGCGAAATAGAACTGCCTTAGCGTGCAAGTACATGGCCGGAAGCCCATCCTCACAGACAGTCGAGCAAGGCGGCTACGGAGCGTTCTGATGCTCGTTTGTAACGCCTAAGCGCATGCCTGTCGTCTCGATTTCCAAGTCAACTTCCTCTCTGCGTTAGACCACTAGTAGTCGTCCGTTGTGGTCGGCGACGCCAACCTGTCGGCCCCTTCGCTTCACTTCACAGCGACCACCAAAATGTCCGATTCAACGCCCAGAGGTCCGACCTCAGCGACACTGGCCTCTCCAAAACTCGTCAAGCAGAAGCCAAACCCTGCTTTGGGCAGCCAAGTTAGCGTCGCATTCGGCTGCGGTAAGTAGACCACTGATTACTTCGCCATACGCCCATATCAACTCGGAGGATTTGATGCTTTCCAAGCAACATTCATTCTAAGTATATAGTGGATAGTGGCGATGAGATACGCTGACAGCAGTGCTTGTTGACAGAACACGCTCACGCATTCCACAAGTCGTCGCCGCAAGCATGGAAAACGCTGTGTAGCCAGTACAACTCCGTTCTCAAATCACTCAACATGTCATCGCCGGCCAAATCACAGACGGTCCGACTGAGCAAAGAAAGCACTCGCCCGTCGCTACGACCGTCATATTTATGCCTACAGTGTCCCAATATCTTCACGGAGGATGGTATGAAACCCCACTTTGAGGGACCGAAAGCGCATAGTCTGTTTGTTGAAAGTAGGAGTGGCTACGTGTTCTGCAATAATTGTGAGGACTTTATCTACGACCCGTACCTGGAGCAACTGAGAGTAAGATCGAAGTATCCCCGAGTCAAGAAGAGGAAGTTCGATGACTACGCTGGAATCGAATCTAGCCCTCTTGTTGCTGGCAATTCTGCGTTTGTGCCCTGTAGGGCAATTGGATTGAGAGGTCTATACAATATGGGTAACACGTGTTTCATGTCAGTCGTTATACAGAGTCTGCTACATAATCCGTTTATCAAGAGCTGGTACTTGAGTGAGGGTCACAAAAGCCAGGATTGCGAGAGGGATGCGTGTACTTCCTGTGCCATGGACGAGATATTCAGTGAATTTTGGTCCAGTGAGAAGACAGAAGGTTATGGTGCTGTTCCGATGTTACTGAGCAGCTGGAAGGCCAGTGAGCAACTCGCTGGGTACCAGCAACAAGACGCCCATGAATACATGCAGTTCATCCTGAACTCCCTGCATTCTACGCACAAGCCCGGAATAGCTGAGGGAGAGGCTGGAGATGTTGATGACGAACTCCATGATAACACCGATACTGATTGCGACTGTGTTATCCATAAGACATTTTACGGTAAGCTGCAAAGCACGGTTACATGCAACGAATGCAAGAACAAGACCACAGCGTTGGATCCATTCATGGACCTTTCACTAGATCTCAAGCTTCAGGCCAAAAAACGCAAGAAGGACAAAAATGCACAGACGAACGGCGAGACGAAAGATGAGATCGTGGTCGCTGGTGGTGGCATCAGTGATGATGTTATGAGGCTAGAAGAATGTTTGGCAAGATTTACCGGAGAAGAAAAGCTGGCAAAGGAGGATTACAGATGCGTTAAATGCGACAGACAGAGAGATGCGGTGAAACAGTTGAGTATTCGAAAATGTCCTCCCGTCCTGACGATACACTTGAAAGTACGTGCCAGACAACATGCAATGAAGTATTCTGCTGCTGACAATCACGTCAAAAGCGCTTTTCGCACTCGAAAGACAAACCGACCAAGGTCGATCTTTCTGTTTCCTTTCCGATGGAACTTGACATGGTGCCCTATACGGCATGGCATCAGAAGAATGCGATCAATGGCCACTCGTCGGTACCAACTAATCACTCTACAGCGAATGGAGATGTCGCCAATGGAGAAAGCAGCAGTGCAAACAGTAAACTGAATGCAGAAGCGACATACCTTCTTTCAGCTGTCATCGTACACAAAGGCGACATCAACTCGGGACATTATGTAAGTTATGCAAGGGAAGGAAAAGACTGGTTTCTTTTTGATGATTCAAAGGTTGTTCTTGTCGGAGATAGTGAGGTGTTAGGCGCAGAGGCCTATCTTTTGGTCTACGTTATGGCGAAGGTGTAGGAAATGTTAAGCACTATAATGACCCAATGAACAATGTGGCCATAGTAAATCTTGATCTTCGATTCCTTTTCGGTCTACTACTGGACCACCTGCAGCGTCACCTAGTACTTACAGTTGAGTTTCCTACTGGTTACAAATTAGATGGCAGAACCACAGCCTTTCTAGGTATGATTTTTGTCGATCGTTCATTATTCTTCCAGGCCACACTCGAATAACGTGGTAAAGTTGTATGTCCAATGGTTTGTTGGTATGTGCTGGGACATGGGAATGAATTACAACTTTGCACAGAAAGTGGCCTCGCTTACCACCCATTCGCTAATGCAAGTCATGATCATGCTCCAATGCAGCACAGTAAAAGCTAGTCAGGATTTTAACAGACAGCGATACTCATCCAGTCACTCATGAAGTGTAGTTCTATGGTCGAACCTGTTTTTCGTTTGAAGGGCTTCGCCTGTTGCACCCTCGAGGTTTTTGATACCGCTGAAATACCTGATACTTTTCACATTGGGATAAACATCACACAACGAATCAAGAGATCATCACATCCGCCCACTCTCTCGTGGTTGGTGAATAAAAAATGATGCAGTAAAGATGGGAAATGAAACTTTATCTAGAGAGCGTCGCTTATTTTTCTAGTCATATGTCTGGGCTAAAAAGACCGTCCACATTCCAATACCTTCAGGCCTTATCTAATTTCCTTGGGAAAGTAGATACGAGTTGCCGATAACTTTCCTTTCCTAGGAAGAAAGAGCGACACTTCGCCTAGGCAGTCGCGCATATGTGTTTGTTAACTTTCTTTAAGGTTTTAAAGGTCCCCGCCAATGTATAACTTCACACGACAAATCATGTCGCTTTCTCTCCCCTAATTTTTGAGCAATGCAGGTTACAAAGCCCATTTGGCGATTTAACCGCTGGCAGTGGCAGAAATGGTAATCTTGATGTTTGAGAGAGCGGATGCAATGCTAGACACGGCACTAGAAATACTGCTGCTAGCTGATCCGAGGACGGTACCGAGAGAGCCGAGAATGCCCTTATATCGACCGTTAGATTTGCAATGTGTTGGGAAGATGTTAGTGCCGGTTCTTACATTGAGTGTCTGAAGACCGCCGGTGACCAAACCCTTAACGGTAGTAAGGGCAAGGCCGTTGAGTGACAGCAACTGAGTGACAGCAGACGAAGTCAGAGCACTAGCAAACTGCTGGAGTTGTCCAGAAATCTAGATTGTGATGAATTAGGATTCTTCCCACAGACGCTGCAGCAGAACAATTCTTACCGTGTTGACCTGGCTGACAATGGTGTTGACATCTGAAGCGAGAGCTTGACCAGCAGTGAGGAGCTTAGTTGCTAACGCTGCAGCAACGGCAGTGCCGACTGCTAAAATCTGATTAACCACATTCGCGACAGCGGATACCACAGCCTATTATCATTGTTAGAGTAAGCCGAGACCATATAAGAAGTTTAACAAGTCCTCACGCTGGCGTCTGTAATGGCACCGCTCTGAACACCGTTTAGCGTAGACAAAGCATTGCTGAGCGCCGTGCTCAAGCTCGACAATGCATTGATAATGGGAGTAACGTCGAGCGTAATCGCTCGCTTGTCTTCATTAGCTGGAGCCGCAAAGGCAACCACAGCAAGAACGAGGGCGATGGCAGCGATGACACGAAAGTTGCAGCGGGCCATTGTGTGAATGACTGGAAAGCTAACTCTTTCAGAATGAAGATCTTTCGATTTGTATCTTATGAAGGGAAGTACAAGTAAGACTGTCTGAAAGCGGATGTCGGAGTGATGATTTGTGAGAACTGAGGACAACCAGCAGATATTTATACCCTTCATCATGTCAAGATTGCCGAACGCATTCCATTTCTTTGGCTGTGGCAACTGATCGAACAGAGCTGAGTCCAGAATCAAGTCGCTGTCTAGATATTGGAAGGAGCTCTTGGGTCTGATTCGAACTGGATGTGGCGCCGGAGCAGAAGTATGGGACGGCTCGCTTATGTCGCATATCGCTTGGAGCACCATTTGGGCCTCAATCTGGACGAAGTAGGCAACTGTCTTTATCGCTGTTGCCAGGGGAATTCCTCACTGACTGTACACGATAGCTGGCGACACGAAGGAAACCTAAAGAAACAGATTTGAACAGTCTACATCTCCTTGAGGAGCAGATCGCGACTCATCGTCATGATACAAAGGTAGGCTTACAACAACTAGATCGAGGAATCCATGGGCACTTGACATCTGGAATTCATGGAGCGACCTGATCTGGAGCTTCGGGGACCCTTGACTGACAAGTTCTTACTAGACTCTAGAATGCAAGATATGGATTATTCACGTCATCGATGGGACTCAATTATTCTGGTGTCACAGCCAGGGAGATGCGGATGCTCTAGTCGCATCAGAACTCCACCAAATACAATTTTGATCTCAGTGTGCAGGGTCCCCTGCGATATCTTGGCTCTTGCTTCCCTGAATTAAGTTCCGAAGTCGAGATCGACTCTTATGTCTGCCCGTTCCCCATTGTGGTACGGTCAGTCTTGGCTGAGTACCATCATGGCAACGTCGCAGTCGGCTGCTGTTGGTTAAAAACGCCAAATGAAGTAAGTTATTCGTCGCGAGCCGCCATTTGCCAAGTGCGCTTAGATCTCCAGGAGTCACAAATATGCTACGATATGCTACGGAGGAAGAGGTTGCCTCTTCACTCAGCAAAATCGGGTTCGTCGGTCAAGCAGCGTGACGTTCCACCGATGACGATGAATTTAAGCTTTCCAGCTGCTCCGCGGCCGAGACGAGGCTCCACATCAACGGATAAGAATAGTCTAAGCCAGATTGGGCCTTTGAGATTCTTGATCAGTCTTAGTGTTTCGGATATCGATCCAGATCCACTTCTATTTCGGGTTCTCAGGAAAAGCAAACCAAGTGAAATTGGTGCCGATGGAAAACCGGCGCATAGGTCCTGCGCTTCCATATCGACTTGAGATTTTTTCGCCTTGCGGCAACATCGACCATTTCCAATGCTTGGTCTAGATGATCTGCGGCTTCGAGGCGCATCTCGATGATTAGCACACCTGATCACGAACAATCTTGAAGCCGATCGCCGCATCAGGCTTGCCTACAGCTCTAGCGCGCCGTTCCAACTTCGCCGTTCTCCCCACAACGCCCACCGACTAGGTCGGAACATGCTCCGAAAGGGAGCTATATACTAGTCTTCCGGGCGCCCAAAATGTAAGTGCCACCTTAAAGCTCAGCGATGAGAGATGGGATCGTGGATCGACCTTCTCCAGTTTCTTCATCATGGAGCCTGCTCAGATACACTAATACCTGCAGCTTGCATAAGTATACGGAATTGTAGCCGCCTTTGGTCCCATTGAAAATCGCTTGGATACACTAACAATAAACAACCACAAAGGCACGTTATAGCTTGACGCATGAATTTCGTCCGCCGGTCTAGAAAATCGTGTAACACAATTGTCAAAGGCATTGCCAGCTCACTTGCATACGTGCACCTGCAGGGAGCTCAGGTGGCGATGCTATTCCGTGAATGATGACGGCTTAACAAGGCAAGTGTCTTATGCAATTTTGAGCGTCGCCTGACCTTCACCAAGCCAATAACTGGAACCTAAGCAGTCTCGTACTTGCGTTCTATTTGGAATGAATGGCTATGTCTTGGATTGATGATGACACGTCGCCAGTCATCTAGTATCTTCATCGATCCGTGTCTGATGAAGTACAATTTCCTTCCAAATAGACATAATGATGCTGATGAGTAGAGCGAACTCAACTGAAAATCCTCCGTCAAAAGGAGCAGAATCTTAATAAAGAAAATGACGGCACACATTCGTTTTCGTTACTGTGATCTGTGATTTTGACATCATCTTGTAAGCAACCTTAGGAACTAAAATTTTAAGCACTTAGCATGTGGTGAAGTTATCGAATCAGCGTACACTGGGATATCGTAAATAAGAACGTGTCGCAAATTTCTTGCCTGTGATGTAGTCCAAGATGTTGTCAAGTGGGGACGCACCTAAGCGATCCCATATCCGAGCTGGATGTACTGCGTGGAAATTTTCCAACTTCCTAGAGTCCTAAGTGAACTTAACAGTTGTTCGCCGAAGATTTTTCTTTGGCATTCATGTCACATAGATCCTTAGCAGGAATGAAGAAGGAAGGAAATCTCACGGCTCCCAACGTGAATAGTACTGTTGCGCTGACTATGGTACGCAGGTTTAGGAATTGGGGTAAATTGCTATCGTTTCCCGTCGCTTATCCGGTTCTAGATTTATAGAACTAGCCCTGGATAGTTGAGTGTTTGGACTTCACCCCCCCTTACCCTTTTTTTTGTTGATCAATTAGGATACTTAGAGGGTAGAAGCCCATATCCAGGAGAAATGATCAACAGCTTGAGCTGATTTGATTCGTCTGGCATGTGTGAAAAATCGAATTGAGAAAAGTGCCTGCAGGTTATGAGAAGCGTCTTGTAAAGACAGATAACCTTTGGCTGAGAAACGCACAGCGTAGCCAAATATTTTGCGTTAGGACAAGAATGAAATGAGATAACAGCCTTGGCATCGGGTTGGCATTGAAAACACCTGGTGTCGGGATTGTGTTCTGTTGGATCGAATATGATCAAAGTTGTAAACTCCTGGTTGCCCTTTTACGAATTGTGATGCTTTTTATGCAGCACTGTATTGCGTATGCAAAACAGTTGAAAAACGCTACTTTGCGCATAGCAGCCAGTATCCATGCCTTGCAATATCTCCTAGCCCACTGTGCAACGGGGGACGTCCACAACGTATTCAAGTTGTCGTCAAGGATTTAAGTTGGAAAACATAGAACGAAGCACCAATGTCAATCTCATCGACGCTAATGATTGATGTGAGATTTGTTTCTATGCCTTTTATGAATCTGTGGTAAACAATTCCACGTGTCAAATATTGTTACACTCACAAGCAGAACCCAGATTCACTATGAGGACGGGACAATAACTCGTGAGCACAGTACTTTGGTGCATATCGAAGTACGCCATTGGTGCATATTCGAACGATGCACTATATTCATCGACAGGATGATGGGGATCCATCTCAGCCACTGTGGTCGAAAGCATTCCAAAAGCCAGCCACATTGCTTCTCTGGAATCCTCCGGAACCAACCATCAAATCGCGTGCTGCACTAGGCAACGAACAAGATGCAACAGGTGTTAGAGCGTCAGCGTAGCTGCAAATTCGTCGTCGATGTTGGGTGCTGTCACGTGAAAAAGTGCTCCTTCATCATTCGAGCCTGTGGCAGATTTGGCGCGGACGAGATTTAACTCGCAGTGTCAATCAAGAGCAACGTGGTGAACTTCTTTCTCACATTGCAAAACGCCTCAATTCAACCGTCGAAAATCGATCGTGTGTTTTGATTGGGTGAGTGAATCGACATCGGCAAGCGGCGATCTTCGGCAATGTCCAACTCCCTCTCAGATTCTAAGCTGGTTGGGTCGATTGTGGCGACTCTTATGGCGACAACAATTCAGGCACTTTTGCCGGCCGCCAAGTCTTTGCTGCATCGACGGTTTTCATTGCCTAGGATAACTTAAAGTGTGTCAGTAGCCTCGGCACGAGCTTTAGCGACGCGCCCCTCATCTGCGACGCGACAATCTCCAGGAGGGAGGGGCCATGACTTCAAACTATGAATACTTTTTAAGAAGTCCATCAGGTGGCCAAGGAAAACGTATCTTCAGTCAGAACGATTTGATCCATCTGTTAACGCCGAACCAGTTTCTCCAGTTGTGACACAATGAATTTTGAGCTTCCTTCTGACGTCAAGAAGTTCCTTGCCGATATTGACGACTTCATTGAGAAAAAGATTCTTCCTCTACAACACAAAGGCGATAACAATCGGTTTTTTGACCATCGCCGAGAGTTTGCGAGAACAGACTTGAACAATGGCGGACTACCGAGCGAAGAGTGGGGGAATCTCTTGAAAGAGGCTCGGCGGCTGGCCGACGAAGCGGGCTTCTACCGCTTTGCTTACCCCAAGGAGCATGGAGGCTCCGAACACCCAGACTTGAATCTCTACATGTGTGCTGTGCGATACCACCTAGCTTCGCATCCTGTATATGGAGGCGGCCTTAGTCTTGCCAATGACCTCCAAACTGAGCATAGTGTGGTTGCAAATACTCCCATCAGCCTTATGTTTCAACATTGGGGAACTCAAGCTCAGAAGGACAAGTACATTCCGGCTATGCTCCGAGGAGAATTTCGTTCAACATTCGGCCTGACTGAAATTTTCCACGGTTCGGATGCTACTCATATGGATACGACGGCCACTCCGATTACGCTACCGAATGGTGAGCCTGGTTACGAAATCAATGGTAACAAAAAGTGGCAAAGTGGTATGCACCACGCTACCCATTGTCTTGTATTTGCTCGAACGTCGGGAAAGAAAGGTTCACCCAAAGGCATCACAGCTTTCATCGTTCCCCGAGACGCACCAGGCGTTACTGTAGACTCATTCCAATGGACGCTAAACATGCCGACCGACCACGCAACAGTCATTTTCGATAAAGTTAAAGTCCCTGCATCAGAAATATTGGGTCCCTTAGACAATGGCTTGAGTATTGCTCAAACATTTACACATGAGAACCGTATACGTCAAGCAAGCTCAAGTTGCGGTGCAGCGAGGTATTGTATCGACAGAAGTGTCGAGTATGCTAACAAGAGGACCGTATTTGGCAAAGCCCTATCCACCAATCAGGCTATCCAATGGCCCCTTGTGAAATTGGCGACGCAGGAGGAAATGTTGAGACTGTTGATTTTCCGGACTGCTGTTGAGATGGATCAGGTCCAGCAAAGATGTTCTAAAACGGGCGAAAGACCATGGGTTGCAATTGAGAGAGAACTTGGCCACAAGATTGGTATGTGTAACTGGTATGCAAATCATTTGGTGTGCAAAGCCGCAGATAGAGCTATCCAAATCCATGGCGGAAACGGATACTCTCGCCACTATCCATTCGAACATATTTGGAGACATTTTAGGCGATACAGAATTACAGAAGGGAGTGAGGAAGTACAAATTCGCAAAGTTGGAGCGTATCTATTTGGGTTCAAGAGCACAGGGCTTGAGGAGAAAAAGACTGTATCGAAACTCTAAAATTTGTTTCCATTTTGTCACACTTACATATTTTGCGGTCGATAATTTTTTACGTAGCTAGGTTCCTAGGCCATTTGGAACTGAAAACGAATTTGTAGCGATTCTGATAATCCGTAATGGAGTAAAGTCTTTTATTCTTGCGACCGAAGAAATGGGCATGTATGATACAACTGACATCCCCATTATTCTCAATATTACCATTCTCTCAGTTCTCCGTCTGGCCCGTAGAACACTGGACTTCGCCATGCATTGCAGTCTTTCGCAGCCATTCTTACTTGGTCTTCATCAACCTCGATCCCTAACCCTGAGCCGTTCATGAGGTCGACCATCCCGTCCCTCACAGTCCAGACGTCCGGATTCTTTATGTAGCTTGTTATGTCCGCACCTCCAACATTGTAATGTATTCCAAGACTCATCTCCTGAATTGCAAAATTCGAACACGTGGCGTCTACTTGCATGTTCGCTGCCAACGCTATAGGTCCCAATGGACAATGCGGGGCTAAGGCGACATCGTAGGCCTCAGCCATACGAGCGATACGTACGATCTCGGATATCCCTCCAACATGACATATATCCGGTTGCAATATATCCACTGATCCAGATTCCAGGAAGGGTTTCACATCCCATCTACTATGAAGACGCTCGCCGAGCGCAATAGGAGTGCTTGTTAATCGTGACAGCTGATTTATACCCTCCGCATGTTCTGAGAGCAGTGGCTCTTCGATGAAGAGGGGACGCTCTGGCTCAAGTAGCTTTACTAGTTGCCGTGCCATAGGTTTGTGTACACGTCCGTGAAAGTCGATGCCCACATCTAGGCCAAGCCTTTGAACCGTTTTTACGCGCTCGAGACAATCCTCAAGGCTGTTAGGGGAGTCTAGCCAGCCTAAGTCCCCGGTTGCGTTCATCTTAACGGCTTGAAATCCTTGTTTGATCCTTGATTTGCTTTTTCATTGTTATTAGCAGCCTATTTATACGATGGCGAATCTGACCTACGCTTGTGCACCCACGTCATCTGGACGGTCTCCTCCAACCCACGCGTACACACGAATTTTGTTTCTTACTTTACCGCCGAGGAGTTGGTAAATTGGGACCCCGAATTTCCTTGCTGTGTATCGTCAGACATTGGATGCTAGGCTGAAATACGCAAGGAATGGCAAAGGCACCTTTTAGATCCCAAAGAGCAATATCTATGCCCGAAAGAGCGCTCATGAGAACAGGGCCTCCTCTATAAAACCCCATGCGATAACCATGCTGCCAAATGTACTCAATGTCGCTGTTTTAACGTGTTAGCTCATACTATCATCGTCGTATTAAAGCAAGGACTTAACTCACTCTGCTTCTAATCCAGTGAATCGATTTCGAAAAGCATCTAGACATCCCTCTACAGCTTCAGTATGACCTTCCAATGATGACTCTCCCCATCCAAAATTTTGATCCTCATCCGTTACCTTAACGAAAAGCCAACGGGGCTGTACTCGAAAATACTCAATGTTGCTGATTCGCATTGTAAGATACCAACGTTATTTCAGCATTTTCTCTTGGGCGCCATTTGAGATATGTATATTCTGTCAGTATTGGGCGAACTGATCCATCTCTCGTCAATTGGTACGGAAACATTGATTCGGATAAGCTAAGAGGCTAATGCGGTTTTCCGACAGTACCGGAGATCTTGGACGACAATTTCCCAGACTGGAGAAACACTCGTGCAGAAAGACCCAAAGCTAGTTTAGGTCTAGAAGCGGCTGACTTCAACACTTAGAACTACTAAGTCTTATTACAACGCACGCAATTCCAATTTTCGACTCATATAAAGTCACCTCCATTCTGTATACACAGACAACTGATATATAGAGATAAGTGACAGTGCGTTAAATGAGGAAGCGGAATCCGCGATCAACAGCCTCACCAGGCAAGCCATGTTCTTCAACCGCATGCTTACGTTGCTCGTCTGTTCCATCGCGCTCGTATTGGATGCCATTATCGATCTTTTTGTTTAAGTGTACGAGGACGAAGCGTAGCACAGTTGCAAATAGAATGGCCCATAGCGATGTAATGGCGTTTACGATCATGGGCACCACGTAACGAGGAGCATAACTATCTGTGTCCAAATGAGTTGCGGAGAAAACACGCATTTCTTCGAAGCTGCATACCTTGATACATGAAAGGAGAATAAATTTGGCATACATTTGACAATGCGTTGATTCCAGCGAGAGCCGCGGCCCGTTTGGCTGGAGGACGGGGAATAATATTAGAAATCCAAGCAAGCGCAACGACGTAACCCGAGTAGTTGGCTCCAATCATGATACACATTGCAGTATAGCGAGCAGCGAACTTTGTTGTAGATGCTGCAATGACGAAACTTGCGACCGCGAGAATTGACGGTAGAGCCACATGGAAATATCGTTCACGAGTCCTGTCGGCATGCCAGGCGCCGACTAGAATTGCAACGACACCGATCACCTAAGAGCGTTATTTTCTGTCTTAGCTGGCGATTAAGCCAATACTTACATATGGAGGCGCGGTAAGAAGAAGAGTAACGACTTTGTTGTACCCGAGACCGTCAACTACGGTAGGAAACATAGTTGTCACAGTGCCCGAAGATGTGAAGCCATAAATGCAAGCAAGCAGGAGCCATGCTTTGGGGTCCTTTACTGCAAGTTTCGCGCCGTATAAAAAAGTCTGCTCTTCTGAGTTGGTCCAATCATCTTCGCCAATGTCTTCCTCGAGCCGCCATACAGCCATCTCTCTTTCTAAAGGACTTAACCAGCTAGTTGTGCGCGGGAAATTCGGTATGATGAAGAATGCTATGAATGCTATGAAGATTGTAATGGCACCCTCGATGATGAAAAGCCATCGCCAAGCACCAAGGCCTCTTACGCCTTCCATGTTAGCGGTGATGCCAGCCGCAATTAAGCCGGAAAAGGCACCAGATATCAAGGCACCCGAGTATAAAATCGCTGTTCTGAGGACAAGTTCCTGTCTGGTGTACCAGGCGGATAAAAAATAAAGACAACCGGGCTGGTGATAATATTAGTAATGATTTCTTAAACGTGAGGCAAAATACGAACGAAATATGCCGCCTCGACGAAGCCTAAGAAGAAACGACAGGCGATAAGCCCACTGAATGACTGGACTGCACCTGTCGACGTGGAAATGACACCCCATATAATCATACAGGTCGGTAAGTAAATAGCAGGTTTGCCAAGCTTATTCAAAAGCAGATTTGACGGGACTAACTCATACTTTAGACGCTGAAATTCACTGATTGAATTTTGACGATGCTTACCTTGCATCAGAAGGTATCCAACAAAGAGAATACTCAATGCCAACTGATACTCATTATGTTTCAGTTTTAATTCCTTTCCCATTCCCGCAATATTCGCAGCTGCGATATTGTTGCGATCTAGATAATTCATGATGTACATAAGTAGCATCATTGGTAGGAGCCGAATATCTATTTTCTTTTTGACATTTTCGTACAAATTTTTTCGCTCTTCGTCAGACAATGCAGCCACCATAGGTGGCATGGCAATGTGGGTTCTGGTTGTGGAGAGATGCTTGAGGGTAACCTCTTCAAGCTGCAACGGGCTGACTTTGTCTGCCATGACTTCAACAGGACAACAACTCAATAGATATCTAATGAGAATAATTATGATAAAGCTATTGTTTCCCTGAGAGCGATGCATTAAATATGATAGAATATATACGATCTTCCCCAGAGCTGTGGGGTAATTTCTCCAGACCTACCCCGGATAACGTCCATCTATCCACTCGGAAAAGTATGTCACGTGCTCACTAATCAAGATGACCTGTCGACTTGAACACTCGAACTGTCAAAGTTCAAGCCACTATAAGGCGGGGAAGAAAGTTAAACTTGCATACCCGACTTTTAAATTCAGTTTAAAACCTCTAGTTCGACAGGAATTAACTCAATTGGGTCCACCGGTCTTAACGCCATGTATTCGGATAAGAATTTGTTCTCATCCCACAAGAACAACGAAGCGGGCTAAATTTCCGGATCATTTTCGGATACATGCCTTGGTTCTGTAATTCATGTCTTCATTATGTAGTCAGATTGAGAGTGGAATTTACTCTTGGAAAGAAAGATCGGGCACTTGATTGAGCAAATCGTCACAGCGTTCAAAAAGCTATTTAAATGTAGAACTGAAATTCTTATCATGCCCAATCAAATGCTCTCCAACGTGCCACAATCTTTTCTATCAACCCACTGCCTATCACATCGTAGCCACCACGAATTGTAGGGCTCATTGTCTCTGTCTTTTGGGTCTCAAAAACAAGTCCTCTTCTACCTGGTCGGTCATTGTCGTACTTCTCAGCGAAGAAGTCCAACAATTTGATGGTCGGATTTATTACAGGATCAGGGTTACTCTCACGTAACTTTTGTACCCAATCGCGCTGCTTAACAATTTCGAATTGAAGACCGGATGATCTCAAAGCCGGCAGAAGATCTTTAGTCCAGTGGAAAGATCTCGGATTTTGGACATGGAAAACTACCCTTGGATCATACAGATCCCTTTCCGTGATCGTCTTACCACTGAGACCAGTGATGTCGAGGATTATGCGTGCCGTTAGATCTACGGGTAACCAGTTTGGAGTCTATAGAAGTATCAGTTGGTAAGAACTAATATCTCGGGCTGGTTCATTCTTACCTCGTCAAGATCTGGCAGAGCTCCCATGGTGACGGCACTTCGAATCATGAGGGGTATCGCCTCTGTCGCATTCCAGATGCCGTTTTCGATATCTCCAATTATTTGCCCAATCCGCAGAATTTTGGCAATCATCCCAGTGCTCTCCGCTGCTGCTTGGACAATTCTCTCAGCTACCAGTTTTGAACGAGCATAACCCATGTTTTGCGCGTGATGTAAGTCAGGGATTGGAGCTTCTGCAATTTTAGCTGGTAGAGGTGTGCCGGCAGCGACGGAAATAGAGGAGCAAAAATAGAAGCGTGCTGGATTTTGCCTCTTTACCGAAAGGCATAGTTTGATCAGATTAGAGACACCTTTGATGTGCTGTTGTTCGAATGTCGAGACCCCCAAATTGAAGTTTACAGCCCAAGCACTATGAATTACTTCCGTTAATGATTCTTTTAGTCTTTCTAGAACAGAAGCTGGTAGCCCAAGGTTTTCTTTGCTGAGATCCGCAGGTAGTGCCACTATCTTGTCGCTACACTGAAAAGGAACAAGGCCTTTTTTGCTCAACGTTGTGAGAACTCGATCCATCGCTACTGAAGTACTCGATGCTCTCACTGGACAATATATAGCCGTGACATTTTCCATACGGCACAAAAGTGCCAAAAGATGGGCACCTAAAGATCCAGTTGAGCCGGTTAGGAGGACAACGCGAGGTGTTTTTGGGGCGTGTTTCTCGAAGTGAGAATACTTTGTGATAAGTTTCTGCATGATTTCGATTTCACCTTCTTTTTTCTGTTCAATTCCATTCCTTAAGAAGAGCAAGTGGGCTGCCAAAGCACGCGTATTGGGATGCTCATATATGACATTGGCGCCAATGTGTGACCTTCCAACATCAATTTCGCGCTTTATTAAAGCTTGAACTGTTATAGCCTGAAGGCTGTCGATACCAGCATTGAAGAAATCGTCATCAGGTGCTAGTATCTTCTGAGTCTTGTCTTTGAACGCAGCCAGTATGAAATCTTCCAACTCTTTTTGATCCAATTGCAGCTTGCGTCCACTGGGCTTGAAAGTTTCTCCCTCAAAGCGCCTGTAGACATCCTGTATTAGAGAGGAAAATTGTCGGTATGAGGCAGCTCGAATGATGGTTCCCTTGTCTGTAGCTGGATAATTGACATTAGATGGCAGTATCTCGACCATTTCCCTAGTAATCTGACCGAAAGCTTCAGCCTTGCTGTTTGCGGCGGCGATGGTAGGCCAGATGGCATCCAAAAATTGAGATTTCGTCATAGCTACCGCCTTCTCACTTGGAATAACAAAGAGTCCTGGAAGAGCCTTTCCAACTCCGAACAGCAGTGCTTCTTTAATCAACGGATCTTTGCGGAGCCTGTTCTCGAAAGGGATGGGCAAAACCTTTTCTCCATTTACTAATGTAATTCGGTCGTCGTTACGAGAAACATATTTCCACGCATTAGGTATGGTTTTGTGGGGAGTGAACAAATCGCTTGTATAGAACGAGTTTGGGGGATTGTCGGAGTTGCTCGCTACTTTCGATTTCCAGCCGTCTAGCACTACAAGCTCGAATATATTATCTTCGATGGGCTTGAAATGTAAATAACGACTAGCATTCTCAACAGGGCGCACATAATTCCAGGCTGTGTCGCCCTCAGGACGGAAAGAGGTCATTAGCTGCCCCATCTCAGTGCTGTCATGTTGTTAGAGTCGAATTGATGAAGGCAGAACATAACTTACGATCCATAGTGGGAAACAAGATATACACCATTGGAAACTAACTTGTCGCCGATGTCATCTGGGCAGCTGCTACCTCCGAACATGACTAATTTACATTGAGCAAGCAAGTTCGTTCCCCGATGGTCTTCAGCCAAGAGTTTGAGAGCATAGGGAACACCGTGAAAGCTTCCAGGTCGTACTGCCTCGAGTGTTTGAATTAAGTTCGATGCAGTTAGGGGTAAGTTAGCGTTATAGAGGGCCACGGGAGTGCAGGTACAGACTGCGCGAAAGAAGGTTGACAGCCCGTGGTTATGATAGAGTGGTAGAGTCACAAGTGCACGGTGGCCATTGCCTCCAGTGTAGTTCATAAGACAGGCTCGGTGAGACTGAAAGATTGGCTTTGGAAGCCCGGTGGATCCTGAGGAATGTATAATAAAAGCTGTTCTCTCGCTGATTGAATGTGGCTCGGGTGGAAGCTGATCGACAGCTTCAGGCACTAGATCGCATTCATCTCTTGTAGGAAGTTCCACAACATTCATCGGTCGGGCCCTGACAATCTCCTCACCAATTTTAGACATTGACTTGGACACGATGATATCGTGACAATTTGTTTTGTCAAGGAGGTTCAAATATGCCTCCGTAGCTAGGCGATTGGACAGCAACAAAATCGTACATCGTAGGCGTATGAGAGTGAAAACGGCTACTATGTAGTCAAAATTGGATGGTGCAAGGAGAGCAACTACTTTATCGACATCAGGATCGGTCTGTAATTATAGGTTAGCTTTGTAGAACCTAAAGGTAGTGAATCATGGTGCCGCACATGTGCTTTAATGTTCCTAGATATGAAGATAGTTGAAGCTTTCTTTGCAAGTCGATGCACTTGTGCTGGGGTATAAAAGATATAGTCTGAAGCACTTGAGGGAGATGATGGATACCCTATGAGAGGAGCATCTGGGTTAGATTCGACTAGAGAGAACAAAAGTCCGCTCAGAGAACGTGGAGTCTCATGTGCCCTTTTCGCGGAAACCAGAGCAACTTGAGTTTGTGCTAGTGGCCCGACAGCTTCATTTACTTCTGTTTCTATCATCTTGTCATATGAAGGAGAAGAATTGACGGCAGTAGAAAGCTAATCAGAATAATATGAAACCAGGACGTGGACAGACGATATAGCGTTCCTACGCTTTAAAATCGAAACTGAGAGCTAAATCTTGCCCAAGGCCTTATCGGGGAAGCGCCACCGGCAATAAGTACCGAAGTGAGAACTTCTCCAGATCATATCCATCTCGCGTCACTTACAGTGCAGTTGTCAGTATTAGGTTGAACGTTTTCTTGTTGAGGTCTCGGAACGGAAAAGTGGGTTGTGGGGATAGATCATTCGGATAACCACCCACTTTTCCTTTAAGTTATCCGCACCTCCGTTCTACCAATCACGTCTTCATTAATAGACTTAAAATGCGGGGAAGAAAGAGCCACGAACCTTTTTCCGAGTTTATATCTGGATTTCCAAACATTCTGCTAGAATCCTAGGAAAAGCCGAAATTATGGTCTCTTCGCCCAGTGCTACATCTCGTCGCGCCAACAAAGAGCGGGTACGTGCCACACGAGCCTGTGATAGATGCAAACTGTATGTTATAGCGCCCCACGCGAGATATTCTTCATCCCCGGGCCCCCCTTCCTCCCTTTTTAATCATTTCCCTTATTCTCTATTTGTAACTGATATTCCTGTCATGTAGTAAAAAAGCACGCTGCTCAGGTCAGCAACCCTGCGTAGCTTGCTCCGCTCAGAATCTGAATTGCCAGTATAACGCCAGCTATCGCAGGGGAAAATTGCCAGAGATTCCGACCGCTGGAGCTTCTCAAGCTTCAGTGATCAATAGAGGCGGCTCGACTGCAATAGCCATATCAAACACGTCAGAAGCCAATGCAGTTAACTCGGAGCAAGTGCCACACACATATCGTGAGGAAATCGAAGATGCTATCGAAGAGGAAGAGACATCGATCCTTCCACAAGGCAGTGTTCGTATGCAGATGATGCCACATTGGAGTAGTGGCCGGAATGAAGAGCAAACACGGGCTGAGCTCGAACCACACTACATAGGCCCTTCGTCTGGTTTGTCATTTCTACTTCGCGCTCAGTTGAGATTACAGAATACTCTTAAAAGCTCAAAAGAAACATCAATATTCACTTTTGGAGATTCACCATTCCCAGAAGTCGATCGTAACTTTCTTGAGCTGCCTTCTTTTGAAGAGGCACAATCTTTGTTAGCTACATACTTTGACTTCGCATTTCCTACCCATCGATTCCTGCATAGACCAAGTGTTGAAAGTTGGCTTTTTGAGTTCTATAAAAATCGTAAAAGGCACAATCTGATCCCTGGCACCCGAGAACGCTACGCCACTGTTCTCATGGCACTTTCACAAGCCAAGATGTATGTTCCTTACAAGCTGTCTGGTGATATGGACTTGGAGGGCAGGTACGTTTTAATTAACTCAAGTCTGCCCATTTTACTCACATGTTAACCTATTAGTGTTGCCTTATATCTTGCTTCAGAAGATCAGCTGTCAAAGGAAACAGGACAGATTCGTTTAACAAGTGTTCAAGCAAGATTGGCTCAGTGTTTCTACTTATTAATGCAATCAAGAATCAATCATTGCTGGGACCTCTTCGGTACTACTGCTCGACTCGCCATTGCAGCTGGACTCCACAGAAAACGTATACATCAGTCAACGCCGGACTTCATTACTATAGAATGCCGGAAACGCGTGTTCTGGTGCGCATACAGTCTTGACATATATCTCAGTGCTGCGTTGGGAAGACCAAGAGCTTTTCACGATGACGATATTGATCAGGTAGGTAGCTGGAGACAATTGTGCTATTAGAAGTTCTCTAAGCATGATAAGGAATATCCAAAAGAGATTGATGACGAATATCTACATGTCAACGAAATAACACAATCAGACGTGTCTTCACAAAATAGCATGACTGCCCCAGTGTACCACGCGAAGTATGGTTAACATCTCATGTAATCTTGCTTGCAGTTTTGGCTGATGCGGACAGACTTTGCAAGATCATCAGTGCAATTCTCAAGGACCAGTACGGTGTTCACCGAATGTCTGTAGAAGAGCATGCCTCTGCGATCACGAGACACTCCAAGGCACTATCAGAGTGGCGAGATGGCATTGGAGCTTTTTTAGACGGGATTTGGACAAATGCTGCGCTGCTAATTCCACCCTTTTCCCGCCAGTGCACCGTCCTAAACCTCGCCTATTCACATGCAATAATACTTACGCATCGACCATTGATGCTCAGCAATTTTGCAAATCTTGCTCGCCCATTTGAAACGAGAGACGAAAGAATACAATCGGCGATCCAAGAGAGCAACCAACACTGTATTGGAGCTGCTTCGCATATACTCAAGATTGTGACTGACTTATGCGAACGCCGGCGTATGTACGGTGCGTTCTGGGTAAGCAACTATCAGTTTTGACTTTTTTATAATATTAACTCAACACTTAGTTTACACAATATTATGCTTTTTGCGCCTTGGTCATTATATATATATCAGTCATTCAAGATAACTCTGGGGACTTATCTGATTCCAGCTCACTTCTTAGACAAGCTCAACACTGTCAAAACCTGCTTTCTTTGTCAATAGTTCAGAGTTCATTTGCTGAACGCTACGGTATCATGCTTGATGAGCTTGGTTCGCAAGCTGCCAAGCGCGTATATAGCTCACTAGGTGGAAGGCAAGTAAGAGCCGAAGAAGTTCAGGTCAATGGTCCTTCGCGGAATGCAGCCACAAACTCTCTTAATGAAGAACAAAGCATTGAGGTCCCGGATTCAACCTTAGAATTCACTGGCGCAGAAATTGACTTCGACAAAATATACACGGAATTTAGCCCGACATCTTTTCTCGCAGACATGACAAGCTGGAGTCAATTTGATTCTTTGGTAAGTATTCTCCAATTATATCAAAATTAAAGCCTAAATCAAAATATAGGTAGCCACGGGCATGGGGGGAAATGCAAGTTCGTTCTTACAAACCTGATTGCTTGCGACATCAATCAGTAAAAGCTGATTAGCCGAGGTTCTCAAGTATAATTCAGAGTGAAAAACTTTTTTCTCACGTAAATGATCAAATAAGTCTTGACAGCTATTCCAAACAACTTTTTCTATTCGACCTATCGTTGGTGCTCGACCTCTGTCTATACTTCATATTTGCAACGCGCGAATAACAGCTTCGCAAATTCCGACCACTTCTTGCTTGCTGAGGGGCTCATTGCCTCTATTAACGATCCACTAAAGTGTCTGGAATTCTTTTAAGCGCCCAGAATCTATCGGAGGCGGCTTGCTTGCAATGCTAAACGAATGCAGCATTGCGTATGGAAAACTGCAGCGAGACCATTCGATAAAACCCGTCGCTCCACAATTAAGAACAGGGAAGGATTTTTGACCCAATCCATGGCAAAGTCGAACTTCGAATGATCTATATGTGGTGCAAGAGAAACTTGTATATGATGAGACATATTCCCACATGACATCTTACAGCCAGCGATATTTGGTATGCTGCTAGCTCGTATGTATTCGGCTCTACTCATACTCCGTTTGTCACTCCCGCGTAGTTGCAACTATCATTTATCGTTAGCCCCAGCCAGTGCAAATAGAAGTGGACCACTTGTAGGGACATAAGGATGGAAAGGGACCTTGATCTGCCACTTTCTTGAATCAATCGATGATATTAGCCTGGTCGATCACAGCTGCAAAGTAAACAGGAGCCAATATGAGTCCTCAATTATGCCAGCGTCCTTCATGCTTTGCAAATTAAGCACCGCTTTGTCGTCGCTGTTCTTTAGAATACCATCAATTATTGGATATCAAGGGAAACCAGCATCCACAGGGCCTTCTCGGACGCTGCGCGCAACCGTAATGGATCAGTCTTGGAAAGATGAATTGATTCGCCCGTAGATCCAAGCAGAACAATCTAGGTACACGGCTCTGAGTCGTATGTACGGCATGTGCCACCTGGGCGTAAACATCCAGCTCATCACGAGAATTCGATAAAGAGCTATTAATAAAAAAAGTAGGAACGGGAGACGTGTACTCAATCTGCAGGATTGAAATTAAACCGTTGTCTTGAGAGGCTATAGAAACATTATAATTAATAAAATTGATTATGAATGGGGACTTGGCTGATCTCTACTCACAAATCCAAGATATATACTTTACATATTGCCGCCATTGAATGATATAACATCTGAGATATTTAACTTTCTAATAAGCAGAAATAATTTTTGTAACGTTCTTTCAAGTGCATTTGTCCAAATAAGTTGAATCCTAAGTCTTCCGGCTCGGATAAAGGCATTGCATATCCGAAGGCAATTTTGACACATAGCGAAATCCGTTATCGGAAAATACTTGGCTTTCAAAAACGCAAAAAACGCATTTATTACTATATGAATATCAATTAATTAACTATTCAATCAGACTTCAAACTCCGTGGATTTCTCTTCCATTAACGATTTAGTTTGAAGGTTATTACGAGACATTCAAAAGAAATTACTGATCAGAATGGCTCTTAATCGATCGTTCAAGCTGCTCAGCGGGTACAGCATGCCTGCTGTTGGCTTGGGCACATGGGTATAGTCACTGACCTTATGTTTTCCTCTCGGAAGATATCTGACGAATTCAGCAATCCGGACCAAAGGAGGTTGAAAAGGCAGTCGAGACAGCTCTACGGATAGGATATCGACACATCGACGCAGCTGCTATCTACGGCAATGAAAATGAGGTTGGGTGCGGCATTAAGGCTTCGGGTGTACCTCGGTCTGAAATATTTGTATGTCCGCAAACAAATGTCGATGTTCTTTCCATCATCCTTGTACTGATGACTAGATAATTAGCTCACAAGTAAGCTCTGGAACACAGACCATGAGCCAGATAGAGTTGAGGCTGCATTGGACGAATCACTTCGAAATCTTCAAACGGATTATCTTGATTTGTACCTTATTCATTGGCCTGTATCATTCCGGTACACGGAAGACAAAAGCCAGCCAGTCAACCCTAATACCGGTATGATTGATGTAATTGACGTACCTGACTACGCGACATGGGCGAAAATGGAAGAAATGGTTGCAAAAGGCAAAGTTAGAAGTATCGGTGTGAGCAACTTTACGCGGAACAGAATAGAAAAGCTCTGCCAGAAGTGAGTCGATTTCATTTCTACAATGAAACAATAGCTACAAAGCCATCTCTAACTTATCAATTCTCAGGGCAAAAATTGTTCCAGCTGTAAACCAGATAGAAGCACATCCTTACTTACAACAACCAGAGTTATTAAAATGGTCTCAGGAGAAAGTAGGTGTTACTAGGATGACTAATACTATTTCTTCGGCTAACATGAGTACAAGGGCATCATAATAACCGCATATAGTCCTCTAGGGAATAATATATACGGAATTCCCCGCGTAGTTGATGACCCTATCATCATAGATATTGCCAGATCTCTTGGAAAATCACCAGCTCAAGTTCTGGTCTCCTGGGCTGTGCAACGTGGAACCGCCGTATTACCAAAAAGTGTCACGCCGGAAAGAATAGAAGAAAACTTTCAAGGTTGGTATAGACGGTCGCAATATAGATCGCTCTAGTGACTTGTTTTAGACTTCTTGATTCCAGAGCACGTTTTCAAAAGGATCATGGGATTAGAAAAGCATTTGCGAATGAACTTCCCAGCACGCTTTGGAGTTGATATTTTCGAAGAAGTAGGTGAAGAGAGTGCAAAAAAAAGTGCCAGGGACTGGGCAGAGGCACAGAGGAAAGTTGTTACAGTAGAAAAGTCTTAGGAGTTGTATGTGATGCAAAATCGACGGATGGGATCTCATGCTAACTTATTTATGTATAAGGACTGCATCACCACTACATTTGCACATCATTATCTTATCATCTAGGTAGTTAGCATACTAGAAGATTACGACATATATGGGAGAAAATTAAGCACTACAATACTATTGTCGACAAGACGGTCTTATCGATAACATAAATCGGAATATGTAGCCCCCTTGCTGTTTGTTGCCATCCTGGATGTTGATTTTAAAAATAAGATGGATTGCGTATCATTTCTTAAGCACTGAAGAAGCAATTGACTAAGTATCAGACATATACAACAATTTTAAAATCTCTATATTGTATCACTCCTGAAAACAGCTTGTTTTTGATTAAGATCATTTGTGCATATTGCCTAGAGACGGTCTGGCCTCATTATAAAATTTCTCTTAGCCCTAACTTAAGTTACTGCATTGCATTTTGTAAGCCTTTTGCTAACGCAACAACCGACATAGCTCCTGGATCAGGCACCTGATACCAACCAGCTTCATTAACATACACAGATCTACCAAATGCCGGCGGTATGCCCTTAGTGCTTTCCATTCCTTTCTTTGCCGCCAAATATGCGCACTCTACACCTTCTTTGAGCGTATTAACGAAAGGTTCAAGCGCATCCATGATCGTCCGATCTCCTAGCCTGGCAGGAGTAGCTTTCTGCACCGTTACCAGCGCATTCTCTGCCGCCGATGCCCAGAACTCTAAATTCAAAGTTTCAAATTTGGCTTTAGAAAGGTCTTGCACGCTGGACGCAAGCCCGTTGAAGAATAGACTGTATATGGCACCAGAGGTTCCATCCATATTTGAATCAACAAGGTGCGCAATTTCCAGTAGATTATGCGTAAGTGATGAGCTTGAATTGTCTCTGAAATGCTGTTGTATGGCCTTGCATCCACGCTTAAGAGTCATTCCACAATCTCCATCTCCGACAATAGTGTCCGCGTGTGTTATTTCAGGCTCGAAGTCGATTGCTGATTGACACACCATGCCTACGATAGAGCTGAATGTTTGGGGTACAACTGAATATGGTGTTAGAGACTTAGAGTTGGTTAAATTATTTGATGATTAGTTACCTTGAATTCCTGCTTCAGCCATAACTTTTTGAACATCATTACAAGGACTGGTTTCGGAATCGATAATACGGCCGTTGGTTCTCAAATATGATCCATTCTCTGTGAGTGCCAGAGGCCAACCAATGGCATTAGTAGGCGAATCGAGAAATGGTAACATGGCATTGGTAGCAGAGAGTAGAGTGATACTGAAACCAGGTCCATTCAAGCTCGACATAAATGTACCACTGAGGACTCTTGAGAGCCTGAATCCACGTGATTCTGTGATGCTATCTCAGTATCCTGATCGCAAGACTAAGAAATTGGGATGCTTACCTAACTTCCTTACTGTATGAGTGGTTATTGATCCAAGCTCAATTTGTGAAAGAGCTCCTAGATTATTAACCAGAAGAATAATTGATTCGGCTGACGCAAAATTAACATACGCACGATCTTCATCCTCGTTGTCAGTGAGATTTGAAATCATGCGATCTAAGATTGCGCTAAGAGATGGCTGCGGATTCCACCGTGAGACACCTGGTTCATTATGAATGCCCATTCCAACCTCAATCTCATTGTGCTTCAAGTGATGCATTTCGTTAACTGGATGACCAGGCAAATGAACATGGTCCAATGATGCTCCAATAGTCGCCAACCCTGATGTAATTTTCTTTGCCATAGCTAGGAGCTCATCTATTGTAGCCCCGGACTTTGCTGCCATTGCGCCAAGAATTTTATGAACAAGAACTGTTCCGGCAAGGCCTCTTCTGCCCACTTTACCAGATTTCTTCCGGCCAACGGCAACGTCATCACCGACAACGACAACCTCTACTCGTAAGCCATACGCAGCGCGTGCACGTTCAGCAGCCTGATGGAAGTGGAAAATATCACCAGTGTAGTTTTTGATGATCAATATCGCTCCAGCCGGACCAGTAACTCGTCGAATGGCGCTAAGAATTTGAGACACAGCAGGAGATGCAAAAATATTTCCAGAAACAGCTGCTGTCAGCATACCTTCACCAACGAATGCGGCATGGGCCGGTTCATGACCTGCACCACCACCAGATATAAGCGCGACACCGTTAGGAGGGCATTTTGAATAGTGAAACACAACTTTTTCGTATAATTTCAGTTACTGCTCTTGTCATTGCTTTGATAATTCTTACTTTTCTCTTTCCTATCCAGAGCGAGATCAGAATGCTGATAGATAAGCGCCTCCAGACTATCATATATAAGACTGGTGACTTCTTCCGAAGAGTTTATAAAATGCTTTATTGCCATCGTGTCTATAGAATAATCTTAAAATTGAATATAATTTGAGCTCAACTAGAAAGGATATTATATCATAATTTTGAATAATGTCCTGTAGTACTACACATATTTATCATGGAACGCTTTTCCGTTTGATAATGATCGGTATTCTCTAAAAGCACCTTTTCCGGTATCATATTTATTATCCGCTTTGTTTGGCTCGGATAACCTTTTTCTATCCTAGTGTTAGGAATCCTTCCATGATCCGACAAGCGTTACTAACGTAAGCCACTTCGGAAGGTATGAGCTTCCTAGAGCAAGGGAGGAAGATACTACGCAAGTATTGTATTGCGAATCGCGTCACGGTTTCAATTTTTCCCCACATCCCTGCAAGTGATAGCCATGAACCATATTGATATCCCTATAAGTGAGAGCTCTGAATCATATTATATTTTTCTTTTTACCCTACTACCCCTACTCTAAGAGACTTCTTCGGGATTCGACATGTTCCTAAGGTCTAGTCCATGTTAGGAATACTTTCCTAATACCGACTAGCTTCACTAATGTAAGCCACTTCGGAAGGGTTTAGCTTCCTAGAGTAAAGGAATAATGTATAATAAGAGCTTATTGAGGAAGGACAGCAATAAGGTAGTTATATTTATAACTTAGAATAGTCTGAACTTTAAGAGTATAAAGAATATATTTAAACTAACTACTAGCTATACTAGATAGTTGAATTATAGTGAGCGTAGACCTGAGATAAGCCCTCCTTATATAGACTAATTTTCTATCCCCTATAACTAAGTCTCAATTGCTCCTGATGAGACTTATATATATAATTTCATCTACTGTAAAGGTTTTAGGCTGACCGCCACTTCAGGGGGTAGGACACTCGATATCAAGGCCTTCCTGAGGGTGAGAAAATCAAGAGGGAGAGAGAGAAGTCTCCTACAGATGGGAACTGTAAAGAAGCTTAGAAGTAGGATAAAGTAGTTAGGATAAAGGTATTAAAGAAGATAGAGTAAATAGGGGAGAGTAAAGTAAAGATAAAGCAAAGCAAAGCAAGGCAAAGCAGGGCAAAGCAAAGCGAAGTTCTGTACGAGGCAAAGCAAAGCTTGTTTCCGTTATCTTGTTCTTGTCTGAAGCTATGGCTCTCTTATCTTCCTCACTCTCCTCTTCTTATATACCCTCACCATATCATATGACACCTGAGGCCCTTGCTCCTGTATCACGT